TGCTGTGCTGTGCTGTGCTGTGCTGTGCTGTGCTGTGCTGTGCTGTGCTGTGCTGTGCTGTGCTGTGCTGTGCTGTGCTGTGCTGTGCTGTGCTGGCTGGTAAATATAGTCAGGCGCAATCCCCAACCACATAACCTACTACTGCTACCGGATCACACCTCGATGAGCATACAGTACCATCTCTGACTCCCATTTCCTTCCCTTTGCTCACTTCTCAAATCAAAACTTCGACACCCTACTGCCTCGGCGGCGGATCTCCTTCGTACTGCTCCACCCCCTCCGGAATACCCACCAACGCACTCTTCGTCCAAATATGCGTGGCCGAAGTCCACACGTCGCCGCGAATGCCCTCAAGACACCCGCCCTTGACGGCAACCCACCCGCCCGCACCATTCCCGGGAACGACGCTAAGATTCATGATCCGCGTGCCGCACTTTTTGCAGAAATAGCACCGCTTCGCGCGTCCGGAGGTCGTATTGGAGTGAGTGTACGTTCCTATCAGGTCGTTCTCGTAACTGTTCGCGTCGTTTGTAGAGTCCGCGGATCCCGTCCCCGGCCCTGTTCCGGCGCCCGGGTTCTGGGCCAGGAGGTCAAAGTTGGGAAAGATGGCGGAGATGCCGAACGCGGAGGCGGATTGGCGGCGGCATTCGAGACAGTGGCAGATGAACCATTTCACGGGTTTGTCGTTGGGGGTGCGGAATTTGACGGCGCCGCATTGGCAGCGGCCTTCCATGTTGAAACGCGAAGTAGATGTGTACCCTACAATATACCGTCGACGAGACCGGCGGGTAGATTGGGAGGGTTTTTGGAGGGCAAGCAAAGAACTTGTCATGTAGTATGTCCTTGTGATGTGAAGCTGGTACAAATACTTACAGGAAATTTGAACGCCTTGAAATGCTTAGATTACCTGTTCACGGATGTCAAGTGCCGTAGCGGTGTTTAGGAAGAGCATGGACTCCCACATTCGGCACAGAACCGAGCAGTGGAACAGTGGTTCATCTGACTGTGGTGCTAATTGCACGAAGCCAAGATATGGGGTCTGTGGGGGAAAGGCGGAAAGCACTGTGAGTTGGGGTTTGCTACAAGTAGAGAATCGATCGGGGTAAGATGGCACGATGTCTGGGATAGAAGGCACTGTCTTCCTGATTGTGCATGTTTAGACATTTTCAATTGAAGTAGAGAGGTTGAGTGGTATATGCAGGCCTTTTCTTCCCATTGACTCCGAGCTGTCGCAATGGCCCAGTGGTCATGATCTCTTTGCAATCCCCGAACCCTAGCAGAATGTACAAGAAGCTGTGAACGTGACCAGACCAGGCGACAAATATGACACTTTTGATACATAGCTCCGCGGCGTCGGTGGATGGCTCGGCATTCCTCTCTTCCGTTCTGGCATGGTCGTCATGTTGCGAGCTTTATCTTATTTCAGGATCCTGGTGATGAGACCGGTTGCCACGGTTCGTCCGCCTTCTCTCATGTTGAACCGTTCACCAGCTTCCATGACTACCGGGTGATGTGTTTTCAGGACCATCTCGAGGTTGTCTCCAGGCATGACCATTCTGCTAGTATCCTCGGTGCCTTCGGGGAACTTCAGCTGGGCAGCTTCATCTGCTGTTCGGATGTAGACCTGCGGCTTGTAGTTCTCGGTAAACCCAGATTTTCTGCCTCCCTCTTCCTCGGTCAAGATATAGAGTGACACGAGAGCCTCCTGATGGGCTTTGACGCTGTTGGGAACGGCAATAACCATGCCACGTCGGATGTCCTCGCGCTTGACGCCTCGCAGTAGCAGTCCAGAGTTATCACCGGCTCTTGACTCGTCACAAGACTTTTTGAAGGTCTCAATATCAGTGACCTTGGTCTTGATGACCTCTTCACGGCCTCCAACAATCTCCACATCACTGTCCTTCTTCAAGATACCTCGCACGACACGTCCGGAAGCAACTGTGCCACGGCCAGCGATGGAAAAGACTTCTTCGACAGACATGAGAAAAGGCTTCTCGGTGTCTCGGGCAGGGGTCGGGATCCATTCGTCGACGGCCTTTAGGAGCTCATCGATCTTCTCTGTGCCAATTTCGGGTCTCTTGCCTTCAAGCGCGCAAAGTGCTGAGCCGAAGATGATAGGGGTGTTGTCTCCGTCAAAGTCGTATGATCCCAGGAGTTCGCGCATTTCCATCTCGACGAGTTCCAACATTTCTGGGTCTTCCACAGTATCAACTTTGTTGACGAAGACAACCAGCTTCTGAACGCCGACCTGACGGGCAAGCAGTAAGTGTTCTCTTGTCTGGGGCCTGGGTTATGTAAGTCTCCTGATCCGTAAATGTCCATGTTGCATTCTCTTACATCTGTCCATCACCTGCAGCAACCACGACAACGGCACCGTCCATCAGGGCAGCGCCAGTAATCATGTTCTTGATGTAATCGGCGTGGCCGGGACAGTCGACGTGGGAGTAGTGGCGGTTATCCGTTTCGTACTCGATATGCGCGGTTGCAATTGTGATACCACGTTTCCGCTCTTCGGGGGCCTTGTCAATCTTGCCGTAGTCGAGGAATTGCGCCATTCCTTTTTCTGCTTGTCGTTTCGTGATGGCTGCTGTGAGGGTGGTCTGGAGAATGCGATCAGTGCATAGATTCCGGAGGCGTGGGAAAGCGACTTACTTTGCCATGGTCGACGTGACCAATGGTACCTGTACAGCGTCAGCACCAATATCATCAGCAAGCAAAGACATGATACTGACCGACGTTGACATGAGGCTTCGTCCGCTCAAAGACAGCAGCATATGTTCTTGCACCGAATCTATCATGGCCAAAGACTCTGTTGACCGGATTGAGGCCTCGAGAAGGCGACACAATGTGCCGGGATGTGCGGAAAAGCGAAGTGACTGAGCGAGAGAAAGCCATGGCGACGCCCCGAAGAAGATTAAATGAATGAAAAGAAGAACCGCCAAAACCTAGGACAAGCACTATGGGAAGTCGAGTTCCCTCGATGCGAGCACGAGCCCAGAAAATAAATCTGTAGGGAGCTCCAGTCGTGGCCTGATCGGGTAAGGCTCAGTACGGTGAAACACTCATGCCAGCGTGCTCAGACATCTTCCAGCCCATCTCTTGGGATTTGATTTGGGCTGTGTCCTCTCTACACAGGTATTGTTGCGGACGAGAATTGCATGAATCCATTCCCGTCCAATAAGGTGAGAACACACTGACCACCGGCACTCAAAGTCCAATTGTCTGCCAACCACTGCGATACGGTGAATCAACTTAGGTTACGGCTCGATACCGCGTCGACTTGGGTATCTTTCAGACGAGCCGGCGTTCATTCAGGCATCCATCCTAGAAGCAATAGGCTCGAACGGCATGATATATTCTCCCTGATCATCAGCTTCTAAAGTTTCAGGTGCATCGCAAGCTGCTATTGCCTGACTTTACCTGACAGTCTCTTGTTGTCTCCCTGTCACGATAGACACCTAGCCCAAGCGTCACTTTGTCTTGTCTAACCACATACACAATGGAGGGCGAGAGTTTCAAAGACCAAGACCGAGATTTAAGACTCATAAAGGCGCTCAACATTCAGGCAGGCCTGGAAGAACTGTGTCTTACCAGATTCGACCGGCTCACGGCTACGGGGCAGCTGATCTACGAGCCTTCGACTGCTGAGACTATTGAAGACCAAGGGTTCAAGGTGAGTGCCTTGTTGACGCCCTGCAAAGCTCCGAGCGAAGGGGAAAATCAGACGCCCACAGTATAGGCATTGACTAAGTCATCCAGCTCAGCTTTCGATTTGCTCCTCATCTCCGTCGTAAACCTATTACACCCGCGGATGCACCAGAGCGGACCACAGGAGAAGGCCATAATCCATTTCTCGATCCACCCCCGAGTGAGGTACTCTTATCAATTGAACCAGATCACCTCTTGCTCGTAAACAAATTCAGTGTTTACAGACCCAGTCTTCTCCTGATCACCCGCGAGTTTGTACCACAGGCAGATGGTCTTAGCCGGAATGATCTAGCCGCTGCTTGGACGATCCTGTGTCACTTCAAAGAACCATACATGATGATTTACAACTGCGGGTTCGAATCTGGGTCGAGCCAAGGCCACAAGCACATGCAGCTCTGGCCATACCCCGATGAACAAGAACTCGGTTTTGAGCTGTTCCCTAACCAGGCAAAATCTGATGTCTATGTCACAGACGATATATCCAACGTTCCGTACAAGCACTTTGTGCTTCGCCTGCCGATGAATGCTGATCTGGTTACCCTTGGGCATGCCTATGATGAGCTCCTCAGATGCGTCCGTCAGAGCCACTACGAAGCTGGCAAAGGTACCGACTACAACGTGATCTTGGTCAAGGAGTGGATGTGCATGATTCCCCGGCGGCATAGTGGACTTGACAGAGGCGCTGGGGCGAACTCCGCTGCGATGCTGGGACTTGTGTGGATCGTGACTGAAGCGGAAACGGAAGTTTGGAATTCTGCTGGACCTGCCGAATACTTCAAGTACCTAGGATTGCCACGATGAGTGTCATCCTCAATGTAATGACGGACATGCAAAGTTGAGCGAAGATAGAGTGGCTGCCTACGCGATTGCATAGGGCCATAGACTAGATTTCCTTCAATAAATCAGTATTACGGGCAATCTTGTTTCTTACGACCTTCATACTACGAGGCTAGACGACGAGGCTGAGGACGAGGCTGAGGAGAGAACTGAGGACGAGGCTGAGGACAAGGCTGACGCAAGACTTGTTCTCCGCATTCGGTCAAACAAAGGCTCTGAGTTCCTCAACCAACACACATTCGAATACTCTTGGAAACCGGCCATGGGCAAAGGTTAGATCGCCTTCTACCGCTCGCTTCAGCATGCTGACGAGCTTTTCCAGGGACCGACAAACTCTACGTACGACCAGGCGCACTCACGCTAAATCTGCAAGGCCGTACTGACATTTGAATAGATCACACACTCAGAATGGGCTTCCTCGGATGCCTACTCAGCCAGTGCAGGCGCCGGCGTGCGCGCTGATACAAGCGGCCATGCCTCGTTCAAACGCCTACCCTTCAACTTCTGCGCGCTGAGCCTGCAGCCATTCACGACTCCTGTTTGTACAATCGAAGGCATAATATTCGACCACGAGAACATCCTGCGCTGGCTGCTAAAACATGACACGAATCCGACAAACGGCAAACCGTTGAAGCAGCAGGATCTCATCAAGCTCAACTTCGCCAAAAACGATGCGGGTGAATACGTCGATCCGGTTACCTTCAAGGTCTTTACAGACAACACCCATATCGTGGCCATCCGACATGGCGACCTTGCGAATGCCTTTGCGTATGATACAATTGAAAGACTGAACATAAAGCCCAAAATGTGGCGGGATCTGGTGACGGACGAGGAGTTTTCGCGCAAGGATATCGTCACTCTACAAGACCCGCAGAACATAGAGTCGCGCAATCTCAGCTCGTTCAAATACCTGAAAGATGGCCAAGATTCCGGCATCCCAAAAGAGGAGGCCTCGATAAATGCTGCAAGCCTGGGCAGTGCTGCAGACTTGAAAGTCATGAAAGCGAAGGAAGCTGTCGCAAAGGCGCGGGCTGAACGAGCAAATGCCCAGGGGCAGAAGGCCTTATCACAGCAGTCAACCACCGCTAGCAAGAAGCCAACGTCTACAACACAAGCCGGGAAATCAGTGCCATACAATGCAACGCGGCATACAACAGGCCTCGCAGCTGCTTCCTTTACTTCGACAGGCATGACTGTCCATACCTCCAATGCTCTTGCGGCAATGACAGACGAAGAATACATCCTAAAACCCCGACGGGTGAAGTCCAAAGGCTATATTCGATTACAAACCACTCTCGGCCCACTGACCCTAGAACTCTATCCCGAGTATGCCCCCAAGGCTGTTTGGAATTTCCTCAACCTGGTCAAGAAGGGATACTACAACGGCATTATCTTTCATCGCAGTATCCGCAATTTCATGATTCAAGGTGGCGATCCCACGGGTACAGGCAAAGGCGGACAAAGCATATGGGGTAAAAACTTCAACGACGAGCTGCAAGGACCCCTGAAGCACGACAAGAGAGGCGTATTGAGTATGGCAAACAAAGGCAAGAACACCAATAGCTCGCAGTTCTTCATCACGTACAGGCCGGTGAGTCACCTCGACGGCAAACACACGATATTCGGCCGTGTGGTAGATGACGCAGATGACGAGTCGATGGAAGTGTTGAAACGGCTCGAAAACGTACCTGTCGACAGCAACGACCGGCCAAAGGAGGAGATCCAGATCGTCGAGGCCACGGTGCTGATCGATCCGTTTGAGGAGTTCTGGAAGCAGAAGAATGAGGCTGAGAAGCCGGGACAGGACGATGTTGATCAAGACCGCACCACATGGACAGGCAAGCGGATACGCAATGATGGTACTGTAGATGCCGGCCACGCAGAAGGAAAAGTCGGCAAATATCTACAAGCATCTTTAGCAAGCAAGGGCGCCGGAGTTGAAGACGACGAATTTGGCGAATTAGGCGACGATGAACCGGAGGAGCCTGTTCGCAAAAAGGCGAAAGGCGGTGGCGGCTTCGGGAACTTCGATTCGTGGTAATACAAGGCAGGATGAGGATGTCAATGCTCTCCGCGTTGACGGGGACTTTATGGCACCTACAAACGGTCTGCCTCCCTCCATGCATACGAATCTCCTCCCTGCAGCTTCCTTCAGATACCCTTGCGCGCTATACCACCATACAAATCGAGCACACTTGGTTCGAATATTTACAGGCGTCTCTTTGTTTGCGGTTGTCTGTTCAATTCGAGCAACAATCTGTTTTCTCACTCTGTCTTTGTTGCAGACAGTCGACTTGCACGTCCAACGCATTGTTTGAAGTACGCCCGTTCTCATTCCCTTCCTCTCTGCAATGTCTGTGCTCACTCCGTCTTTGTTTGCCCTTGCGCGGCTTATACTCGAAAGCGCCTATGACGAGTTAATCAATGGCTACACAAGACCCCAGGACTGTTTACTCGCACCCACTAAGGTACGCAATTGCCAATACGTACCTCTCCCAAAGCACTAATTTCTTACTCGAATGTCAAAGTCAGGCGAGATACCCGAGCGGCTCAACTTGACGTTTGGCGTCGAGTTTGAGCATCTTTTCGGCATCAAGCAGAACAAAGTCGCAACCAGACCGGACTATGCCTGGCTTCGTCCGGAGAACTGCCCTGTGAAACCAGGCGACGTGGGCGCTCCACTTTCCCAGTGGTACCCAGAAAGCTACGACCCGAATGACAAGCAGCACCGCACAGAGCTTGACCGTGCAGGACTACGACAGGCTGCAAAGATTATCCGCACAAACGCAGGACAGCACGCGCCTGTGCTTGAAGTAAGGCTCTACTCGGATCCCAAAGATGTGCCTGATCAATATCTAAACTGGAAGCTAACGCTTGAGGACGCAGTGCCGGTACCTACCAGCGCGGACCAGCTGATGGAACGCTCCAGATCCCAATCGGAGATCAGGCTCTCCAACTTCAATGACTGGCAATTGACTGGGTTGGAGCTCATCTCACGCCCCCTGAAAGTGCCTGAACTTGACGACGCAAATGACCTGCATTCGAACGGCCTCGCAGAGCTCCAGGACCAGCTAAATGCGATTCCGAGGCAGTATGATCCAGAGGCAGTATGATCCAGAGGCACCTTACTTTTTCACAACAGGTCCAGAGTTGGGTTCCGTCCACGTGCACGTCGGTATACAACCCAGCGATGAAGGTGAGCAGGCAGATCTTTCCACGGAGTTTCTCCAACATCTAGCGTTCATATGCATGGTCTTTGAAGACGCCATCACGCTGCTCCATCATCCCGAAAGGCAAGGCTACCAGGGCACGAAAGCTTTCAAATACGCCAAAAGCAATCGCACGGCGATCAATGCGAGCGAGCACTCTTGCGCATTGGCCCCGCAGTTCTCATGCGAAGAGGCCTTCGTGAAGATCTTCGAAGTGGACGCCGATGAGCGTGACCTGTTGCACAAACTACTAAACAAAACACCCCGCCAACCGGGTGGGAAAAGGGAACGGTTCGTCAACTTCACCAACGCCCTAGGCGAAAACCGAGGTGAGTGACCAGGACCGTCGAGTTTCGCCAGCACCACGGCACGCTCCGCGCGGAGGACGTCTGCGAGTGGGTCCTTCTCACCACTGCCCTCGCCCGCGCTGCCGAACGAAAGGAGCGCGAACCACCAGCACCGGACGCAACGCTGCCGGAGTCCATCAGGAAGAAAATCCAGGCCCTGAATGACGGAGTGCGCTCGTACGTGGAAGCCCAGGCCGGGAAATACATCTGGCTGTTCCGGGAGGGTGGAAGGAACAGAAATCTCGAAGACCTGTTCGATCTTCTCCAGCTGCCCTCTCAACGGAGGAGGTATTGGTGGACTCGAGCCAGGATGATGAAGGACCTCGCCAACACGGAGAAGTATCCAGGCCGGAGCACCTGCGAGTACCCCTGTGACTGCGATCCGGCGAACGGGTGCCACTGCGTACCCGTGTGCGACGGCAAGCTTCATTGCAAGTGCCAGGTCCCATGCCACGGAAAACCACTGTGCAACTTGCCGCCCAGGCGGGATTGCGCAGAGTGGCACACAGACGAATGGATCGTTCCGTCGTACGACGAGGCACCAAGGATAGGTAAGGATGGGAATGCGCGTGCTGTAGCTGACGAGGCGCATACAGAAACGTATACAGGTGCTCTCGCCCACACAGTAGCGGAGCATGAAATCCAGGCGGGGCCCGAGGAGACCACCGAAGCCACAATGACATCGTTGACAAAACCTGCTGTCTGCATGAAGAGGTCTTCTGAAGACGACGACGCCAATGAAGGCGAAGGTGAGCATGAAGAGAGACAACCAAAGCAGCTGCGCAGGGACTAGGCTGTGGTTGTCGATGTTGCCGACTTGGAGTCTGACCTGACTCGGGACTATGACTATGATTCTGACTCTGGCTCCGACTGAGGATATATAAACGTTGTCAGTCTTTGTCCGTCTGTCTGTCCTATTAGAGCCGGACATGCACGTGTATGTTCGTCGAAGTGAGCTAAAATCTCAAGCTGTGACGGTGAATATTGAGTATTGAGTACTCTTAGAACCAGTACAAAGGTACGTACGGTGTAGGCACCTAGCGGGTGATGTGATGATTCTGCGAGTACGGATTCCCACAGTTCACAATTCAGTGTACGGTGTACGGTGTACGGTGTACGGTGTACGGTGTACAGTGTGTCTACAATGGTCCGTAAATAATATACTCTTACCGTCTATCCCATGCTCATGATTACGTGCAGTATGTATACGCGCAATGCTATGAACATCGAAACTCAACCCTGTGTGCGGGTGACGTTGTCCGAGTCTCGAGGAGAAGGACATTGTAACTCAATCTTGAAGAATCGAGGGAAGTTGTCCAATTCTCAATCGCGAATCCATGGATTCCTGGTCAGCATAATGACGACGTAAGACGAGGCTGTACTGACGAGGCGTCCATTCTGCAAAATGCAGCTGCGGTACATGACGACTACAGCAACTACTTGGAATAGCCTACGGCAGCAAGGCAAGAATAGGGTACGTGAACTGGTTTGAATTATTGAACCGTTCTCGACACACCAAGATCAAAGGGCACAGGAGAGGAATAGCTACATACCCACAGACACGGACACTGCATACCTGGTACACACCCGCGCATACAGATACACGGCGCGCAAGGGTCTGCTCATCCTTCTCACATGGCTTGATTTTCTTGGGTTCTCGTGTTTTCCTATCCTGTAGGACTCTCGCACCTCCAGGCACTCAGGTTGGGGGAATTCCTGTACGCGCCGACCATGCTGTCGAAGCCGGCGTACAGGCCCAGAATACACGTGGCGCAACTGCCCAGGTAATAGACCAGATCGAACAGATTCCACCAGAACTCCTTCTTGAAGCCGCGCCACCAGCGCTTGACGCCACTGTCTAGCCGGCGGATGGCGCCTGTAGCCGGGTCGAACGCCTCGCCGGGTAAGATGGCGTCGCGCTGGGCCTTGAACCCGAGCATCAGGAAGGGCGGGAACGTGTACGTGAACTGCAGGATGCAGCCCGCGCCCACGAGCACGATCCACGTGTTAATCTGGGGCACCGACTGGGTGACGACCCAGGCGAGGGCCCAGTAGACGGGCACGAAGAAGACCCAGATCCACTTGCCGGTCTTGCTCTCGAGAAGCGGGAAATTCAGCAGGTCGCGACCCATGTTATTGTAGAGGACTTTGATGCCGATGTTGCCGTACAGCACGGCGGCGATCAGCCCCGTGATCAGCCCGATGATGTTGCATGCCGTTTGCCAGCCGTACGGCGACACGCCCTGGTATGAGACGTTGTACGCATATTGGCCTTGCATGCAGTACGTGTAGATGCCGTAGACCATGTAGCAGGCGTAGATGAGGATGTCGGCGCAGAGGAGGCCCTTCCAGAAGTCCATGGGGCGACGCATCTCGGCCATCAATTCCACGAATAAGGTCGCGCCACCAAAGGAGAAGACCGCGTTCATGAGCCCGTTGACGTTGTCAACGATACCTAGCCCTGGGGGCGCGGCGCCGGATACCTGGATCGGGTCGGGGTGGTTGATATCAAAGTCGGGGTTTGATGCCGCGTAGAGCTTATAATTGGGGTCTGAGTGCGCCATGACGCCCATGCTACGAGGCAAGCAAGTTAGTCGGTTTGACATGATAGATATAGCGGGACGGAACTCACGTCGCAAAGATGATGAAGAGGTTGAGAAACACCGCCCACGAAGCTAGCCAGCCGAAGCGCTGCAACGTCCTGATTTGACCGATGATGCACCCGGCAATCATACACACCACCACACAGACAATGAAGCAGAGATTTCCCTTGGACAGCTGGCTGATCGACTGGCCGCTGCTGAGGACGATCAAGGCGACGTTGAGGAAGAACTGGAATGACTGCAACAGGTTGCACGTGTGGCGAAACCATGGCCCGTACACGCGGAAGGCAATGTCGCCGTAGCCCTTCATGGGGTAGCGGTCGCTGTCGAGCTGCAGGTACATCCTCCACAGCTGGTAGCCACTGTAGCCGGCGAGGGCGCCAAAGACGGTGAAGAGCGCGACACCGGGTCCCAGACCCATCTGAGAGAAGGCATAACCAGTGGAGAAGGGCCCCAGAATGTCGGTCGTGATCAGGTAGAACACGGCGCCCCTGCAAAGATGGGTCAGCGACTCAGACCAGTATTCTGACGGTTACTTGCTTACCAGGTGGCTGTTCTCGCTGCTCGAGAAGCCTGGACCCATTCGTCGTCTGAGATGGCCATCGGCTCGTATTTTCTCCCGCTACCGGTCTTCTCGTTGCCCGAGTCGGTCTCGTCAGCCCTGACGATCTGGCCTTCGCCTTGGGCGCTGACAGACAACCTGGGCCGAGTGACGGACTCTCGGCGGGTGTTGTCGACCTGCTTGCGCAGGATCTTTTGTTTGATGAAGGTCATCGTCGGTCCACTGCCAGATGTGAAGTCGCTGCCAGGGCCGTACAGGTGGTCTTCCTCGTTGCGAGTGATCTTTGCATAGTGAAGATACTCCTCAATGGAGATGTTGGGGTCGTGGAGTTTCTGCAGAACACGCGTTGGGTAAGTGGTCGCGTCGAGCCCATCGGCGCGGAGACGCTTGTCGTCCACGGCCCCGGGGCCGGAGATGGATCCAATGCCAGATGCCATGGTCTTTTCACTGGAGGAAGCAGCTCAGTCAGCCAGAGCGACAGCTTTTGCGCAGTGATGCTGACGGAGAGAGGATGGAGGAGCAGGGGAGCTCACCTGCTTCTTATAGGGGAGTTTCTGCGCGTCACTTTGCGAATTGCATAGATATCGCTTGACTAGGATATGGCTCATGGCGCCGTTTTAGCTCATTGACTAGGACAATTGCCATGATATCGGCCTCGAAGATGATCGGCCCCATGTTCACACCACGATCCGCCATGGTTCACTCCCCCAGTTGGATCCCCACAGCTGATAGCTGATAGGATGGGGCCAATGAATCGACTGTTTCTAGAAAGAGTCCCGGCATGGGTGGCGGGCGGGCGTCTCCATTGCGATAATGCAGTGTTGGGTAACAGGTCCCACGTCAAATGTGAGATTGCGACGTCAGGTCGCGATGGCCGTTGAGAAAGACCATTGGTACGGTTGAATGCTAGCAAAAATAGGGCTAGGAGATTCACACATTCTGGGTATCTCGCCTCCTCGGCGGGGGAGTTGCAATGGACTTGGCGATGGGCAGGACGTAATGGTCCGTGCCAATCGCCACGTCGGCGTGATGAAATCATGCAACAACACAAGACCAGGTGAGACTGCGGTGATGGTGATGGTGATGGTAGTGGAAGGACACAAGGTAACGCGTTTGGGAAGGTGAGATTGACAACCGAAAAACGGGCCAATGTGAGCGACAGGTGAGGATCCTTTTCGACTGTGATACAATGGCACCGGACGATAACACGGCCGCACAGGACATTGCTTGCGCACAACTCGAGACTCCTCTCACTGCTCTTTGACGGACCTACATTCAGTGTGTCCGTATCGCTGCTACAGTACCCACCTGCCCTTGCGAGCGTCCGTCTGAAACCGCTCCTTTGACTATCGGCCGTCTTCTCCGCTTTGGTTACCGTGAACTTTACATTTGGCTTATCGAATTCGAGGTTGATCTGCGGCCGTGCCGGCCTGCCATGCATCGCCGTGCACGCCAGTGGGCATGAACCGCCACACCAGGACTCGCCGGCGCCTCTTACGTCCACGCTCGATGCAACTTTGCTGTGTTCAAGCCCACAGAAGCAATTGCTAAGCTTCTCGCGAAAGCTTGTCCGCGGTTTTCGATACTGCGTCCGAGGCCAACTCTGCGGGAAACGGTCAGAATAGTGAGGAGCAGCTTCCTAGTCGTCCCACCGTCCAGAAGAGACTCGTGGCAGCTAGGATCGCCGGTTAGAGCCGCACCTCGCATTGCTTCAATGTTCGCTGCAGCTGCTGGATATGGAAACCGTAGCATTGACTGGGATACAGGAGCCGAGGAGACCGGATGAATTTCCTTTCCAATCGCAGTGGCTGGGAGCGGATATGTAAGCTCGTCGACAATCTTCTGACGGCATTTGCTCAACTGCCTGCATCGGACTTTGCCTACCATATTAGACAAGAGGCGTACGGCTGCGGTAGATAGCAGGCGTCGAACACTGTGCTCGCTGTCTCTTAAGCAGGACCGGACGTCGCTTCGGGAAGGTGCCATTGGTTATCATCTAGGCACCTACTCCTGATCCGTCATGTCGCTTGAGATAGATACCTACCTAGTAGGTAGCACTAGCGGGTAGAGTGGGTGGTTATCCGCCGCAGTACGGAGCATAGACCGACGTGTATAGCTCATCTGAGCTCACTCACTCGTATTGCAGGGCTCGGACTCGCACAATGCACGACTGTGTCCTTGTTTCTGTCAGGGAGCGCAATTCAACGGCCATCAACAATAATCAGGTGCCTTTCCGAGCTACATACTCTGTACCCAGTACTCCGTCCGGGGTGCTCAGACGGGCTGCATCCCACTTACGCGGCAGCATGACGAACAGATTGTTGAGGCTGGACTCGACTACTTTGGAGGCCCACTACTGCAGAGGGCTTCGCCTTTGGGATTCCGAGACGACATGAAGAATGATACGGAATGGCGGTTTTGTCTTACAAAACCCATTCCGCGATCAAGTAACTAAACCATCACGCATGGAAAATTGTGATATTGACACGTTTCGGCTGCGACGCCACGCGATACCAGGGAATCAGCGAAAAGACGGTGATCGCAATCAAGTAGACACGCTGAATCCGGCAGACCTGGAGTTTGTATTGATCTACTCCGTACTGTCGTTGAAGTACCTCGGAAGTTCTTGCGTTCTCATGGACAGGTCCGCTCCGGACGGATATTTGTTCACGGAAGGAAGCGTGGAGGTCCTTTTGCCAGCTCCGGAGATAGATCGCGTGGCAACGTGGACCTTGCGCGTCGCTTCTGTAACTGCGCTCTTCAAGCACTAATCATCAACTGCTCGAGGTTGGCGTGCAACGGTTCTTTGATCTACGGAGTGTTCACCAGTGCAATAATGCCCAAACCTCAATGACAACTAGGGGCCACGGCACCCTCCTCTCATCTCACAATGTCGCCGCTCAAGCATCTTTGGGCCCGCCTGCGCGCTGTACCATCACACCCGTTCGCAAGAGCAATGGCGACAGTAGGAGGCACATCCATCGCGGCCGTCTCGCTGTGGACTTTGATCGCCCGTAACCTTGTCACCTACGGGGTAAGTAGGTACCTACCTGTGCGAGCGCGCTTGACACATTTGGTATATACATGACGCTGATTGCTCATTTTGGTACCTATACCTAGCCCTCTGAAGGTCCGTCGATGTACCCGACCATCCCGAGCCAGCGGTCCTACAATATCCTTTCGCGACGGCACAAGCACGGCAGAAATATCCAAGTGGGGGATATCATCGTGTACCAGAGCCCTATGTTTCAGGGCCGGAGGGCGTGCAAGCGCGTCATTGGCATGCCGGGCGACTACGTGGTGCGCGATCCCAGTCTCTCGCCTACTGTTGGCGATGCGCGTGTTGTTGGGTTATATGAGGGCGCCGCTGATGGCGTGCGCGAAGAGCCTGTCATGGTGCAAGTTCCTGAGGGACACGTGTGGGTCGCGGGGGACAATCTATCGTATAGTAGGGACTCGCGATTCCATGGGCCCGTGCCCATGGCGCTGATACAGGGCAAGACGTTGTATGTGGGCGATGGATGGTTCAATTGGACGTCGTTGCGCAAACCGCAGTTACAACCAGCTTTGCTGGCGGTCGAAACTACAGCTCGCGACCCAGACGAGAAGATTGGCATGGAGGTCTCCCACGCCGGTTGAGCGTGGTCGACCCAAAGATTACGGGCACAAACACTCAGGGAAGTGATTCCAGCATATCGACACGGATATCGTACACAAAGGGCAAACGCCCGGCTATCTCAACCTCTCATCCTCGAGGTGTCACGTCGCTGGTATGGCAGAGGCTCAACCTTCTTCCTCTTGAGCTCAACCTCGGCTCCTTCAATGCCTGCTCTCTCCATGACCGCGGCGGTACTGTCATCCCACTGCGTCCGGAATAGTGAAGCGCTTATGGGGCTGAGCATATGGCGGCTCATCATACTTCGGACCGTGAAGCCATCCCGCTGGATCTTCTTCTTGGCAATCTCAAGGTCAATAGGGATGTTGTCTTTTTGTTGTAAAATGACAATCGACAGCCGATGGTATGGGCTACCCTTCTGTGCGTAAGGTGGCATCCAGGGGAGAAGAACCTGAGAGTTCGGCGAAAGCCTCGCGAGGTCGACTATCGGTTCGGTTGGGGAGATGACAATGTTGGATGCTAGAAAGTGGCATCTGAAGTCGAAGCCGTCTGTCTCCACGTTAGGTACATCTGCATCGACAACAGCAATGGTGACCATTTTCTCGCCTCGCTCGTAGGATTGTAGACTCAGGCGACAAGGATATTCGCTGAGGTGGGACTCGACGAATTCTCCAGGTTGGACTACCGTGTTGCCAAACACAATCTTCACGTCGAGGATAGGATCCACGTTCGGTATCACATCGGGCACAACCTTCATTTGTGTAATCCGCTGGACAAGCACCTTCCGAGGGTATTCGCGCCATTTCCGGTCCGCTAAATATCGGTAGATGGGTTTGTTCAAGTCACCTGTTGTCTGTCAGCGGCTGCGTACTCGGACTATATGGTTTTCAGCGCACCTAGCCCGTCTTCAAACCTCCTCTTGACGTTGGGATCGTTGATATCGGCCAAAATCTTGAGCTTCTCCAGCTCCTGGGTCATGCTCCTCAATCTCCTTTGCTTATACGCGTCTCCACCCGGAAAGGTGCTCGGATCGACCTCCTGCAACCGAGCAATGCGAGCCCTTTCCGTCTCGATCTTCTTGAGCTTCTCCGCTCTGTCGGCGATCAGGATCTTTCGGGCTTCTTGGAAGCATTGGTATGGCAGTTCATCGAAGGGGATGCCTGGTGAGTGGGCGAGAGCAGCGCGTCGTCGGCGTGAGCCGATGGGGAATTTGCCATCTCTTATGAGCTTTCGCTCAAGGCGAGGAACGTGCACGGTAGCTGGATCGGGATTGTGGTAATAGGAGGGTTTCTGAACTTGGACTTCCTGACAAGTCGCGCTGGTGGTTGAGAACGCTCGCAAGGCAACTCGTGACGAACATGCCTCTATGTTGAGTGATCTCAGGGAGTGCAACACTAATGCACTGGGCGCCCTTGAAGGAGCCATGTCCAGAGTATCGTGTCAGGCAAACACGTGTAATGCCCGCGACATTCAGCAAGCTTCATCCGAACCAAAAATTGTCGAAGCAATTGATTATCCTCCGGCGAAGCATATGCCGGAACACGCATTAGTCACGTGCGCTACAGTTGTGCGCGCCTATCGCCAGCGCCATCCTTGCGCCGGCACTTGCCCGTCTGTGAACCGATCCGCCAGGCTGGCAATTCTCCATCACTAAGCAGTTTGCTAAGCATCAACCAAGCCAATCTCACGGCGCCCTGCGTCCAGCCCTATGCCGAATCGACTATCTTGGTAAAAGGGTCTCATGATCCTTTCGAAGCATCAAGCCGCTTCAGATATGGAACCCTCGACGGTGTACACAGGAGATCCAAATTACTCATTTCAAGCGGCAAATCCGGCTGCTCCACCAATGAGAGCATGTGTTTTGGGTGCTGTTTCGAACAACCACTTCCAGCCCACACGTCGTACAAGTTTACGCAAGCATACCGAGTTCATGGATATTGCTGCGCTGCCGCTGTAGGATCTTATCTTCGGTTCTCTTAGAGATGAGACTTCTCCTTTTGTGAATCCTGGCCACGTCTTCACTGCTTGAGTGTTGGACTTCCACCTCTCCGGCTCTCGTTGTCAATATCACGACGATGTCACACATCGACCGCGGACATTCACATGCGACTACACCCAATGCAAAGGATGGCAAGACTGCTACAGCTGGAGCTGACGGCAGTAATGTCGGGGTCGAGGCTCCAAAGCCCCCAAAGGCTGGTCTCTTGAGGAAGATACAGATGAAGCTCAATCTGGACCTCCCGACTCTACTGCTGATGCTCAAGTGAGTCAGGTGTTGTACCTCGATACAGTCGCATGCTTGAGCTAACTCGGTTTCAGAGGTGCTCTGCCCCCAGCGATTGCTTTGGCTGCGTGAGTTACCTGTCTTTCTCCCAACTTGATGCTTACAGTCTTTAGCTACCAGAGCGACCGCTGGGCAAAGACATATTCAACTTTGGGATACCTGATCGCAATAACGTCGTTCTTATCACTGCCAATTCTGCCAAGGGCGAAGTTCATCCAGTCTATGATCCTTTCGTGCATCACAATATGCTTTGCTGCAGCGGCGGCGCTGCTTACGATACGATGCGCCGTGGCCGCACACCAACCCATCCTCCTGACTCCCGCGTCAACAACGACAGGCTCATCTGGCAGCAAACAAACCCTGGTGTATAGCGGCGCAGCTAATGTGACCGCATGCGCCTTCTTATTTTTCTGGCTGTACTTTGCAAACACCGTTCGAGCAGCCCGCCCGCAGCTTTTCATCGTCTCGATACAGTTCACAATCTTTACGGTGGTCTCCCACACATATGCATCCACTTTCCCAACGATGGAAGCGGGGATGAATTTCGTGGATAGACTGTTGAAGGTCTTTCTCACAGGTTACGCATTGGCTACAGGTGTCTCGTTGTGTATCATCCCCATATCTTCAAGGAAAATCGCTCAGAAGCAGGCCGCCGGCCTGCTCAATATCATGAAAGCTTCATTGTCGATCCACATCGCATATCTACATGGCATTACTACGTCTCAGGCAGGTAGCCCGGGAGTTTTAGACGAGAAAGGAAACCCCTTACCGCTGGACCGCAACCCAGAAGCACGAGTGTCGATGAGAGCGGCCGAAGAAGCGGCTCAGGAATTGAAAGTGACGATTCAGAAAGCGTCTCAATTGTTTGGCCAGTTGAAACTGGAGATTGGTTTTGCTAAGAAGGAAATCGGATGGGGCAAACTACAACCAGAAGATTTCCGCCAAATCTGGGAACGGCTAAAGCACATTCTGCTTCCAGTCGCAGGCCTGTCCACGTTTATCGACATCTTGCAGTCCGTCAAGAGACACAAAGCTGAAAGAGAGAACTTGATCTCTGATCTGGACGCAGTCGAAGCCATCCGGAAGCTCGAGGCCGAGGAATGGCACGAAGTAATCGTCATGTCTCGTGTCCCATTTCTGAAAATGAAGGCAACTCTCGTCGATGGCTTGACCCACGTTGCTTATGTCCTTGAGTTGGTGCCGCAGCCAAAGGCAGCCAAGAAGGATATTGAGAAATCTGCAGACTCAGCCCCAAGCCCTGGCCAACCAGCATTTGCACAGTACTTGACGGATCAAATAGCGATCTTTCAAGACCACCGTCGGGAGACCATGCGGACGTGGTGCGAAAGAAAAGGCATCGAAGTGCCAACGAAGTTCTGGGAAGATACGTCTGCGCAGTACAAATTCAGCGATGCAGCCTCTATTCACGAAACGGTTCGACAAAAGCAGAACCATCAGCAGCTGTATCTCATCCTTTACCTCGAGTACCTGCTTTTGGCTGTCTGCCAATCAATCCTGGATTTTGTACTTTTTGCCGACTCGAAAGTACAAGATGGCACGATGAGCAAGAACAGGCTGATATTCCCCGGCTGGAGACGCCTCCACAAATTAATGCAGAACGCCTTCAAGCAAAAGGACGCGAGTGAAGGTCTTCAAGATGGACCAGCCTCGGGTATCTACATCTGGATGGGCGGTGCTCTACAAAAGCACAAAGACCCCGAGCATCTACCACCAACGAATCTCTATCAGAGAGTAACCAACAAGCTGAGAGCGATACCCAAGTTCCTGGCCTCTGATGCCTCCCACTTCGGCTTCCGAGCAGCAACCGCCAGCATCAGCATTGCAATAATCGGCTATCTACGGCAGACACACTCCTTCTATCTGGCTCAGCGTGGTATCTGGGCAGTTATCATGGTAGCTATTAGCATGGGAGCTCATGCTGGGGCCGGCGTCCAAGGGTTCGTCCTGCGAATACTCGGCACTGCAATCGCAGCGGTCGTCTCAATCACAATCTGGTACATCGGTGACCAAAAACCAGCGGCAATCATCCCGCTAATCTATCTCGTCTTCGTGTGTGGGATCTATGTCATCCTCAAGCACCCCAAACACCTCATCACGGCAGTCATCTCCATGGTGACGACCATCCTGATTGTTGGCTATGAACTTCAGGACAAGAAAGTCGGCACTCAAATCCTCACCAGCAACGGCCAGGTATACTACCACATCTACATCCTCGCGCCATACCGACTTGCCACCGTCATCATAGGCCTAGGGGTTGCCTTCTTCTGGACGTATTTTCCCTACCCGATCACCACGCACGCCACCCTGCGCAAAGATCTAGGCAACACACTCTATCTCATGGCAAACTACTACTCGTGCACGCACTCTACGGTCGAAACCCGACTACGCACAACTCCCTGTCTGGCCAAGGACAAGCGCGCCGACCCCATGCGTCCCCTGGACAAAGCCCGCCAGCGCGTCTTCGACAAACTCCTCGTCATGCTCAATCGCCTGCGCGAACACAGCACCTTCCTCAAATACGAGCCCCCATTCGGCGGGAAATTCCCCAAGCAGACCTACGACGAGTTGATCGTCCACATGCAATCCCTCTTCAACTACATGGCTCTAACGGCGTACTCGTCGCACACGTTCCAATCCTCCTCCTCCGCCCGGGAATCCGACTGGCTCAAGGACTTCCGCCGCATCACCGCACGCTCGCGCCTCACCTCCCCCGAACTCACCAGCACGCTGTGCCTCGTGAGCGCGAGCGTCACGAACTCGCAGCCCCTACCCCCCTACATCACGGTCCCGCACCCGATCGATATCGCCGACCAGCTCGCAGCCATCGATCCCGGGATCCTCAGCATCACGCACATCAAAGAACCCTGCTACGCGGCGTTTGCGGTGCTGGAGATTGCGAGCATCCTGATCATGCAGGAGATGACGGCCGTACTGAGTAAAGTGCGGGATCTGGTCGGCGAGGTCGACTTCAGTGTCCATTTCGGTGGTGGGCCCCAAAGCGGGAGTACCTTGAGAGGCACGTTAAGCGATAGTGATCTTGATATGAGAGGCGAGAGAAATCCACGGCATTCGCCTTCGCATCCACGTCCACACCCACAACCGCATCCAGCTTTGCACACGCGTGAAAGTGGAGGGAACGACACCGAGGGTAGCAAGGGTAAGGTCGATTGAAGACTCGTACAACCCGGGAGAAGGGCTTCGAGTTGCTGTAGCGGTCGGTGTGTTTCATTTAGATTCGATTAGATGCACAATGTTTTCCAATGGAATGGCTTAGACTGCATCGACGATGCGAGTGGGAAAATAGACCCCTGGGGAACAGACGGCAGAATGGTAATCCAGCAAGATATTGCAGATCACAAGTTGGTATGCCAGGGGCGTCCGCGGACTGTGGTCTGTCTAGTTCTCATCCCGGTACTGACCCTTGGAACTGCTGAGCAGACTAGATGTCGGAACTCTGTTGTACATACATACATACATATACTGTGTATTGATAATATCTAGTTTACATTCGCTCGAGGACTGCCGCTTTGACTGGCGCTTCGTGGGTTATACCCCCTTTCCCAAATATGCCCTTCGCCTGGGTATCTCTGAAGAAGCATGAGTACCTAACCAGTATAGAATGTGCTTAAGCCATGCACGATCTTTTCTCAACCTCGATAGCATACGCCTCGCTAAGGTCAATAGAACAGAGTGAGTCCTTTTTGTGCCCGCAACCAGGAAATAATCTCCTCGTCCGTCCAGAAAATCGAGTTCAGAAACTAACTGAACATACTGTCAAAGTCGTCCACGTTGATGTTGTCGAGGGTGTCCATGTTCATCATGCCGTCGCCGTCGAGGTTGATGTTGTCGCCGAAACTCATGTCATTAGCATTGAGGAAGTAGTCAAATTCATTGGGTCCCAGTTGTGGCAGGCTGAAGTCATGCATGTTGGCAGGCTGCTGCTGCTGCTGTTGTTGGTCTTGGTGCTGTTGCTGTTGCTGTTGACCAGCCGATATATCATTTTGACTGGCATCGCCTGCCAGATCATTTCCAGGAGGCAGCCCGTTACTCGTAGTTCCGGGCATGCCGAATCCGCCATCATCGCCAGTCTGGTTTGCGTAGGACTCCAAACCCGGCAGAAGAGAGTTTAACGAGGTGTCTTGCAGGTTGAGATTGACACTGTCCCCGCCATAGCCGTCTCCGCCAAAGCTGTCCAGGTCGAAGGCCATGTCGTTGCCTCCGCTATCCATCATCTCTCCTGACGGTTCACCGAACATAGATTCAAAGTTGAATGCCTCGGTCCCGGAAGCTGGAGTATCTTGCGGTGTTGGTTTGGGAAACTCCTCCGTGGTTGTCTGTGTCATTGTACGCTCAGGAGGTTGCACGGGTTCCGGTGGTTTTGGCTGCTCGTGTGGTTTTGGTGCCGGTGGTGCAGTGGGTTGAGGTGCTTTGACGTCTGCAGTTGCCGACACTTTGGGCTTGTCTGGTGGTTTGGCCGTAGCAGGCTTGTCTCTTTGTTGCTGCAACGCTTGAGCAGTGGACTTGCCGGGCGCCACAGCAGGCTGCGGAGCAGGTTTCTGGACAGGAGATGGCTGTTGCAGCTTCGGCTGCTGCGGCGGTGGGGGCACGGGTTCCTCTGGTTCTTGCGTCTTGACGCGCTTGGGGGCATTCTCTCCCTCTGCCTGTTGCGCCTTGTCCTGGACGTCTTGAACCTCGTCTCGCTTTCTTTTGGCGCTTGAGGCGCTGTCATCTCTTGCTTTGGCCTCGCGGCGCGCCCTGTTCGCAGCTAGTTGGCGCTCAAGGTACCATTTGGCATTGAGGATCTGGATCTCGCAATCGTCGAGCGCATCATGGAACTTCTTTGCGGTTTCGGCCAGAACGGCTTTTGTTGCTGGCGCGAAGTTCACAGGGTCTTTCATCACGTAAGCGATGCGAGCGACCGAGCCCATGAACATTGCTTCGACCGTCTTCACCGGGTCGTAGGGAGGTTTACTGGCCGCCATCGAGGAGTGGAAGAGGTCGTAGCCGCTTGGGGGAGAGGGCTGAAGGACGAAGGGAGAGACGCCGTCGGCTTCTGGAGGTACGGCGGAGGTGAGCAACGATGGTCAAACGAACCAGGTAACGAGAGTCTTCATCCTATACGCGTGAATAACAATACTGGGTAGCAAATGGCCTTCACGTTGACAGCGGTTTGCGCAAAAGGCTGTCGGGCGGGTCAGCAGCCCACGCGATTCTCGACGTTTTGACTCGGAAAGCGCCTCGGCCACTCAGCAGGTGCAGCAGTTCAAGCGACCCAAGGGACCTAAGTGACCCTCCCGGAGCACCCATGCGCGGCTCGAAGCCTAAACGGGAGCGAGGGCGTAACTTTGTTCTTGCCGTCGAGCTAAAGCACACCTAAATTCCGCGACAGGCAGGCGGGTTCAAGCTTTAGAGGCCTAAAGAAGCCACGCCGGGAAAGCCCAGGCGTGCCAGGATTCTGTGATAGGCGCTGCGCCGCACTCCGCACCCTGTCACCAGGCGGCAGGCAGCCCACTCCACGTTCACGCTGCTGAGTAAAAAGCAGCTTCTTCACCACCTCGTCACGTTCGTCCTTCAACCATCGAAATTCGAGCATCTCTTGTTCCATCTCCTCTTCCATTACTGCGTTGTCGTTGTTCCTTATCGTCTCTCTCGTACGTCGATTGGAATTTCTGTGCATTGCAAGCTGGGCGTTGGGAAAAGAGCTCGAGCGATTTCTTGTCTCTCCCTTTCCTTGACATCTCTCAGTGCTCTCTGCCTGCTGTGTTGGCTGGTCTCTTTCTGTTCTGCTGCTATCCCACAATCTCAAGCTGCGGCCGGCCTGTCACTCACCTTGTCTCGGCGCGACCTTTCTGGCGGCCATCTTACCTATTACGCGAACGAGTCCTGCCTCTCCTCATATTCTCTCTCTCCCACTACTTCAACAATATTCCTGGTTGGCTTGTCACCTTGATAGCGATTCTTGTCGACGTCTTTCAGCGAAATTTCTTTACCTCTCTCCCCACGACCCGAGCCGACCCACTCTATCACCACTTGTCTCCCCGCAATATCCATACGAGGGACTGATCAGTCGCGAAATAAAAAGAATCCACTCGAGCTCCTACCTGCGACTCCAAACCTGCAATACTTGTCTTTCTATTCGAATCGCATTCGCCGTGCGGCGCACTAGTTGTTTCTAGCTTCAGTCGGATCGCTACACAAGCTTCTCATCTCTTCAACATGGCAGAAAACATTCCTCCTGCGACATTGTCCCCTCCACCTTCGACGTCTGGCGTCACGGGGTACGATGCTGCGAGCGGCAGCAACGGCCGTCCACCCACTGGTATGGGACCTCCCGCGCTCCCTCCTATGGTCATCCCGCAGAACAACAACAACGTCGCGGCTCCTGTTACACCTGGCAGTGCCCTGTCACCTTCTTCCGGTGGAGTGGTCCGTAGAGCGGCCCCCGAACCAAACAAGAGGGCGTTGTACGTGGGCGGACTCGACCCTCGAGTCACCGAGGACGTGCTCAAGCAGATCTTCGAGACTACAGGTCATGTGGTCAGTGTCAAGATTATCCCAGACAAGAATGTGAGTACGTCGCACATCATATGGAGTTGTCCTGACTAACAACGCCAGCAGTTTAGCTCGAAGGGCTTCAATTATGGCTTCGTCGAGTACGATGATCCTGGTGCCGCTGAGCGAGCCATGACTACGCTCAATGGCCGGAGAGTCCATCAAGCTGAGATCCGCGTCAATTGGGCTTACCAATCCAACACTGCGACCAAGGAAGACACCTCCAACCACTTTCACATCTTCGTCGGTGATCTCAGCAACGAAGTCAATGACGAAGTCTTGCTGCAAGCCTTCTCCGCCTTTGGCACCGTCTCCGAAGCTCGCGTCATGTGGGACATGAAGACCGGCAGATCGCGTGGCTATGGCTTTGTTGCTTATCGCGATCGGTCCGAGGCTGAGAAGGCTTTGGCTTCGATGGATGGCGAGTGGTTGGGAAGTCGTGCAATCCGCTGTAACTGGGCGAATCAAAAGGGACAACCTTCAATCTCTCAACAACAAGCTATGGCGGCCATGGGAATGACCCCTACCACACCGTTCGGTCACCATCACTTCCCCACTCAGGGTATCCAATCCTATGAGATGGTCGTCAACCAAACGCCGACTTGGCAAACGACCTGCTATGTTGGGAATCTCACCCCTTACACGACGCAAGCAGATCTTATTCCTTTGTTCCAGAACTTTGGTTATGTGGTGGAAACCAGATTCCAATCTGACCGAGGATTTGCTTTCATCAAGATGGATTCGCACGAGAATGCGGCCATGGCGATCTGCCAGTTGTCAGGATACAACGTCAATGGCAGGCCTTTGAAGTGCTCGGTAAGCTCGACAACTTCCTTGTCTCTGCTGCGTTTCTAACAGAATCAGTGGGGCAAGGATCGTCCTCCAACTGGTCAATTTGACACCTACTCCCCTCAGACCCCCATGGGTTCTGCTTCTACCCCTGGTGGCTATAATCCAGCGTCGCCGTACTACCCGCAATACCCCGGTCCAGGACCAATTACGCCACAAGGTACGTTTCAAGCCGCGGCATGCGATGAGCAAAACTGACTAGACTCCAGGCCCTAGTCCTGGTGGCCGCCCAGGATGGGAATCTAACCATCTCGCCAGTCCCTACACCGCGTCGCCGCACTCGGCATACGGCCAGGCACCACCATCTGCTGGGGGCTACGGACGAGGTCAGGCCGCACCTGGTGGAATGTATCAGCAGCCGCCGCCGCCATCTTTCAACAACAACTATCCTGCTTATCAAGGATAGCTTACGAGAGCATGAGGTATTTCCAGACATGGTGTCAGAATCCTTGTTAGGAGGGAGTCCTCCCGCCATTGCATCCACCTACGACTACTTCGCCTTTATGGGCCTTCCAGTGCTAGGGTTTGCGGGCTCTTTCATCATCGGTTTTAGCCCTGCCATGTTGTCTTCATTGTCGCATGGGAGGTCTCATTGCTGGACGGGAATGAGCAAACTACAGGCGCAGTCCTCACAAGAAGCACCGGTCAAGGTATGAATCTTGGTTCGTGGGGGCAAGTGTTGGAAGTCAGCGGCAGTCACTTGGACCAATATCTTACGATGGATGCAGGGCCATGGACATTTCAGGCAGAACGCAACCTCATTCGAGCACTAATTGATCACGATTGTAATTGGTTAAACTCAGCCACGAGCAGGATACCCCTAAAAGTACCTTGGGACATTGACATAGCGACATCACATCAAAGAAAATCAAATCATTAATATCATCCACTGTAGCGTGATAAATGTTCTCTACTGTGGTACTAGGAAGCAGTGAAGCCGGATGAGACAGACAGAGATCTCAGCCTTGGTGTACCACAGCCTTGCTGGAAGACCCCACTGCGGTCATGCATGCGGCTCGAACGCGTTCTTTCATTGCCTCACGCGTCGCAGTCTTCACTCAGCTCCCGTCAACGCACGCGGCGATGAAATGTTTATAGACGACTGAGGTTGGGTGTCCCTTCCTATCCCGCAGTCCACTTCTTTCCTCTCTTGCTGCCGCACCTACCGTTCATGCGCCTTTGCCCCCTCCAATTCCTGCTGCGCTCCTCGACCAGCGCGTCGAGATCTCCCAAGCCGTTCTCCCATCCCACCATGCTCGGTCGAGCAGCCCATCGACATGCTTCGACGACGGCTGGCGACAAGAAGCAATCGACTTTGTTGTCCAACTCCTCTGCAACCAACATCCCACCAGCAAATAGTCGGAAGCGAAAGCTCGATCGAAGCATGAGTACCACCAGCAGTTTGGGATCCCTCCATCAGCAGTCGTGGCCAGATGAGAATACTGAGCCTGCCTTTGTTGACCTCACAAACTCGTCCGAGAAGCACTCAGATATACGTTGCCCTATACTCAATCCCGTGGATGCAGTATCCTATCCTTCCATGCCACCTGTCTCGAAGCATTCACAAGGAGAGCCAGCCAGTAGCGCCCCGGTGTTGTGGTCTTCGTCTCCAGCCGAGCACTTCGAGAATCCCAAGACAAGCGTCTCTTCGAGAGAACTCCCTTCTCCAGCCCAATCGAGACCAGCCAAAAGACGAGTTCTCCCGGCGTCTTTTACCTCCAAACCGGTATTTGCACCTAGAAATGATTTGCACGGCGAGTTGGACCGAGACCACAAACTGGAAAAAGCGACTGCGCTTAAGCAGCATCAAGGCGGTGTCCGTCACGAGAAGGCATCTCAGGCCATGTCAGATATGCTGGAGGCATCCTCATTCGCCCACCAACGCGTGGCGGCCTCACTTTCACGGAGCGCTTCCGAACGACCTCCGCAACCACTTACGAAGCCGATCAGAACACCAGCAGCAGAGACTGAAAAAGTGCCAGATGTCTTTTTGAGCGACGAGCAGAAGGCGGTAATGAAAGCCGTCATGGAAGAAGGCAAAAGTGTGTTCTTCACAGGCTCCGCTGGTACTGGCAAATCAGTCCTTATGAAGGCTATTATTGCCCAATTAAGGCATAAGTACAGAGCATCTCCCGATCGATATGCTGTTACCGCCTCGACGGGTCTGGCGTCCTGTATCCTGGAAGGTCAGACTCTGCATAGCTGGTCTGGCATTGGTCTAGGGAAAGAACCTGCGCCCGAACTTGTCAAGAAGGTCAAACGAAATCAGAAGTCCAGACAGAGATGGCTCCGAACAAAGGTGCTCATCATTGATGAAGTGTCTATGGTCGACGGACAACTGTTTGACAAGCTTGAGCAGGTGGCTCGCACAATTCGAAACAATGGTCGTCCTTTTGGTGGCATTCAGCTAGTTGTCACTGGTGACTTTTTCCAGCTACCACCTGTGCCGGAGAAAAATTCAACAGCCAAATTTGTCTTCGAGGCTGTCACCTGGAACACGTGCATCCAACATACGATCTTGTTAACCCACGTCTTCCGTCAAAAGGATGAAAAGTTCGCAAGCATGTTGAATGAGATGCGGTTGGGTAAGATGAGCCCGGCCACCGTGCGGGAGTTCAAAGCCCTTTCTAGGCCACTGAAGGTCGTTGATGAGCTGGAGGCAACCGAGTTGTAAGTGTTTCGATTCCAGGCTCGTTCCTCACCCTGACCTTTGCAGATATCCTCGCCGTGAGGAAGTTGAGAACGCCAACACAAACCGAATGCGAAAGCTGTCCGGCCAAGTCATGACTTTCACTGCTGTGGATTCAGGCAACACCGAGCCTAATACGCGAAAGGCGTTGCTCAGCAACTTTATCGCCCCTGAGGTTCTTGAGCTCAAGAAGGGTGCACAAGTGATGTTGATCAAAAATATTGATGGCCAGCTGGTCAACGGCTCTCTGGGGATCGTGCAGTCTTTTATGGACGAGGGCACCTTCTTCACCTACAAGGACGATGAGCCTACCTTTCTTCTGGCACAAGAAGGTGGCGAGGACGACGATGAGGAGAAGAGGGTTGCACGCGAGAAGATTCGGGAAGCGAGGTTGAAGAACTCGGCCAACGGCGAGCCTAGAAGGCTTTGGCCAATGGTGAGATTCAACCTGCCCGACGGCACATCGCGAAGTATGCTTTGTGCTCCTGATGAGTGGAAGACCGAGGCTCAAAATGGCGAGGTCCTGGCAAAACGAGTTCAGGTACCTCTGATTCTGGCCTGGGCTCTATCGATCCACAAGGCGCAGGGACAGACTCTGAGTAGGGTGAAAGTGGACCTGGGGAAAGTGTTTGAGAAAGGTCAGGCCTACGTTGCGTTGAGTCGAGCAAGGACCAAGGAGGGTCTCCAAGTCTTGCGGTTCGACGAGCGAAAAGTGATGGTGCATCAAAAGGTGCTGGAGTTTTACGCCAAGCTGGCCGGCCATGAGACCTTGGAGAAGCAGCAAGCCAAGAAGAAAGTCAAAAAGGACTTCTTTGCCGATGAAGATGAGTTCGAGGATGACTTCTCCATTGAGGACATGCTCGAGGCGGAGAAGATGCTGAAAGCTGGTGCTGGATCCTGAGAATTGTTTGGCAGGACTAAACAGAGACTACGTACCCACCAGCCGAGAGTGTTCTGACCAAGAGCTATCTCCTCGATTAGCGACGTCTGAGTTCGGCACTATGATGACAATGATACGTAGTAGATGTAGAGCATTACACTAAACACAGAGAGCAAATCACAGTCTGATTTAGCATCCAATATGCAAAGAGATCCGTGCTGTAGCGCAGCCGATAGCATCACCGTGTCCTCTTGCAACGACGGCCGGCTGCGAGTGAGCGTACCTAGGTAGGTACTTAAGGCCTTCGTGCAACATGGTCCGAAGGGGAAAGAGATGCCACCGCTGGGGCGATGCGACGGCTGTGGGCAGACAGGAGGGTGAAATGAACTGTGAAGGATCCATCAGATACTGCGAGCCAGCTGTCTGCTCCTATTCCCTGTTCTGGCATGCTCGTGTGACAAAGAGGGAAACTCCAAACTAATTCACAATTCGACACCGACTGTTCTGGGGCGATGTTCCGCAAGATCAAGTGGCTAGTGCTGCTACCTTGGAGGCAAGGAGACACTGGAGGCCATCTTCTCTATCTTGTCAACACCTAGCCCGCAAGGCCAATCGCTGCCTTGTTGGTCCTCGCTTCCATGTATAAATTGACTTTACATCCCGCGCACCACAAACCGCGCGACTACTACAGGACAGGTACTATTGTAGAGCCTTTCGGAACCAGCGAAGGATCTGTCTGCCCAAACTCCTGGAAACTAATGGCTGTATTTGACTTCAATACGTTCTGTGGTGGCGCGTCGAGGACCGCAAGGAGGTTTCCTGTTACTTTCGTAGGTCCACCACCAGAGGGAGCCCGGAGAGCTTGCCCCGACTTCGACCGCGTGTCCTTCTTCATTCCCTGTCATTCAGTGAGCCTTGTAATACAATTTGGGTCCTGGTCAGAAGATGTGCGTCTTGTCTCCTGAAGACTGTGGAAGGTCATTGAGCAAAGAGTCGTGGAGGAGGTCGGCATGAGAGAAGTCGTTATGGAGCTGTTATTTGGAGGTGAACATGTCGCACGACTTACGCAGACATGCTCAGAATCTCTGTCCCCTCGTCAAAGCCAACCACCAAGTAGATGCTGACTGGCGCCAAATTGGAGTCAACCATGTAGGTATTCCGTTCGAGTTTTGTGAACTGACTAGGTTTTCGGTGTCGCGATGATCTCAAGGCTTGATTGCTCTGACGGAGATATACCTGCCCTCACCCCAATGTAGGTACGACTCGACCCCAGCCATGAGATTGGTGAAGCGCGTGTGCAATCCGAAGACCCGCAAGATCCTATACGGGATGTATCCAATGACGCCAAACAGGCGCCATAACGGGAGGACTTCCTCGGTGAGATCATCTAGCTGGACATCTTTGAAGCCAACTTGTTCCAGCATTCCCATCAGGACGCCTTCCTCGAGCGTGTTTTGACAATGTGAGAGGCGGAGCACATCCTGCAATAGCTCAGAGTTCCGGTTAAAGTCGGCTTCATTCTGCACGAGTACGCCACCAGGGCGAAGTAGACGATAGAAATTTTGCAGTACTTTCAGAGGGTCATCTGCGTGCACGAAAGTCTCCATTGTATAGATACCATCGAAGGAGCCATCATCAAAATCCGTGAGATTGTGGTAATCTCCTAATCGGACCGAGATTTTATCTTGGAGCCCACGGGCTTTGATGTTGCGGTGAGCGTCTTCGACATGGAGCGGTGTAATGTCGACGGCTTCCACTGTAAGGCCTTTCTCGGCCATGCGCATGGCCACGTATCCGGATCCTGCACCGGCGTCTAGGATGCGGGAACCGGGCTTGAGATCAAGCCGTGTGAAGAGATAGTCTTCCATAGCCCGCTGCGCTTTGCCGACCGGGAAGGGCCACAACTGGCCCTGCGGATAGAGTCCACAGTGCCGTGTATTTCCCAGCAGAAGCCAGTATCCTAAGCGTGACTCGAGACTCGTGTAATATTCTTGTACAGAAGGATTGTAGGTTCCATTGTTCGCAATCCCAGCTGTAACATTTATGTGTCAGCCGTAAGTCAGGACAGACGAAGACGCCTTGAACGTACCGAACAGTGCTGCAGCAAAAGCAACGAACAAGGCGAGAACATACCGCCATTTGAAACGGTGCGGCGCCGGCTCTGTTTTCGTGTGTTAGCTGCTACATACGCACTAATGGACCAGAGAGGCTGCCTACCTGTCATGTTGTAGCGCTGCTCCCAATACTCCGAAGGTTATATCTTCTCAATGCTAGCAACAAAAATAGACTGCCGTCCACGACAAAGTTGAAACTTCGACGCGTTGGTGTTGCGGCAGGAGCTATCACGTGCTTACTGGCGGAGCATGGCGCTGCAGGCGCAGTCGTCGGGCGTGGTGGGCGCAGTCGGCAGGCTGATGCTACCTACATACCACCCACACCTCAGTGCACCTCCTGCGAATCGTCTCAGGCGTCCAGAGAGATTGCAACTTCTTCATCTGGTTATCAGGGCGTTTACCCCTGCATGACTCCCTGACCTGATTGTCGAGTATCTGACCACAGAGCCTGAGTGCACGAAAGCCACTGACGGTTCTCCTAAGTGTTGTTCCTCAACATTTCATCCGTGGTTGGCGCTTAGCTGTCGCCATTGCGCCTACAAAGTACACTCCTAAAACCATAGGCGGAAGCATCGCCGTCTCAGTACCGCAGACCCTGCTTCGCGTCGATACTGGTTTCTGATCCTCCTGTACGGGGTATAGCCACAATGTTTCGGCCCGGGCCACACCAAGTATTGCTAGGCTCGCGATTGCTGTTAACCGGCTTATATCAATGGACCCGTCCACCTGCGAGATGAGACAGTGGGTACGGAGTGTCCAAGGTATAATTGCATGAATCTCGGAATGCAATGAACGTCAGCGACACTTTTCCCAAGCAAAAAAGCACCACGATTCGAGGCTGGGTTGCTCAGCCGAATGGACGTGGCACCTTTGACCTACTCGTCTCCTGTGCTGTAACGGTCTTTCTGTGCGGCTGGTCCTCAATCTGCGTCAACGTACCGGCTTCCGAGCAAAGCAAATGGGACATTTTCTGGGACAAATGGCATTTGTTCTGCCTATCCATGCTCGGCCCAGAATTCGTCTTCATGCTGGCACTAGGACAGTACATGCGTGCGGATGCCTCTGTCAAGTTGTACCACGACAAAGGCTACAGGGACTGGACCATTAAACATGGGTTCTATGCAGATATGGGCGGATTCGTTCTTCAGCCTCACGGCTGGAAGCAGTTTCCAATCGACGCGAAACAACTGCTGTACTTGATTGAGCGTGGCCACATCCGATACCCTGACACTAAAGTGGCCCAGATCAATGACAGAAATAAGTCGGACGGCTTAGCAAGGTGTGTAAGGTTGCAGCAGCCACATATGTCGAACCATTGCTTACCTCTGTTTCCCAGGTTCGTTACCACGTGTCAGATCGTCTGGTTCACTCTCAATGTCATCACCCGACCTACGCAAAACCTCGCAGTCACAACCATTGAAATCACAACCATCGCATCTATCGTCTGCACTCTGGCCGTCAACTTCTGTTGGAGACATAAACCAATGGATGTCTCCACGGCAATTGTGCTTGAGACAGACCGCTCGATGTACGACATCCTTAAAGACGCGGGAAATCTCTGCAAGGAGCCCTACCGCATCACGCCGCTCGATTTCGTCAGCCGCGAAGAATGGATAGCCACCAAACTTTGGAGTTACAACGTCAACATACTGCGGAACCTGCACGTTGTGCGCCAACGGCCCAATGTACGCCCTATTCAGCACTTGTCCTCCTTCGGCTTCCCAAAGCTCTCCCGAGGTGGGAGCGTGGTCTGCTTGCTGATGGCTGTGGCATACTCCGCAATACTGATGATCGCGTGGAACTTTGAATTTCCCACTCCAGCAGAGAGACTGATATGGCGTATCTGTACCTCGTTAACCATGGCACTTACTATTGTCGTTGGGCTAGTCGAGATAGCACTGCCTTCACCTCGCGCTCCAAAAGACGAGGAATCGCCCAATGCGACTCAAATAGCCCGGCGACCCTCGCCCAAACTTCTGGAAAGGATTGTCAACAAGCATTTCAATAATTCGAGGGACAAAGATCCCGCCCTGGATGTACCACTAAAGTCGATGCTACTCACGCAGCCCGTCTGTGCTGTCTACACTGTGTGCCGTATATATGTCCTGTTGGAGGACCTCATCGGCCTTCGGGCCATGCCGGCCACTGTTTTCCAGAACGTGGACTGGACTGCTTACTGGCCACACATATGACAATACACAGCTCCTCCTTCGTCATTGTGATCGATGAGACTCGACTCCTCTGCACCAGTGTCTTCCTTGTTGAACTTCGAAGAAAGTTCCCAGGTTTCGACGTGGACAACTCAGGGGCTAAATCACATGATGTTGTAACATCGCTACTCTAGCCCTGGTCAGGAATAGCCTGCAATAGCAGCCCTCGGAGTCTACCTCATACGGAGTACAACTGGAGGTCCATACTCCGCACCGACGATTTTCTCTCTCTTTCTAGGCAATGCACGAATGATGACTTGAAGAGATTCCGCACCCTATTCGAGCTGCCGTGCATCTCTATCTACGCGCATTGACAATCCCGTCCAGACTGTGGGGAATTGTACCACAATATCGGACCAGGCACCCAGCAGGTCCGCAGGTAGGAGGATGGGTTTCGAGGATGGGTTTCAAGGAAGGGCAAACAGAAATGATAGTTCGACGTGATGCCCAGAAAGTTTTGCGTTGACCTCAGGAGGGTGTAACCAAATCGGAAAAGATCTGACATCTGGATGGTGGGAGTAGCAAAGTTGCAGTCCTGTGTAGTGTTCTCAAATAAATCGGCAGTAACAACATCACGTCTGTTAGCGCCTCTTATGTTATCACTGTTCTGCTGGAGTTCTCGCGCAGAGTCGACGCCAGTAGCAGGGGAATGACTCCTCGGTTCCTTTGACGGACAAGTCAGTTGCGGACACAGGTCACTTCGTCCTCTTCTGTCTTCTTCAACATTTCGTCAAAGCTATGAACACATAACGAGATCAAAGTCAGTTCTTTCCTCCCCAACCCTCCTCACTCAGTCCTCGCCATGGCTTCCGACTTCATCGGCTACACCATTTTAGTGACACTGCAAAACCCCCCAAATGCCCAGATCCAGGGTATTGTTGCCGACGTCGTCAATCAGAAACTCTTTCTGCAGAATGGTGCGTCTTCGTCCGCCGTGACCTGTCCCTGCTAACTGAGGATAGTCCTCCTCCTGTGGAACGGGCAGCGGCTCACTTCATATGCCATCGACTCCTCCGCCATTGCAGATCTAGAAGTCTCGCCCAGTCAGCGAAGTCCCATTCAAGAGGAGGAAATACTCACACCAGTTGCCGCAACTCAAAATGTCGCTCCAATACGTTCTGCGCATAACCCACCACAGAAGGTGCCGACGTTCATCGACCCCGCTATCATCAGTTACGCAAAGCCGCCCACGAAAACTCCTTCGATATCTATTCCAGATTCTCATGTGCAACCAGTCTCCCCTATCATGATCGCCGATGGTGTTGTCAGCAATGCTTCCCAAGCACGCTCGCGAAACAGCAATGTGGGTAATAGCTCAGTCTCTAGTATTGCGACAGCGGTTCCTACGAATGCCGGGAAGAGAAATACTCCAGCTAGTGCGACTCTCACAGAGCCGTTCGATGCGTTGAGTCTGGGAAGTGAAGTCGCCCAAGCCCCGCCGGCCTCACTCGCCAACAAGGAAAACAATACTCACACAGCCCCGTCGCAGACTGGGCCTGGAATCATCGACATGAAGGACATCAACGGCCCGTTGAAGAATCAAAAGAAGACCGGGAAAGGCAAGGGCTGGCGTCAAACACCGCTGATCGAAGAGGTCCCCAGGCAGCCCAAGAAGAAGGCCCAGAGAGGTCGGAAAGTGGCGGAAGACCTCAACGGGTGGGCTACAGAAGATGCCACAGACATTCAGGACATGGGCGACTTTGATTTCGAATCCAACCTCTCGAAATTTGACAAGCGACGAGTTTTCGATGACATCCGGCAAGCAGATACCACAGCGGAGGCAGACAGACTGGTCAGCTTCAACCGGCGAGCACGGCCTGGCACTAATGGTGGCCGCAATCTCCATTATACTGAGAATGTCCTCGATACACCGGATGGGAAGGACAGGGATCGATGGAAGAGTGAGGCCGGTGAAACCGAAGACGATCTGCTCGACCGCGACGGCCACTACAGTAGTGGAAGGGGTTCCAGACGAGCCGCCTCCCGGCGGCCGTTACAGTCCAGGAAAGGTAGTGTCATTCCTGCGCATCTGGAGCGAACCGAGTCCCCCCGACCTTTGACGAGGTTGCAAACTTCATCACCTCTGAACGGGTCGGTTTCTGGCATTCGCGCGTCTTTCAAGCTCCAGAACAACAAGCCCTGTCATTGTTTATCGCCTTTGCAGATGCTGGAGATCGAGCAGCTATGCACGTCTGAGATGGGCCTTACAGAAGACATGCTCTCTGAAAACGCCGGCCGAAGCATAGCCATGGCTGTGCTGAAGCTACCGGACATCAGAAGCGTGGTTTTTTTAGTCGGCAACCACAAGTCCGGTGCTAGAGCCATTGCTGCAGCCAGGCATCTGCGAAATCGGAGACTCCGGGTTACCATTGTTGTTCTTGGAGGCGAGCGGGAGGAGATGCTGCTTGAGACCATGAAGAAACAACTGGCCATCTATAAGAAGGGGCAAGGCTATATCGACCGCTGGGATGAATATCAGGCCAAGTCCGTTGCTGGAGGCCCAGTCCCTGACGTGATCGTGGACGCTCTACTCGGTGTGCATGTCACTTTCGAAGAACTCCGCACCGATGATCAAGCAAACGTCTTGGAGATGATCCGCTGGGCAAATCGCAGCTCTCTGATTGTCTCCATTGACGTACCCAGCGGACTATCCGCAACTACAGGGCTCCTAACGGAGGTCGATGGGCAATTCCTTGTTATGAACAGCAAACGTATTGTTAGTCTGGGCGCACCGAAGGCGGGCCTTCTCCACGCCATGGCCATTGATGGTCTGGCCGAACCGCCGTGGCAGGTCTGGGTTGTCGATATTGGAATTTCAGCCGCCGCGTGGCAGAAGCATGGTTCGAGAAGGAAGCACGGTGTGGACTTTGGCGCAGAGTGGGTTGTCCCAGTCAAATTCGTGCTGGGAGCGTAGGCGTGATGTGCTACTTCGGCCACACGACTCGAGCACAAGGGAAAATGTGGTATTGAGGTGGACTCATCTGTAACTTTATTGAATTTCTGCTGCGTTCAAGCGACGATGAAAAGTAGGCTGGCCCACCATGCCGCCAAATGTCCCATTCATGTACTCTTCACGGGAAATTGTGCTGTTTCTCACACCCATCTCAAGGCTTGCGCACTTCATATATTTCCGTGCATCTCGCATTCAATGCCTCCGCAATGCATCGGCCCTGTGCTGCTATTTCTTATGGTCATGACGAATCGAAGACGCAGAGCGCGTGATCCAGATCAATAGGCATCTGTAGCCAATCACACAGAACGGAGCACGCAATCTCTACTACGCAACTCTTACTTCTTCCTCCGTACTTGGCCTGTTTTACGGCATGTACAGGATCAATGTCCTCAGGGTAGAACACGGTAGGTGCTGGTGCCGATGCAGTCCGACGATGTTGCGATTATGGCGGACTCCCGGTGCGGTTTTCCTGGTTGTGGTCTTCTCTGCATTCCTCCATGCATCGGCGGTCCAGGCGACCTCCGAGAGTCTTCATCCCGCACCACGTGGGGAGACCTCAGGTACATACACCTCCCACCTGCCTTTCTGCGTACATCACGCTCACTTATTCCAGCATTCTGCCACAAAGGCTGGTGCCATGAGCAGAACATAAACACCGGTTCTCCAACATGGAAGATTCGTAGTCCGAGAGAGGCTCCTCACAGATCGCAATTAGCTGCCTACAATACCAGTTGTGAGAAGGTCGCGTACTTCACCACAACTATCAGCTAACGAGGATCAGTATTGCCGCTGAGGTTCGGGCCTTTGCCGCTGGGCTCGATTACGGCGCTGGGATGGCTTGGGCAGCAGATGGACTTGATGGCCGACGGGCTTCCGGGGCATCTGCATGAATTCTTTCGCCCGGTCAAAAATGCTACCTGGCTTGGTGGTGACGTGGAATATTCTTGTATGCGTACTTCTGCCCTTCTTTCAACTGATGCTGATGTGCGGCAGGGCTCAACGAGGCTTGGCCGTACCACTACAACGCGCTGGTCCCGTTGGCGTGGACGACCAACAATGCACGCCTCAAACATCATGTCCTTCAGGTCACCGACTGGGTCATAGAGCATCAGCATGCCGACGGCTGGCTAGGACCAGAAGAAGAGGTAGCCCGTCGAAACTTCTGGGGTCGGTATCCCCTCTTCCTCGGGTTCATGCAACTTGTCGAAGCAGAGCCGGAATTAGGTAAAGCCATGATCCTGCCAGCGATGCATCGCTTCGTTCACCTCATGTACTCAATGCTGCAGAACCATCATCAGGGTTACGTCTGGAAGCCAGGCGATCTCTTCGACGAACAATGGGGTAGGTCTCGTGCTGCAGACATGGTTTTGGCCTTACAGTGGCTTTACGAGAAACACCCGATGGGTAACGAGAAGCTCATCCATTACTGCATGGTGCAGATGTACGAGCTGGCGTATGACTGGTCGTACTGGTTCGATGAGGAGCGGTATTTGAAAGGCGATCTAGACCTCTACCCCGAAGAGCTCACCCAAAGCCTCTTCCCGTACGTCCACGGCGTCAATGCTGGACAGGGCCTCAAATGGGGCGCAGTCATGAGGCGACTTGTCCAAGATGACGCGCTGCTCAACACTACCAGAAACGGGGTCAATTGGACTTTTCAGTATCACGGTACGCCTTCCGGTGCCATCATCGGTGATGAACGCGAGGCAGGCTTGAGCCCGGTCCGCGGCACCGAACTCTGCAGCGTGGTGGAGACAATGTTCTCGGTGAATTACCTCTACCACTCCCTGGGAGACCGCGACTTTGCCGAAAAGTCGGAACGCACAGCGTACAATGCCTTACCGGTGATGTTGATGCCTCACTGGTGGGCTCACCAATACATTGCCCAGACGAACCAGCCCATCAGCCATCAGTTGGAAAGCACGCCATTCTGGAATGTCGGCCCTTTCGGTCAGACGTTTGGCACCGAGCCAAATTTCCCATGCTGTACCGTGAACATGCAAGGATATTCAAAGTTCGTTCCAGCAATGTTCGTCAAGGATGGCGAGAATGGACTTGCCCATGCCTTGCTGGGGCCTGCTCATGTCAGCACGATATTAAGAAAGCGAAATCATGTCCGAGTTCGATGCGACACAAACTATCCCTTTAGCAACTACTTCAACTACGAAATCACAGCAACGCGAGCCTTTCGCTTCTCCTTCCGAGTCCCTTCGTGGGCGTTGTTGGACAGAAGTGCAATAGTCGTGGACAGTGGCAAGAGACATGGCCTCAAACCCGATAATGCCACAGGTTTGCATACCATGGTCGTTCCCGCGGGTCGCACGCGGGTTGAGGTGTCCTTTGGCGCGACACTTCGGCTGGAACCAAGAGCGAACGACACTGTCTCCGTCTATCACGGCGCGTTACTGTACGCATTGCCCATCGCCGGAGAATATTCGACCTCCCGCCCTGCCAACTATCCCGGCACACAAGCACCTCCGCAGGCCAACGACTGGACCATCTTGCCCAGAGAACCTTGGAACGTGGCCATCGATACGACGACGCTGAAGTTTTATGAATACCCGAACCGCTATGACCGGTGGCTACCACACCCGATCTGGCATGAAGACAGACCACCGCTCAGTGTCTCGGCCCTGGGCTGCCAGATCGAATGGAGTCTGCAGGATGGATATGCGCCGAATCCGCCGTTAAAGGGCCAGCGGAACTGCACTGGTAGGGCTTTTCCTGTCGAATTACGCCCATATGGGAGTGCGAAGTTACATATGGCAGAGTTACCCACCGTGGATCTCAGACCCGGAAGCCCGGATCTGTGGCGACCTTGAGCGAGCAGCCATGCTGTCCGCGACTGGACAAGGAGACTGGATGCTTCAGCTCGCGTTCATCGGAGCAAGTGAGCACTGCCGATCCACAGCCTTGCATGTCGGGGCTTGCCTTGCCGTCGAGCATTAAGTTGCTCGAATCATGAGCCCAGCGTGCTGCGGCCTGTACGGATCAGCTTCATGAGCGGCCCGTCGAGGTTGTAACCTGATGCTACATGGATTGTTACTCAATGCAGAGGACATGTGACATTCAGAGGGGTCTGGCAGATGCCTGGCTGTCCCATGCACAGTTGTCAGCCAGGATTGCGACTTCAGGTCTTGGCATATAACCCCGTCTGTTATTTTACACTGCTCTGCAGGCATCTCTGCACTTATCGAAAATTCTTGTTATACTCCCTATAGTGCGGTGAAATGTGTTAGCATAGCCGTGCTAAGTAGACCCAGATGACCGCCAGTCACATGGTCACAGTTACTGTCGTGAGCGCGCGTGTGAAACATTCCCCACGCCAAGGTGAAATGGAGGTGAACGTGTGATGAGCAACAAACTTACAACACAACTTCCCCCTCTCCGCCTCGCCACCAGCGCTTCTGTGGCTCTTCTCGCCGGCGGCAACCGATCATCCGTCGCTTGTTTCATGAGGCCAGCAGGACTGGGTACATTGACGCGATTCGCGCCGAGGTGGTCCAAAGCCATCCTATTTCTGTGCTCTCGTAAGCGCCCCGATTTAGCCGAACGTCAAGCCTGGCTCTTCTCGATCCAATCGCCGACGTGGACGCATCCAAGCACGAGTGACCACGACTCGACACCAAGACCACAGTCCGCGATCCCATGGAATCCCTCATTGATGCCCAGGGAGGCGATGCTCAGCTTCAGCAGGTACTGTAGTTGTCGTTTCTCTTCACTCTCGTTTCCGTCTTCACTCTGCTTTTCCTGTGCGTGGTACCACGTCGTGCTAGAATCACAAAGGGTACTGTAGGGCCGCTATTTCGCGTCATTGCTGACTGCCAGCGTGTCGAACGGGTCCCGGTTTCTTGTAGGACGGGCGTCAGCTGGCTGCCCCAGTTCCTTGCACCATGAAGAGCTATGAATATCCTCGAGTCCGCCCTCCCACTTCGTTACAGCCACCGCGGCCGCCGGCCGATAGCCGCTTTTCTTGGATGGACGCATCTGCAGAACAGGAGCACCGAGTGGGAGCAAGAGGAGAGACAAATACTACGCCAATACCGCAGCCAGCGTCGAACCAACAAAGTCCGGCACAGAGTCAGGTGCAAATGCAGACGATGGAGCCGCAAGCCTATGGTGGTGGCGTGGTTCCGTACCAGATACATGATCCGATGGTGTCACAACAGCAATATTCTCAGGCTCCGCGCCAGATACACGATCCGATGGTGGCACAACAGCAACATTTCCAACCTCCGCAGCTATATGGGGTCTACGCAGCACAAGTTCCTGTACCACAGGCTCAAACGCAGCCACCTCGACATCCCACACCTCCGTTACCACAGCCTCCTGAGCCCGTCAAGCAGCCCGTGATCCCCCAGAAAGAAGCAAGCAGCCCAATAGCGCCCGACGCAAATCCGCTGTCCGCGACGACTCCGAAACGTCCCAACCGGACCAGCACCAATATGGCTATCGTCCCGCCCTCGTCAACAGATCCTGCCCAGTTCTCAGCGAGCGTATTTACACCGAGTCCACAGTCCCTAAAAGGAGGCTCATGGCAGCATGGCTTTTGCTCCTGTGCTGAGCCGTCCATCTGCATGACGGGCCTATTTTGTCCATGCATCATCTATGGTAGAACTCAATATCGCCTAGGTTTGAGGGACGAGCGAAAGGATCCGACAAACATGCTGGGATATACAGCGGTCAACGGCTCTTGCATAGCCTTCGGCATCCTTTGTGGTATCAATGGGATACTGGCCGCTATTCAGCATACACGGGTCCGAAAGACGTATGGCATGAGCTCCGAAGCCGGCAATGTCGCGGGGGACTGTTTGAAGGGCGTTTGCTGCTGCTGTTGTGTCGTCGCTCAGGATGAGAAGGAGGTGAAATCCCGTGAAGAACAAGCGAGGAAACCTGCTGGCTCTGCCACAAGGAACGAGGGTTATGTTGCACCGACATCTATGACATTTCGTGCGCCTCCGAGGTGATCGTGAGAGGGCGGACGACAGTTGAGACCCCAGGACGGGGTCTGCAAGAGGGAAACCACCTGACGCCCACACTGCTCGACTTTCCGCTCGGTCACGAAAGCTGTCGCATGGGCACTCTCGTCAGCATAAGGTCCCTGCTTTGTTAGCTGACTTGGGATGGTGCCGGTTTCAACATTCGACCAGCAACGTCCACCCTGCCGAAGGCGTGTGCAGGATTTGATGAACCACAGTGTCCCAGGCGGCACTAGAGCGGTGACATGCTGTGGGACCATTGACTGGACTGCGGAGACTAGCCCTCCGCCTTATCTTTTGCAGTTTGCTATATTGCAAGCCATTCTCGGCTGGGACATACCTCCGCTGTACATATATACCCCTTGAAGCTATCGAATGTACGATATTGACGAACCCAAGCATGCCCTCAAGCACGTCATTGCATACATCTATACGTCAAAGTGAAACTAACAGCATGTCTCCTGCTGAGTCACCTTCCTCCTGTCGACACTTTGGCCAATTCACAGATGACCTCCCGACAGGGGTCACCTTTCTTCTCAATCTGGACTCTCGGTCGATGCCCCGATAACCTACCCCAAAGCACTAGACAGAGATACTGGAAAGTCACTTCATCGAAGGGCTTATAACCCATTGAGGCAGTGCCCATCGTGGCCCAGCTTGAGCTCGAGCTATCTACCGTCAGAAGTGGTATTGGTTGAAACTGCACGAACCTCTGGTAATGCTTTTGCATCTGCGAGGGTCCAGAGACCACCTCATGTCGACTCAGTTTCTAGAGCTACCTGAAGACGATCAGGATGTCGGGCTCCTCCTCTTGATACCTCCAGCACCTAGAAGACCACATCGAAGATCCCCTTCCCAAAAGGAATTCAAGAGGCGCGGGGAGCGGCTTTTTCTCCGATGGATTTCAAGAAACCGATATTTTGCTGCCACGGTCGCCAACGCCGATCCATAGTCAACCCCACAGAGATCGGATCAGACGATTCAAGCGCACATCGGTCACCTCAGTTTATCATTGCCGAGATATTAGCAGAACCAACACGCTCATCATTTTTTACCGTCGCAGGCTACGCACCTGGGATAGTCGACCACCACCAAATCCTACGGTTGCATCTGACTTTTGAGGCGCCTTGATCAGACAGGCCTTGTGGGAATGCGGATCACACAGATAGTGAGATGGATATCATAACACTGGCCTTGTGCGAGTGCGGGATCACAGATGTGGTGGGCGTTGGTGCTAAGCAAGGCAAATCTGAGGGAATGAATGTGTATGACATACATGTATACTGGGTAGATCAAGGTCGTTGCAGTAGCGAGGACCAGGAACTGGTGGGTGGCAACTATGATCCTGTATACCGAAGGTTAAAGAGAGACATAATGTACCTGTACCACTATACAGTATGTTCCTTGATCGCGTAGGCCCGACACAAGTACCAGTCGTTGAGACAGCGATCCATCCTGGTGAGGGCGATACTAGATACTATCTATACCTTCGTACGTGTTGTTCAACAACTTTCCCCGTCCTCCGTCAACAACATTGAAAGGGTGAAGTACATTATTTCCGCTCAACTACGAGTTACAAGGGGACAAGTCGGTACTCCCTCCAGCCTTGCCCCACGATCAGGGATCCACCACCTATCAGTTAAGAACAACACCAATACCAACTCCGCAAGCCGAAGCGGAAGCATAAATCAGAGACTCGATCTCAAGTGCTGCCAAGCATAAAGGTTTCATTAGCACAGTCTGCCTAGGTTGTTCATTTGGTCGTTCATTCAGTCGCTCATCCAGTCACTCATCCAGTCACTCATCCAGTCGCTCATCCAGTCGCTCATTCTCTCCCTACCAGCCACGTACTCACTCACTCACCAACTAATTCTCTCAATCTAGGACCAATAGACCTATGCGTCTATCCCGCCTTCGATCTCCCCCGCCCGTCCTCCCTTCCTCCTACCTCCTCCGCTATACCAAGCCAGATACTCCCTCTCCCTGTTTACCCGCAATCAAACCCCCTCTCCCTCATCCGTTCCCTCCACACCTCCTTGAACCGCGCGTGCGCCGTGCGATGACTCTTGTCCGTCGTCGCCTTGATATAGTAGCTCAAAATAAGATTACATTTCAGCTCGTTCGTCTCCACGAAATTCACGACCCACCCCTTCCCGTCACTCGCGTCGAGGGCCAACACGTCCCGGGGCTCCGCAACTTTCACGCTAAAACACCCGTAGATGGTCACGCCGGACCCGGCGTTCGTGAAGGCCTGCATGCCGTCCCGGGTGCGTCGGATCGCGCTATAGTACGTCAGATCGGTCGTATACCCTGGCAGGGGCGTGAGTTTGTCCGTGATTGCGTAGTGTTTCCAGGGGTCAGCACCCTCCGTGGGACCCGCGTCGACGTTGAATGTCCGTGCCATGGACATGTGGTCGACGGCTTTGGGGTCCGTGGGTGGCAGTTCGACGACACCTTGCACGAGCGGGTTGAGTTGAGCCATGAAAGTTGGGTTCGTGCACATCTCTAAAGCGGTCGAGTGGCCTGCTTGGAGGACGTCGTGGGGGGACTGCGTGCCGACTGGGGCGGGGAGGACGAGGTCGGTGATCCAGCCGGATTTGATGGTAGTCTGGAGGAAGGACATGGTTGAGGTGGTCGGTGGTTGGCGTTCAGTGGTCAGTGGTCAGTCGTGCAGTGTTCAGGGTTCGGTTCAGTCTCGTCGGCGCGCAGGGCCTGGCGAGCTGGGTGGGATCGAGATTTCTTCCTAGACGTGATGTGGCGTAAGGCTCCTCGGTGGTCGCGGTGCTGGTCAACTTGTGTAGATACTGGCGCTCACAAGCGGAGTATGCATGTTAGGAGTCAAGTTGAGGCAGCGGTGGCGGCGATGGTAGCCTTGACGTGACTTGAATGTCTTGCGTCGAGATGTATCGAGCGGCTTCGAGTAAATCTAGCTGCCTGGCCTGGATACGAGATTTGGATGCAGACAAGTAGAGGGCAAGACCGTGGCTGGGTTGTTGCGTCGCCTTGACTGGCTGTTTTCCTTGCTGGTCGTTTGGGTTCTCGTTGTCGTTGATCGTCTCGATCTCATCCAGCTAATCTCGATTCTGGGCACGACACCGAACGGCCTTTCATGTATCGGACGTCGTGGGCGCCGAGCGAACAGTCGTGACCAAAGGAGGTAGCGAGCTGAGTTGACTTTAGTTGACTTGACTCGACTTCGACTTAAATCGATCGGCGCTGTATTCGGATCGTCGAACTGCACAGAAACGACCGATGCGCCGCAGACGCACAGTGACAGGGACGCGACACAACGCTGCACGGGCTACACCGCACGGCACTGGCTGGCAGCGATCACAATCGATCAACGGATGTTCCAAAAATCATGTATAGTGTATGTACTGTTGTATGTCTGGACATGTGGGTCTCGGCAAGAAAAGTGAAGAGCCCGAAGATCGAAGACAATCGTGCTTATGTCGACGGCTGGATTAGGTTAGTAATTCGCCGTGTCCATACTGAGCTAACTTCAGCTTGTAAGGGGCGCTTGAAGGTAATATGTTCAACTTAAGTTGAACGAGGGCAGGCAGGCAGTTCAGATCAGGTCAGCTGGGGCCAGGTTTGTCGGTGGTCGTCGTGTCAGCCGCAATTATGTACAGAAGGATCTGGCAGCTAGTCAGCCAGTCAGCCAGCCGTTGGCGTCGGCCGCTCTCGCATTCTTTCCTCATCGGGCTACGGGACAGCAGGCTAGCTGGCTGGCTGGCTGGCTGACTGGGGTCTGGACCCCATGTACCGGACCAACGTCGAGAGCGAGAAGCCCAAGGATAGGTCAAGATCAAATGTACATTGTATGTATGAGAGTACGGCCTGAGTCCATAGTCCAGGCAGTTTGGAGAAAGGCGATAAGGGCAACAAGTCAAGACGACGAGATAATCCACCAGCAGAGATCTAGAGCCAGGATCAAGAGAAGGCCGTGTCGAAGTATGTATGTGCGTATGTTGGCACTGCGATGCGTCATTCGTGGCGCCTGTGGTAGGCACGCCTCGCCTTCGTGCCTCTGTCATGCGCTATGTGAGGGAGGCACGCTCACGGGCACGGGCAGCATACGTAGTCATACCTGAGGGACTAGGCCTTAAGTACTCCGAAGGCAATCAGTGTTACTTCAGACCATGGCGATGCCCTACCGCAGTACCGCCGGCCTCTACGGTGCCACTGAGGACCAACCGCTCATGCATGACATGGGGTCGAGGAGAGGGCGTGTGCAGATAGCCATGGACACGGCCGTAGGTTTTGTCGCCGATTCGTGGCGCCAGGTAAACATGGTGTTGCTGGGCATCGCGTATCTTTGATCTTTGATCTTTCACCATGTTCCCACCTCATCGCAAACTCTCCCGTGAAGTATGCATGAGTGAAGATGTTGCCTATAATGTATCCGGGCCAGTGTTGTCCTCTGTATGATTAAGTCCAAGACCAAGGTCAGGTCCATCTTGCTGGACCAAGGTAGCCACGATTAAACGTGCTTAGATAGTGCGATATATAGTGTATTTCACGATCAGTCGCTGATTAGCAACAAGACCATAGAAAACACGACACCAACCAATCATGATGGACCGCCAACAGAATATGCCTACACCTACGCCTAGGCGTATTCCCGCCCAGTTAACGCCGATGCAGTGCGTTGGGGCGGCCCGACCAATTCTTTCGCAGACCATCACCATTGCTACACCTTGACGATCTTGTTGACCGCCTCCTCGATCCGATCACCCAATGATCCATTGACACGGCGGAAGAGATCTGCAAAGACGTTGTTAGTATTGGACATGACATTGTGGCAGGGCTTGAAGACAGAGGCTGTGCATACCAAAGACCTTCTCTCGCAGCCAATCCCTCTTGACAGCAGCAATGTCGCCTGAGATGTTTTTGACAAAGGTCTCCTGCTCTTCCTTGGATAAGACATTAGTCCACAACGCACGAGGTTGCGTGAAGTCTTCGTCGGTGATTTCCGAAGTGAAGACGACAGATCCACTCAGCACCTCCTCAGTCGGCTTATACCCCCATCGGGCGGCGTCGTGGAAGCCTGTAGGGTGAACGGAGCTGTTGACATAGTTCGGATCCGCGCCATAGTTGGCGCCGAAGTTCATGAAGCCGTCGCGCTCGGTAGGGATGTAGACCGGCACTTTGGCAGCATTGGTCGGCAGCATTTGGTAGTTGACGCCGAGTCGGTAGCGTGCTGCATCGGGATACGCGAACATCCGAGCTTGGAGCATAGGGTCGGCACTGGGTTCGATGCCGGGGACCATGGTCGACGGCGAGAAGGCGGCTTGCTCGATCTCCGAGAAGTAGTTGATGGGGTTTCTGTTGAACACCAGCTTGCCGACGGGTCGCAGAGGATATCGCGCGTGAGGCAAGACTTTCGTCATATCGAACATGTTGACTGGACATAGTGCGACGTCGGCCGGATGTATCGTTTGAACCGACACCGTGTAGGACGGGTAGTTGCCCTCCTCGATCGCGTTGAACATGTCAAGTGTCAGATGGTCTGGGCTTGTGCCGGCGAGCCTAACTGCTTCGTCGTTCGTCAAGTTCTTGACTCCTGCATCGGCGTGGACGTGGATCCTCACATAATGGAACGAACCGTCCTTCTTGGTGAACTTGTAGGTATGTCCGCTGTACGCGTTGATGTTTCGCAGAGATGCGGGAGTCCCTCGCTCGCTGAACAGGAACATCAGAGCATGGACGGATTCAGGAGACCCAACGTGGAAGTCCCAGAACATATCAGCATCGGTAGAATGTGTGGCGGGATGTCTCTTGTGTGACCGATTCAGGGACGGAAACTTGATAGGGTCGCGGACAAAGAATACGGGCTGGTTGTTAAAGACCCAGTCATTGTTGCCTTCGGCCGTCTTGAATTTGATGGCGAAGCCGTGGAAGTCACGGATCGTGTCGGCGGACCCGGCTTCAGGGCCGACAGTCGAGATTCGAGCCAGAACCTCCGTCTTCTTCCCAATGCCATTGAGGAAGTCAGCGTCGGTGAGGTCGGAGATGTCGTGCGTGACCTGGAAATATCCGCGAGCACCAATCGCCTTAGCATGGACCACTCTTTCCGGGATTCTCTCCCTGAAGAAATGTGCCAGCGTCTCGATCAGTTGAGTATCCTGAAGGAGAACCAGGCCACCGCCCTGCTTGATTCGGACCTGGACACTGCTGTCATTGCTGGGAAGAGGCTTGCCCTCTGCAAGCGTGTAGAAGTTGTGAGGTCGAGCAACAATCATTTTCAAGGTAGAATGTATTGGCAAAGGTCTGGGTAGTAGATTGATCTAGGCTGGTGATGCCGTGGAATTGTCGACTCCATACTGGCACATGGCTCACCTCTTTATACTTAGAGAAGTATGCCTCGAACAGCATCTCGGATGCCAGGCGGATGTCACATCTCGCACAAAACCCATTGCCATAATGCTGTCCCGGCAATAGAGAACGCGCTCCCACGCCATTGAATCGACAAAAATGCTCGATGACCGAGTCCACGAAGACACATGGCTAGTTCTGGGCAGAGAATCAGCCAATGGGACGGGGAGTAATGATTATCCAGATGTAGGGAAAACGTTGCGCGTTAATCCGCTTCGTGCGCCTGGGTGTCTGCGGATGTTTTGTCGGTGCCGCCAGCCTGGACGGGATCCAAGTTGATGTCAGCCACCGCGAAGCCGGAGTCAAGATGCCATGCATATGCCACACAGGTCCATGTCGCCGAGTACCACCTATACCGGTGCTATTGTGATGGTGCAGCAGCAGGTGATAGTAGCAGGACGGAGACGGAGAGAAGCAGCCAGATCCGCGCAGACAGCGAGAAAGATCCTGGGCCGGTCTTGCTCCAGAGTCACCAAATCTCGCCTTCGCATCTCATGGCGCTGTTTTCAGTCTGTGCCTACGAGGTACTTACCTCGGTTTTTAGCAGCAAAATCACGAAAGACACGTCACAATTGGTCGTCTCATTTCCCCTGTGGTGTCTGCGAGCCACAGGTCAAAGGCCCGATTCGACATGTGTCAAGGCCTTCTCGAATGTTAAGTAAGATGTCATTCCTGGATAAAATTCCCAGCGACGTGGTTGGCCTACAGCTTCCACCGAATCTGGCGGAGAGGGTGGAAGACGATTGTGAAGGTTTGCAAGACACGATGCTTGCTTGGCTCATTGATCTTGGGTTATCTGGCCCGCTCCTCCTCGACAAGACTCGTGATACTGACATACCGACCTTCGATTGTCCCATGTTCGGCGGACTGCACGACTCAAGTGAATGCAGGACACCTAACATGACCCAGCCGTTCGTGGGTAGGATCCGCCTGCGCGACCTGCTCTGATAGTGCCAACGAATATGTGAAGTGGTTCTCTATCACATTCCTCGTGAGCATTTTGAGAGTGACCACTGACATCGCTTCCTCGGTCCACCAACGAGCTCCGTGAACCCAGATGTGGCGTTCACAGCCGATGCCGGTTTCGTCTTTGTAACCATCCGGCGTGCCGCTCCTCCAGGGCTCGAGTACAACAACTTTGATACCGCTTTTGAGTCATGAGCTGGTGCCGTCCAAGACTCCTCACGGCAGCCTTTCGTCCTGCTTCCTCGGCTTCAACCGAGATGCAGCTTGTAGCGTTTTACTCGCTACGACGATGGAAACTTCGACTAGCTAAGCTTTCCCGGTGCGAACGCCGCTAACTATACTTTGTCATCATCAAACACGAGTACGCGCTGCACTCCATTCAGCCAGGGGATGAGTACCATCTAAGTGCATAACTTCAGCCGCAGCCAAAGCGATCAAGAGGAAGGAGTGATTCTTGTCGCAGCAAGGCGTGCAGTAAGCAAGGCTACTTGCCGCATGTGCCAGAGATGGCGCTTCCCAGGCATTTCCTCATCAAAGTCGCTGGCGGGAAGACCATGGCAATGCCGTCTGTCGGATTTGGAACCTGGGCGGCGGGCGATTCTGGGTGGTGCAAGGCCGCCGTCCTGACAGCTCTCAAGCTGGGATACAGGCATCTAGACTGTGCTTGGAAATACGGGGTATGACACGCGCCGACAACTCCCTTGATCGGCATGACTGCCACGCTAAGCTCCGCAGGATGAGTACTGACCTATCTCCCCTCCAGGTTGATGAAGAAGTGGGAGCTGCGATTCGCGAATCCGGGGTCCCCAGATCCGAAATCTTCGTGACGACCAAGTTCTGGCCGCATTTCGCCGCCCCGGAGAACGTGGAGCTCAGTCTCGACCAGTCGCTGAAGCTGATGGGCCTCGAATATGTCGACTTACTATTGGCGCACTGGCCTGTTGCTTTCAAGCCCATATCCCGAGAAGCGCTGGAGCATGCTGATACCGGCAAGATGGCTTCCTGGGCGGAGAAGGGAATATCGATGCGGGAAGGAACAGATAGCCCAGTCATCGACTGGGAACACACATGTGCAAATATCGCAAACCAAGCAGGTGAGGCGCAAAGGTGAACAAGTCCTGGCTGTTGCTGACCGTGTTGCTGGCAGGTCAAAAGGGGAGTTTTGTCCCCACCTGGAAAGCGATGCAAGGGCTCGTGTCGTCCGGCAAGACGCGCGCCGTGGGTGTCTCTAACTTCTCGGTCTCTGAGCTCAAAGAAATCCTCCCGCACGCGGAAGAAATCCCTATATCGTGCAACCAGGTTGAAGTCCATCCGTGGCTGCCGCAGAACGAGCTGATCGGTTTCTCTAGAGGACATGACATCCTCACGACGTGTTACTCACCGTTTGCGGGTCAAAAGGCCGATCGAGCGACACTGCTGAAGGACCCGACGGTCAAGAAGCTTGCAGAACAATGTAAGATGGATGTGGGCCAGCTGTTACAGAGCTGGGCGGTACAGCGAGGTACCGTTCCGTTGGGCAAGAGCCAGACAGAAGGTAAGTCCGCTTGTAGTTTTCGCTCGAGCCCCTTGGTTGCACCTTTGCATCGTCTCGCTAACCAGCGTCACGGCGTCGCAGCTCGCATCAAGTCCAATCTCGCTGTGCGGAGGCTGTCGCCTGAAGTCATGGCGGCGCTTGACAGCCTCGAGGTTCCGAACGGTAAAGGAAGGACGAATGATTATTCCGCCGTCTGGGGCGTGAACCTGTACACCAACTAAATGCAGGTTTGGAGATGACACGAAGAACATGTTCTGGCCTAACCCTGACCATTACACCTCCAAGAACATCGTCCCACGACCGTCGTGCCGTTCCAGATGTCTTGAACGTCTCGCCTTGCTTGGGGGTCCATCCTCGCCGATCAGCAAAGGAGTACTGTTTCGGTTGACAAGAATGCCATCAAGCGTCTGCAGTCTCGACCGAAATGACAGTTTCCCGTAGGCACTGTGGCAACTACGAACGACTGTACGGCCTGTTGTCGATAGGCAATGCCAATGATGACAACTCGATATGGCAGTTGTGACCTTGTCTTGACGACTCTCCCCACCTTGTTTCAGGCTAGACATATTGAGCTGCCAGTACAGATGATACCCCCCTTATATTTGACCGTCTCCTTTTCAGCCTTGTTGCCAGCCACGGCTTTGTCTTCGCACTCGCTGACTTACACATGTCTCCCACCGAAGAAGGTCTGCGTGGCTGAGGCGTCTTTTGTGTTATCTATCATTCTTACGCCGGTGGCCTTGTGGTCACTCCGATTCTGACTGACCGTTCGAAACCTGATTCTGCGGGTTCCGGCCTCATAACAGCACGGATATAGTGATCCAGGATGCCTTTGTCAGTCTCAGCTCGGCGCCATAAGCCCACTGAAGTCGGATCTGAAGAATAAAGACACGTCTCAGTTCCAGCATCGACTTCTGTTCTCTGCCACAAGCTTCAAAGCCTTCGGCAGCGACATGTCGCAGCTCACTGGGCCATGTTCAGCGAAAATCTGCTATAATAGCGTCCAGTGCCATCGGTCTCATGAGTTGAGGTAAACAGACACAGATTCCCTCGAGCGCCTTCGCACAACTGGAACTTCAACAGAACATATCAACATTTCACAAAAGCCCCTGCGAACCTTTTACCACCTCTTGTCTTCCTCATTGATCAAACCTCTCGGTTTCAGCCACCTTGGAACGGCAATGGCTAACTCCAACACGCGGGTGGACCCACGATGGTTGCCGGAATTCATGACTGCGCCAGTCGACGTGAGCTACAGCGGGCATGAGTACATCCACCGCATACTTCTTGCCAGACGCGAGGCATACTGGGTCCTGAAAGTGGCCGAGCGCGCACTGCGAGAGTATTCTCATACGCCGGCCATGCGAAACCTTTTGTCTGCCTTTTTCTCGCCAGAATTTGATGTGCAGACTGTGCTGGAGATGATATCGAGTAGGTTGACTGGCACCAACTTTGAGTCCTGCACTAACTTTCTGACTAGAGCTTAGCACGCATAGGAACTTCTGTTGGGACATCCTAGCGAGACCAAAAGCCTTTGCAAATGTGTACGAAAAGACAACGGATTCCCGTGACACAGGGGTCAGGTTCTCAACAGATACTTCCGATAACGCATGCGCATGGTATTCCCCAGATAAAACTAGGGCCGGGCGCTTGACTGGTTGCTACACGTTTCACACCAAGTACCTTGACAATGAGAGGTTGAATACCTTGCATGGTTTAGTGGATTTAATGTGTCAGGAACAGATCGCTGAGCCCAGCACCAGAGACTCTCGACCAGAGCTGTATAGCTGTTGGGCCTTCCAAGTGATGCTGTCGTACAACCTCACCAAGACAGTCTTGCACGAAGTGGCTCATCACCATCTAGACGGTGGGCCATCTGCTACTGAGATGTGAATGTTTGCTGACAGGTGCCACGCAGCCGATGATTTTAGAGGAGCACTTGGTGAGCAGCGAGGGGTGTACGGTGTTGTGCGTTCCATTGCTCTGGCTCAGCAACAAAGTTCCGCCCACGACCGATATCGACATGCTGATGGGATCTCACTGTTCCTCTGTGGTAAGACTGGGGCATTCTCGGAGCGCTCCAAGCTTGATGGAGATCAAGGACTGACATTCTTGAATGCAGTGGTATATTTGACAGTACGCTTTCCGAAGCTGGACCTCTCGACGCGCGATGCGAAGATCCAATGCTACCGATGGGAAGCTCAATGTGGGCAAACCATCGTGAACATCCAAGATGACATGAGGAATGGCAGAGATCGTGAGTTTGGGAATCTCGGTGTATATTTTCGCATTCAGCATGAGTGAAGCTAGAATCGACAACAATTGCTGGCTCGGTGCAGAATTCGAACAACTCTGGCAACGACTCGATGTGGACGATTGCTAGTGCACGAAGCTGCTGAAACACGAAGGCGAGACGGGCCAGTATTCTGACAAATGGTTGAATCTGGAACTTCAGTGGGAATGTTTAGAGTTTGAGCATTGATTGATTAGAGCATCATGTCAACAGTGTTGATAGAATAGACCTAGATGTGTTTCCACTGTATTGTAGGTGAATCGGAACGGCCTATAGGTTGTGAGTCTTCCGAGTTCATCTGCCAGGGGTATTGTGGGAACAGATTTCTCGAGCAATGTATTCGTCGGACCGTTCATCATCAAGTGAGAACTGATCCAACTTACGGACATTGCATTCTCCAGTGGGCGGTATCCGGATCCTTGCAAAAGGCAGGCTCGACCTCAAGGGTCATCTATTACTGCACCAAGGTACACGGTAGTATGCTCCTGAATGGAGGAACGAGGAAGAAAGGAAAGAGTGACTAGTCAGAGGTTGTCAAGATGCAGTCAAAGTACGCCAAGACGCCAAGGCTCCTGGCCTTAGCTCGTATTCATACAAGGCTGAATGCGGGGTAAAACGTTCCCTGAATCTCCATGCTCAGCCTTGGCGGATATTTTCCTTGCAGTCCTGGTTAGTGGTCGCAAGGTCCTAAGGACTTCTGAACACCGCTTGACCAGCCACCTTCCGCCATACACACCCGGCAGGGCTTACTAAGAAACGCGAGAATACATGAAAGTCGATTTCAAATGCCACACAAACACAAGCGCAAGCGCGACGACGACCCCTCCAACTATGACCTGCCGCCCACCCACCGTGCGAAAACCCTCGCCGTGCAAAAGAAGTCCGACCCAATATTCACCTCGGAGATAGAGAAGAAGCGCAAAAGAGAAGAAAGAAAGCAGAAAAAAGAGCATCAAAAGCACCAATATCGAGAAGACGACACGCCCAAGGCGTTCAAACGCCTTCTAGCCTTCCAGGACGGCAAGAGAATACGTTCCGGACTCGACGACGGAACAGCGCCCTCGAAGAAACGCCGTAAAGTGGATGCAAAGCCACAGTCGAACTCGGCTTCGACCTCGACGTTGAAGCCATCTTCAAATACTCTCACCAAGTCTTCAGCGGACGGACATGGTGCCACCAAACCAACCGATGAAGCCGCTCTATCTGCCGTTACTGCTACTGCTACTGCTCCAGCCCAGACGAGCCTGAAAATCAAACCCGGCGAAACGCTCTCCTCGTTCAGCGCCCGCGTCGACCAGTCCCTACCACTGACCTCGGTACCCAAGCACAAGTCTAAGCTCACGCAGATCGCGGGCCTCGAGAAGATCAAAACTCCACTGAGCAAGCACAATAAACGCCTGGCACGCATGCAAAAGGAATGGCGCAACACCGAGCAGAAGTTGAGAGCCAAGGAGGAAGAACTCGCCGACGAACTCGCGGAGAAGAGGGACGAAGATCAGCTGGTGTGGTTGGGCGCCGGGGTCGACCCTTCGAACCCGTTGGGCAAGAAGAGGCGGAAGAAAGGAGGAGCAGGGAAGGATGTCAATGATGCGGATCCGTGGAAGATCTTGGAGAAGAAGAGGCGCGAGGAAGGCGAGCTGAGGCAGCGCAGTTTGCAGGACGTGGTCACTGCGCCGCCGGTGTTGAAGCCGCTGAAAAATATATTCAAGGTTAAGTCGCTCGGCGACGGTACTGTGGGTGCGCCGGGGATTCGCGCGCAGAATGCTTAGCGCGGCGCTCCATATCATTCCTGCTGTGATTCCTGACCAGGACCTACTCACCTAGGTCACGAGCGAAAGCTTCTGGTCCAGATATACTCTCGAGCACGAGAACTACTTGAATATGTCCACGTTGACCTACTGCGTAGGCTGGATTGGCCTATAGCACCGAGAAAATGCTTGCTGATTGTTCTACTTGGTATATCGCGTCTCTTGTCACAATATCTCGAATCCCCATTGCACATTGGCTTCCTAACCAAACGTCGCATCGTAAAACCCACGACTATCCCCATGTGCCACCACCGCCGCCTCGTCCCTGCCTCTTCTGGGCACTCAACCGCCAATCGTCATCCCCGTTAGCAAACTTATTATGCAACGGCTGGATTCTCTCCGCCTTCTTGCGTTTACTCAGTCGATCCGTGGGTGCGACTTTGAAGAACGTGGGTGCTGCTTCGACGAGCCACTAGCAAACATGTCAGTACGTAGAGGCATGGCAACGCATCAGGGTTTGTCGAGACATACCTTCGGTTCAATCACAGTCGCGCAATGCATGTACTCCTTCGTGGTTAACACAAGCGTATGAAAGATGACATGCTCCGCCGGCTTCCCGAACAAGGCAGAACTTGGGTGCATGTACACTGGCGTGCCCTCAATAAGCGTCTTGTACCCCTCTTGCGGATCTTTCCTTGCCGAGTTCCTGAAAAAGCCCGAGCACAAGGCTTGTCTGACTTTGATGGTATTGCGACCGCAGGAGACGATCTGATGCTTGTACCTTTGCATTATAGTGACGAGTTGTTGTCGCACGTCTCTTGCCCGTCCAATCTGCCGCTTTTGAATAAAATTCTCGAAGCACCATGGGTCAGAGTAGCGGGATGTCTTCCATGCGTTGTAGACATTCAGCAGGGTAAGATGATCACCATGTGGGTCATTGAACTTGGCTTTCTTCTGGTCGGCTTGTTGCTGTTTCTCCTTTGGGCGGTAGAAGACCGTTTGAACAGACAGCATGGCCACGATCGTTAGCATCTCCTCAGAACAACCCATGTCTTCAGAGGCAATGAGGGCTTTTGAGAGTGAAGGCTCCATGGGGAAGTCGGCCATTTTACGACCTAGGCGGGTAAGTAGGCCTTCGTCGTCTAGGGCAGAAAGTGCGTAGAGCTCCTCGAGTGCAGTTAACATAGTGTTGGTCGGTGGCGGATCCATGAAATCGAAGTGTAAGAGGTCGTTGATGCCCATTGCTTTGAGCATGAGGATGGTATTGGAAAGATTCTGCCGCTGGATCTCGGGTATGCTGGTAGGAAGCATTTCCGACTGATAAGCTGCTTCAGTGTATAATCGAAAGCATTTGCCTGGACCTGTTCTCCCTGCTCGACCTGCTCTCTGTTTGGCCTGTGCCTGAGAGATAGGTGTCACAACCAACGAGTCCATTCCAAGCTTTGGATCATAAGCGTTTTGTTTGACAAAGCCAGGGTCGATGACATAATAAATGCCGTCGATAGTGATTGAAGTCTCAGCGATGTTGGTCGCGATGACGACCTTTCGGCCTCCAGGTGGCGCGGGATCGAAGATTCTCGTTTGCATCTCGCTCGGCAGGGCTGAGTATACGGGCAAGATCACTAGCTCCGGTACGCTCGGTCCCAGAGCCTTCATCCTTTCGTACAAGACCTCACAGCTCGTGTCAATTTCCTCCTGGCCGGTCAAGAACAGTAGGATATCACCAGGCGGCTCCGTCAGGTGGATTTGCATGACAGTAGTCAATGCTGCGTCCAGATAATCTTCCTCGGGCTCCCTCGAATACATAATCTCCACGGGAAACGTGCGACCAGGGATAGAGAAGATCGGGCACTGGTTGAAATATTCAGAGAACTTGTCAGCATCGAGGGTGGCCGAAGTGACAATTAGCTTGAGGTCTGGCCGTCGTTTGAGCGTCTTCTTGAGCAGGCCGAACAGAACGTCGGTAGCGATCGTCCTTTCGTGTGCCTCGTCCAGCATAATGACAGTATACCGCTTGAGGTCAGGGTCTAGCAAGATCTCTCGCTGAAGCATACCGTCTGTCATGTATTTGATCTTGGTGTCAGGCGAGGTCCGGTCTTCGAAGCGAATGGTATAGCCGACCTCCTTGCCTAGCTCACAACCAACTTCCTCGGAGACACGTTTCGCTACGGACATGGCAGCAACACGACGGGGCTGTGTACAACCAATCATGCCATTATTCGCAAAGCCAGCTTCAGCCAGATATTGCGTAACCTGGGTCGTTTTGCCAGAGCCAGTATCACCAACTACGATCAGCAATTGATTTGCGGCAACGGCTTCGAGCAGTTGCTTCCGGAACTTGAAGACTGGAAGTGACTCTCTTTGCTGCTTGATGGTCATATCTGTCCTCTTGCCGAAGGACTGGTTCTTGCTCTGCATTGCCCGCTTCCACTCTGGTACAGCTTCGATTGCTTTTGCTGATTGCTGCTGTGCTTGTCGAAGATCTGAAGCAAACTTGCGCTGTTCAGGGGCAATCATGGGATCCTGCCACTGAGCGTTGAGGTCGACTTTGGAGGCCTCTTCTGCAGCTTTATCGGCAGCTTCCTGTTGTTTGAGTTCTCTTCTCTCCTTGGCTAGACTCGTGCCCGCTTGAGCCGCTCTGTTCAGCGACCCTTCAGGAGCTTTCACAACGCGAATGGGAGATAATTCGAGAGATTGCTTTGTTTGACCAGCCAGGAACGGTGGTTCTTCCTCCTTGACTTCGATATCAATGTCTTCCTCCTCTTCAAACTGACCTTCACCGTTCAGTGTCGCATTGTACTCCTCGTCAATGTCAGGATAGTCTGCTGCTGAGATTGCGCCTGACGCGATGAGTTGCTTGATTTCCCAGCGCTCCGGAGAAGTCATTCTCTTTTTGTTCTTGCCAGGCCTCGAGTTATAACCGTCCTCAAGAACAGGCACAGTGCTGCTCAAACTTCCGTAGCGATCATCAGAGGGCATGCCATTTAGGCGTTCCATGTTTGCACCGGACGCTATCCTTCGCGACGGTACCATGTCCTGTCCAGTGATTTGATCAACCTCTTTCATCGACAAGCTGATTTTGTTGTTCTCCATCTTGACGACTTTAACCTTTACAGGCTGGCCTCGTGACAAGAGATCCGAGGGATGATTAACCCTCGCACCCTCTTGAATGGCTGAGACGTGGATCAGCCCGCTGGGACTACCTTTGACGCCTTGCAAATTGGCAAAAGCTCCAAAGTCTTTGATTCCATTAATCACAGCGTCATAGACCTTGTATAGTATGGGCTGTTCGTCGACTTCTCGCGGAGGTGGCACGCTGAAATCATCATCATCATCATCATCGTAGTCGCGCCGCCTGCTCTTGTGATGACCGTTCCGTTTCTCGTCGTACCCGTCTCTGTGCCCATTTCTTCTGTCCGTATGATCCTCGTCTCGATGTCGGCGGGACCGCTTGTCTTCGCGAGGACTAGGACTTCGGGTCCAGTATTTCCGTCTGTGTTCCCTATCTCTGGAGTAATCATCGCGGTCAGGGCTGTGACTTCTTTTCCGGCTTCTTTTGGCCGTGCCATTTGTGCCGTTTTTCGATTTGGCTGCTAAACCTTCCAGAAGCGCAAAAGTATCATCCTCATCTGCGCCGGGTCGGACGTTGCTTGTGGCCTTTAGCGCAGCCACATCATCCTCAGAGTCACTCCATTCCTGTTCACGATCGGGCACGGCGAGGCCCTTGAATACCCTTGCCTTGCGCCCGATGGCATTCAGCTCGTCCATATCTGATTTTCCATTCTCTTGTGCGGCCGATTTCTGGCTCTTCTTGTGCTTGGGGTGCATAGTCAGGATCAATCGATCGACGCTCTCCACCAGGCTGTTTGGGAAGTCGGCGCCCATGGCCGCCAGGGCCTCCTTGAACTTCCCAAGATCTCCGCCGCATTTCTCGTGCTGGTCAATGACGAACTCTGCTAGAGTCTTGTCACTGATGCCTAAGTGGTTGTGGATTTCGGAGGTGACTTTGGAGACGAGCGACAGCAGCTCGAGGGAGGTGAAGTCGTCCATGACAGTCAGCCGGTGCTTGTGCACGAGAAACTGTCCGATGACTTGGTCCAGCCAGGCCTGGTGACAGTTGGCGAGGTGGTGGAAATCTCGAGCAAGCGGCCTGTCGAGATCTCCAAGCGGCTCTCCAAAAAAGAACAGGCCTCGCCTCGCGTGTCAGCCGCCTCGCTTGCAATGGCCCGATCGGATGACCGAGGGGTGGCGTGGAACTCGGCGGTCAGGTTACCGGGGCTGCTGGACATCACTGGCTTGAAGATCCGATTGTGCTTCTGGCAGATGGCCAAATGTGAATGGAGAAGTCTCTCTGGGTCCAGCCCCAAGGATGCGAGGATGGCCGCATGCATGGTCACTGCCCGGGTGTCATGCCCCTCTTTCCTCGTTCCAGCTTCTTGCTGCCCTGGGATCCAGTTCATAAAATGGTACGATTTTCACCCCGCCCTCATCCATCTTTCACCCTCTAGTATCTCTCTCACGGTCTCTACAAATACACGACACCTCCCATTACCCTCAAAACAATATACCTGCAAGACCATCCAACTGACAATCTCGCCTTCTCTTCACCATGGACAGCATTCGTGCGAAGATCAAGCGTCGTCTCAGTCATAAAGACAAAGAAGGTATGCACATCGGTTCAGTGTTGCATCTGTCTGGAGAGCTTCTACGGCTATTCATACAAGACCCCTCCTCATACGTCTGACCCATCTTGGTTCTCTTGATTCTTCGATATCACACCGCTCTCTACTACGGCGACTCAACAGACTCTAGCTAACATTTCTAGCAGCCAACTTTGACGAACACGACTCAGCTGATGAAGAGACTATGGACTACGTGAACAAGGAAGCCGAGGATGCCGAGAGGGAGAACCAGGACTACGGAAAGCCAGGAAGCTTCCTGAACCGATTGATTGTCAGTGGCCGTCCTTTCTACGAAGTGCCGTCGGACCTGACACAGAGCTAACCGGCCGCTTAGCTGCACGGCAACAAAAAGACAGAGGACCAGCTTGCTCGTGAGGCGGCTGCGTCGAACCAGATCACAACTGATAGACAGGTGACTCAGCAATAGTCGGCTCCCCGCATCCGAACCAAGAAATGGGGACCTTCAGCAAAAGGCCAGGCGAGGTATCCAAAATTTGATGGCAGCAAGACAAGTATTGGTACATGATAGGCGCGGTAGCAGAAGCAGAATGAACATCGTCATCCCTACTTGAGACTTCTCTTTTTGTACAATCCATGAGCTCTAAACCTTCACTGCTTGTGTCGGATTTGCTGATATAATGTGACGAGGCGAAGCTATTGAGTACCTCAGCCTGCGCGACGCTCACCCCTGAGCTGCACCAACGGGTTGAGAGGCCTGGGTCTCATCATCAAACTCGATACTCTCAGACCCACGAGTCCAGTCGACCGGGAGCACTGTATCCTCTCCTGGTACATCTAGCTCCGACTCCTCGTCTGTTGTGGCGTCTGGTTCGGTCTGTATTTGAGGGAGAGTCATCCGCTTCTTGTACGACAGGACCCTCTTGCGAAGATCGGGGTTTGCAGAAAACTCCAAGAGGCACGTATTGATGCGCTGTTCGGCCATCTCCTTCGCGTACGTGGCCATTTCTCGGCCCTTGAAGATGCCCAGGAACCGGTAGCTGAGCCACAGGTACAGGACCAGAGCCTTGTGGAGATCCTCCAAGCTTTCGAGGTATGCTCTCTCACCGGAAATTGGCTTCTCAAGCACCTCCAAATTGACCTCGGGGACGTCTGCAATCGTCACCTGCTTGCGATCTGCCACGAATTGAGCAAATGCTCTCATGACTTGGTGCATTGCCGCCGAATGCGTGGTAGCTGGTGCAGCAGTCAGAATCATGCGCTGGGTCAGACTTAGTCCCTGAACGGATTCGATGGTTCGAGAAATCAGACTCTGATCACGAATGCTACAAACGCGGAATCGGTCGTGCATTGCCGCCTTGCCGCAAAGACGTCGCAGGATGTATTCGAATGGGATGCCTTTCGGCAGGCGGCTCTCAAACTCCTCCATGGCTTCGCCTGGTGGGAGCATGCCGGCTCTTTTGATTGGGGCAGCTTCTGTTTGCATAGCAGCCCTGACCAGGGGCAAGTCTTCGTCGTTCAGGGTCGTGACGAGGCCGACATTAGCTTCAGAGCCAGCTGACGTGTTGGTCATGGCTTGATGTGCGTTTCGAAATCGACCTGCTCGGCCACCGATTTGCTTGATTTGAGGAGTTGATAGATTGACCAGTGCCGTGCCGTTCCATTTTGTCACGCTGTGGAAGATGATGCGCTTCACGCTTCTGACTCGAAGTTAGTAAGCTCTTTCAGTAGGCAGCCGGGCTCAACTCACAAGTTCAACCCCATCCCAATGGCGTCGCTGGCAACAAGGAAATCGTAGTCGTTGGTTGGGTCATTGAACAGTGCGGCTTGTTGCGCGCGAGTCTCAGGCGGGAGACTACCGTACACGATAGCACACCGACGACCAGTGTCCAATTCGATCTGCTTCTTCAAGGCGTGGATGTTCATGACGGAAAAGGCCACAATACAGTCGCCCTTGCGCAGATTCTTCAAGTCCCCCCGCAGACTCTTGGTCATGACTTTAAGAGGGTTTAATCTCTTGTACTCGTGCACATGGAGAATATCCCCGGTCGAAGCCGTGAGCTCCCTCACAAGTGGAAGTACTCGCGTTTCACCGCAAATATGGACTTCCTTCGCGTTGGCACCGAGAAACGCTCGAGTCCAGGCCCAACCACGCTCTTGGTCGGCCATCATCTGGATCTCGTCGATAACGGCGACCTCGCAGCGCTTGCCGACATCGACCATTTCCACGGTTGAAGCGCTTAGTCTGGTATCCGGATCTTCTTCCAGCCTCACGTCGTCTCCAGTCACCAGATCGCATGATACTCCCTTGGCTTTAAACCTCGAGTATACCTCATGCGCCAGCAACCGGAGAGGCCCTGCATAAAATCCATTGCCACTCTCTTCTAGCCGCTTCAAAGCCGTATATGTTTTTCCTGAATTCGTGGGACCAATATGCAGATGAACATCTCTCTGGACCTGCCGGGCGTTGGTATACCACTCAGTCGGAAATTTCAGCTCTGCCAGTGCAGAACCCTCTTCCGGCACGTCTTGTGCCTTTCTCATCAAAACATAATCAACGAAGCCAAAGTGCAGGACTCTCGGGAGTTCTGTTTTCCATCCCCCCTGCTGGGCTAGTCCGATATCATGCATTAATCCATCGAATCCTGCCTCGCCAGACTCGCCTGGTGACTGAATGTTATCTTGGACCTGCCCTCTGAATGCCGGCCAATACGTCCCTAAAGGGTCAAGTGCGGCAAGTTGCGTGACGTCGGAGTCTGGGCTCACAGTTGTCGTTTCCAGTTGCTTCTTTAACGTATTTAAGCTGGCATGCACGCGGCTGCTCGCCTGTTCGGGTGAGATATCTAAGTGCCTGGGTGGCCGTCGAACCGTGCGGGTAGGCTTCTTGTCGGAGCGGATTGAGCGAACAGGTGGCGAGGATCTGTGCTGTGTCCGCTCTCTGCGACTCGACGTGCTGGAGAAGGATTTGCGTTGGAACTCAAGTTGTCGCTTGGGCACAGCCGCAAAGGCGGCCCGAAATGAGCAGAAAAGGCATTGCCCCCGCCGAGTGGGAAGAGCAAGCATACCAGGGAGAATGCGAGCGATGCTGCGTGAAGGCCAAAATGGGGACGGGCAGGAGAAAGCAGACGTTGAACGAGGCGTAAAACTTTCCTCAGGGAACGAGTAAATGTCATAGAAACATGCAGCCTTGTCTCCACTCCGCCATCTCGAGGCTGAAGCAGACTGCGCACGGAGTAGATCAACACCAGTGCAGCTCGAACCCGGGCTCGCACCGTCTTTTATGATAACACCACCCGTCACCCCTCACCGGTGACAGGAAAACAAGGCTTTGAACAGGCCTATATCAAGACCTCCGCCTGTCTGGTGTGACTGTATGCCCGAGCATGTGAAGGCGCCTCAGCCAGCCGGCTCTCCACCCCCGCCATGGCTTCCTCAATCCTCGACATCCAGCGGAATATTATACTCGACACAATCCGTGCGACCAGCGGACGCGACTGGAAAATCCTGATCCTCGACGAGCAGAGTAAGCGGCTGATTTACAATGCCACCAAGGAAGACGATATACTCAACTGCAACATCATCAATATCGAGTCCATCGAAGACCGCAGGCAAGGCTCGTCCGACACCGATGCCATCTACCTCCTCTCACCTCTCCCACACATAGTCGAATGCCTCAAAGCCGACCTGAGCCGCAGGAGATACCGCCGAGCGTACTTGATATGGACATCCCAATTACCGCGGGGTTTGGGTGAGGAACTGTTTCGCTCCGAGTCCAGAGCACAGTTAATCGCCGACTCACGAACGCTCAATGTCGAGTATTTCCCAAGAGAAGCAAATCTAGTCACCTTTCGAGAGCCATGGAGTTTTCACCTCCTCTTCCATTCAGCCTGCGACTCGTTGGTTAAGAGCCACTTGGACACAATAACGCAGAAACTCGTGTCTATATGCGTGTCTCTGGGCGAATACCCTCTGATACGGTTCTACAAGCCCAGGGAGCATGAGAGACATGCGGCAGATGTGCTATGCTATCATCTCGCGAGCTTTGTCCAGAGCGCGTTGGACGATTACGCCCGGGATCCTCGCAATGACTTTCCTCCGCAGAACCAAGGAAATCGGCCACGGGCGGTGCTATTGATCACGGATCGCTCGATGGATCTAATGTCACCATTTGTCCATGAATTGACATATCAGGCAATGGCCATGGACCTTCTACCCGTCCAAGACGACAATGACAAGATCACATACCGCAACATCATCCGCCGAGGTCAACCCGACCAAGAGGAGAAAGAGGTCGAGATCACCGAAAAGGATAACCTCTGGGTGGCTCACCGGCACATGCACATGAAAGATCTGCTGGTGCAGCTGAGTGAGGAGTTCAAGAAATTCCAGGCCAAGAATCCTCAATTTGCCGATAATGACGGCCAGCCGGCGAGTATCAACACCATCAAGGACATGTTGGCTGGATTGCCGGAATTCCAGGAAGGCAAAGAAGCCTTCTCCCTCCACATTGACATGGCTGAGAAGTGCGCCAAAATATTCGCAGACCACAAATTATTGGATGTAGTCTCTGTCGAGCAATCATTGGCAACGGGCGTGGACGAAGACAACAAGAAGCCCAAAAATCTGGCAGATCAAGTTGTCAGGCTGCTGGACGACGACAGCGTCAAGCATGAAGACCGAGTCCGGTTACTGATATTGTACATTCTATACAAGCACGGCATTCTGCGAGGCGACATCGAGAAGCTGCGTTGCCACGGCGAACTCTCCCCCATGGACGGCGAAATCATCTACAACCTAATAACATTGGGTGCCCGGGTCGAAAAGCAGCTCAAGGACACAACGCCCACCCCACCACCCTTGTTCCCCCCCAAGCTTCGAGACAGCTCCAGCAATATGGAAGAAGTGAGCCTCTCCCGCTTTGAACCCGCCCTTCGATACATGCTCGAGGAACAATGTCAAGGCACATTAGACGCAAACGTCTTCCCGCCTGTAAAGCCGCACCTCAACGACCCCAACAGCCAAATGAATCTTTCGCAAAGTTCGCTGCGCAATGCAGGGAAACCAACCTGGGCACAAGCGCGGTCGCAGACAAACAAGCCGCGCCAACGTATCATAGTCTTTATGGGTGGCGGCGCCACCTATGCCGAAGCAAGAGCTTGCTACGAAGTCTCCCGCATGGCCGGGAAAGAAATCTTCCTGGCAACGACCCATATGCTCACGCCCAAAACCTTCCTCCGCCAAGTAAGTCTGCTAAGTGCGGGGCGGAAACAGCTCGACCTGCCCATGGACCGCGCGCCGCCGAAGTTGCCTGCTTGGATGAGCGAACCTGCTCCGCAGGCTCAGCAGCCGAAACCTCCTCAACCCGGGGCAAACGGCCGTTCCCCAGTTCCGCCAACTGCAGCAATGGCAAACATGAATCTGGGAGGCGGCAGAGGCGGCGCCCCACCACACAACGGCGTCCGCCCCGGGGTCGGCACAGCGCCTGGGCCCGCTCGACCAGCCCAACCAGCGGCGCCAATGCCGAAACCGTACGCCTCCCCTGACGAGGGCCTTCCCACTGGGAAGTTGAAGAAGGACAAGGAGAAGAAGCACCACCTCGGGCTGTTCAAGAAGCATTAGAAGCGCACTGGCAGGCTTGTGAGGAAGAGCATGACCTTTTAGCGGAGCGTGGCGTCGGGGGTGTGTCTCGGTCGACCTGGGGCTGGAATTGAAGAGGGTGGTTCGATGCAGTTGTATAGTCGGGAGAAATCCAAATGCATATTCCCTATCCCGAAGCCATGATGTCCCCGACAATCAAGCACAATTTCCACATATGCCACGCTCCAAGCACGTTCGGCAATCCAGGGCTTTCCTGGTCCCATGGTCCATATATGCTTGAGACACTGTACAGGCAGTCGTGACCAACGGCAGTCCTGGGTTCGAAGGCGACTCGTCCCCATACCATAGATTCGGCGATGGTACTTTTGGAAGAGCCCATTTTTCCACCTGAGAATCCCAGAGTCTAAGGCGCCATCTTTGTTGTGGCGTGCCAATGGACAGTAGTCATTCTTTGTCAGTTCTTTGGGGTTGCACGCGATTCGATCTTCTCGCACGAATTAAACACTCGGTCCCAGTGGTATGGACTCTAAACCGTCGACGCCTCTGGCCCAAGATATCTCTCCAGATCCGGCCCGTAGAAGTTCGCCCTCAACCTCTCCGCCCGCTTCCTCGCCTCCGCTTCCCTAACGCGGACCTGTTTCGCATCCGACTTGACCGCCGCCGCAGGGGAATCCTGCGTCTCCTTCCCTTTCAGGCGTTTCTTCTTTGCCGTGTTCGTAGTGGCAGATAATGCGTGCTCTGATCCATCATCATTGCGATCATCCCTCTCCCTCAACCCCGCCGTATCGTTCTTCCTCGTGGCCTTGATCGGCGCGGTGATGCCCTCTTCGCGGGCGCCGAGGCCCCTCCGCGCGTCGGGGTCCCAGCCGTAGGACGACATGTAGCGGAGTCCGACGTGGGATCGAGGAAGGTGGGACGGGGGACGCACGTGCTCGAGGCAGACTTGGTGGGCTAGTGAGGATTCGTGTTCGTGGGTCGAGGGAGTCGTGGCAAGACGTTCGGCGCACACGGGACATCGTTCGGGAGACTCGACTCCCCGCGCCGTCGTCGGTTCCTTTGACTTAGTGTCCTGCTGTGTGTGCGATGCAGATTGAGGAAGCACGATGGAGAGGTAGCGCGAGGAGATAGCGTTTGCCGTTGTCACAATACTCGTAGTGGATGGTGGCGTGTCCGCCGCGGTCGACGCCCGCACGAAGTTGATTCTCTTGCGCTTGATGCCCGCGCCGAAGACGCGCTGGTCTTGGAGCGGGAGGAAGTAGTCTTCATCTTTAGCCTCTGAGTCTGGCATTGGCATACCGGGCGCGGGAAGCAGTTCAAAAACAGGGCGTACAAAATCATGAATTTATCGAGCCATTGGCTCGTCGGGGCGCTCGCGCTCTATCGACAAGCGGGAGAACAAACTCCACTTTGCTGCGCCTGATTCACGCCGCGTCATCCCGCCTCTTATGTACCAGTATATCGCCCGCTCGTTTGGCTCGGGTCTCCGCCGTAACTTAATCTGACGACCGCCTAGAATTGCATGGCGTCGTCCTCGTCCTCGTCCTCGTCCTCGCTGTCGTTATATCTCCGGGCCTTGCCCTTGCCCTTGCCTTTGCCCTCATCGACCTCCATCTCATCGTCCCACGCATCCCCGTCCCCGTACTCCTCGGCGTCTGCCTCGGGCACATCCTCGTCCCCCTCCTCACTGTCCTCTTCGTCCTGCTCGTCTCCATCCTCCTCACTCACCGCGATGTAGTCGGCGGATTTCAACGTCGAAAACCACTGAAACGAGCTACAAGCCCACTTCGCCGTCTTTGGCGCGTAGCGTCTTGGCTCCAGAGCCGCCGCCGCGCCAGACCCCATCGCCATGCTCTCGGCGATCTCCTGGTCGCGAATGCCATCCAGGCGCTTCTGCTCGACGAGCCACGTGACGCGCGCGAACGGGCGCTTGACCAGCGGCACGGCCTTCCGCTGCTCACGTGCCTCGTCCAAATCCTCCTCGGTCAGCCCTGGGATTGGGCCAATGTATTCTTCCAGATGGGCCTCGGAGAAATGGATTTCCACTTTTCGGTAGGGAGATTTTCAGGTCGCCATGGTTGAATTCAACGCTGTACCAGTTCGTGTAGGTGCCTGGTCTTAACCAGTCTGCCTGGATGAACTTCTGGTTGCCCTTGCCGCGGGTCTTTTGGAGGAGGACCTTGGAGGGCCGCCCGCCTGGAGGTAATCCGCCTTTCAAGGCGTCCCAGGTCTTTGGGTGCGTGGCTTTGAGGTGTTTCTCTAACATGATCCAGAGGATCTTCATTGTTCTGCACTTGGCTGCGAGAAACAAATACTCGTCTGTCACGGACTGGCCCTGTACTATGCGTGTCATGATCAACTGCGAAGTGGCTGGCGTAGTCGCTGGCGCTGGTGTGGTAGCAGCAGATGCTGCGTTTGTGGGTGGTGGTTCTGCTTCTATTTCCATCGCGTCGGCTGTCGCGGTCGCTGTTTCTTGGATGCTGACATTTGGAATACGCTCAGTGTTGCTCGCAGCGATGATGGGGAGAGTGAAAGTCGTGCTCGCACTGCTCGGCTCATTGGGATCGGATTGAGGAACGGTGTTTTTGTTGCGAATCGGTATACTGGAGAGGCTGGCCATTGCGACAGAGACCTGGATTCGACTGACGGACAAGAATACAGGCGACGAGGAGGATAATTTGGGAAGAGAATAGTGCTCGGCCGCACTTTATTAATGAGAATTGTTAACGCCAAGCGGAGGTGATGAAGAAACCCTACAGAAAGTGAATCCCGGGTGCGGCAGTGTTACACAAGGATCGCGAGGCCATCTCATGGTATAGTCTGCATTGTGTATTTCATCGTGAGCTAAGCTCGACGCCGTCTGGCTCATGCCCATCTTCGGTCCCATCAAGTATCTCACGCTCATTGTTATAGTCATCTGCGAAACTCTGGCCTCTATCATTTCCGGCTACTCTCGCCCATCCATTGCCAGTCCGAGGACTAAGCTTCAACTTGCCACGGGACAGGTTGTTAATCATGTCTGAAAGCACATCGCCAATCCTGCCGAGTACATCGACAAACCGGTCTTGCTGAGGTGTGCGGTCATTGCTGATAGAGGCAGCGTGCTCTTGCGCCTCGACCTTGAACTGGTATTTTAGACAATCCTTGACAGTGACAAGACCTTCGAGTCGGCCGTGATGGTCTACCAGGATAACCCGGGGTCCCATCTTCTTGAACAGTTCCATCACCGTCTCCAGGGGCAAGCGGGGATGGACCGTGATCGGAGTCGCGTCAACAAATGCGGAAAAGTCAACGCTCTGAACTGCCATGGCGTCAAAAGTGACGGCTGGACTGAGAGGCGCGGGCGTCTCGCTACCGTCATCACGATCGGCCGTAAATATGCATTTCGCCTCTGCGGCGAGAGAACCTTGCTTCTTAGCGCGACCTATTGCGAATTGCAGTTCAGTCCTGCCAATGTAGCCGACAAGGATCTTCGAGTCTTTGTCTTCAACGATGGGAAAGCCAGAATATGACGTGTCGTCGAGCAACTTCTGTGCAGCTTTAGCCTCCATACCTGCGGCGAATAGCATGCTCATGCTGCTGGTCATCACTTGCGATACAGGAACGCCAAAGATATGCTCCTCCTTGTTATCGAGGAATGGAAAGCCATTGAACCGGATCATCTGATCCGCGATGCCGGCGTTGCTGAATCGATCTCCTACTGCCTTGGTGACGCCCACCACGATCATGGTCGGAAGGATGAACGTCAGTGCTCCGGTGAGCTCGAACATGATGACCGTGACCGAGATGGTGAGATGCATGATCCCGCTCAGAGCGGCACCAGCACCCAGAAACGCGTATGTGCCAGGAGTGATGCACGGCACATCAGGCTGACAAGCCGAGAAGAATCGTGAGTCAGGGAAGGATTCATGCAACCATTGCACAATGATCCCAAGCATTCGTCCAAACGAGGCGCCGACCGCCATGGAAGGCACGAATATCCCCGCTGGTACTTTGCAACCATAAGAAAGTATGACGAGGCCAATGCGCATGAACGTGGCGAGAAACAAGGATCCGATAAGAGACAGACGTTTCTTTGGTTCGCACAGTCCGTCATAATCGTAGTCACCCTCACATTCTCGAAACAACATTTCCATCATCTCCGTCATATCTCGTCGTAGAAACATGTTCGGATAGCAAAGTAGAGCTGTGGCGCCAGCCAGTATGACGGCTTCTGGGATGGCATATTTTCCTAGGTACTCCTTTCTGAATGCTTGAACCTTCAGATGCCCCTTGGTGACAAAAGCACCGTATAGCCCGCCGAATATACCGAGAACGATGTAGAAAACAATCTCGAAAAAGTGCCAATCTCTATCGTACTTGACCGAGAACATGACGAGTTGTCCTGTTCGAAAAGGGTTCATGGCACTCAGAACTGCAGTGGCGACAAGGGCACAAAAGTAGCTTCGCCATAGCGTCTTCAGTGGGAAGTGGGAAGACATCTCTTCCAGAGAGAATAGAACCCCGCCGATGGGGCTGCCAAACGCAACAGCCACACCAGCTCCGGCACTCGCTGTCAGGATCTCCCTGGTCTTCGAAGCGCTCTTTTTGTACTTGTCGAAGAAGCGCGAGATGACATTCCCGACGCAGGTTGCATAGTGCACACTCGGGCCTTCTTTGCCGACAGACAGTCCAGAAGCAATGGCCAGAGGGAGGCAGATAGCTTTGATGAGCAGGGTCCAGAACCCGAGAAAGCCTTTCATGATGAAGCCGGCAATAATGCATTTGATCTCGGAGATGCCAGAACCAGCCGCGTATGGAGCGTAAGATTTGACCAAGTAGGCGGAGACGAAGGCCAGAAGAACGGCGAAGACAGTGTAGACGAGGTAGTTGGCGAACGTGAAGGTAGTCCACCTCTTCCACTCATCGCACCCTTCCTCCGAGCCATAGCAGCAGAAGCCTTCGTTCAGATACCATGCCGTTGTGCAGTACCCTACTTTGATATCGGACAGCCACTCAGTAATGATGTTGAGGGCAGCAGCAATGAGTCCGATGACAACTCCCACAAGCGTGATGACTATCCAGGCCTGCGCAGCATCATAGGCCTCCCAGAGCTTCCTGCGCCATCCCAATACTCCGTCTCTTTCGAAAAACTTTGATTCTTTCCGCCTGGCGCGTCTCCTGAGATGTTCCTGAGCGGCATCCTGAACCCAGTCTATCGTCGTAAAGTCCTCATAGCGCTTTATCTCCGCAATTTCTTCTGTAATAGCCTGCGCCGCTGGAGGCCCAGGGGAAGAGACGGCGCCATCCTCAAGACCGGAGATCGAGGAGAGGCGCCTTGAGAATCGCCTTGCTGAGGCCGACGGTCGGCGCGAAGAGGGAGCGGCGGAGGAGGCTGGAACGCGCGAGGTCATAACACCAGACCAACTATCATGGTCGAGATAGCTGATAATGAGCGTCACATTCCTGTCATTAGCTGTGGGTGTTGAGAAGTCATCCCTAGCGAGTCTCAACGTGCTGACGTTCCTCCAAATCCACGACTCGTTCGCCTTGCCATTTTCGGACGCGGCCACGACGGCGCATGAACTTTGCGCGTGTCCATTAAATCTTATGAGCACGCGTCTCACTCAGACTTGCTCAAGAAAGACGACACATAAACGGTAATCTTCGCTCTGGCCACGAGAAACACGACGTCCAACGCCAGCAAAGTCCTGCACACGCGACTTCTACGACGAGGATATAGGCTCAGGCTACTGTAACCGGGAAGTGAGCCCCGCGATTGCTTGCTTTCCAGGGGCTGTGCGTCCTCAACAACAGCCGCAAGTTCTCGGCAGTCTTTACAGAGACCTGGACCATATAAACCAGCCATGCCATACAACAACGCGCCTATCGAGCCACCGCAGGAGATAACGGGTTCAACAGCCCTGCCCCGTTAGTTAGCACACATCTGCTTTGTGGTCGCGAGTCCAAACATTGACACCGTCCAGTTGCCCGAGTCAAGAAGATCATTGCACAAGATGAAGATATTGCACAATGCTCTAATTCCGCATCGTTTGCAATAGCCGTGGCTACGGTAGGCCCCATGCTGGCTGTGTGAGAACGGTTGCTCACTTCTTGCCAGGAGATCTTTGTCCGCTACCTGACCGAACAAGCACATACCGTGGTCAAGTCAGAACGAAAGCCGCGGAGAAATATCGCCTATAAAGACATAGGTAGGTACAAGGGCTGAGTGCAAGTGGTCTCCAGCTGACCAGCATCGAGCCAACGCTGTATCGAGAATCGACAACCTTGAGTTTCTGTCGGACACAGTACCAAGAACCAAAACGTACCGCCAATACAGAGAGGAGAAGGCCCGAGAAGCAGAAGAAAAAGCGGCCCCTGCAGGCGCTGTTAATGGGGTCAGTGGCGAAAATGGAGCCTCGATCCTCACTATGATGAAGAACGGTTATCAGAACGGTGTCAACGGAGTGAATGGCTCAGGAGCTGATGGTCCGGGAAGACCTCAATCCTCGCACTCTCGGACACACAGTCATCCAGATCCGATCAGAGACATCGAGATGAGCGGCTAGAGAAGACGAGTCGCAGCGAATATTAGTGTGTCAGTCTTCGCCAGTACACATAAAAGGACCATGCGTCTGAATGGATAAACGGAGGTCATAGCATGATAGCACTGCAGGCGTTCAACGTAGCGGGGTTTACCGCGCAAGAGTTTCACCGCGAGCTACACGGCATAGGACTGTAATAGAGTTTCTCCGTGTCGCCTCCATCGGCTGTGGGATAATTCGCATTGCAATTCTTGGTGTGGCAAGTGTCGCTCGAAAGGAGTAATAGCAGCATTGCCAGGTACTGCCGAGTAATAGCGCCCGTGACGCAATTCCCTCAGGTCATCCAGCCAATCATATCCCAGACAATCAGCGGCGGCAGCTCCACCGAACAAGGTCGGCGACTTTTCTCGCATTGCGCATCTTTCCACCCGACCAGCTTTCAACGTCTTCTCAAGCTCCTCTCACGATCACCGCCACCTCTCTCCTCTCCCAGATTCCGTCAAGATGCGTCCCGTGCCAGCCTCCGCAGGCTCAGCCCTACGGAACTGGACCCGACACACCCTCCCCAGCACCAGCTCACCCGCCTCTCAATCGCCCCGTGTCGCCAGCATCACAGCTTCCAACGCCTCCCAGAGAAGAACAGCAGCCTCAGGCGCCGAAGCGCCAGGCGCAAGCAGCTTCGACAGCCCCTTTGGCAGGTCGAAGGAGCAGCACTACGACACACGCAAGATTCCCAGCTTCAAGGGCTATGCGTCCAGCAGCCCAGAGATCTCGAACCGCGTGTTCCAGTACTTCATGGCCGGGAGTATGGGGCTGTTGGCGGCCGCGGGCGCAAAGAACACCGTGCAAGGTAAGGAGGAACGAAGGAATACATCTCGAGCACACCCTAGTCCAGCTCAGCCCGGCTCGGCCAAATCCTTGAGCCCACAGTCCGATTCAAGAGGCGGACAGTAGAAGCACAATTTCAAGCTAACTTTTCTCCCGCAGACTTTCTAGAAAACATGTCCGCCTCAGCCGATGTCCTCGCCCAAGCCAAAGTCGAGATCGACCTCGCCGCCATCCCCGAGGGCAAGAACGTCATCATCAAGTGGCGTGGAAAACCCGTCTTCATCCGCCACCGTACCGATGACGAGATCAAGGAGGCTGAATCTATCGAGTACGCTGCCCTGCCCATGCGCCTGCCCCTCTCTATTGCTTTCGTTCTCCTATCGCATTTTATCGTCTAGCATGGCGTGGCAAGACATGGTATGACAGTTGGGTCCAACACTGACATTGTGTGATTCTACTTTGCAGCCTATCCGTCCTACGTGACCCCGAAAAGGACTCCGACCGCGTCAAGAAGCCCGAATGGCTGGTCATGCTGGGCGTGTGCACGCATCTCGGGTGTGTGCCCATTGGCGAGGCCGGTGATTTTGGAGGCTGGTTCTGCCCGTGCCATGGCTCGCATTACGATATCTCCGGGCGGGTGAGGAAGGGGCCCGCGCCCTTGAATCTGGAGGTCCCGGAATATGATTTCCCAGAGGACGACAAGTTGGTGATCGGGTAGATGAGGCGCGTGTGTACGCACGAGATAAAACACTGTACATACTAGAAGGCATGGTGCTGGGGGAGACGTGATGGTGAGGGAGAAATCAGAGCAGGACCGTTCAACCATTCAATTGATAGCAATTGTGCCGCGTGGTGCGGTGCGCAAGGAGGACATTGCAATAAATAAAAATTGAAGCCATACACCTCGGATGACGTCCTGTGCCGTTAGCAGAGGGTGCCTGTGGCGGTAGTCAAACCCCAGTTCTGTGGCTACTATAGCTTACTCGCCTGGTTGCGTGCTTGCAAGGTTCGCATCAACGTGGGTTGGATTAGGATATTCGGTACTCGTACATTGCCCCTGCTACAAGAGAGACGCATATCGTACATTCAAATCATGTCTACCTCGTACCCAATGCTACACGCGCTATGCAGGCTCAGACACACATGAGACATGCTATATACAAAGGTTGCCACGAGGGCACCTAGTCCACCTAGTCAATCTCTGAGGGTTGCCGGGAGGGAAAGCTAAGCTCCCGTCCACAGGGGATGAAGGACAAAAGCTCGGCAGAAGACCAACGGCTACAGTGGCCCGCTCTCGTCCACCACGTACGGACGTCACAAGCTCGGACAGAAGACCAACATCTACCGGAGCCGGAGCAGCACGAAGGCCACAAGCTGGGACGCAAAACCACATCTACCGCGGCCGTAGGAGTACGAAGAGCAATCCCATGACCGCCACTCCGCCAGCGACGCCCTCCATGGCCACCTTCGTTAGGTCCCAATGGGATACCAGGACCTTGTGGTCCTCGCTGAACAGCGATCTCATGTAGTCTTCATATTTGGCCAGTGCGGAGCCCGGGGACGTCCAGCGCAATGAACCATTCTCACCTGCCTCCGTCCCCGAGGCAAGGGGGATAGGTTCGGCAGCATCCGTGAAAGGAATATCAGGCGAGCCTGGGAGGGGGTCCTCTTCCGCTGCGAGTTCGTCTGTCGTGAGAGTCTCGGCCACGGATTCGATGGTTGATTGGGATGGTAGCGGTGTCGGCGTGGCTGCAGTGGGAGCTTCGTCAGGTACCGTCCCAGTAATAGCGTCAACGATCTGTCCCGCAATGTTATCGGCAACGGCGTCGACTTTGGCACCCGCTGTCGCGACGTCATCGGGAGGCTGTATCGCGGTGCTTTGGATTGGCTGCGGCTGCACGGCCGCCGTCGTCGCTCTTGCCTCTTCGGACTCCTTGATGGCCAGCTCGACCTTCTCCTCGAAGCCCTTGACCAGGCGTCTCCGGCGCCACGGTTCCAGGACGACTTGGAAAATGACAAACAGCAGAACGTTGATCCCCATCAACCCCCACGTGCCCCACGTGGACATCTGTCTGATCTTGTCGCTCCAGATCTGTTCCTCGTGGTACCGCGCCAAGATCGCCTTCGCGAGCTTCGTGCTGGCTTCCTCGTAGCGCTGTTCGGCGTCGCTTACGTTCTTCTGCGCCGCCGCCTCGGCCTGCTCGTTTGCATGGTCGCTCCTGTATAGACTGGTGAAACGCTCCAGGTCGCCAGACGTCCAGGTGTGTTTCCTGTGCAGCAGGTCGTTGACTTCTCTTTGCGTGCTTGACCTTTGAGCGATGGCTTCCGAGTATTTCGCCCTGGACGCTTTGACTTCTTGTCTGCACTGCTGGACGACGGACTCTTGGTGCTCAATGTCGTTTTTGAGTGCCTCAATCCCGGAGTAACCTGTCAGGTCGTTCAGGCGGCGGGAGGCGGTGAAGATGTGCGTCTGGAAGTTGTCCATGAAGTGCCCGAACCGTTTCTGCAGGTGGGCGTACCGGGCTGCGATCGAGTCTGGGAGGGGTACGGGTGTACGCGAAGCTTCTGGCCGTGAATGTGACTCTGGTTTCGGAGGCGGAGGTTTCGTGTCTTCATGTCGCGAGGTGTGCACTATCGAAGACGCCTCGGGGATGGTGTGGACAATCGTCTCGTCTGCAGGGCTCTTCAGCGTCTGCTCGGTTTGTGCGGCAGCATCTGCTCTTGAGTCGAGACTGTCCTCTATTCGGTTCTTTGCATCCTCGACGTTGCGGTCGACTTCGGACTCCTTGTCGCTATAAAATCGAGCTTGAACAGCTATGCTCGGCCTTTGGCGGGTCCATGCTTGCCGGCATGGCCGTGCCAATGGAGAATATTGTCGAGGTTGTCGTAGTGGCTTATGGACAGGTTTCGCTGCTCGGAAGGCCGACCATAGCGTCTGGGATAGCCGCAGAGGAGCTTGGTGCATGTCGACCGACCGTCGAGTCCACTGGCGACAGTACAAGCTCAGCTTCTACGGCGGCAGAGAAACCCTCACGCTGGTATTGAACTGCTCCAAAGACAGCTCCAAATGATCGCCTCGGAATCTCTTCCGGCAGGTAAGCCGACTGAGAAACCCACTGGAAATGGTCAACCGTCGACGTCATTGGCACTGGCGGAACACGGACTCGACGGCGCGCACGGGATACCGCATCGGGCATTTTCCCGCCAGCCCTAGGAAAATGTTGAAGGGCCTCGCGACGAGCAGGGGGCGATTGTGGATTTCTCCCCACGTGTATGTGCTGGCTGATTTCATTGTGATCCAATTTTGATATCGCCTAGGTACTGATCATTCTTGCCCCGGGAGAGAGGCTCTCTTAACTAAATTTCGCTCGAGCTTTTCTCAACCGCTAGTATTCACTTCCCTATCTCAGCCTGTTGTACTCTGTAGAAGGAAACACAGAATCATCGCCAGCATGCCGTTCCCGCAGACCCTCGAAGCAAATCCAAAGGTGATCTTCTTCACCGACTTCGACGGCACAATCACCCTGCAGGACACCAACGACTTCATCACCGACAACTATGGCATGGGCCTCGAACAGCGGCGGAAACTCTTCCACGCCGTTATCGATGAAACAGACACCTTCCGCAACACCTTCCAACAGATGCTCGACTCCTGGAACATGCCTTTCCCCAAGGTCCTGGAGATCTTGAAGGACAACATCTCCCTAGATCCCGGGTTCAAGGATTTTATGGTCTGGGCGAGGGAGAAAAAGGTCCCCGTCATCGTGCTGAGCAGTGGGATGGTGCCCGTGCTAGAGACCCTGTTGAACCACTTACTCGGCGAGGATCTGATGAAGGATATCGAGATCGTGGCCAACGAAACGCAGACCAGACCGCCCGGCAACTCTTTGGACACGCCTGACGGGTGGACGATCTTGTTCCACGACGAATCGGGCTTTGGGCACGACAAGTCTCTGACCATTCGGCCCTACGCGGAGGCAATCGCGAAGATGCCGCACGACCAGAGACCGACGTTGCTGTATGCCGGTGATGGGGTGTCTGATTTGAGTGCAGCTAGGGAGACAGATCTGCTGTTCGCGAGGGAAGGGAAGGATCTGGTGGTCTACTGCGAGAAGGAGGGCATTCCGTTTACGCTGTTCAACAGCTGGCATGATATCCTTAAGGAGACTCGGGATATCTACGAGGGGAGGAATACGGTGAGGAAGTTGGCAGAGGAAGGCCTGAAGAGGCATAGGACGAATTCCATGGAGGCGAACGGCCACGTGAAGCCGACGATGAAGTAAACGAGTCGGTCTACATATCGACGTTACCTATATGTGGAATATCTTACATTGCAGGGTCCTGGACCGTTTCCAGAACCATAGACCGGCGCGGCGAACTTTGAGAAACATACCCTGATCAGTAGTGTGGGACGGTCGGATCAAGTACAAAGCGTGAAAGAATAGAACGAAAATCAAATAGACTGTTATGCATACGGTATCGTTCAGGACTCATAGTGGGTAATGATGCACCTAACGCCAGCTCCCAGGATAAATGCCGGCAACGCACGCAGATCAATGCTTCTCGTCATACTCAGCTAGAGCCTTTCTCAGGCCAGTCTCGTCTCTGGGCACCACTCGAAGCCTATACCGCCTGGGAACACTAACCAGCTGCGTCTGATCTTCCACTCCCTTGACAGGATGTGTTTCCATCTCTTTACCGTCTTCCGCTTGCACATCCATCAGCTCAAACGCGCTAAGCAATCGCAGGTAGATGGTGTACATCTCTCGGTTGGCCAGCAGAGAGCCCGCACACATCCGGTAGCCGAGACCGTACGTGAAGAGCGGCGCATCGGGATGTTCAAGCCAACGCTCCGGGCGGAACGTGAATGGGTCCGTCCACACCTCCGGGTCCATGTTGCATGCCCAGGCGTTGAGGAAGATGACGGATTTCGCGGGGATGACCCGCCCATTGTATGTAATATCCTTTACCGTGGCTCGAGGCAGGGACAGTCGCAGGACCGTGTAATACCGGAGGAGTTCTCGGACGAGCGCCACAATGTAAGCAATGGATTGGTCGTCATTCGCATCACAGAGGATCTGCTCCGGTGAGTAAACCTTGCGGATCTCGTCGTGGGCTTTCTGCTGGATGTCAGGGCGCTGGGCCAGGAGAGCCATGGACCAGGCGACCAGCGTGGTCAGCGTATCGAGACCGCCCGACAGCATGGTAAGGGAGATGGACACCAGTTCTTCCTTGTTGAGCTTTGCTTCGCGGTCCAGGATGACGTTCGCTTGAATGCACGGTTGGTGTGTTCCTTTGGCCATCCGGTCGTCCAGGTCGTCATTTAGTTTCTTCAGGTAGACGTCACGGCGCTGCCGCATTTCGCGCGCCCGTGCTTTCCCAAAATTGAATGGATTCAGTCGCAGGAGCGGGATGTAGTCTTGCAAGTTGCCGGTCGTGGAGCGGAACTTGGACACTTCTTCCTCGACGTGCGTGATCTCGCCGAACAGCTCGTCGTTTTGGGACGCCATTCGGGTGCCCCAGTTCAACGTCAACGCGAGCGACAGGGAGAGCCGCTGGATCATCGGCATCGGGTCCACGGGTTTGCGGCCGCCGTCGCCATAGAGGAGAAACTCATTCAAAAAGTCCCGTGTCTCGACATCGATGTGCGGCACGTAGGTTGCCACGCTGGGTTTATTCAGTGCGCTCGCGGCACCCTTTCTCCGCCGCTTCAGACTCTCCGAGAAAGGCGATGTGCCGATCGTTGTCCCGCTGGTAGAGCTGACCACTTTGTGGAACGTGTAAAATTCTGGTCTTGATGACAAGGCCTGTGAATTTGCGCCGAAGATCTCGCGCGCCGCTTTCGAAGAATTCACGACGATGACGGGCACATTGCCCAGCATGATCTGGTAGACTGAGCCATATTTCTGGGCCCATAGACGGTACTGCTCTGCTGCGTTGACTCTGATTTGGTGGATGTTGCCAATCATAGGGAGGCCCGAGGGTCCATCGAACCCAGGTATGCGTACTTGGTGTCTTTGGACTTCGCTGATCAGGAGGTAGAATAGGGCCGATGCTGCCGCGAAGTATGCCAGGAATGTTATCGGTGATTCTTGGGCCTGGCCCAGAACGAAATTGACGGTCTTGTCAATCATCGTGAGTGAGCGCGGATGGATGTCGGGGAAGCGATCAACAACCAAAAGAGTTAGCTTTACACAAGACTTGGGATGAAGGATCTGCTACACTCAAAAAGTACTCGAGGACTATATCAGTGAGCGACGGCATCGTCGCGCCCCGGAATTGCCATGTGAGGGGAGCATGATGGATGTGGAGGAGACGAGGCAAGAGCCAACCACGACTCTCCCACATTCCGTGTTTGTGCAGGGCGCGGAATCACGACCGCAGCGAGCAGAGCCGAATATGACCGCAACAGTTAGGCATGGAATCCACAAAGATCCATTGGTCTGTTGGATGTGAGGTGGTGAGACTAAAGCCTCGAACGGCTCGTGGGGTCATTCCGGTGAAGGATCCAGCCGAGTCTCGACGGTACGGAGTACAGCGGTGTCAATGCCAGGCGCCACAGAAAAACCGACTCCCGTAGCTACTATGAAGAGATGAGGATGAGGATCTGCCAGACCTCAACGAGATTCGGCGATATGCGCTGTCCATAAGGATGCGACAATGCGTCAAAAGAGAGACCGTGAGGCGTAAAGCCGATTCACGAGAAAAATCAATCTCATCTCGGTCCTACATTCTTCCGCTCCGGTGGCAGCAGCCTCTTACTTGGGGATGGTCTGATTAACGTTGCAAAGTTTCACTCGAAGATAGAAAAGATAAAGGGAAGACTGTGCTTAGAGCTCTGGATTGGTAGTGCTGAGGGCGCATTGATGTCAGAGGGCATGTGTTCAATAGTGTCACGAGCGTGCCAGTCCTCCAAGAGATCCATTCCCATGCGTGATGAATATCTTATGGCGGAAGAGAGGAGAATTGCTGGAAATGTCAAGGCGACAACGTGCTTGATACAGTTGGTCTAGGGTGTGGCAAGGACAACTTTGTACGCTCGCAATTGACGTTCCCCGCCAGCCCAGCGCTCCTAGATGATCCCAGATGCTTCAAATCGTGCAAACTCTCCCGACGTCTGCCGTACCTGGGCGACCAAGATGTGGGGAAGAGCCGCAAGCGCGTAGATTCCGTACGACCAGCATTTCCGCCGGGACATTCGCTCCGTTCCTAGTACTCGAGCCCGTTATTCCTGCGGAAAAGATTGCAAAAACTTCGTTCCTCCAGTGTCATGATCAGTTATTCCGGGAATCACATTGTTCCAGAACAGATGACCCATGCTAGGCGTAGTCAATTCTTTGTAGAATCCTCCTTTACGAGTGAACTTCACACCCAAGTCGGTCTGCTGCTCGCTACCGTCGACCTTGGTGCCGAGCAGATATTCCTCGTCAATGGTTCCGGTGAAGAGCACCAACATATCGTCCATGCCAATGATCCGCCACGTGAGGCCGCTTCCGCATTGAGAACAAAAAGATCGGATGGCTGACTGGGTCGACTGATATTCCCTGTATGTTGGTGATTTGAAAATGTCGCCGACTAACTGAGAAGGATGTATCAGAATCTCATGGGAGATCAATGCACCCGACCATTTGCGGCAAATGGAGCATTGACACGTTGCAGCCTGACAAGATCAGATTGGCATATCCCGGCAAGGGCTGAGACCTTACTTGGGCTGGCCATGCAGCGTCCTCAGGAAACACGACCTTGTATCGGATTGAGCCACAAAGACACCCACCAGAGATGGATTCGGGACGGGAGGTCATTGTGCTCAAGTGGGAGTTCCGCAAAGCAGGAAAATGTGTTTGGAGAGCCGGGACGAGGGATTATAGTGCATTGACCGACGATTCAGACGTGGAACATCTCAGTTGTCTTATATCTCAACGGCTTGAGCGGCTGTGCAGGAACTGTCGAAGCCACCTGCCAGGCACCGATGTTGCTTGGTAATAGATATTAGGAAAGAGTTTGGAAAGGTTTTGCTGGCCCGAGGCGGTACTGGTGGCCAAGGTTGTTCCTTGACGTACGGATGGCTGCCATTGTCGTGGTCAGAAACAAACATCGCGCACCCGGTGTACTCATACTGTTTCGCCCAGCATCGTGAAAAGTCTTGGCTGTGGCTTGCCAATTCAGGCATCCAAGTCTTGCGAACTCCCGATTGCTGGGTTCAGACCTGCATGTCTGGCGTTATACGAATACGCCGTGCAAGCCATTTTCATTTCGTTTTTCGACTTCTTCGCGATCCCGAGGTAGGATCTCTCTTCCCTCCAGCAGTCGTACTATTAGTGGTTGGCTCATTAGCAGCCTTTTCCTCCTCTGCTTCTTTCTTTGCGAGAGCTCTCTTGACAGCGCCTTGCTTCTCCAGCCGTTCAATCTGCTTTTCACTGAATTCCCACAGCTGTTTGGCGACCTCCTCATTTTCGACGTCGGACCGCAGAGGCTGGTATTCTCTGCATTCTTTGATCAGCTTGCCACCGGGACTTCGACCATATTCTGCATCCATGGCGGCGAGCAGGTAACTCTGAGCACCCTGCGAGGGTGACTTGAGGATGAGCCACCACAAAGGCCAACTGAGCAAGTACACGAGCAATCCCCAGATTGAACCGCCAGAAAGCCATCTCCTGGTACCTGGAGTCCGAGCATAGCCAGGGTCAATGATCATCACTCGCGCATTGCTGGGTTGATTGTCTGGTCTCTTGTATGCGTCAAGGTGCTTCTGGAAAGCATTTGCGAAAGTCATGACGGCCAGCTTACTCCTTGCGTATGAAGACGTCCCTGATTTCGTGGCCGCTTCGTTAGTCTTGTAATCCAACTTTCCGCCAATATAGCTGCTGCAAGTGCTGAAAAGAATCCTCACGTCTCGATCCGGAGGTTGTGCTCTGATAGCTGGTGAGAGAATGCTTAACAAATGGAAAGTGCTAAGATAATTTATCATCCACTCTGCCTCCAGTCCGTCCATTGTTGTTTGACTCGTACCGAAGTAGGGAGTCATGATATTTGCGCACAGGATAATCATGTCCAATCTTCTCGGGGGCGCATTGTCCACCCACTTGGTCGCGAAAAGTCGGATCGAGTGGAGGGAAGAGAGGTCTACCTGCTCGGCGTAGATAAGCTCGTTATTTGTGATCGTCCGCACGTCCTCGATGTAGTCGACCAGAAACGGATCTGAGGGGGCATGATGGGTCAGGAGAATAACCTGCGCTCCTCGAGTAGCCAGTTCTTGTACAACGGCTGCACCGATGCCCGAAGTACCCCCCTGTGAGACGCCGGTTAGAAAGTATACGTGTTATTGGGAGATGTTCTTACAGTAACCATGACCACCTTCCCATGCATTACTCGTTCGGAGCGACATGTTGCTCCGCCAAAGTACAATTTCAGAAGAGCGATGACGCCGACAACGACCGTACCTTGGGCCACAGTCCAGCCATAAGGGATACCAGAAAAGCCCCTGCCGAAACCCTCCGCCAGCAGGTCAATGGGCATGGTTACTTACGCCCTCAAGTATGCAGCATGAAGGTTGGATTCGGAGTGCGAGGGCGCCACAGAAACATGCCTGTTGAAACTCCGTGATTCCGCCTATCAGAGGCCTGCTGATGTCTGACCAAGAACGTCACCCACAAATCATTCGTCTTCACACAAAAAACAGCACCCTTAACAGTTGACAATAGATTCTATCGACTACAGAAGTTGCAGGACCCACTAAGCTAGTCTTCGGCCTGTGTCAGGAAGCGTTGGCCATCGGAAAGCGGTCCATGCACTGAGACCGCCGTCTAGCCTTTTGGTCTCTGCAGAGATCCGGCTGTGTTCACCGAAACAAGAGCCAAACCCAGCACGTTGCGGCACCTATGCGGATGCCTGTGTGCATGCCTGAGCTCTTGCCCGGGATGGAGTATGCTTCACAACAACTGAGTCGAGATTTGTTACGGAGAGCAAGAAGGTTAGGCAGTCGCGGGACTGATGAGACATTTAGAAGCGTGTGACTACGTGGTCATCTATCGGAGCTGGTACGCCTTTCCCAAGTCGTTTGTCCAGTGCATCCACCTGCAGGTCGACATCTTCTTCTGGCTGCCGGTCACCCCTGGAGCTGTACTTGAACAGTGAAAGTGAATGGTGGTTGCTGATCTTGGTCTAGAGACCGGTGATTCCAAGTACTCTGAAGCATACGTTGGAGCGTTCTGCTGCGGCCGATCATCAAGCAAGCAGAGCATGAGAGATAGCCACTGGCTCCGGCAGGGATTAGCTGATCCTCGTGCTGAGGCTATGCGCGCGTGCATGTAGTATATTCGAGCGTCCAGATTTCCCCCGGTCTTCTAGAATCCGATTGCTACTGCTCCTTGGCCTTGAAAACATGCCACGTTCGAGGAGCAGAGGAACCCCTCAGTTCCACTTGGACGTCTACTGGTGTAGGTGAAATGTCCAGAGCATAAGATCTGGGAAACCAGCCGCTAGAACGAGGTGCTTAGTGCCGCGTTACAGTAGGCCGAGGGAATCACCAGGAAAAACCTGCCAAAGCCAACCAGACCAGACCTTGTTGATCGTTAAGAAGACTCTTCTGCTTCCAGCGTGGACCGTAGGAGTGCGAAGTCACCAAGTACACCTCGACACCTCGACACCTCTACATCCAATTAAGCCAGAAACACGAAAAGATATCGCCGCTTCTCGAAGAGTGAAAATGGCGCGCGCTCAAACGCCAATGAAAATCCGATAAAGCGCCATTCCCCTACAACGGCAACGAATTCCATCCGAAAGTGGACTCCGGGCTCGTTGCTGAGGCAGCGCTCCCTCATGAACGTCATTCACCCGCGATTCATCTCCCTTTCACCTTTGAACTTCACGGACCTTAACCTCACTTTCCACAGTATCTTTGCGCCAAAGCCACATTTACCACTATCCCACTTAAGCAAGATAACCGCGACTCTCTATTTTGTCTGTCCATAGTGCAATCAACCAGCCAACCATGCCTCGAGGGCGCAAATCCGCCACTACCCGAGCCGCTTCTGGCGGCCAGTCCAGACTCTCATTTAACAATCGAGTGACGAAGACGAGCGCACAAGCACAGAGAGATGAAGAAGTGGCCAGCGCCCAGAAACTCGCCCAGATCGAAGACACTCTGCAGCAGGGACAACCAGAGCCAGAAGTCGTGGATGTGAAAGTTAAAAATGAACCGGAACTAGGACCAACACAACGGAAGGTTGAAGATCACGAACAATCAGAAACCGAGCACATCGTAGAGGAAGAACCAGAACCATCGAAAACCTCAGCGAGACGGAGAGTCAAATCAGTCAAGGGCAAGGACGAGAGAGAGCTAGCCGCGGAGAAGATCACGGATGCGCAACTCAAGAAGTATTGGCAGAAGGAAGAAGCCTCGAGGCTTGCTCCAAGAGGTATGTTGACATCCACTACTGTCCGCTCTTCCTGTTCTGTCGCATCCCATGTCTTGTACGGGCCTTCGGCGTCAGGTATCACTGTCGGAACCCAAAGGCGCCGTGTCTTACTTTATGTTTTACTAATGTACATGCCTCTGCAGTACACCAGGAGACCCTCCCTCTCCACGAAAAGATCCTCCGACACTTCGACCTCTCATCCCAGTATGGTCCTTGTATCGGCGTTCCACGCCTGACACGCTGGCGGCGAGCTAATACTCTCGGCCTGCAACCGCCCATCGAAGTCCTCGCCGTGCTGCTCAGAGAAGAAGAAGGTGGTGATGCGACAGAGGGCCCGCATTATGGACGCAAGGGTCGGAGTCAGGGCTGTGGGAAAATGGCGTATATTGATGAACTTGGAGGTGGACGGGTTGTGCTTGTCGAGTAAGACGTCGGGGTGAGGGTGTCATTTCGTACGAGGCGGGCAGAGACCGGGAGGCTTTCGATATGGTTGGGCGTTTTATGGTGATGCGACATGAAGGAATGGGAGGCTCACTCTGTCTCGGGTGGTCAAAAGAACAGGTTCCTGGTTACGGGTTGTGGCAATTCACAGGTTCATCGAGACATCGTATATTGCGGGAATGGCGAGAGGCTACACAATATCCATGTTGTCAGGCGATAAATGGCGATTGGTGCTGAGTGAATACAGTATCGCGGAGCCAGGAGTCATAGCCCTCATCTTGTGCCTCTTGTATTTGTCTTCGAGTGCTAGTGGTATTTGTTTTCTATGCTGACTGATCCATCGCCAATTGTCATACACCACAATCGATACATACAAACGCTTCTACTGCCAGGCGAGCTACCAAGTTCAACTCCGGTGAGAGAAACACCCAAGCCAGCACCTCTCGTTACCCATTGCCTGCCTGCTGATGCCAGCCAACCCGTCATCAAACTTCATGTCTGGAATTTTTTTGGTGTGCTCTAGAACAGTCATACACGGGAGCAAACCTGAGTGGCCGTCCTTGCTCATCTATGCGCCAAACTCGGGGATTGAAGACTTCTTGCCGAGAAGAGCCAATGGCACAATACCTGAGACATGCATCTCAGGGCCGTACACGTGGATATTGAGGCCAAGCTCTTCGCCAACACCTTTGATGTTCTTGAGACCTTCCTGGTAGTTGGGACCAGCACGACGGACCCAGATCTGGGTCTTGTGCTCGGTCAGGACTGGTGCGACTTCTCGTAGAGCTCGGATAACGCCCTTGAAGGTAGAGGCCACGTTGGTGAAGTTGGCAATGCCACCACCAATGAAGAGAACCTTGCCCTCAGGGTGCATTGGGGCGCGGAGCATGAGATCGAGAACCGTTCTGGCGTAGTTGTACGTCTGAGTCTCGGTCGGTGCGCCGGAGTATTCACCGTAGTTGGCCAATTCGCTGACGAAACCGGCGGAGGCAATGGCGTCGGCATATACGACCGAGGCACCACCACCAGCGACCAAAGTCCAGATGCGGCCCTTGGCATTCAAGACAGTCAGTTTGAGTGAAGCGCCAGTCTTCGCATCCATGTCCGCGATGTACTTCTCTTCTCGGCTGAGCTCACGACCGAACGGCGCAGGGAAGTCCATAGGAGGGCCAACATCGATGGTGACTTTTCCATCAGATTTGACACCAGGGAGACCTAGAGCAGCAGGACTTCGGGCAATGGCCCATTTCACACCACATTCGAAGTCTGCAGTCTGATCAAGCTTAGCGGCGAGATCGAGGAAGTGGACCTCAGCAGAGGTGCCAGAAGAGTTCGGAATAACGACCAACGGGTTGATTTCGAGGTAGGTGAATTGGCAGTCGACGTAGACGGAGTAGAGTCGCACAATGAAGTCGATCAAAACATTGTGGACGCCCTTCGGGACGTCAGGCAAGAGAGTCTCGGCCAGCTGTTGATTTGAGGGGAACTTCTTCAGGTCGACTGGGATCAGGATCTTCTTAGCCTTTGCGTCCACGTCGCCGACGTCGACACCACCCTCGTGTGTGAAAAGAATCCAGTCGCCCTAGGGATCGGTTAGTTTACGAGACGCGACTGCCGGGTGCTCCGACTCACATCTCGGACAGAGTTGATGTTGATGTAATATTCGGTGTCTTGAGGGTGAGGCACAAAGGGTTCGACGAGAAACTGGCAGAGAACGCCCGTAACGTGCTCGACCTTTTGCTCCTTGCGGGCTCTCTCTTCAATCCACGCTCTTGCTTCTTTCCAGCCCTTGTTCAAGCAAAGAAGACCACTCTTTCCTCTTCTCTTAATCAACTGGTCGGGCTTTGCAACAAACTTTGAGCCCGGGTGGAGGAGCCATGGGTATGTAGCCTCAGCTTGGTCCAACACGGCCTTTGGTGACTCGTCCTCAGGGAAGAAGATGGAGGCCAGTTTTGGAGGGGGGTTGTGCACGGCAGCGGCCTTCAAAGGGGTAGGTTTGATGACAGGAGCGCGGGTAAGGTGGTAGTTGAGAATGGCCTTGCCGTCGGCCTCAAGAATCGACTTTGCAGACATGTTTGGCGGCGGTGAGGTGTGGGGTAAATAATCAGGGGATGGGATGGAGGAAGCGTCTGGCTCGACTTTTGAGGTAGAGCAGGATCTCAAGTGGAAGAGAAATAGTAACGACCACGTCTAGATTGCCGAAGGTGAGAGTGCAAATGAGCAACTGTAGGTGAGTGAGTTCGACAGTGTCAACAGCTGGGGCCACCAGTTCAATGCTCACACACTCTGTTGGCCTCCGGAGGATACAAAACTGTCTCGCACTTTTTGGTGGATCTCTGGCCTTCGTTGGGAGCAGGGGTCGTCCCGCTAGGCGGGCTAAACTTATCGAGGGGCACTCAGCACGCAGATTAGGCATGAAGCTACTCGCACAGCCGGTGCTACTGACCCGCACCAACGCCAGGGACAAACCGCCCGCGCCCATGACCGTCGCCCAGCACTCCATGGTGTTTGACCGACAATCCCAACCCTCGGTCACCGCCAATTGTACCCTGTGACGTGGACACATTGTTTCTCTCGAGCCGATTGACCTCCAATACATTGCCTGCTGGTTCATTGCTTTTCGAGCGCTGCACCGAGGTCACTCAAACACCGAGCATCATACCCTTGTGGTTCGTTCTTGGACCACTGATGGGCGGGTTTCCTTGTGTACTCGGCGAATATACCGGGCAGAATTAATAGTTGCTGTGGTTCCCTTGTGGGCATCAAGCATATCTGTCACCTCGCCTTACGAGATACGACATGCACTTATTACGGGGGGCCCGGACTCCGAATGGCGAGAGCACGCGAGAAGATCGAGTTTGCTCCAATCGATAGAGGGACCATTGTCTTCAGGCCCGCTTTCTCTGCCATCCACGATGTCAACTCGGCGGATATGCGATAGGGGTCTCAGCCTTTCTGCAACATAGCCTGCGCAAAGGGGATAGTGGCAGCAGATAGTGTGCCATGGGAAGTATAGCTGAAAAGGCTTGTCTGGCCAAACATTGCACAAGTACAGCTTTCCCCCACTAAAAAATCTCACCGCCCGGGTAGCGAAGCCTTGGTGACAGCGGGTGAACTTTGGGCTCGTTGAGTATTGGGGGCCACCATTCCTATTTTCGGGCGCTGCGCAGGGGCTTTGGTGCAGCTAAGCTAGCCGGACCTGCCTCAACAGACAATCCTTAGTCCAGTCAGCGCGAGCCTGTGGTCCCTCAGCATCATATCCGCACTCCACATTCTGGTCGGAGAAAGTGAACACTCAACTCATCCCTCAGCAGCGTTGGCTTGAATTCACCACGCTCACCTTTTTCCCTCACGTCGGCGATTGTGATTCTCTCACTGCTGAGTTTCGACCGCTGTCCAATTTCCAGCCTCTCCTTGGACGGACAAATACATCACCCAACAACCTAATCAGTCCGATGTGAGTCCCATTGAAGTCCCCAATCCATTCACCGGCATACCCTCCCCTACCTTTTTCCCAAGACCGCCCTAGTTATTGTACTCGAGGACAGGAAGAAGACTAGATACTGCTCTCTTCTGTTGTCCATCGACACATATACCAAAGTCTTGTCTGCGTCTCCTTCAACTAATATCATGGGTCTGCCAGTCCGCGAAAACTCCCCTGACAATTCTCAACCCGCCATGCCTACCGCTACCACTGGCGCCGCCAACGGCGTGCCCAAGATTCAAGTCCCAAATGGCGACCTTCAAGATCACGAAACCCCCTTCTCAGCCAACGACAACATTCGCAGATTTGCGCCTCCTTCAAGAGCGCTGAGCCCTTCACAAAATGCTCTCTTCCACAACAAGACAAGATGTTTCGTCTAGTAAGCAAGACACGAGTATCAAATAAGGACGTGTTCTAACATCTGTCAGTGGCATGCAACCCAAGGCTGTCCAGGGGATGCTTGACTTCGACTTCATCTGCAAAAGAACGACCCCCTCTGTGGCCGGAATCATCTATACCTTCGGCGGTCAATTCGTTAGCAAGATGTACTGGGGCACCAGCGAGACTCTGCTACCCGTCTACCAGTCTGTGGAGAAGGCCTTTGAGAAGCACCCTGATGTTGACACCATTGTGAACTTCGCCTCTTCGCGATCCGTCTACAGCTCAACAATGGAACTGATGGAAATCCCTCAAATCCGCTCAATCGCAATCATTGCTGAGGGCGTCCCTGAGCGACGTGCTCGTGAAATCATGGTCAAGTCAAAGGAGAAGGGTATCACGATTATCGGGCCTGCCACTGTTGGCGGTATCAAGCCTGGTGCTTACAAAATTGGTAACACTGGTGGTATGATGGACAACATTGTTGCCTCCAAGCTTTACCGCAAGGGTTCGGTCGGCTATGTCTCTAAGTCGGGTGGTATGTCGAACGAATTGAACAACATCATTTCCCAGAACACCGATGGTGTCTACGAGGGCATTGCCATCGGTGGTGACAGATACCCCGGCACTTCATTCATCGACCACCTGATCCGGTACCAACAGGAGCCGGAGTGCAAGATTCTCCTCCTGCTTGGCGAAGTCGGTGGCGTTGAGGAATATCGAGTCATCGAAGCCGTGAAGAACGGCGAGATCACAAAGCCAATCGTTGCCTGGGCTATCGGTACTTGCGCCAGCATGTTCAAGACTGAAGTCCAATTCGGTCATGCCGGCGCATCTGCCAACTCTCAGCTCGAAACTGCGCTCGTCAAGAACCAGAAGATGAAAGAAGCTGGTTTCTATGTCCCAGACACCTTCGAGGACATGCCCAAGGTTCTGAGCGAGCTCTACCAAAAGTTGGTCAAGCAAGGCACCATCACGCCCGCTCCTGAGCCGGCAGTGCCCAAGATCCCTATGGATTACGCTTGGGCGCAAGAACTTGGTCTTATCCGAAAGCCCGCATCCTTCATTTCCACCATTTCAGACGACAGAGGTCAGGAGTTGCTCTACGCAGGTATGCCCATCTCAGATGTCTTCAAGGAAGAGATCGGTATTGGTGGTGTCATGTCACTCCTGTGGTTCCGTCGCAGACTTCCGCCCTATGCCAGCAAATTCTTGGAGATGGTTCTCATGTTGACTGCTGATCACGGTCCGGCCGTCTCTGGAGCCATGAACACCATTATCACCGCCCGTGCCGGTAAAGATCTGATCTCCTCGCTCGTCGCTGGTCTATTGACCATCGGCTCCCGATTTGGTGGTGCTCTTGACGGTGCCGCCGAGGAATTTACTAAGGCCATGGACAAGGGCTGGTCGCCCAGAGAATTCGTCGACACCATGAGAAAGGAGAACAAGCTCAGTAAGCCAATCTTCGCGCTCCCCGTAAGCTCCCCACTAACTTTGGTGAAGTCCCTGGTATCGGTCACCGAATCAAGTCCCGCAACAACCCTGACTTGCGTGTCGAGCTTGTCAAGGACTTTGTCCTCAAGCATTTCCCGTCTCACAAGCTCCTTGACTATGCCATTGCCGTCGAGACTGTCACCACATCCAAGAAGGACAACCTGATCTTGAACGTCGACGGGTGCATCGCCGTCTGCTTCGTTGACTTGCTCCGTGAAGGTGGTTCGTTCTCCGCCGAAGAGGCTGAGCAATATCTCTCCATTGGCATTCTCAATGGTCTCTTCGTATTGGGCCGGTCCATTGGTCTGATTGCCCACTTTTTGGATCAGAAGAGAGTAAGTCTATGCACCTCGGTCATCTGCTCAGGACATATGCTAATATACCTATAGCTTCGCACTGGTCTCTACAGACATCCGTGGGATGATATTACGTGAGTTCATACCTCTCCCTTAGCATCGGAAACAATGCTGACTGAAGTGCAGATATCTCCTCCCTACCCTCGGAAAGACGCCCGGAAACGAGGGACGTGTCGAAGTCGACCCCCAGTAGACATTCTTCTTGTTGCAAGTTTCATCTTGTAAGCTGCGTCGAAACGGCTACGACGATCGTGGACAGTCATGACCTTAAGCTTGTTGGCGCTCGTGTACTCGCAGCAGTGGGGCCATGGTTGGTTGGGACTTGCTTTGAAGCAGCATTTTGAGGCCTTCCGGTTTCGAGACTGGGGTGGGAGTTTAGAGCTACTCACGAAGTACAATGATGGTGGAGCGAAAAGATTCCCTAGAAAAGGGGGGAACCGGTCAGGACTGTCAAGTGTGTACAGCAATACGGTTATGGTAGTTGGGAGCAGTGGCGTATGCATGTTATGTCCCTCGCACCACACAATGCTCACACGTGATATTCCACCCTTTTAGCTGCAGACAGGGACTATTTCTTCTCGTGCTTCTGACATGGACCAGAAAAGAATGCGGGCATGAGAGTTGGATGCGAGACTCTCCAGCTCCAGCTCCAAATTCTGGACGGGGGTTAGATCGAGGCCATCCTCGAGGACAAACAACGTGCAGGCTGTAGCCCGAACACTGGCATAGAAATCGACTCCAACTCGACTGAACTTTTTAACTTCATGTCCAATCCTCTGCATAATTGACGATATTGGTGTCCCACGGCCATACTACATAGCACCTATATGCATATATAAACGCGTACGGAGTACTCGGCATGTATATCAAAATGTAATTCCTGCATTCGGGTTGGCAGGCATTCCAACCCCTGTCATCATGTCGTCGGTAGTTAGTATGTGAGGGAACCCATCTCGTTTACGCCATTCGGCAACCACGAGACCATCTATCTAATTATTTATCTGATTGTCCATCTATTCACCAACAAAGCGGGAGCGGACTCACACCTCCTCCATAATCCGCCCTGGTTGCCTCCCTCTACCCAGAACCGCGCTGGCAGGCCGTGCTGGTGTGGGTGTGGGCACGGGTGTCGGCTGCCTCGTGAGCTCGAACGTCTCCTTAACGCGCCTTACCCCCGCGAACGCGAATTCCTTCCTCTTGTACGTGGCGCGCGCGTCGGCGTTGCCTGTGAGTGCCCCGGCCGGCATGCCTTGCCATGCGGGCTGCCACTGAACTAATTGGTTGTGGGTGTTCGTGGCTGCTGGGTTTCCGCCGCGGTGGCAGATCAATGAGGCTTGCTTTTTCTTATGTCGGTACGAGAGGCATTTGAAGACCGCGCCGACGATGCCGGCGGCGGCGACGACGCTGCCTGTTACGATGCCGACGATTGTGCCGGTGGAGAGCGGACCCGAGGAGGATGGGGAGGATGCTGTGCCGTCGTCTCCGCCGAGGTTGGCGTCAGGGGTGGGCGACGGTGCATCTATTCAAAACGAGTGCGCGGATGGTCAGTCAGTCTGTTGAGCACAATCGGGTAGGTATGAATGAGTCGTTGGTTGGTCGGTCGGTCGGTGCATTTCGTGGCTGACTGGGACGGTGGAAGTGAATGATATGATATGATATGCGAGGGCGAGGCTCACCGTCCGTTCTCAACGCGTATCCCTGCGGAGTGTCCACACTCGCTAACGGCACGTTGGCATCCGCGCAGTGCGTCACGAATATGTTGAATGCGTCCTGCGCGAGGGCTATGCCACCACAGCTTTGCTGCACACAGGCCCACGCTTCCGCTATCACGGTATGGGATGTACTCCGACAGCAATCGCCATTGGTGTAGTTGCAGTTGTGGGCGAAGTTGTTCACATAGTCGGTGTCCGGGCAGGGCGAGGCATGATGCTGCGCAGTCGGGGTAGGATTGATAGACTGGGGCGAAGGACAACGTCGAGCAGGCTTGTGCGAGGGATGTGAAGAGCAGGCTGGACAGGATGGAGATGCTATATCGCTCGAGGCAGGGGGAGGTTGGGAACATGGCAAGAATGGTAATGTCATCGGCAGCGAGGTGAGGAGGGAGGATACAGTTCGACTGCAGTAACAAGGGTGGTGGCTTTCAGAAAGAAGGCAGCCATTGCATACATAGCTCTTGATCAAACTCTATCTTCTCTGCCAGACCATGAGCGATCGCAAGGCATTAGTGCCGCCCTGTATCATGCATGTGTTGGCGGGGTAGGCGCCTTGCCGGCGTGTGATGAGGCGCCAGCCTTACCAGAGGAGAATGATTTGCCGGCCGACATTTCGAGGACGATATACAGAACTGAACTTCAGTACCAAAGGGAAAGTCGAGAGTCTGCACGAGTGTGTCTGTGCCTGAGGCAAGGTGGTAGGATGTAGGAAGCATTTCTATGACGGCATCGGAATAGGCATTTCGTCGTGGATGAGGCTGAGGCTGAGTCTTGGTTCGCATTGCAATTGGCAAGATCAGCATACCTGCAAGGGTCGACCAATGATACGCTTCATTGCTGGCCGTGAGCTGACCTGGACAAAGCCATAGAAACTCAAGAAGTCGCTTTGAGGGCATCAGCAATCACTTCACACATCTCAAGCACCTTTTCTTCTTCGAGACGTTTTCCGACGATTTGCAACGCGACAGGCGCGCCGTGGTAGAACTCAGCATCGTAATCATTCTGAATCCTGCCATCGATATCGCTCAACGGCTTGAAGGTGTTTATGTCCCGGGCCTTGTCAAGCTCTTTATCCGCAAAGGTGACGGGGAAGGTACAGGCGGTGAAATCTGCGCGCATAGTGAATATCATACTCAATACAGCGAAGAAGTCGGAATGCATACCGAGAAAGTTGACAAAGCCAGTGTAGCCAACGTATAGACCACTTCTCTGCGTTTCACCCAGCCGAGGAGCCGCCCATGGAGATGTTGCACAGACCAAGCCGTCGAGCCTTGGTTTTCCGTCAGTAGCAGTAGCGTTCCATCTGTCGAGGTACGCTTTCTGCAACTCGTTCCGTCGTATATTCATCATCCGCATCTTGGTCGGCCCGAGTTCACCTTCACCAGCAGCGGCGGCCAAGGCATAGCCCTCCATGCTTGGAAAGATTGGTTCGCCATATGGCTTCACGATGTCCATGATTGCGGCGCCACCAAGGTCGAAAAATGCGGCTTGCAGATTCTGGATCGGTCAGGAACAGGCCACACAAAAGGGAAAAAAACGCGGTTTAACCTTGACGATGGCTTCATGGTCTTCTGTGGACCAGGGGATGACCTCATGTCCTTGCTTTTCAAGAGCCTCCTGCGTCATCTTCAATGCACGTTCAACAGGCGGATGAACATGGACAAGGCCATCTTCGACTCCAATCAAGCCGAACCTGAGTTTTCGACCTGGCGGCTGGATGACGTTCTTCCTCCAAGGAATGGGCAAAGCCTTGTGGTCGTGTTCCCAGGGGCTCATTGCTTCAGACAAGAGCGCCTCGGAGTATAGCTGTAGTGTCTTCAGAGACCGCGACATTGGGCCATTGACTGATAGGATATACTCCTGTCCAGCTATGCCGGGCTTCACTCCGTAATGTGGATAGCGACCGAAGCTGGGTTTCAGGCCATAAAGATTGCACCATGCGGCAGGAATGCGGACGCTTCCACCAATATCAGTCCCGATCCCTAATGGAGAGGCCTTGAAGGCAATCAGGGCGCCTTCACCACCACTCGAACCACCGGGACTGAGGTGCTTGTGCAGCGGGTTTCGAGTTTCTCCCCAGACATTGTTGTTGGTTTCCGCCATCATCATGGCCACCGGGACATTCGTCTTGACATAGAACACCGCCCCGAGGTCGCGCAACATCGTGACCAGCAGGGAGTCCTTGTGCAGAGGCTCGTTGGCAAAGGCGGCCATTCCATTGCTCGAAGGATGCGGAGCTGTTATGAAGCAGTCCTTGAGTGAGATTGGTAGACCATGCAAGGGCCCGACGGTCCGCCCTGTTCTTGCCAGGTAGTCATCAAGATACTTTGCTCTCTCGATTGCTTCCGGGTACAAGACTTCGGTCACGCAATTCGTCAGTTCCTGAGCCAATGCTGATGCCTTACAAAATGCTTTGGTGACCTCGAGAGCTGTCCATGCCTTTGTTTTGATCTTGTCAAGGATAACGTCTGCTTCTGCTTGGATTATTTGAAGCTCGTCGTCAGTGTAGTAACCAGATTTCAGGGCAAATTCTGTCAAGTTTTGGGGCAGCTCTTCCTCTTTCCAGCCAGGAGTCTGGTAGAAAGCAGCAATACTGGCGGCTCTTCTCTTACGAGCAATTGCCGAGGCTTCTTTGTAGTCATATGTCGCCGTATTCGTCGTGGTCGCCATCTTTTTACGTGGTCAGCTGGACAACCAAGGTCATCAGGGAGACACTGTTGAACAAGAGGGAAGACACTCTAATGCTTCCCCAATGTGAAGCGCGGATTACCGCGTCGATTGCGGAGTCCGTACACTTTGTTGACGGAGTCTACGATATGATGGACTCGTTCATGATTGGAGACGCGTTGGGAGACAGAAAGAGCCTGATACGGAAGGCGGCCGAGGTACCGATGATGTCCGACACGATGAGCGTGCGCCACAGCATTTGATCTATGACGATACCCACGTGACATGACACCACCGCTTCGCCACAATTTGGGTTGACAAGCGGAGAATCCGGCCGAGTCGGGACAACCGAGGCGTCCCATGGTGGGCTTTTGGTGAATCTAGCAAACGAAAGGGGCACGGAGGGAAATGAGGGATCTGACCGCTGGCGCTCGTTGCAGGCTAAGCGAGGCTGCCGCATCACCTCAAAGTAATGCCAACTGGGGGCTACATGGGACTAAAGTGCAGCTGAGCAAAGAGCCGAATGACCACTTAGAGACACCGGGACGCCCGGAAGTGGCTAAGGGCCACGCTTAGTGAAGGAGGGGTCCTGCGGCGGGGCTCAGCTCTTCGCAGTCTGATGAGTGAATGATTGCTGAGTAGAGTTTGAATGCACCATCACTTCCCAGTGCAGCTTGCGTGGCTGGGAACCTGCGAGCTGCGCAAGCTCTCTTCTTGATCTCAGCTGTCACAATATATATCTGTCCTTTCTTTGCGCCCACCTCATCTTCCCTTCATACACCCGAACCAAGACCTCACAAACCACATCAATTACTTCAAGCGACCTACCCATTACAGTCTTAGCCGTCCTTCGAGTTCACCACACCTAACAATGTCTGGACCCTACGATTCCTACGGCGGCCAGGGCTACGGCTCGCAATACCCTCAGCAGGGCTATGGGCAACAACAGGGCTATCCTCCCCAGCAAGGTTATGACCAGGGCCAGCAATACCCTCCTCAGCAGGGCTATCAGCAATATCCGCCTCAGGACCAAGGCTTTGGACCTCCTCGCCGACAAGATTCCTTCGGCCCTCCCCAGCAGGGCGGCTTCCAGCACGGTCAGCAAACGTACCAATTCGGTCACTACGACGCTAGCAACCCACAAGGCAACTCAGGCTACTATGGCCAACCCCAACAACAACAATATGGCAGCAACGACGCCTACGCGCAAAACCAGGCCTACCAACAACAAATGTCTCACGGCGGACAGGGCCAACAAGGTCAAGGCGTACCGTCCCAAGCGCAAAATCACCAGTTCTCCCCTCAGTCGAGCGATCCCAATGCGCCCAACTACGACCCCAACGCTCCTCCCATGACTGAAAGCGATCGTGGTCTGCTGGGCGCCATTGGTGGTGGCTTTGGTGGTCACTTCTTGGGGAAATCATCAGGTCATGGTTTCCTCGGTACCATCGGAGGTGCCCTTCTGGGCAGTGTTGCCGAAGACTTCATGAAGGACAAGAAGAAGAAGCACCACGGCAGTGGTGGCAGCAGCTGGGGTGGAAGCCGCTACTGAGCCTTGTCGGGGCGGCCGTCTAAACGTGAGATGACGGACGGACGCAGTAATGAGATTGCTGAAATTGATGGTTTTCGGGAACTGGTGGAATACCAAGGACGGGGCTCACGATTGCTTTATGACCTGCATGCTTAATTTTCCTACATGAGAGCATCGGCGATGCTTCGCACGATTCGTTTTATGCGTGGCCAAACTGAGATTACACTATGCGAGGAATGACAACGGATAAACTGAATACACCCTATGAATGAACAACGTTCTTTCGTACCCTCGCCTGCCGTATACCTAGCACTCGTGGATCTCTTGCTGCCCGTCGCCACCTGCTTACTGTACCGTTCTATAGCCGTGCTACCAGAGGCTTCGAGTCACTAACTTCGCCTTGAAACCCTTGTTGGACCTCATCTCCAGCCGGTTGCAAAGGCTTAAACCCAGCATAATCGTTATCAATGACCTTCTGCACAGCCTCGTAAAAGGCCTTCAGCCCGCCGAAGTAGAATCTCAAGGCATACTTCTTGCCGGGCACGTTTTGGCCAAAGATCCAACTTGCCGTTTCCTTGAAGAGACTACCTTCGGCCACGCGCTCACACTCGGCACACCACTCCTGCTCGGCCTCCCTTGTGGCCTCGATGACAGGAAGCTTGCCCTCCTTGCGGCCTTTTTCAGCGCGAGCAATGAGGCCCGAGATGAGGTCCACGTGCGCCTCAATCGTAGGCGGCAGGTTAGTAAACGGCCCCTGAGGGCCCGTGATCAGGAAGAGGTTGGGGAATTTTGGCACTGACACGCCCAAGTAGCTCGTGGGGCCCGTTGGGGTCCAGTATTCCTTGAGTGACATGCCGTCGCGGCCCTGGATGCGCACGCGGTTGTAGTTGCCCTCGATGGCGTCAAAGCCCGTCGCGAAGATCAGCACGTCGAGTTCGTATAGTCTGTCTGTCGTCTGCACGCCCTTCTCCGTGATGCGTGTGATCGGGGTTTCTTGGAGCTGCACGACGTCCACGTTCTCCCTGTTGAACTGCTCGAAGTAGCCGCCGTCGCAGAGCGGGCGCCGCGCATAGTAGTCGTGGGGTTGCAACTTGCGGGCCTTTTCGGGGTCCTTGACGATCTCGCGGATCTTCTTGCGGATAAAGGCACAGGCCGCTTCGTTGGCGACCTTGTCCGTGGCGATGTCGTTGAAGCCGCCGAACATGAAGCGGAAGCCGTTGCCCTGGCGCCAGAGGGATTCAAAGATGGCTTCGCGCTCCTCGGGGGACGAGACAGATGCATACGGCCGCGTGGATTCGACAAAGCCGAACCCGACGGCGCTGTTCTTGACTTGGTCGAATATCGCGTCGTAGTTCTCGTTGACCCACTGGCGGTAGGACGGGTCGACGGGACGATCGCCGCTGGGCACGCTGTACTGGGGGTGTCGTTGGAAGCAGGTCAGCGACTTCACTTTACTGGCTATGTCGGTGATGACTTGGACGCCCGTCGAGCCACAGCCTATTATGCCGACGCGTTTGCCCGTGACGTCGAGCCCTGCTGGCCATCGCGCTGTGTGGACCTTTTGGCCCTGGAACGTGTCGATGCCCGGTATATCGGGGTAGTTGGCTTTCGATAGCAAACCGAGCGCCGTGACGAGATATCGTATCCTGAGAGTCTTGCCCGTGCTCAATTCCACGCGCCAGAGTTTAGACACCTCGTCCCATTTGGCGGACAGCAGCTCCGTGTTGAACAGCATATCCTTCCGCAGGTCGTGTCGCTCGACGACATGCTGGAGGTAGGCCAGGACGTCAGGCTGTTTGACGTAGTGATGTGTCCAGGGGTAGGTTTGCAGGTCTTCCTTGTCCCACGAGAATCGATACACAAAGCTCTCAGTGTCGCTCATCGCCCCGGGGTATCGGTTCCAATACCACGTTCCTCCCACGTCGCTGGCAACGTCTATCACCTTGACTGATAGACCCATCTGTCTCAGCCGGTGGAGTTGATATATCCCGCTGAATCCCGCCCCGATGATAAGAGCATCGAGGTCTACTTCTTGTTGCGCCATCGTCGGCCGTGGTCAACGAGTGTGCCACAACAGAAATGAACTCCCTGAAAATGTAATTGCCAGGTCTATCCGAAGCTCTAGGAGTACCCACGTAGGAATAGATTCAGAAAGCGTGAACGACTGAGTTATCGCATCTGCGCAAGCGACTTACCTAGGTGGGCTGATATGTCTTTACGCGGGAAATGCAATGAAGATTGATAGCCGACGGGTTTCGATTCCCGTGGACGAAGGGTCAAAACCGTGGGGAGGAGATCGACTAATGCAACCTCTCGAGAGTGCTGCATCCGGTGGTACGGAGTACAGCATGTCTCCTTCACTGACTGTCCATAAATTGTGTCGATCCTGTGTTCCGCATGCCATGTTGAGTACAACATGGGAATGATGTTGTTCTTCTGCGCTCTGTTGAGCAAGGGAGAGGAATTCATGGAGAGAGAGTAGCCGCTTGATAGAGCCCAAGCGCCTAACATATGCTTTAACAGAAGGCCTAGCGAACTCTGGGCATGCCTAAAGCACAGCCTGCAGGACTTTTGTGCCAAGTGGGGGCACCGGCTGCGGTCCCTGCACTGCCAATAGTGCTCCCGCAGAGGTTACCCCGAGGTGTGCGGAGTACTTATTCCGTAACGAGGATGCCCACTGTCCATCATCCCCGCTCCTTGCTACTGTCCGCCGCAGAGGGTCTGTCTCTCTGCAAGCTCAGAAGACAGACGGAATGCCACTCGATGCACGCGGCACGACAGACGTGCAAGTCTGCCCCATTCATCGCGATTGGCGGTGGGCTTCCTGTGTCCTCTTCAAAAAGGTAGGTTGCTTCTGATCTCTTGAGCTTGTAACTCACCTTGTTCTCGACACTTCAAACATGACGGGCACAGCAGCGCGCGTGGCTTTTATCTCCGGGGGTGGCGGCGGCATAGGAAAAGCTACCGCTCATAAACTCGCCAGCCGGGGCATATGGACTGTCATAGTGGACATGAACGAGCAGGAAGGGCATACCGTCGCGGATGAGGTGTCGAAGAAATGGGATGTGAAAACCAAGTTTCTCAAGGTCGACATAACCCAGGAACAGCAGGTCAAAGATGCCGTTGCAGCAGCGACCGAATGGACGGGCCGCATCGACTACGCTGCCAACTGTGCGGGAATTTGTGAATCTATCTGGGCGGAAGAGGAGAGCATCACTACGGAGCTTTTCGAGAAGTAGGCACCTGGTCGCCACCCCCACGACTACCTTGTAGCTGACACCGTGCTACAGGACACACGCTATCAATACCAGGGGTCTATGGCTCTCACAAAAATATCAAGCTTTCCAGATGAGAACCCAGGAACCCCGACCAATCTCCTTTGAGCCGGCATGTCCACACAAGATTCCAGGCCAGCGTGGGGCCATCGCGAATGTTGTCTCGATTTCTGGCCTGCAGGCGGCTGGACTCGCTGCATATACTCCCAGTAAGTACGCTGCGGCTGCAGTGACGAAGAATGGAGCCAAGTTCTATGGACCCGAAGGTGTCAGGGTCAATGCTCTGTGCCCTGGGTGGACTTTGACCAAGATGGTGGAACATAGTATGGTCAGTACTGCTTGTGTACCGGGTCTTGTGTCTTCGAGCACCTGCGTCAAAGGCCCTCCACCAAAGAGAACAGACTGCTGACATTGGTGCTTTGGACGCAGGGCAAGGAAGGCATCATCGGCTCAAAGGAGAACGAGGAGTCGGCAGTGAGCAAGGCGATCGCCCTTCGCAGGATGGCATTTGCCGAAGAACAAGCCAATGTGCTGAGCTTCTTGCTCAGCGACGAAAGCAGCTACATGAACGGCTCTTTGGTAGTGAACGACGGCGGTTTCCACGACATTAGATAGTCATTGGAACAGATTCGTTGCTGCTCATCCTGATGGCGGGGCTGACGAGGCCGGGGATACCTGTTCTGCGTTTTCAACGTGCTAGCCGTCCCGTTTGTCTATTTCTTTGTCAGAGAAACAAAGGGGCTAAGCTTGGAGATCGACGTGCTTTTTCAAAGAAGGAATACAGACATGTGTTGCAGGCGAGGCTGAGGGGCGATCCGGATGGAGCAGAGAAGGGTGGCCTGGACGAGCAGGACGTGGCTCTGGAGACGGTCGAGAAAAACCAAGGTGAGCAGCACAGGCCGGTCGTGCAATCAGTTACTACAGTAGAGCCAGTGTGGCGCAGAGGGGTCGGCCAAAGAGAAGCCACAGTTTTCTGCGAGGCGGCGCCTTCCTGCGTGTCCTTGGCTTCCCCACCTTCTCCACGAGATGCACATCCATCCACGCCATCATGGTTGAGTATGTCGATTTTGATTTATTCACTCTTCTCTTCCAGAGCAACGGGCCAGTCTGGCTCGAGCATCGCTCGAGCTTGATCTGGACTTCGTGTCGATTCCTGTCGGTGACCGCGTTCCTTCGACGCCATAATGATTCATCCGTGCTTCCTTGTTACTGCTGGTGACTCATTGCTGAAACACTTATTGGTGGCTAAGCCACCGCTTCCCCGGTCAGTATGCGCCGGTGTACCACAGTAGGCACAATGACCACTGGCTACCAAAAGGACCATCTCTAGTGCCACCATGAGTCCTACCGAGATATCTCTTCGGAGCATGAAAGAAGAGGCTTTCACACACTAGCCATTCACTCTTTAAAGCACCGTCTCCCCGGACTCACCTGGAGAGCACCAGTATCGAAATTTTTCTCAACCTTGATTTGGAACCTCGCCATGTTCATCCACAATCCTGCCTTGGCCGACGAGGTCTCCGCCCTCAATGCTATCTACGGGGATGGCGTCCTTGCTGCCAGCTTCTCTTCTGACCACCATACAACACTGTCGCTCAAGCTGCCATCCTTTGCTTTCTCGTTTCTCCTTCGAGTCTTTGACGATTACCCCCAATCGTCACCTGAGATGATCGGAGTCGATGACTTGGTAGAAAGCTTGAAGCCAGAAGCCCAGCGGGCCGCTGTCTACCTGGGAGCTTGCATGCGTGCAGTCCACTGCCCCGAAACTGTCTCCCTGTTCGATGCCATCGAGGAGTTCGAAACGATCTGCCGATCTTTGGACCTGCAATGCCAGCGCAGCGAGGGTGTCGACCATGTGCCGGAAGCGGAGCCTGCCAACAGAGCTGAGATCTTGCGGGATTTGGCTCTTCGCGCTAGGGCTAAGACAGAAGTCAGACTTGCAGAAGAGTCACATTTTGATATAGTCGATTGTTCGGCCTGTCTTGAACCATATTTCCGGATCGACACAGCAAATCTGCAATGCAAGCATTCATTTTGTGACGACTGCCTTCGCGGTAAGCATCGTGTCTCTTCTATAGATTTGTCAACGGGTCCCTCTTGACTGACACGGAGGCGTAACAGAGGGCGTTGTTAGCACATTCCTGTCCCGCGAAGAGATGACTTGCTGTGGCCAAAGCATCCCCATCAAGCTAATCCGGCAACGCTGTGATTTCAAGGATGACTTCCTGGAAGCCTTTTGCCTGTGGTTGCAGGAACGTAATGCGCCAAATCCGACCTACTGCCCCTGGGAGGATTGTCTCACCTACATTCCACGCCGGTTTGTCCGGCAGGATTACGCCCGGTGCCCATTCTGCGACAGAGCCATGTGTATGCTATGCAAGAAAAAGGACCACAGCGGCGTATGCAGACAAGACAAGAAGCTTAATGCTCTGATTACGGGCTCAGGATGGAAGTTCTGCCCCTGCGGACAGCTCATAGAGAAGAACCTCGGGTGCAACCATATGAGATGTCGATGCGGCGAGGAGTTCTGTTATCGGTGTGGAAAGGCCTACGAACGTCGCATGCCAACCTGTAATTGCGGCTTGTTCGGGTGAAGGGCAAGGGCAGCGGCTGGTCGACTGCCTTCATATGTAAAGCTATATACCCTGTACACTACGATGGAAGATGCGATTCGTATACGGCACATGCCTAGGCATTCACAAGGTCCTTATACTCCTTCCAGAACATATCCATGGCCTCTGAGAACGACTTTGTCGGCAGCTCCAACACGTCATTCGCATACTCTGGCCGTCCCTCATACTGATTCCCCTGCCCAAACGTCCCAAACGTCAACTTGGGCAACTGACTATTGTCGCCACTCCGGACGGCCTCCTTCCCAGCCTCCAACCACGACCCGCTCTCCACATTTTCCGCCTCCCACCCCGGCACGCGCTGCTGCACGGCATCCAGAATCTCGCGCTGACTCGTCCGAAAGTCCTGCACCAGCATAATTTTGTTGCGGGATACCTCGGGCCTCTCAATCGCCCTTACGACGGCAACGGCAACGGTATCCAGCGTCGTGGCCACGAATTTCGCATTCCCGCCGTCCAGCAGCACGGCCTTCTTCTCCTTCCAATGCAGCTGAAAGAACCCCGACGCGACGCCCATCTCGAAAAACGCATTGCAGCAAACACTCGTCCACTCGAGCCCCTGGGCCTCCCGGGCAACGCAGTAGTCGCGCACGTCGTGCTTGATCTTGAACATCTCGCGCAGCTGCAGCAGCCATTCGGGGAGGTCGTCGAGGCCAAACTCCGTGGGGAAGTACCGTTTCACTTTGGCCGCCACGCAGGCGTCGATGAATTTGTATTGCTCGCCCATGCCGAGCATGCTGACGGCAGCCACCACGACGTCCACTCCGCGAAACGCCTGCTCGAGTTCCCCGGCGGGGTAGTCGTCCCCCACGCGGGCCACGGTCACAGAGTCGGGGAAGGTGGCGGTCGAGGATTGCCGCGAGAGGACTTTGATCTGGAAGTTCTGGGAAGAGGCGAGGAGGTGTTTGAGGATCAGGGTGCCGAGGTTGCCGGAGGCGCCGATGAGGCAGATTGAGTGGAATGCCATCTTGAGGTGATATTGTTGTTGTTGCTGTTGGGATCGGCGTATGTCCCAGACGAGATGGAGATGAGGCCGAGTTAACGATCAGGATCAGGATCAGGATCAGGAGTAAGATAAAGGTCCAGCTTCAAGGGCTAGACGTTCGAACTCAGGTGCTTGGTCTTGGTCTGTAGAGTAAAGTCAAGACAAGTCGAGCTGATGTCTCTCGCGCGGTGGAAGGAGAGCACCGCGAATCGAATTCGAATACTGTAGGATATGGTGAAAATGTTTGAGTGGGTTGTGTGTGTAGTAACTCATACTGTGTGTTCTCGTGTGGATCTACTCGACGCGCTTATAAACCGTCTATATACATTCAACGTACTCTTCTCTGACTCCTATTAGGTATCTACTCCACGTCTCGGCAGATCGAAGAACTCGTGGGGCAACGGGCGAGAGAGCACGCAATAACGCGAGGTTACCTCTCGCATCACGCGCTCCTCCGTAGGAAATCACTGCGCGAGTGATTACCATGTGTCGTACTCTCGCTAGGGATGATAACCCGTGCCTTTTAAGCAGAACCTGAGGCCAACATTTGGATTCTCTCAGTACATGCCATCAGAGATATGTGATTTTGGCTCAGTGTCTGACCAGCAGATCCTAACGTCCCCGCGAGACACCCTTGGTTCCTGAACAGTATTGACCCCACGTTGGGGTAGAACTCAGGGCGATCCCGACCTCGGATTCTTCTCCAACACGTTCCAACCCACAGTTTGCTTGCAGTAAGGAGGTCAGCCTCGCAGGGTACAGTACACGTTCATGGGACAGGTTGTGAGGCGTCGGTTAGTGTACTGTGGTGGACGCGAATGCAGCGCAAGAGCGCTCCTGCAATTCGGCGTTGGGCAACGATTCTTCCATCACCTTTCATTATACGACACTTAAAGAGTCCTGATGGTTTGCACACCTTTCCTTCGGTCAACCTTATCGTGGAACCACGGCTAGGTAAGGTTTGATGACCGTGGCAGATCAAAGAGGCCGTCCATAGTCAAGCCGAGTCACCGAAACGTGCCTTGTTCTATCGGCCTCTAATTACCATGCTTGGCTTGTGGGCAACGACTCCCTTCGGTGCTGATACGTACTGTACAACATCCCAGTGCGCCAAATGCTTGCTCTAATGTGAAAATACATAGACGTGAGTGGCTAGGCCCTGTGCATGCCGAGCCTGGTGGCACAGTCACGAGTTCTCGTGTTCAGATGGTTGTTCAGCTCCAGCAAGCGATCAAATAATCCTCAGCGTTCTTGGACCTCAGTTTCTCGGCGAAGCCAGGTTCCATCACTACGGCTGGGCCAGCCCAACCATAGCTGAAGTCGTTCTAACCATGGAGGACGAGGCGGACTTTGGAACGGAAGCATCCTTTGAGCTTGTCGCCCTTTCTGGTTTCCCGGCTGACTGGTGGAAGACGGAAAGGCAGTGTCTGCTAGGGCTAACAGCCTACCGCACACAGTTTGCCTTGTTTCTGCAGTATATCGGACACCTTCTTATCTGTGCAGTCGCGGTACGGCCGGCCTAAGCAAGGTCGTTCACAATATAGGTGCAGGATAAAGTCGAAAAACACGGGCGCGGACAAAAGGTAGCAAGCCATTCGGTGGTAGGATAGGCCTGTTCACAAGCAGCCGGACCAGCTTCACGCCAAACGAGGAGTCCGGTGTCTGATTCTGAGCACCAAGTCCCACAACTCTAGCAAGATCTGAAGAGCTGGACAGCTGAATTTGCGGGGTTCGATACGAGCAAAATGCCGTTTCGGACACAGTAACGGGGGCGTCTGGCTCCTCATTCGCCAACGGGTTCAGCCTCGCTACACAACATCATACGGTCGCGATGAACACCCCGGCCCCGTTTCCAAAAGCCTCAGCATCGAACAGGCGATCTCGTCGCGGGTCATGTCTGATTTTGGTCGTCAGCTGTCCTTCATGGTCCAATGCGCGAGCCAGAGGCTGGCACGGGCTCTCGCACACGAGGCAACGGCTGCAGGGGATATGGGTGTTTGAGGGCTGCAAGTTCAGCTGTGACCCTCGGTTGACGTCGTCGAAAGTAGCCCTCGTTGCTACTTAGTGAAGACCTGTCCCCTCGCAAAAAGTGCTTGGTATCCATGCAAGGGATCAAGTCTTCTCGACAACCTCTGAGAGAAGCTTTCGGATACCGCCTCAAGATGGGCTCAGTCGCGACGCTGCTCTTTCTTGTCTTACTGCCCGCCAGCCGCATCCTGGCCTGGGGCGAGCATGGCCACCGGACGATTGGCTATCTCTCACAAATGTACTTTACCACCGAGGCTGAAAACTTGTTCAACAAACTCGTGCAACCCAATGATGATTTTGACATTTCCGACGGGGCCGTTTGGGCGGACAGCTTTGCTACCCAGAGCAAAATGCCTTGGTCTAAGCCATGGCATTATATTGATGCCAAGGACGAACCACCCGAGAAGTGCAAGGTGAACTTTAATGCCGATTGTGACTCTGCAAAGAACTGTATCGTCGGAGCCATTGCAAACTTGGTGAGACTACACGCACTTTTAACTGCTCCATTCTGTTGCCGGCTAACAGCGGTAGACCAAGCAAGTCAACAACCCCAGGTTGGAGCCGAAAGAGCAGAGCGCCGCCTTGAAGTTCCTCCTCCATTTCCTGGGCGACATCACGCAACCACTGCACACCGAGCAGAAGTGCAGAGGCGGTACAAGACTCATGGTGCAATGGGGCAAACCGGGCTCCCGGGAAGAAGACCTGCATCAAGTCTGGGACAAGCTCATCATCCAAAAACTTCGGAGCTACAAAAAACCCAGCGGGGGTGACCCGGACAATGAGTACGACAAGAAACTCTCACTGGAATGGGCCCAGGAGCTCAAACGCAAGCTTGACCGAGACGGATTTGACCTTTCCGAGGAGTGTACTGACATTACGAAAGCACAGAAGTGTGCTCTGGCGTGGGCGTCTGAGGCGAATGGTTTCGTGTGCAGCTATGTACTAAAGGGTGTTGGCACGAATACTGGCCCGGATCCCTGCGAGGAGTGCTGTGAGTGGGATTGGCAGGGGCCGGAGGACTTGTCGAAGGAATATTACGAGGGCGCTGTTCCCATAGTCGAGGAGCAGGTCGCCAAAGCAGGATGGAGGCTCGGACAGTGGATCAATGCCTTGGCGGAACAGCGAGTCCAGATGGAGAGGGCGGGCGTTGTGTTTGGAGAGGAGGTCTTGCAGGTCCAGCCGCGGGAGGAAATGTGAATGTAGAATGTACGAGCACACCGTACGGAGTACATACTGTGTACTGTGTACTCCGTAGCCACAGAAGTAAATCGCAGTGGAGCGGGAAAGGACGCGGTAACTGTAGGCAGTAGCTGCCCGTGATTTTCCGCCGCCAGCTCCGGCAACGCCCCCCGGAGCCCCGTCATGCGCCCATCACGCCGCTCCACCCATCCGTGCCTCAGACCGGCCGCCGCTCTTTGCCAATCATGGACTTGCGTAACACCGCGTGTTTCGTGTCTCGGGTTGCTCGCATGTCGCCCTTTCAACGTCCCTCAGCTGTCGCTCATTCAACATGGCCTCGTAAGAGGATGATGACGACTTTCCTTGTCCGCTCCTCACCCTCTTTCAAGCCCCAGCCTTTCAGTCCACTCCCGCCGCCAGCATGGCCGAAGATCCCCAACCTCTGACCCTCAAGGAACGCATTCAAGCACTGAATGCCGCCCATATCGGCCGCATTCCTGGAGAGCCGCCACGACCCTCGTCACAACCTCCTCCTATTGCCGCCCAGCGTCCCGTGGCGGTCAAGCAGCACAGTGTCAACATCCCGCCGGAAAAGGTCAATGGATCAGTCCTTGACTCGACGCCGGGCAACCTGCCTGCTCCTCCTCCTCCGCCTCTCGTCAGAAAGCAACCTCCGCCACTCCCCAGTCGCAATACGAGTACTTCGCTGGAAGAACAGAGGAGGGGCTCGGTAGCGTCGACTGTTTCGAGTGGTACAAATGACACATCTTCTTCCACAAGGACCTCGACCGTAAGGACCAAGTCGACAGATTCGCTTAGCAGGGTCAAAGCCCCAGCATGGGGGGAATGCCAACTGCCCGCTCTGCCGCCCCGACACACCAACCCACAGGCTGTCACGAGGAAATCGGACGAGCAACCTGGCTATGCGAATCGAGCTGCTTCGGCGACGTCTGTGGTCACGTCCGCCTTGACCCAGAAAGCCAGACCTGCCCCACCACCTCGACCCTCTCTTCCGCCGAGGCGACCTTCATCCAAACATGAGAGTTCTCAGCAAGAGCCTGCTGCGGATGGCCCGATCCGCAAGATGCCTCCTGTGCCCTCCGCCGAGTCGATAGAAAGGGCAAAGAGGGCTGCTTTTGGTTATAATGCTCCCAACGACCAGCAGACGGCTCAGAGACCTGTGGCAGCCACGGAACCGGTACAATCGCCGATAAGATTTCCTATATCTTTACCTGTTCGCCTGCCCTCCCTGCCTTGTCAGCCAGTCACACCAAGAGATGCTGAGATCACTCGGCAGACGCACAATCAGCCAGCTCCCCCTCCCGTTCCGGTGTCTTCGCGACCAGATCTTTCGGCGATGCAGGCTCAGAAACCCAAGTTCGCCACTACCCCATGCAACGGCAATCTGTCGCCACCTATTGATATTTGCTTGGTCTGTCGCGACTTTTCAGGACCCGATCACCAAGCCACCCTATTTCCCAGAACTCAAGTCACATCTCTCCAAACCTTGGCCCAGCAGTTGACAGCGCCATTTCCGTCGCCGACGGACAAAGCTCGCGCAATCTTTTCCTGGCTGCATCACAACATTGCCTACGATGTCGTCAGCTTCTTCAACAACAACGTCAGAGGCTCCACGCCACAGTCAACCCTGCAAACCGGCCTGGCAGTCTGCGAAGGTTACGCCGCGCTGTTCACAAACCTGGCCACCTACGCGGGCCTGGAATCCGTCGTCATTTCAGGCCACGGCAAAGGCTACGGCTTCAGCTCCCTCGCCCCCGGGTCGCCCCTTCCACCCTACAACGCAGGCCACGCTTGGAACGCCGTCCGGATCGACAATGGAGAATGGAAGCTGATCGACGCGTGCTGGGGCGCAGGCCATGTCCAGGGCCCAGGCCAACCCTATGTCAAGAAATTCCACTCCGAATGCTTCACCATGTCGAACGAGGAGTTCGGCGTCAAGCACTTCCCAGGCAACAAGGACCACTTTTTTCTGCCCGGCGGTCGCCGCATGAGCTGGGAAGAATACATCGTGATCGACCCGGCCAGTTGGCCCGACATGGTTGAGGGCCCCACCATCTTCACCAACGCCAAAGAGGATTACTCGATTGGCGAGAAAACCGTGCACCCTCGAGCGCGGAAAATAGTCGTACGCCAGCAAGGGGCAGTCCGCTTCCAGTTCGGGCTGCGCTGCGCGCATTGGACGCTCGAACACCACACGCGCAAGGGCCTGCCGCCGGTCTTCGTCGTCCAAGTCAGCGGAGTCGATGGGCGAAATAAGGATCTGATCCCTCTGGAGCATTATCCCGGGCCGGCTCCCGGGCAGCGCGGCGATCTGTGGTGCGCGGACATTCCTGCCTGCGAACTAGGCGCGCCGGGTCAGACAGTCACCCTTTTCGCGATCACGAGTTTCGGCAACAGGCAGGACTGTCGCGGGCTCACTGTCCGAGAGTTCCGCGAGGGAAAAGGCAGGGTCGGAATGGGGTTTACGGGTGTTGCGGCTTGGGATCTTGTTTGATCCTGAAGTTTTTTTCATCGAATGCTCTTGTATTCGTATCCTTATGCATGGCGTTGGGGTGTTGGGGTTGTTGGGAGGTTTGGATCTTGACGGTCAATCACATCAGGCCTTGAAGTTACGCTACAGCACGCTACGACCACATCACATTTCAAAAGTCACTCTGCGCTACGCAGGTAATGCGTGTATCTTGCGACGCAATGCAAGGCTCTTGCGCTTGAGGCGGAACGCTTGGGATATGGCAGGTCCGAAGGCGATAAGAGGGACAGGACAAGGAAAATGGAAAATGACACGAGATACCCACTATACTATTTTCATTCATTCCATGCAGGAGGGGGGTCAGAAATAGATTAATATCAGTTAATTAGGCGGTTTTTTTTTGGCAAAAGGAATCGAGGCGGCGGGATCTTAGGAGAGTGAAGTCAGACTCGAATATAGCGATTGGCGGTGTGTACATGTCTCTCTCATCCCCCCCTCTCTCTTTCCCGGTGTGCTTGAAGTACGGAGTAAACCCGCCTTGTTTGTTCCTCCCTCTGGTACGGAGTACTGTAGGAAATAAATGCCAGTCCGGCTCGTGTCGGACTACGGTATCTACACCGGGTCCTCTACTACTTAGTGGTACTGCAAATGAGGCGACGATCCGTCCTGGTTCTGCTATTTGAGGCGCTGGAAAGGGAGGAAAGAGGAGGAGGCCAATGCCATACTCTGCTATGATAGCCTGTGTAGTGGTGGATGCATATGGAGAGAAAGCTGTGCATGTGGCATATGTGCTGTGGCAGCGACCACTTGCAAGCCAAGCAAACCAAGCAGATATACATGTAATTATGTATACATACTGAATACGTACGTTATGCTACCTATGCCCAGTACCATACGGGGCACGACTCCAGCTATCCGCCGTGCATACCAAGAATACGCCGTACTGCTACTCCGATCAATGACTAGATACAGTTGCTGGATGACTGCACGGCTTTACAGACGGGGTATCTTATCGGATCCGGACACGCACGTCGCAGGGTTCGACACGGCTAGGGCGCTGGGTCCCAAGTTTGCCGGAGGACCCCTGCTCGCGAGCTTCATTGCGCGCTTGAGTGTCAGCTTCAACTTCAGAGCGGGCGCTGCACACTTCGCCACGACCCTCGGGCGTTGCTCGCTCGCCGTGTCGCTCCAGGTCTCCTAGCAGGGTGACTGAAACGTTCACGTCGATTCGAGCTCTGTGGCCCGGTCTCCGCGTGCGGGTATAGCGTCGTCTCCAGGGTTGTTGGTGGTTAGCTCGGCTGGCCGCGCGCTACACAACCACTCTCCGCGCCTTCCACACCCTCCACGCCACGCACCAGCAACAGATGGCGAGGGTGACGCTTGCTGCACAGCCCCATGTCCACGCGCCGAAGCACAGATAGCCATGACACTCTCCCTCCGCCGTGTCTGCCTCTTTGTTCGACGCACTAGAGTACGCGACGGAGTATACGACGCTCCATACTGCGGCACCACCCGCAGGCATCATTGCCACGACGCCCCAATTTGTCGCGAAGTTCTCGACGCCCCATACCACGGAGATGATGATGGGCACGAGGGAGAAGCACGCGCCGTAGCCGAGGCCGAGCAGCGCCGATGAGAGGAGAAATAAGCTTGGATGAGCCGACACCAAGGGGCGGATGCCTAGATTCAAGAAGCAGAGAAGAAGGAGGAATGCAGAAGGGATGAGGAGCGAGAGACGGGAGAAGTGGAACCTCGCGCTAGGTGGAGAGGCTGGGTTCGATGGCGGCGCGAACAGATCGGATAATGTGCCTGTGAACAAGCGGGCAAAGGTTGATGCTAGCGCGATGATGGAGACGTGGGTGCTTGCTTGTCCTGCTGGTGGGGCAATGATGTTGCCATCGCCATCGACAAAGTTGTAGTCCCTGGGCGTTAATGTCGGGATAATCGTGCCCAGGTTGTTGATGTAGGCTTCGCCCGGACCGGTTACGAGGAAAAACCCCACAGCCAGAAGCCACATTGTCCGGTCGGTGAGAAAGGCGTGGGTCGCGTGATTGAGGAGCCAGTACTTTTTCCGGCGGAGGCGGCGCGTCTCTTCGTGTTTCTTGATGAGTTGCGACTCGGAGAGGAGGAGGTCGGCTTGCGAGTCGAGGTCGTCGTCCGAGTTGGCTCCGGAGCGGTCGCCTTCTTCCTCGTCGCTACCAATGGTGCCGTAGTTGACTGGCGTCGGCGCACGGGACGAGTCACGGTAAAATTCGCTTTCGTCCAGCAGACCACTCCGCTCGAGATTTTCTACCCCGGTCTCGATGAGTTCCTCTTCGTCCACAATGCGCAATCCCAGGGTGCCCAGGATTCCAACGCCAATCAATGTGCCCGCAAGGAAGACGAAGTACTTGAATACATCGACTTCTCCCTTGTGACCATTGGGCAGCCTCTCGTACAGCAAATGCGCTCCGACTTGAGATTCCCACATCCCGCTCAATCCAAATGCCGCAATGGGAACCGCAAGCATGAAACCCCTATATTTCGCCTTGGCGAAGTTCTTCGCGCATGTTGCCACGGCAGAAATGTACATGGAGCAAGTGCCTGCGCCAATCAAGACAAAGGCAAGCACCATGACGCCAAACGGCCATCCATTGCCTGGATGGGTCGCGGCATCTGGGGGCGGTCCTGACTTGTATGTATACGCTGCCAGAAGGTAGCCGGTGCCGAAGAGGACGGAGGAGAGGAAAGAGAGAGGCGGTGGCGAGTAACGATCGCATATGTAGCCGAATATTGGCACCACGAGGTACAAGCCCAGCTCGGCCGAGATTGACACAATGTTGACGCGGAACTGGGTGTAATGCAGGTCTTGCAGGAATCGAGCGCCATAGAGGGAAAAGGATGTGATTGATCCGGCACATAAACTGTAAGGTAATCAGTCATGGGCTCTTCCAACAGGCCAGTGTAGACCGTGTGGATCGTACCAGCTGAGCACGGCGCAGACAAAGCTCAAGACTCTGATAACCTCCCTGCGCATCCTGGCGCGGTCCCGCTCGATGATCTCTTCGGCAACCTGGCCCATGAAGTCGAAATCATCGTCTCCAGGTCGAGGGCGTGAGCTGCTTGACGAGCGTCGCCTGCGTCTTCGATTGGCATCAAAGTCTAGGGCATCAATGCCAGGATTCGTAGGCGCCATGTTGTTGCCTGGCCAGGCGCAACAGCAAACGGGTCGGACTCCTGCTAGGAGGAGGTTAAGGATAGGGTCTTGATAAGGAACGCGGGCTCATGGCGGAGAGCTTGACATCACGAGTGTGATAGCATCTCCGATAATCATACAATGCTGGCCCAGCGGAGAGTGAGTGACTGGGTATGGGTAAACAGTCTCACAACGATGTGTTGTCGGGAGTTGCGTCGCCGGGAGTTGCGTCGCATTGCACCGCGGGTTGACCAATGGTCGATGACGCAACCCTACGCGACTGGATGCCGAAGTGAATTGATTGTCAACGTGAAGGGAGTTAATTATTGGTCATTTACATTCTTCACCATCCTTTGCCATCTTCTCATCACCGTTTATTGACACTGCCACTTCTACAAGACTGTCGTAGATGTATTTATCTCGGCCATCTGGACAGTCCTCCCTCCATATGTCTCGAATGGCAGCAGAATACTCAGCACAGCCAGAGTCTCGAACAGCGCGCCACAGGTGAAGAACGGGACAGTGGTCTCGACATCGACATGTGACCCGAGCAAGACACCGACAATGCCTCCAGGTTGATTCAAAAACCACGCAGATTGCATAGCCCGTGGCTCTGCGCAGCTGGCAGGATCTCCGGTGGATACGTGGATACGATCCAATATTAGATGTTGCTGGCTGCTGCAATAACGCAGGCCACGCAGACGTTCTGGGCCGTTTTCTTGAGCTGGTTATACCTGAATTGCAATGACGGCGTGTTGCAGCCCCGGTCGCGAGAGATTCGCGGCGTGCGAGCTAATGAAGCGCCTCATGAACGGCAGCAGTGCTCGGCCCAGGCCAGCCACCGGGTTGAGTGCACAGTTAGGGCAGACAGTGTCTGTGGGTGCTCGACGTCAGCTGCCTTGTCATTAAAGGTGAGACTAGATTTAGCCAGTAATGACTTGCTGGGGGAGTCCTTGATCAGGTTTGTTGCATCCAGTATATAATTACGGTACTACCAGCACCGGCCGAGTAAACGGTAACCCCTGCCCTCAGCTCGATCTGCTGTAACAGGGCAAAAGGATCTGGAGTGACTGACATGGCGCAAAGGAGATGTATCTGGGCGTGACGCCAGCTATCAGCACAAATGCGGCGCCGATGGACAGGCTGGTGTTGACCGCCGCTGGACGGCCAATAGTATCTGCGCTGAAACCCGACAAGGCTGCTCTAAAATGACAGGCCGCCCTGAGAAGCCAGAGCGACGCCGGTATTATGATTGCTTGGGTTCCCAATATCTTGATCACAGCCGGCGAAACGCCTGGATGCCCTCGGAACACTCTGCAGGGCCGTCAGCTCAGAGCGTCCTTTCCCAGCTATCTTATGACTTAGGAGCATACCCCAGGGCCAGCAGGTGTATTCCCCATGGTCTTGACCGCGGCAAGATAGAGGACCCCTTGCACCCGGAGTGGACGACACCATCAATAGCGGCAAGACGACATTGTCTGGTACTTAATCTGGCAATACGGCCATGTCCTTAATCGCCAGGCCGGCGATAGGGCACGATGCTTCCGCATATCCTGCACTTCTGGAACCCCAAGCCGCCGCCAGGGGCAGATAGACGTTTCAGATGAGGACTTGCTTCGAACTTCTTGTTATCTGCGACCAGTTTTACCGACTACGTCCTCTAGTCCGGCGCCAGCATCTTCCGTGACTTGAGGCAGTCCTTGGCTGTGAATCCATTTCCTTGGCGCCGGACTCAGGTCCGCACGTATATAGCATAAGCTCTATGAATCTTAGGTTAGGACGACTGTGTTGGTCTCAACGCCCCTGAAGCCGCGAGCCTCGCTGCACCGGACCATCAAATACCGAGTAAGCGAGGTGGCCAACGGTGGCGCACACAGCCGCTCTACCCTACCACGCCTATGTACCTAATTATCACGGCTCCATATCCAGTTGTTACGCAATACAGCGCACAGCACGACCTCTCGCTTCTGCAGGTAAATTGGGTGTCCAGGAGCCGGGACGGGCGCCCTCCTCTGTCCAGAAGCAGGGCGGGCCGTGATTCCTCTGATTCCTAGACAGGTGCTTTCCCAATCTAACTTTCTAGAGCGGATGATCACCGACCTAGGTTCCTACCTACTCTTCCCCATCTAACATGGTCCTCGCGGTCGAGTTGTGCAACCCACCCTGTGCCCCTAGTGGATGAGCTAGAGACAGTGCTTAACATCTTCGTGAGCTTTAGTACACAGACCCTACAATGCTGTGGGCATCCTGACTCCCCGCCCCTTCTGATACAGTACTTACTGGTGAGATGCACGAGTCGTTCCTCCCTGCTGAAGACGGTGCGCGGGACGAAATACAGTAGGTCAGTACGCTGACGGTCAAGACGAATTGTTGAGAATTAGGGTACAGTAGACGGACGGTGTCGTGAATATCCGAGTCATGCGATACTTCCACTACTCCTTCCCAGTAGAGGTCGAGCTTTCTTTGGACGCACTGTTGTTCACTCCGGGGGCATGCATTTCTCCATAGTACTGCAATTCTCGACCGATACCTCCCGCTTACCGACTACAGGTTCGAATGCACTATTCCGATGTTCCCCTCGAGAATACTGGCGAGTCCTAGCCAATCTATCATCTATGGTACAGGTACACTACGGTATGCTGCTCGACCCGGCATTTTGCACGCGATCGACCGAAGTGGATGCGGGGACTATGATTGCCTTAATTTTATCCCCATACCGCCTTTACTTTGTGGACTCCCATTCCGGATTCTGCGAGCTCGTTAGTACGATGGCATTTTTCAAGTGGGGAAGATAAGGTCAATAACCGACCTTGCGTAGAATGACCAAACCCTCGAGCGTGCTGCTCAAACAAATATATTCCTCGTCCTCCAACTCCGCTCGTTCTCCATGCGCCAACAACACCGGCGTGCTCTGGGTTTGCCAACCGGTAATGGTTCTCGGTCGACCAGCTTGACCCACGACATCGACTGCTTGGCCGACTCGTACGTTCACGGTAAGTGGTTTCAAGTCTTCATCGAGCGTCACCAGGAATCTCGGATACATGGCTGTGACCAGAAAGTAGAGGAGGTAATGCGCGTCGCCGAGGATGAACTGTTTCGCATCGATCAGGGATACCAGCACGGTCAGAAGACCTGCCGCAGCGACTCTTGACAAGACCTGTCGGTCGGTGTGGAAAGGGTTGAGAGACATCGTGCCTTTGCCCATGTGGACGAGACCCTGGGCGATTCGGACCATGAATAACGAATTCTGATCCCGGTGGTAGTAGCTGGCTAGCTGTCTCAGCAGTTGTGCGAGACGAGCATTGTTCGTCCCGGCTCCGACCAGACCCATTGCGAAAATGGCGTTGATGGCAACATCGTTGTCATTGTCGTGACTGTAGCGTGACAGGGTGTCGTAGATCTTCATTTGTGGATTGCTGGGGCTGATCAAACCCATGGCGAGAGGCACGGCCTTCCGGATGTTAGCCTCGCCGTAGTGCATTAAGTGGCCAAATTGTCGAAGAATCATCTCCTGACCGACATCCTCGCCCATGGCGATCAAAGACAGACCGAGCACAGAGTATGATTGTACCAATTGCTCGCCGACGTTATCTTCCTTGTCTTCCAAGTGATCATTCAGCAGGTGAAGGAGATCTTGCAGCTTAAGCACAGCTCCTGTACCTGCCCAGGCACAGACCGAGGCCAGTGTCGCAGTAGGCAAGGACATGGGATGGTCAACCGCCTTAAGGATGTCCAGGATCACATCGACCTCCTCTTGCCGGCCAAAGTAGAGAAGGGCCAATCCCAACGCCATGAATCTTGCCCACTTGTCCTTGAGCTGCTTCTGCCTCACTTCATCCATCATCTGGGTGGCGATGGCTTCGGCGACTTGGTGATTCGAGGATCCCACAAAAATCATACCCAACGAGACAGCAGCCATTGCAGACAATTGCATCTCCAGGCCGTTGTCCTCAAGGATGGGCAGCAGATAATCCAACAGGTCTTCCCGATTTGAGCCAGCATACGACAAACCCAGACCCATAATCGCAGCCACTCTAATGGAAGGTTTGTTGCTGTTGAGCACATCGTCATCGCTGAGCAGAGAAATGACTGGGTCACCTTCCATTCTGACCCCGGAATTGACCACGCCATACGCCAGTAAAGCTCCAGCCTTAATGGAGTCCTCGGAAGCCTGTTGAAATCTATCGATGACGTCCAAGCTGCCCTCCACGTCCCATTGCATGAGCATTCCCAGCGATGCCGTGGCAGATAGCATGCCATCATCTTTCGTCTTCCATACCCACGGGCGTTGTTCGCCTTCTACCAACATAAGCTTGTCGGTGCCGAATCCTGCATTGACAAAAGCGTTGACGAATGAGCTGGCCAGGTTGTGCTTCGCTGAGTCTGCGGCGGCCGAGCTACCGCGACCGCTCTCCAGATGTGTCTTGTAGATATCCTCCGGCACCTTGGGCTCTAGAATGTTGAGCTCTTTAGCTAAGGTCTTGAAGTGGGTAGGCAGCTGTGTGTTTCCTATACACTCAGCAATCTCCTGTTCATCCTTGCCATCGCCCCCAAGGTCTACCGATATGCGCTGTCGGGCCATCAGGAAAGCGAGCTGTTTCTTCAGTGCCAAATCGTCCGTCGATTCCAAATCCTGCTGTATAAGCTCGTGGTCATTCAATCTTATTGCAAGGACCATTGCCTGGGCAAGCTTGTTGTACTTAACATAGATGTCGTGGGCGGTTTTGAGGAAAGCGATGTCGTCGGGATAGGTGAGCAAGTTGACCATGCTAGTCATGTACAGGCAAACACGGCCGAAAGTATTCTCGTCCAAGAATCGCGTGATCTCCTCGATCATCTCCAGCTCACTGAGAAGATCCACAGCATCGGCTTCCGCGTTGTGGCTGAGGAAGTAGGGTACCAAGGACAGAGCCAGATCCGTCAAGTCGCCGACGTCCTTTTCGTCTGTCAGGCGATTCTGGTATTCTTGACCGATCTCAAGCGCTAGATGTCTGATGTATTCGTGACCCCAGGATCCCAGATCGTCCGACCTGTTCGACAGCAGTCTGAATTTCAGGGTTTCTAGCTTGTCTTCATCCCCATATGTCATGCCCAACACCGACAACATATCTGCCAGAGAGTCCTTGTCGGATCCGGCAGACCACTTGTCGTAAAGGGCGGCGATTTCATCGTAGTGAGGGCGGAGGAATTTGAGGGGTTTGGGCACGGCGGTCATGGAGGAAGTCGAGGTCTTGATAAAGTTTTTGATGGCGTCGATCGAGGGCTGGTAAAGAGAGGCATCATTTTCTTTTAATCTCTCAACCAGCATCTCGAGATCAGTCTTGAGTTGTTGATCCTCTTCGCTGAGTTCTTCCTCAGGAACAGGTTCGCCGGGCTTCTTTGGCTCGCCTGCTTTGTCGGCTGTCTTTTCTGTGGCGTCGCTCTTGTCGCCATTTGACATGGGAACATCGTCTGCCTTGCCCTTGCCCTTCTCCGCGGCGGTGGGCTTCTTGTCGTCCTGCGCCATCTTGCACCCGGCCCTTCAGTGGCCACTAAATGTAGGGAGAGGTAGATGAAAACCAGGGTCGGAGCACGCGAGTAACGAACGGGAATATTTAAGAAATGAACAATGACTGGGACGCAGGAGAGTGATTTGCGCAGCGCAAGTGGTGGATTTGGCTGAGTTGGGAAGTGTATGTACCTGGACAGATCGGCCGCAGGCGTCAAGAAGCTTACGGAATAGGTGAAAGACGAAATGGTGATCCACCAAAATACTGACCAGCGGGAGAGGGAGCGTGTCTCCGGGGAAGGCGATTCAATGAGGCTGCATCAGGCTGGCACGGCCTTCGGAGTTACTATTTTCCCGCATTCCGAGCCCGGTGCACTCCAACTCTCAGGTTCACGAATTCGAGGCTCACCTTTGCATTGAAAAGGCCCACGACCACCCACACTCCATCTTCCCTGTCGCACCATGCCTCGCGGCATACGAGTCCGCGCGAGAGTCAACGTCCGAACAACTCCGCCGGTCCTCCGCACGAAACGAGTCCATCCCGTCGACGGCGACGGGCCTCGACTCTGGAACGCCAAACGACGCATCCAATCCAGCAAAGGGCTCTCCTTCTGGCAAGCCAAGAACTTGGTAAACAAGGATGAACTGCGGCGGCAGACGTGGCCCGGCTGCAAGGCATGGAAGCCACTAATCGACAACGAGGAAATAAACATGGAGTGGTGGAAGCTCGACAGCGAGGCTCTGCCGCAGTTCATTGAGGCACACCCCAACCTACGGACGCTATCGCCAGACGTCAAGACCTTCATCCAGCAAGGGTCCATCAACCTCAACCGCTCCAACATTCTACGCATATTGCTAGACCCCTCGAAATACTTCTCCTTCCCCTCCAATGTCCCGCACAGCATGCGGAAGCAGGTCTACTTGTAAGTTGGGGCGTCGTTCTCTTTGATCATGTTCTGTTCTTCCCTCATCCCAGTCGCTCGGGGCAAGCGTCTCCGTAACCACGATCTGACAATCTACACCCGATCAGCCCGTCCCCCGAAGACGCAGTCGTGCTCATGCGCACACCCCATCTCGGCCCGCGCTACTCCGCCTTCGACGTACCACTACACTTCAACAAGCTCGACCTGAAAGCCTACCTCAAGGACGTCTACAACGTTGATGTACTGCACATCCGCAGCGCCGTCTTTCAGCAGAAGCTCGACCGCAAGGAAGGCCGCGACATGTACTCGCGCGGCCAGGCCTTCCGGCCGGGCAGCAAGAAGAAAATGACCTGTCTGCTTGCGAAGCCGTTCGTCTACCCTGAAGAGCCCGAGAATCTCGACGCGTAAGTTTCTTCCCCACATAACCCACAAGTGCACCGCGCCGGTCAACAAGCTAACACATTCGACCACAGCTGGGAGCACAACGAATACTGGGCCTCGATGAAGGCCATTGTGGAAAAGAACCGCGAGGAGTCCGAATGGGGCATGCACAACCCGAACCAGAAACACCGCAAAGCTATCGCCGTGCAAGCGCAGCAGTTGCTCAAAGGCAAGACGCGGTGGGCGCCCACGTGGCAGAATTTCGCCGACGATTGGCGTGCTATGCGTGGGCTCACTGGGGCGGAGTCCACACAGCAGCCCGTCGGAGGGTCGGGGCCGTCTGTATGATACAGAATTCTGCCTGTCGACGCTCATACGTAGAACGGCGTGGTCATAATGTACAACACATTTCACATCTTGATGCAAAAGCATCGCGTACAGGAGTGAATGAAGGGAGATGGTCTCATCGTGACACCGTCAGGGCGGCTTGCTATAGAACAGAATACAGGAAGTGCCGCTTGCTAAAGGCAACGTTTGATCGGGCGCTCCGCCTAACGAACTCGGCATCGTTTCATACACAACCACGAGCGGCAAAGCAGGAATCTGATCGTGTATCCTACAGTCTGCTCTCCACCTGGGCAATATACTGATCCGTCGCCCACGTCGAGTCTGGCCAGATATGTCTCAATGCCTCGTAGACATGCCTAGAAGTATGACATATTAGATCTCGTGCGATAATTGCAGAAGAAAGGGATACTCACTTGACGTGCACGATCCTCAGCTCGCGCTTCACCTCGTCCGGCACGTCCTTGACATCCTTCTTGTTCCCTACGGGCAACAGCACAGTCTTGACTCCCGCGCGATGAGCACCTATCAACTTCTCCTTGATCCCACCCACGGGCATGACGCGGCCCCTTAAACTGACTTCACCGGTCATCGCGATCGTCGGTGGCACGGTTTTGCCGCTGAACAGCGAGATGAGCGCCACTGTATGCGCCAATCCTGCACTGGGTCCGTCCTTGGGCACGGCTCCGGCGGGACAATGGACATGGATCGCGCGTTTTTCCATAATGTCCTCGTCTCGGTCGTGGGTAAGGCCGAGTTCATAGCTGTGAGCTTTCACCCAAGTGAGTGCCACCTCGACACTTTCCTTGAGCACATCGCCCAGCTTGCCGGTAAGTTGAACGCGGCCCTTGCCCGGCATGTCTGCGACTTCGATGAATAGAATACTGCCCTGGCCGCCGCTCGAGTAAGCGACAAGCCCGGTCACGACACCCGGTCGAGACACCTTCTCAGCGATCTCTTCTTCGAATCGTTCGATGCCGAGGATTTCTTCAAGCTCTTCGACCTTCACAACAGGGTTATACTTTGACGTGTCGTTCGCGTCTTGGAGATCGGCGTACTGAACCGCCTTGTAGCGGCACACACTCCCGATCTCTCTCTCTAGATTCCGGACCCCAGACTCGCGGGTGTACTGGGTTATGATCGCGTCCACAACATCGTCCGGAAGGATGACTTGACCTTCACCCAGACCATTCGTTCGGATTTGCTTGGGTATGAGGTGCTGTTTGGCGATGTGGCGTTTCTCGACTGTGGTATATCCCGCCAGCCTTATTGTTTCCATGCGGTCAAGAAGGGGCGCCGGGATCGTGTCGAGGGAGTTTGCCGTGGCGATAAAGAGGACTTTACTTAGATCGATGGGGATATTCACGTAGTGGTCGTTGAAGCTGTGATTCTGCTCCGGATCCAGCACCTCAAGCATGGCGGCAGAAGGGTCGCCGTGGAAATTGTTCGAGGAGATCTTATCAATCTCATCGAGCAGGAAAACAGGGTTCGCCACGCCGACCTTCTTCAGCCCAGAGACGATAAGGCCGGGCATGGCAGCGACATAGGTTCGCCTATGTCCGCGGATTTCGGCCTCGTCGCGCACGCCGCCAAGAGAGATACGGTGAAACTTTCTCCCCAGCGACAAAGCGATAGATTTGGCGAGCGAAGTTTTGCCTGTGCCTGGTGGGCCAACCAACAGCAAGATGGGAGATTTGTCCACCATGCGCTTAGACTTGAGGACGTGGAGTTTGGCAGTGGCAGCATCACGCTCCTCGTCTGGGATTTGTTCAATGTCTTTGCTGTCTTCGGTGTTGTTCGGAGTGAGCTGCTTGGTCAGGCGGGAGATCTGTTGGTCAACATCGGCATTCACGGACTGTTTGAGCTTGAGGACAGCGAGGTATTCGAGAAGACGTTTCTTGATCTTCTCGAGGCCGTAGTGGTCGTCGTCGAGTTGCTTGCGAGCTCGTTTGAGCGTCTCGACCCCAAGGTGGTCGTCAGTCACTTTGGTCCAAGGGATCTCAGCCAGGTTCTCGACGTAGGTGCGGATGACGCCGTACTCGGCGTTGGCAGGGTTCATCTTCTTGAGCCGTCGCAGTTCACGCTCTGCAACCTTATGAGCTTCCGGCGAGAGACCAGCCTCGTTAACCTTCTTCCGGAGCTCATCGACTTCATTGACTTCGTTGTCGTCATCGCCATCGCCGCGGGTCATGCCTGGCACACCAGGTGGCGACATACCGTTCAGTCCGGACATTGCCCGCCGGGCTAGTGCTTCCCGCTGTTGTTGGTTTAGGTCGTTGATATCGATCGGAAGGTTTCCCGGGATGGTTGTGGACGTGACGGAAGTGATCTTGATGTTGCCATTAATGCCAGATATCTGCTTGTTAAGTAGAGCCAGCACGCGCTCGAGTCTCTCGTGCAGATTCAAGGTGCTGAGTATCCTTAACTTCTCTTCAAAACTTGCTTCGACAATATCTGTCATGAAGTCGGCCAACTGGCCTGCCTGCGAGAGGTCTTTTTTCGCAATGAACAACTCGAAGCGGCGGACGATCAGAGGGGATAGCACCATCGATGCGGGTCGGAAAAGCGATGAGAGTCGCAGAAGCGTCAGGAGCTCGCGTGATCGTTGCTTTAATCTGGTAAAACTAGCACGGAGGTCTCCGTCATTGAGGTCGGGCACCTCATCCTCGTAAAAGGTGACTTCAGCCTCGAAATGCGGTCTTTCGTGTCGAATCTTGTCAATTTTAAATCTCTGGATACCCTCGACCAGCAGATACGGGTCGGCGTTGGAATTGCCTTGGACACCAATGATCTTTGCCAGCGTGCCATATCCGTAGAGATCCTGCTTTCTTGCCTTGCCTGGATCCATACCCGCAGTGTCATAGTCACGGCTGCTCTCCTTCGCGGCACTATCCAGCAGTTCCTTGCCATCCGGGCTAAGAAACGGCGAATTTAACGGGACGCAGCCAATGGGCAATTGAGTTGACCCCGTTCTCGACTTGGTGGCGCGTTGGAACGCTGAGGACAAGAGAAGGGGTATGTCCGCGCGACTCGACACTGGGATGCGGAGAGTGACGCCCGGTAAAAGAACGGCGTCTTTCGCCAGAGGGATGAGGGGAATCGTCGCCTTTGCTGTGTAACCCATGATAACTGGTGTTGGTCACGACGAGAGTGATGGTCGAGAAGGAGAGGGAGGTGGGGAGCCGCAGGTGTTTATGTGGACTCTGGGTCTGATAGGAGGATTACTGATTCGGGAGTCGCATGGTCAAGTCAACCAGAATGGTGTCATGGAAGTTGCTGGATGCACCGATTCTGGCGACAACTGCGCAATCATATCGACTGCCGCATGCCGAGGTCCGGCAAGCCGACCAGATCGACGTTGCCACGTGACAGCACGAAGCCTCTAACCGCTTCGAGCCGTATCTTGAACATTGAATTTTCTAGAGAGTAATTCCTCGCAAAAAGTTCAGACACGAAGAGGGCACCAAGAAAGGAAAATGGCGACCCAAGCGGGGATAACCCAAGATAAAGCACTAGCCATGCCTGATGAGTCCGGCCTAAATGCCACGTTCAATGTCGGCACCAGGAAATCCAAATTGGCGCTCGTGCAGACGGAACTCGTGCTGGATGCACTATCAAAGGCGTGTCCAGAGTACAGCTATACGATCAAGGCTCGGGACACAGCAGCCGGAGATATTGACAAGCTGACACCTTTCAAAGACATGCCAGTGAAGAATTTGTGGACCCATGAACTTGAGACTCTCATGGTTGAGGGACACCTAGATTTCCTGGTCCACTCGCTCAAAGGTCCCTCCCACATTTACGGTTATTGGTCTTATGGAACCAGACTAATGGCTTGCAGATGTCCCGACACAATTGCCCTCAGGCTGCGAGATAGGAGCTGTAATGGCCCGTGAAGATCCTAGAGACGCTTTCGTTCTCAAAGCTGGCCGAAATGTCTGCAACATCCAGGACCTCCCGGCAGGATCAGTAATTGGGACTTCATCTATCCGCCGCACTGCTCAGATAGCACTGCAGCACCCGCATCTGAAGGTTTTAGATGTCAGGGGCAATGTGCCGACCCGACTGGCAAAACTTGATGCTGCAGACGGACCCTTCGATGCGTTAATTCTGGCAGCTGCTGGACTTGTCCGCCTTGATCTCGGTCATCGAATCACTCAGTACCTAGATTCCGGAAATGGAGCAATGCTACATGCAGTTGGACAGGGTGCTATAGGCATTGAAAACAGGTCATCGGACCACCGGGTACAGCGCATGCTCAGCTTGATCAATCACCAAGAGACGTATCTGGCTACAGCAGCTGAACGCAGTCTTTTGAGGACCTTGGAGGGAGGTTGTAGTGCCCCGCTAGGCGTCGAGACTGCATGGACAGACGGTGAAAACGGCCACAACGCACTGCAACTGAAAGCCATTGTTGTCAGCACAGATGGCAAGGAGAGAGCGGACGTCGATATGAGGAAGGTTGTGCAAAGTAAAAAAGAGGCGGAGCTATTCGGCGTCGATGTGGCTTCGGAACTGCTTCGCAGAGGTGCAGACAAGATCCTTGCCGAGATTAAGGAGAAGCGGCCAACCACTGTCGCCGATCTTGAAGAGACGTGAATTGAAGGCTTCCGCTATTCCGAAACCGACACAAATGCGATCGTGCGGGGCTACAGGTCAGATGTGGCAGTGAAGGAATTGCAGGATTATCGCCTCGAGAGGCCGACTGTCGTCGCCAGGAAGAGGCATCGGGACCGGACTTCCGAATCATCCGCGGTTCAAGGTGTTGCCAGCACCCTTGGGATTTGCTTCGACGAACTCATCCCATTCTCTTGCTTTCATCGTGGCAGCATCGACCGCGTCCATGTTGTCCTCATCAGGCTCGGGCTGAGGTGCGTTGGCATTCCCTCCACCATCAATGATGCCACCCCTCCGCCGTTCTTCATCCAGATAGTCGTCGATACTCATTGTGGGAAGGCTGTGGCCCGGCCTAAACACACCCTGTCGTAGCTGGGTACGCTTATCTGTCAGGGTGAAGGGCTGAAGAGGCTTTCCGCTAGGACTCAGCAAGGGACCTCCTCTCCTTCCAAGTCCTGCCATCGTTGTGGGGCCATCGAGACGCTCGGAATAGTTGTCAGACCTGCCAGGAGCCCGTTGGTCTGGAACGGCAGGATTGGGCCTGTTCGGCTCGGTATTGCGCATTTGTGACAAGATATCCACCTCCTGACTAATCATATCGAGAGATGAGAATGTGTTGTTGACTCGGAGTGCTATGTCGGCGAGATGCAGGCTCCGAATGGTTTCATCATCAACATTTGCCTTTTGTGATTCGTTCCTCAGATACTGCCACTGTCAATAAGTTCCCTGTGCCGATGAGGAGAGTTCCACAAACCTGAAGTTTCTGCTTCAAGGACTTTTCCTCTTGGAAGCGCGCAATCTTGATCTTCCGTTTTTCCTCCGCACTATCTGTACTGACTATCCTGAATGAACTTTTCCGTTCGAGGTATCGCTCATACAGCTCTCGATCCGGGGCTGCCAACAAGCCATATTGATCTAACCGGGTCAAGAACGTGTCGAACAACTCCCCGGCCTCGCGTAACGAAGCCAATCTATTATCGCCATAGGCCTTGATTTTGATCTCCGCGAGGAGACAATCGACTGTCAGGTATCTGCATTTCCCGTCAGCGATAGAATTCTCGACACGAGATGAGGACCTATGTACTGCAGATCCTGCGTTGAGATGTCCTCCACTTCTTCATTCGTGCTGAATAATGATAACTGCTGGATCAACTGTCGACATTGCTCGAGGCTACGAAGGATAGACTGGAGGGTGTCGTTGAATTGCACAGTCCGGGGATCGAGACCTTCCAGCTCATCTTGCTGATTCTTCGCCTGCGTGAACAATGCTCTTAAGGACGGTTCAGATTCTCCAGCCATGATGTGCACGATGAGTCGACACTTGCTCCGCTTCGTTCTCTGCCCCTGAAATTAGGGCATGTGAATGGGGACGGTGGCCAATCGCTCTGCGCTATTTGATGCTAGAAATTATCTTCTCTTTCGCTAATCCCAGATACTCGGTATGAGAGCGTACACCTGAGCGCCACCCAAGCGCGCACTCCAATTCAAGTTTAGTAATCAAGCAGAGAAAGAAGACTCTCCGCGTCGACCAATCAGAATTGACCCAGCGCCAAGCCGTATATTCCATACGATTGAGTCATCCGCTGAAGACGAATAAAAGGTGCTTGTAACCATGAGCATTGAGAACATATTTCTCGAACCGAAACAGAAATTAAAGAACGAGAAGAGAGGACAAGGGTAGTGCACATGGTGGTGCCTCGTCCGGCCACCCCTCGGCTCAGCATTTTGTCCTCGTGCGCCTCGTTCACCTCAAATACTTTTTCAATCCATATATGCCCTCGCTCACCGTCTACCTCTACTACCAGATCCGTCCTGGACTGCCGTACAGTTCAGCATGCCTTCTCTGATGCATTCGCGGGATGAAGATCTCAACGATGAGATGCCCATGGAGAAGAATGCTGGCCTCATCATGGGCGTAGGTCGCACGCATTCTCTTCGAGGGACCCCACTAACTGAACCCTGTAGACGAACAACAGCAGTATTGTTTCCAAGCGAAGTGTAGAGAAGCTCTACCTGCCTCAGCCGCATTTCTACCGGTATTTTGTCCGGAAACCCATACGACGATCTCCCACCATCAACAGAGGATACTGGCTCCGTATGAGAGCCATTGACTGGGTAGTCAGGCAGTTCCTGGAAAAGGTTTCTGACCAGAAGAAAGTCATCATCAACCTCGGTTGCGGCTAGTGAGTAAGGTTGACTGGGATTCCTGTCTGGTGGCCTGGATCTGATCTGGTAGTCTAGCGACCCGCTACCGTTCTCATGGATGGCACATCACAAGGAGTTATGCGACAACGCTAAGTTCCTCGATGTAGATTTCGAGGCACTGATGCTCACCAAACGGGAGATCATCTTGAATACACCTCAGATGAAGGATATGCTGTCTATGACACCCGATGCTGAACTGGAGAATGGAGTTGTCTTCAACTCGGTAGAGTACAGCGGGATTGGGTGCGACCTGCGGAACTTGACGAGACTAGAGCGACTGATCAAGTCTATTGTCGACGTCGACCAGTGCCTCGTCCTCTGCGTCGCGGAGGTGAGCATCACTTACATGTCTACCGAAGACGCCGATGCCTTGATACGATGGACTACAACCTTGTCGCCCGGTAAGCTCAATACTGCATGGCCATGGATAATGGCTGACAATCTCAGATGTGACATTCTGTCTGTTAGAACAACAGTCTCCGGATCGGCCGGACAACCCTTTCACTGCAACCATGCTGAAGCACTTCGCCAAACTCGGCACCCCACTGCGATCGGTACTCAAGTACCCTGGCTCTCATACCCAGACGCTTCGCTTCCAGGACGCAGGATTCGCTCATGTCACTATGCAGAACTTATGGGAGCTGTGGGCTGACCCGAGGTTCTTGTCCCCATCGATAAGAATGTCGCTGGACGAGGTCGAGCCATTCGACGAATGGTAAGTGACATAGTGGATTGCCTGACTTCCCTGACTGATTGTTGGCGATAGGGAGGAGTTTGCCCTTTTCGGGTCACACTACTGCCTTCTCGTGGCACAGACGGGGCTCGAACCACTGATTCCCGAGCAACAGAGGGGTTCAAGAAGGGCCTCTATTGACAGCTTAGCATCAGACCTCTCTACAAGGACAGTCTCGCCGCACCGAGAAAACACGCAATGGTTCGCGTACACTTATTCCGGAAACTCCGACAAAGAGGGGAGGACACATCATGGCTCCGCCTACAAGATCCCTGAGCAAGACGCTCTGGGTTTGCATGGTGGAGTCGGTCCAAAGGGTCGACTGTCGGCCACTTCAGTCTATACTTTCGCCAATTCCTCAATGCCATACCCTGCGGTCCCACCTGAAAATATTGGAGCCAGATGCTGTCACACTATCACAAGCTTTGGTCCCAAGCTGGAAATGAACCTTCTTGTAGGCGGGCGAACTTCGCCTACTACTCCTTTAAAGGACTGTTGGTTGCAAATTGGTGGAAAATGGGAGCGAGTCCATGACCTTCCCGAGCCTCGCTTCCGACACCGGTCTGCGGCCGTGGTACTCCCGCACGACCAGTATGGCGTGGTAGTGTACGGCGGCAAAGTTTCGGAACAAAAGATTGCTGTTGACACCCTGTTATGGGACAAGCACAACGGATGGCAAGTGCTCCGCAATGTCAAAGACGATCCCATGCCGCGGTTTGGGGCATCATTCATGCGCCTAGGATTCAATCACGGTCTTTTGATGGGTGGTCTACGTCAAGATGGAGTTGTCTGTCAAGGCCTCTGGAAGTGGCGCCTGATCATACGGGACAACAAGGTCATGGGGATCCACTTCAAGACTTCTACAGCCCTGGATGCTTCCGCTGGAATCTGGCCCTGGTTGGGTCGCTTCGGAGCATCCTTCAGTGTCATTAGGGACGAAGTTCTGCTTATCGGCGGAATCGCCAAGCATGGTTGCATTCCAAGAGACTATGAGATACTCTCCATTGTTGGCAGTTTCTCCGCTTTCAACGACTATGAAAAGGAAATGGAGCTGAGAGTCGCATGTGTCCTGCCCAGGATCGATCCGACCGTCCCTCGACCTTTCTTGATCGGCCACTCCACCCATTTCACGGCGGAATCAACAACACTCATTGTCGGGGGTGGAGCGACGTGTTTCAGCTTTGGTGCATATTGGAATCCTGGCTGTTGGCTGCTGCACGACCGCGAAGCAGGTCCCAGCTCGCGTTGGGCTATGATGAAGCCTGAAGCAGTGGTGCCCGCTTCACAATCGCGGCCAGACACGGGCGACGGCAATTCAAATCCCACGAACATGGCTTCGGTCGAGCATGTCGATGTCCACACCGGTCGCGACTTTATCCGCATGCTGCAGGACGGCATCCCCAAAGTAATTGCAGCCCTGGACTTGGGTCCGTGCTTATCCCAATGGACGCCGTCTTACCTTCTAGCGAAGATCCCGCCCTCAAAGTCAGTCGTCGTCCATGCAGCTCAAAGTCGAACCATGAATTTCCAACGCAAAGACTTCACCTACAAAGCCACCTCCTTCCACGACTTCATCGACCGCCTCCAATCTGACCCGTCTGCACACATGTATCTTCGCTCCATTTCCAGCACCAATCCGACCACGACGCCTGCCGACTTCACCAGTGATTGGCCCGAGATCTCGGGAGATTTCCACCTCCCATCGTCGCTCTCGTTTGTCAAAGCCCATCAACACAGCAGTCCTCTCCGAATCAGCTCCAACGTGAACATGTGGCTCCATTACGACGTCATGGCCAACGTGCTGTTCCAGCTCCGGGGCACCAGGAAACTGATGCTCTTCCCCCCAAGCGACCTGAAGCACCTGTCCTTCCCGTCGGGGTCTACGTCGTCAACCATCGACATTTTCGAAGCACCCGATGGAAACGGAACGCAAGCGGAAGCTGTGCGCCACGTCCCAAACACACACCCTCACGTCGCCGTCCTAAGGCCCGGCGATGCATTGTACATCCCTCCACTATGGGCGCACACAGCCACGCCGCAGTCGAGTGAAGTGCCGGTCTCAGCCTCGACCTCAGTCCCAATCTCGACTTCGAGCCCCATAGCAAATTCCCACCCAATAGCACCTCACGCAGCCACGACTGTCCCAAGCGACAACGATGCCGCCGCCTCAAGAATCAACATCGCCCTCAACATCTTCTTCCGCACGCTTGGGCCACACAAGTACGCCACAGGTCGGGACGTCTACGGCAACCGCGACCTCGCCGCGTACGAGGACGGCCGTCGCGACGTGGACAAAATCGTCCGTCGCTTCCAGCAGACGACTCCCAAACCGAAAGAGAAGAACGAGCAGAAGGAGGAAATACCCGGCGCAGAAACAACCAGTGCTGACGACGCATCCGTGTCTCCCGGTGGAATTGCAAAGCCCGGTGATGATGGAGGAGTCGACACGGCAACCATACCAAGAGAGATGGCCAAAGCTTACCTTGAGAGATTGGCGGCGGAGTTGCTCGAGCGGGCGGAAAAGCTGTGACACGGACGCCGCCAGGTACTGTAGGAAGATACATAGAAAAAATTGATCGTTTAATCCCGGGAGACGGCAAAGGCTTACCTGGAGAGGTTGGCAGCGGAAATGCTCGAGCGGGCGGAAAAGCTGTGAATCCCATCTAATTATTGTATATATTGGTTGGTCACACAATTAGTTGGCGGAAAACCAGGGAGATGCCCAAGGCTTACCTGGAGAGATTGGGCAGCGGAGTTACCTGAACGGGCGGAAAAGCTACAAAGTCCCGTCGTATGTAATTACTGGTTGCTTACTTATATCTTTGAGCGGCAAAGTCGCTGGAGCGGGCGGAAAAGGCTACGAGTCTCATCGTACGTATTGGTTGTTTATACTCCGTATACATAGTTGGGGGCTAAAACCAGGGGAGATGGCCAAAGCTTATCTTGAGAATCAAAAAAATTGGCGGCGGAGTTGTTCGAGCGGGCGGAAGGGGCTATGATCTGACTCGAACGCATGCCTCCCTATGCATAGATGGATAGATAGATAGATAGATAGCTACTGTGCACATTGATTGTGCGACTCGAGTGGATGGGTCAGCCGTGGACCGGAGTCATGTGGAGACCGATGAATGCATCGCTCGATGATACATACCTAGGTAGATACTTCCTCCAGCCCGGTCTGGACGAGAGCACGATGAGCACGGCATGTCCTGTAACATGTATACAAGCTTGGGAGGGTCACTCTTGAGGTTTTACAGTACGCGGTGGGCAGCGAGCGGATGTCGAACAAGGCAAAAGTCAAGGAGGACAAAACAGCACAGACATGTCAAGTCGGATATATTAAACAAGTGTGGTGTATTCATCAAGCGCGTGATACGTCAAGACTTCCATTCCATGTCTGTTCTGCAGATGTCATCGTCCTGCCAGCATAGAATCGGTCAAATGCAGCGACGCAAGCATTCGTCGTCCCTGGCCCTGCCCTCGTGGCTAAGTACAGTATTCTGAAGCGATTAAAATGCTGTTCCAACAGCAGCAGCAGCAGCAGCAGCACATCAAGTCCGTCCCCGTCACGGCGTCCAGGCCATAACGTCGACCCAAGCAGTGGCATTGCTTTTGAGGGACTCCTCCGCGCCTGTGCTTTTCCTCGCTCGCTAGTTATACGTGTCTTTGAAAATATGTTCGTAGTCCTTTCGTCTCATCCGGTATGCCTCGTCCCTTCATATCCGAATCCGTCATATCCCGTGCTTCGTCAGTCATCACACTCGTCGCCTCGTGATACAATAGCATCGTACAACGACGCCATGGTCGGCCTCGTAGGGCCTCAAAGCGCATGAAGTCCTGCGTTGCCGAATATGCAACTCATGGATTGCCTGCATCCAAAGTGTCGGTCAGGAGCGCACGGTCCGGCGCCGCCAAACAAGCGTAGAGTCGGGCTCAAACGACTCGCATCCTCGAATCGATTGAAGACGTAGAGAGGCCAGGCTCCTGCGGATACTTCTTCGATCTGTCACGAGCGTGCATACGGCCTGTTCATGGCGGCAATCTCTCTTGCCACTGTCGCCCATTCCAACTCCCTACATATCTGTTCTCCACGCTTCTCCTGCTGCTGCTCGTCGAATTTCATCAATTCGTACACGAAGCGGAGATGTGGTTGGATGATCACGTTCAGGCGGCGGGCACGGACGAAGCAACTTGAAAACAAGGTCAGCTTTACAATCGTGGAGCAAAGGGTGGGTGGCACTAACTATGCGCGAGGAAAACTCAGCCCCTTGGAAGACATGACCTCTGCGATGCAGATTGTTGCGGACCGGGAGACACCGACGCGGCAATGCACCAAAGTTGCTGTACCGTCGGATTTGCCTCGTCCTGGAAATTGGTCAGTTTGAAAAGGTCGAGCATGCTGGGTGATACTCGACAAAGGTGTACAACTTACCGATAAACTCCAAACAGCGCTCCATCTCCAGCGTCAACTCGTCAATCCCGTTATCTTGGACTCGATCAACCATGAGGAGATTCTCCCTCCCCCAGTCTTTGACTTGTTCTTCTGTCCACGATACTGGCTCACCAACGCTCAGAATCCGCCGGATACCCAGCAACTTGAGCATTTCCGGATTATTGGCGTGGGTCAGATTGCCAAGGTACATGTATGGTAGAATCCTGCTAGGAAGACTACCATCCAGTTTAGCTAGCCATGAGGGTGGCTCAAGGGAAGCTATCTTTGACGCGTCGGCGGTTGGTGCTTCACGCAAAATGCGCTCTTGAATAGCATTTAACAAAGCCACGTCTGAGGGATATGCGAAGAAATTTCTTTGTTTCTCACAGTGTAGGCGAATCCATGCTTCATGCAAGGGCACGCCCTCAGCATACATGAAGTACGCGACCGCGAGCATGGAGGTCTCGGTATACCCGTCAGCACAATGCAAGAGCACACGACGTGGTCGGGGCGTGAACTCGGTCATTTGAATGTCGCCGTCCTCATCCTTGGCTTGGCTGGCCGGCTTCTTTGCGTGGGTGAGCTCGTAGAGCCATTTGCACATGCGCAGAATGCCATCCACTTCGACTTGGGACCACGAGGGTGGCAGAATGCTGCCCGAGCTGGGAAAGGCTAGATGGACGGGTTCTTCGCCTGGTTCTCGCTCTTCGAGCTGCTTCCGTTTCGCCGTGAGAGTTTTCTCGTCGGGGAGCGAGGCGTGATCACTGGCTTCAATGTACAGGTCATAAGATGGGTCGTCAGCAAGCGATGGGGGATCCGTGAAAGGTCCAGGCGAAGGTCCTTGGAAAAGTCCTTGAGAGATCTCCGACGCCTTGGACATGGCACACATCTCTTTTCTTTCCTGTTGCAGAAAGTCAAGGGTGTGGGGAGTGTACCGTCCTTGAGAGTCGATCGCAACTAAATCTGGATGCTCGTGCTCGAAATCTTCGAACGACTGTGTCAACACGAAGGTGTTAAACGTCTCGGGACACTGTCCGGCATTTTCCAGCTCCTTGCGCCATTTCCTCTGGACAGAGGCTGTCCGCTCGGCCACCGACTTGATGATGCGATGATCTGTGTCTTCATCACCGTATATGACAATGTCAGAGACAAGTGCCATCTTCGCCACCTGAATGTGGAAGTTGCGGACGGAGAAGCCTTCTCGAGGATCGCATTCGAGGAATCCCCGACCATTGCTGTCAGACAGGTTGAGGACTTCGTCGGGAGCAAGCGCCCCCTTTATCCGCGAGCGGCTCAAGTCTCCTCCTGCTTTTATTATGGTAATGCCGCGCAGGCATTTGGGAGTCCTTCGTAGCGACTTCTTCCTGGCTACGAAGAAGGCTAGCTGGATATGGTTCTCGGGGTGGAGGCCGTGGAGCCAGGGGAAGACAGAGGCAGGGTTCGGCAGAGGTTGAGAGGCGTAGTGGTGGAGGGCGGCGGCTAGTTGATCAACGGAGATTCCGTAGATCGGTGGAGAGTTGCAGAGCTTCTGGTAGCCTGTCGCAGGGTAAAGAAGTGAGGTGGGTTTTGGGGCCGCGTTTCGTAGTGGAGGAGAGTTTGGCGGAGTGATCTGCGATTGCGAAGGAACAGGTCCTGGCGGGCAGTAAGGCAGATGTTTGTTGGGGACTGGAGTCGAGGATCGAGTGTGGGTTATAGGAACTGTCGGTCCCAGAGGCGGAGGGGTCGACTGTCGGATCTGAGGAGGCTGTTGAACCACGACTGTGGCCATCTTTGGTGGCTCGCTTCAAGTATCTTGGAGTCGGACTCAATGATGAATGGTTCTTTCTACAGGCTCATCCTGCAAACACCAGGAGTCCTAGCCAGTCCTGCTTGAGTGCAGGGAGGTGGAAGGGAAGTATTTCAACCGTGTTACGGGGGCGGTGGGTGTTGTCGTCAATGCACGCCAATGAGGTGATGTTGAGAAGAGTTAGAGGTCAGCGAGCCTGTTCAGTTTGCTCTCTCAAGCGCAATATGGAACGTTCGTCGAGGTGGGTGTTGCGTCAATGGGAAGAGGGACAGATCGATATCAAGGGAGGAGCACGTCGAAGTATCAAAGCAGTTACACTCGGCGGAGGCTTTGGTGCGTAGGGGCCAAGGTGCACTGGCGGCGTCAAGGTCAAGTTTCAGCTGTGAAGTTCCAATTGTCACAGATATGAGTAGATGCCCGTGAAAACAAAGGTTTCAGACTCGAATATCTAGTGGGCGCTGCGAGTCTGGAGAACATGGAGAAGAGCAGATCCACCGACCTGGAGAGCCAGCTGTACGAGTAGGAATTCCTGAGGGCGGGATCGAAATGGAGGGGGATAACGACCACGGTGGGGCAGGAATTACCAGTAGCCCAAGCAGAGAGGCCGCACTGCTCATGGCGCTGGGCCGACCAGGGTGCGCCCATGCCAATGGCCCACTCACGATAGCCAGAGAACGCGAGGGGCGGTTCGAATGGTCTCGATGGTGTCAATCGTGGAACAATCACTGGTGGAAGCGCGGGCGATTGGATTTCTGGGGCTTTGTCGGGCCGGGGGGATACTCCCCAGTCGCAGCTCGCGAGGCAGGCTAAACAAGGCTAACAGAGCACCGTGCGTTAGCACAGACCTTGACAGAAAGAATGCCCTGATGCAGCAAGAAATGACATGCGAACACCTCTCCGTGACAGCGCAGGGAGGCCGGTTCAGTACCTAGGGCTGCTGCTACCGGAGAAATTGAAAAGCCAACGTAAGACACACGCGTGGAGAGCGCCGACTCTACTGTCTAAGGCAGAGGCACGAGCCAAGAGCCCAATGCTTGCAAAGTCGAAACGCCACCAACGCTGCAGTGAGGGGCAATCATTGGTAGGCGACGGTGCTTGACTGGCGGCAACTCTGATCGCACAACCCTACAGGAAGAAGCACCGAAGGACCCTGTTGAAGCCATTGAGAGGTCGATCGCCGGCTGTTGCATATTATAGTTTGCCGAGCATTCGGTGTCATAGTGAGAGCCGGCGAGGGGGTGCGTGTCAGCGACAGAAAAGTTGGGTGAAATCTGGGGAACACTCGAGGGCCATGAGTGAAGCACGAGAGGTGGCTGAGTCGCCCATCCGTCAACCGCCATGCTGCCATCTGACAAGCACGGGCATGCAACCCCTCATTACACGCGCTGAGATTACCGATAATACCGATGCTGAGACGAGGTAAGAATGGGGTTTACTGCTACGACCTACACAGTATTGCAGAGGAAGGCAGACACATGCAGCGGTGGAGAAGGTGGTGATTCTCTCCAGACAATGCAGTGTGACAACATTGTGCTTTCGTCTGGCGGAGATTGTTTACACGGCTGCGCTGTGGTCCTGGGAGAGTGTCGATCAGTGCGGCCCAGATGGTGGCAGCCGTCCTCGCATCTGTCCATTCTTTGGAGCGCTATGATCTTCGATCGTGGGAAGTGATCACCCACCCTCCCTCTGCACAACCCTGGTTCTTCTGTTTGTCCATCCCGTTCTTGCATCAGTCTTGCAGCGCAGTTGCACAAATTCGCTTCAATCGTGATCACCGTAGAATGGCGCAATCCTCGTGTACTGCACCAAGGCTCCGTGTTGTAGGCGGATTGCTGCTAAACGTGGCTGTCACTTGCGAGAACCATAGACACATGTAGTCTCAGTGCGTAATAGTCGCGTGCCCAAAACCCGCTTGATTTACGGGTCGTAGAGTAATGCAAGTGTCAACATGCCACGAGGGGCGGATTGGTTTGCAAAGAGGGTGCTCTTCCCGTCGCATTGCAAAAACGCGGGTTCGTTACCTTCTCATGAGGCCTGCAAACAGAAGAGAGATGTGATGCTGTCATCCTTTGCGTCCGAGTCGTACTCCTTGCACCCACCCACAGAGACTGCAAATTCCTCCGCCGCTTTCCGTGCAATAGTCGACGTATACGTCCAGTCCCGCTGTTCACCGTGGAAGGATAGCAGCGGAATGGCTGACTGAGCCGAACGCACACCTTTTCCGCTCACCGCTTCCACAAAAGGGGTGACAAGCGACGCTGGAAACGCTCTGTGCTCGGCCTTCATCAGCAGCGCAATCTCCTCGTCCGCGGTGAGTGTTCTGTCTCCAGCCAAATCGACCTTCGTCGGCTTACTATCAGACTTCACGGTTCCCTCGTCCATCATGAACTCCTCCGGCGACTGTGCCAATTCACGGTGCACCGTAAGGGCCGATGACCCTTCCCTGAGCATGAAGGTCGGATACATCATGTAATAACCCCGCACCTGCATCATTTCGAGCACAGGCTGCAGCCAGCTCGGAAACTTATGAGACAAGCTAGGTGAAGACGGTGTCTTCTGTCCCAGTTCTGGGTCCAAGAGAAGACGGTAGGATAGGAAGGTGTGCAATTCAATCCACCGATCTCCGAAAAACAGCGCCGCGTTCGAGGTTGGCGCTTGCCACAAGACACATGGCTCCGCGAGATGGGATCCGTATGGCGCCTTTGTCTTCAAGTCAGGCCCAACAGGTGGCAGTTCCAGGGAGATACCCATCATATGCTTGGTCAAGTTTGGGTTTCCTGCACCGTACTTGTACTCGAGCACGGAGTACATTAGAAATTGGAAATAGTTCGGAGAGAGCTCGACATCCGGCGAGAGCAGTAGAACATGGGTAGTGCGAGGCGCTTGTGGATAGAAAGATTCTATCGTTCGCATCGACGCCTGTACGGGCGACATGAGCCGTGCGTCAAGCCTATGCCTGACGATCAGTCTGCTCTCGCTCGCTGTACCATCGGCCGGCCATCGAAAGTTCGCCAAATATCTCGCCACGAATGAGTCAACGTTGTTGGGGAGCTCAACTGTCAGCCTCGGAAGAGTCCATCCCGTGTAGTCGGCGTCCTTGACAGATCGTAGAAGTCGCATCAGGGATGCTGAGGAATCTTGCTGGGCCTGGATGACAATATCAATCTGGATCTTGTTGAATTGTGACAGCGAGGCGGAGTCCAACGCTGAGATCCAGGATAGGCTCTGCCAACCGCCAGTCGGCATGTCGATCAGACTAAGATCCAGCGACGATGTCTTGTCTCTAATGGCGTTGAGGAAATGTTCCTCGTCGCTGCTGGCGAGTATGACTGCATGTAGGCGCAGCGCAGAATGAATATGGCCCAAGCTCGCTCTGGCACTAACCTCCAATCTCGCAGCAGATGATAGACTTGCATAGTCGGGGCGGGCATCGTGCAGGTATACATCGCATGCTGACTCGGTGATGCCATTCAACTCCCGTATCTCTTTCCAGCTAGCACCTTGACGGCCCATGAAGGCTAGGTGAACTCGGGTTTTATTGTGCTGCCCCATTGAACACGCGATAGGTAGCAATTGAGGTACGCTTTTCAAGTCGCTGACAGCGAAAAGAACATTGGCTCTGGGATCCTGGATCCACGTATGCGGTTCTACCGTACCCGCCAATGCATAGAATTTTATGGGGCCTTCATATACATCTCCAGCCTGGGGCGGGGTTTGGGATTCGCTTTCGTGAGCGTCGGGCGCACCTCCACCAAGTCGACCATAGCGGCGATCATATCGTTCCGAGACTGGAGGGAGGTCTGTAGGCATGTGCTTGAAGAAGAGGTACAGCAGCCATCCCAAGAGCAGGACAAGGATTATGCGCCTGCGACGAAATGACTTCCACCGGCCGACGAGTAGATTGTACGTGTTGGAGCGGCGAAGAGTGAAGCTCTCAGGTCGATCATGGTCTTTGCCCTCGGGATGAAAGCGGCTCCTGGCAGCCATGCAAGCTGAGCCGCAGAGAAGGAGCGGGTCACATCGAAACGTGAACGCGATTTCCGGACGTGGAATGAGCAACGACTACGGAGTAGATTGGCGTCATGCGTCAGTGATGCGGAGTTCGGAGTAGGAGGCCATGCCCGAAGGAACTGTATGTTCTCACGGTTCTTTCACCGCGGACAGAAACGTGCCAAGCGACGCGGAACGTCGGTGGATTCGCAGCGCCAATCCAATGCAGCACGATCGATCTCGACTCTAAGCATCCCACCACTTCCCAATAATACAACCACTTCTTCTTCGAAGCGGTATCGAGTCGTCACTGGTGGTGGGCAGGTCTCATTTGAGGCCATGCGAGGATTATGGACCCAAGCTTCTCGACCTAGACTGACGGCCACCTCGCATCATGTCTCATGCGTCGACTCTTTCAGTTCTACCCTCGTCCGCAATACTACCACCAGACCTCCGCGGCGCCGACCGAGCTTCGCCGAGCACGTATTCACCCTCCTGCTGACTCCCGTCCTCGCCGCTGCTCTATTTGTCGACACGAGCTGGAAGGCAAAACAAAGAAGAGACTGGGATGACAAGCTTGCTGCAATCAACCATGAGATAGCTCAATTGAGAGAGCAGGAGCAAAGGCTTCGGAGCTCTCTCCGGCTCCGCGACATCCACCATGGACTGTATCAACAACGGAGAGGTTATGCCACGGCAGCGTATGCACAGGTGGAGGTGGAGGACGAACAAGACCTGGGGGAAATCGAGATGCCAACATGGGAGGAAGGGATTTCGGTCGAGGACGAGGCTCCTGCGGTAGAGAATCCACGAGTACGTGAGGTGCTCTCTGCCAAAGAATTCTCGCCCGAGCAGTTGTCCAATCTTCACCGCTATCATCGCCTGAATGCAATCACTCTGGCTCTCAGGATGCTCCTACATCTCCGCATTGGTCCCAACTCCTTCTACTCGATCACTCCCGAGGACGACCCCGTCGACATTGTAGCCCTCGATAGCCTCGATCCTTCCAACAGCGTTAGTCTACCTACAGATACGGATCGCTTGGTCCAGATGTTGGCTTTGACCCGCAAGCAGATGCGTCCCCTGCGGAAACTCGACGACCTTTTCTACGCAGCCCCTCGAATACAGGCGCAGGCAAACCGAGGCGCTCTTCAGCGGACAATCCAAGATTTAACAGCAGAGTTCGAAGCTGGAAATGTCTCGCTTCCGGGGTTAGTTGACGGGTACGGAAAAGCCATTCTTCGGAGCGAAGAAGTGCCTTCCATATCTGTCTATGTCATGCTCATCCGGTCGCTGTCTAAGGTTGGGAGCTATAGCCTCGCCTACCACGCCGCTGCTGCTATGAAGAATAGCACGCTGCCACTTTCGGACCCTGCCATCTTCTATATGCTCTTGCAAATTGGGAGGGCCTGCGACTCCCGATCCCTGAATAACTTGCTGCACTATATCGCAAACTCTGATAACCCGCTGAATCTTATCCACAAATGGGAGAAAGCACGTGTCCACGGACTGGACTTGCCCGTGCCCGCCACCTTGAACCCAAGACTCCTGATGGCTCTGGTCTATGTTGCTCTGAGATGTGAACAGCCTGACCGAGCGGAGGCATGGCTAAGCCTGCTCCGGGAGGCCGACTACGGGAGCGCGTGGAAAGACGATTTGTTCAGGAGCTTCCTCGCTTACCACTCGCAGCATGGTAACTGGGAAGAGGGCAAAAAATGGATACAACGGTCTGTCAACCACGCATTATCAATTGCGAATCAGTCCATTGATCGCCTGGCCCGTGTGATATACCGCATGCTGGACTTGTGTGTGCGTTGCCGCAAACTCGCCGAATATACAGCCATTCTCGATGCAGCCGTGGAATCCGGGATTGGCCCTCCGCCTGTGCACAAGTCACAGAACGACTATAGGAAGTTTCATCCTAGGACACGCAGTATCCTCCTCGAGTGGGAAGCGTTGCCTCTTCCAGACAATACCGAAGCATGCCCTGTCATAGACAAAGCCAAATCTTTTCAGTATGCATGTAGGTCTCTGCTTGAGCAGCTTTCGCGGACACCGCCGGCTGGCGCAACAAAACGAGAGCAAGATGCTGATGAAGATCTCATCCTCATGGCGAGCACCGCGTCCAATCCCAACCAGCGATACGCTGTGCGAAAGCGACGACAAGACTCGGCGCAGTCTAATCCTGCCAGTGCATTCGCGCAGGCGGAACTCGAAAAACTACAAAGCAAGCTTGCCGAGCAAGATGCCCTCATCTCCGAGATGAAATCCCGACTAGATCTTGCTCTCCTACGCCACAATTCACATGAGAAGGATGCGGCTGGAAGGCAAGAACGATGGATTCAAAGCGCTGCCCGCGTGGCCCAAGAAGTGCGTGAAACCAAAGAAGGCTTTGAAAAATTGCAGGGCAGATTCGAGGCACAAGAAGCCATCATTCTGCAGTTGAAAGTCAGATCGGCCCTTGCGGCCAGCCGTCAACAGTCCTGGCTAGAAGACGACACTGCGAGGTCACAGAAATGGACCCAGAGCACACTTCAAATGACAGAACAACTTCAAGAGCTGAAAGACGGGTTTCAGAAGTTGCAGAGACTGAACGAGCTGTACGAGCAGGAACGTGTACAGACTCGTCAAGAGATCGCGGAGTTGAAAGCCGCTGCTACACTTACCGCAAGGATGGAACAGAACCCAACACGAGGGCTGCCGTCGATAATGGAAAAAGCGACGCCCGAGGACAGGAGGAAACCTCCGTTGAGAAGGGAACAATCCCCTCTATCATCAGCAATCAGACAAGAAACTGTTTCGCCCTCCATCCTATTGTATCCCCTCTCCGAAGCGGACGTCAGCCATGGTAAGACTAGCACAGATGGCAGCAACACCCCGACCATCACCAAGATCTTCCAGACGGGTGCCAAACAGTGGCAGCAGCGGCCGCCCTCGGCCGACAGTCCAGACAGATCAAGCCGGTCTAGAAGTACTCATAGGAGGGCGCGGCTCAATGTTCGCGTGAAACCGAGCCCGGTCACTCGTACAGTCCAGTCCAACTGAGTGGGGAGACACATCTGTAGCCTGGCCGACCTCTTAAGGCACAAGACAGAGAGGAGACTCTCTACCTGCGATCACCCTACGACGTGTAGTCCATACTATGTATTTCTCAAGTTGTATGAATGAAGATCCTTCGATCCTCGGCCTTGGCTACCTATTATCCTCCGTCCGATGAACAGAGCATACAGTACAATAACTGAGCGTAGGTAGTAAAGTCACGGTCCGGATATACAAAGAGAGTATACAGAGTACGCGTGGATGTATTCCCGGTCCTGTATCAATCTATTCAATTGCGCCGCCGTGCAGAACAACAGCCTGCTTGGCTACAGTCTTTGCCGATAGGACTGCTTCACCCACAGCGTGAATGAAGGGGTACGAGTTCTGTAACAGCATTGTGGTCTAATGCGACGGACTTATGTCAAAAGACAAGATCCACCCAAGTTACTTGCTTTGGTAGAGCTCGTCGGTCGAGTGAACAAGCAGAAATCCCAGGATCGTTCAAATCACTCGGTATCTCCGATCCCCGATCCTGCGGCCGGATGCGATGCTGCCCCGTGCCAATACAAACCCATGCTATTGTGGTGAGCCGGCAGCTCTGCGCGTGGCTGACGGATGACGAGCCTTGAGGTTTGAGAGTCCAAAACTCCATGTCCAAAGTGGACTTTCTGACTCCCTGGTGATAAATGCTGGTACGATCCAATGGCCTCTTCGACCCACTGCTGCGATATGCGCCGACAGTGTGTGTGTTCTTTTTCACCCAGCGATACTCATTATCCTCCAAGAAGCGGAATATAAGAGGTTTCCAGGTATCCAATTCAGACTGTGTCGTATGGTATGGCCGTCTCAAACAGGGTGACATGGGTAGCAAGACAGTCGCGTCCTGTCCTGTCCTGCCTTCGTTACGGCCACAGAGCAAGAAGATAGGCTATGCAAGTCTCCAATTCTCAGGGCATCTCATTTCTCCACGAGGACTTTCAAGGCCTGAACGCCGATTCCGAACAACTCTGGCTCCTTGATCTTCTTTAATGCATTCTTCAGTTTGTCAAGCTCGTCTTTCTTCTTGAACGCTTCCCGAGCTCTTAATGCCAAGTTTTTGTTCTGGGCATCTTCCTCGTCACAGCAGACCATGTTCCTCACGACGACCAGACCTCTGTGCACCACTCCAGTATCCTCATCCTGACACAGCTCTAATAATATCTCTGGAGCACGTTTTAGGTCGAGGATAGCCGATATGACAGTCGCGTATTGTTCGGTCAGCATCGCTAATGCGCCACCAGCAGCTCGTCTTGTCGGTAAATCCTCTACATCCGCCATCGCGACGAGAATGTGCAGTCTTTGAGCTGCTCGTTTGGTGCCATCCGCAAACTTCTCTGCCCCCGTGGGTATCACAGTCAAGTTACAGATCAGCTCGCATGCAGCGCGGCGGATCAGCTCGTTGTTTCCGAGTAAAAGATCTTCGACTTCGTCCCAGGCAGATTTGGTAATGAAAGATGCGGCACTGGGATTCGGAGCGGATGCGAGGTTTGTCAAAGCCAGTAGACTTTCGAACACAGGGAGGAGATCGCGAGCCTGGTCGCTCAGGACTTCGCCACTTGGTGACTTCAACAGCGCCACAAGGGGAGGAACGGCGTCGGTAATGTCGGGCGTGGATCCTCCCGGAAATATGTGAGCTGGGTTTAGGGAGATCAGGACTCTGGCCAAAGCGTGAGCAGCATCGGTATTTTGCTGAGCTGTGCCTTCTGCTTTCAGGTTCCTCTGGGCATGCAACACCAGAAGCTTGACAGCCCCCTGTTGAGCAAGCTTGCCGCGGTCTTTTGGGTTCTTCGACAAGGACAGAAGGATCTTATCACTTAGCTGCGCTGTAGCCGGAGATCTGCCTCTGTTTAATCTCGTTAGTGATGCGACAGCTCCAGCCTCCACCACTGCAGAGCAACGTGCTCGCACATGATCCTCGTTCTCCAGCAGGCTTGGTTCAACAGGTTTCTTAGCATTCGCGTAGGCTTTCAGCTGTGAAATCTTCTTCTGCTCTTCCGATAGGTTGGGCGAATATTGTGTCAGATTGGAGATGATACTTAGTCCACCGACCACAACTTCGGGCGAGTCGTGATGTTCATCGAGAGTGTCGAGAAGAGCTTTCAGGAATTTTCGGTCCTTGGCGAGTGATTCTTTGACCTCGGATTTCAGAGATGTATACGCAAGGCCTTCAATCGAGTCAGAAACAGTCTTTCCTTCTTCAACAACGGCAAGGGAGTTCTTGAAAAGATCAACAAGTTCACTAACATCATCATCCGCCTTGTCGGCTCTCTGATTCCCGATTTTAACACCCAGGCCGGACGTTCTCAGCTTCGCCAGCACAGTGGCTGCCACAGATGGCTGTTTGCCAGTACCGTTGCTGACCTTTTCTGATAGCCAGCTTGCACAGTACTGCGCAATTGCTGCCCGGCACGCTCCGTCCATGCAAGCCGCATTGAGGAGGTTGAGGAAGGCGTCATGGACGATCGGACTGCTGAACTTTCTATCCAGAAGAGGCATAGTCGAAGCAAGGAAGCCATCCGTCAAGAATAGCTGGGCCACCAGCTGAGGGATGACCGGAAAGAGATGTGCTGAGCCCGAGAAAGCAAGGACTAGGTCATCGCCTTTTCTGCGTTCGATGTGCGATCTGACATATTTGGCGAGGTATTCTCGACCAGTGGATTCGGCAGCCTCAAAGTATTTGGAAAGGACGAGAGTCGCCTGACCTCGGACGTCAGCTGGCAGTCTCAAGTCCAAGGAGCCCATTATAGCCTCGAGTGCTTCCTCGTCCACGAAAGTGTGCAGCCGCTGAGTATCCGCGATGAGCAAGAGCGCGATGCCTTTGAGGGCACGGCCGTCGTGATCATGGCCAGTCTCCATCAGCTTTGCGAGGAAGAGCTGGAACAGATCATCTTCCACACGAAGTCTGACGTCCTCGGTCGGCCAAAGTTTGTCATCCAGCACGATGGATCGGAGACAGTTGGCAGCGTCGTCGCCCCGCTCGTAGACATTGTCAAAGAAGGAAGTTGTTGATGCTTGGAGCTCAGTAGCGAGATATTCTCGGACCGCTGGACTCTGGCGGGCTAACTCGGCAACAATAAAATCTTGGGCATCCGACATTGTAGATTGGCGGCACTCGAGAAGGATTTGTATGCACTCGCGAGCGACGGGGGCGGCGGTGGCAGCTTCAGGTCCCTTCAAGTACTTGACGGCTTCATCTCCGGCCGAGTTGTTGTGGTACAGGGCATACCTTCTGACCAGATCCAGAAGTGGCGAAGTTAACTGATCGTTGTGAATCGTCAAAAAGGCGGCCTGAACATCTGGATTGGCATGACCCAGAGCAGCAGCCTCCCTCAACTTTCTCGACGCTTGCTAGAGAAATCATCGTCAGCTGGCTATGGGACGATGTCTTGGAGGGCCACACACCACTTTGTCACCGACATTAAAGAAATCGACGGCTTCATTGGCCAGCAGCGAAGCACGTTGGGAATCGCGTTCTTCGGATAATTTTCGGTTCATCCGCTGGGCTGCGACCTTGATCGAAGAAGACATTGATGCAATGCTTCGAGAAGGGCGGTGGCGGGGAGAAAGAAAAGATTGATGGACCCTCGGTCAGAGGCAGTGAATAAGGTCTGATGCTCGAGGCAGAGTTCAAAGGCAAACGAGTGTTGGTCGGGTGACGTGAGATCAGAATGTGCAGGCCATGATTTTTATCGGTGGATGGCAAGTGGCAGTTGGCGGGAGGGCGGGAGGATGATTTCTCAGGTACTCCGTAGAACGGCGGCAAAGAAGCGAGGAGAACAGGTACGAGTTGGTCAGCTGATGAGGTGTGCTTGTTGATACAGCAATTGCAGGCGTGCGTAGGCTGTCCGCAGTGGGCGTTGACCGACGACGCAGCCGTGACGAGTCGAGTCGAGATGGCCGTCCGAGGCGAAGGACGAAAAGGCGTAGGTTGTTCTTGCGACGAGTCGCACTCAGGATTTCGCGATAGCAAATGGCGACACGAGGTGCTGATATTATTGGATGGCAAGGCAGCGGAAAAGCGAGTGGAATTTGCTTCTTGTGGCCAACAGAGAGGAATGAGCCAGAACCAGAACTCGCAGCAGCGCTACGTGCCCAGAGATGCAAACGACCACGTGGGATGCAAAATCTGCTCCACTACATACAACAAGACGCAGCAGACTCGAGATAGAACCAGGATTGGCAAAGCACCGCAATTATAAGAACGCCATAAAAGGGGAGAATATCCACGGCCCTCGAAGTCAAATAGAAAGTATCGCCGGGCGGAAATTAACATGTGCTCCTTTCTGACTTCTGACTCACCCGACCATCAAATTGTACCGACATGTACACAGCATTCTGCAGCATTGACTTTGCTGTGAATCTTGGGAGTGATTGCCGGTGGATTGGCTGTCAGGACCGCATTGCGTAGGCCTAGCACCTGCCACGGCTGAGATCCTTACCACTAAACCTCTACTCGGTACTGAATGAATTCTCACACCCAGCAGTCCACCCACGTTCGTGGTCGGCTGGCCGTGACAACGCATGCTGCCCATCAATGCCTATTGGAAGATCATCAGGCGCCCAAAATAGAAATCTGCCAGTGCCCAAAGGGTTCGCTTAGGCACCCACCGCACTCTCAATAGGCGCCTGGGCCTTCTATCTGTTGCTGCATTGAGAGGGTAACGCCTAATTTTGCTGTCTCCAGAGCTGCAAGGGGGCCCTTAGAGTGAGGCTCATGCTCGCTGTGGCTCAAGATCGCGGCGCAACGAGGCCTGCAAATTATCATTCGAAGCATCACTCTTGCACACAGGCTACACCGAAAACCAAGTTCCACTGGTGATGAAGTTGCCCTTTCGGCGCGGACCTTCACCTCGCTACTCCGTACCTCCTCACCAACGACAATTTTACCGTGATCCTGTCACGAAACCCAGCCACCTGATCGCGTTGATTTCCAATTCCCTGACGCTTCCATCATGAACGCGGTCGATGCTTCCGAGCACTACGACAAGCCGTCTCACTGTAAGTCACATCCCAGATTCCACACTATGCCTCATCCCGCAAGTTTTGCCGCTCCTCGCAGGTTCCAGACCGACGAGATCTTTCTGCCACTAGCGACCAATCACCATCTGCGTCTTGGTCGCCATATCAGATGGGCGCAAGGCTCTGGCATCCCACTCCACGCGCACGAGGCTGCTGATGCTGACGCTACCAACGACCAGCAACAGAACAATCGCCCTCACTGTTGACAATCATCATCGACACCAACCCAGCGGCATGGGCGTTGCTGTCGTCGACGCTTCCTCTATCAAGCGCCGTCGCCAGTCTCCTAGTTTTTATCAACGCCCACCTAGCGGCAAACTATACCAACAAGGTCGCCGTCATCGCCTCTCATTGCGACAAGGCACAATGGCTCTACCCGTCGCCCACAGAGCAAAGACTCCCGCGATCGGCAGCAGACCGACATCACGCAAAGCGCCAGTCCCAAGCAGGAGACCAGCTCCGGGACACGCACCTCTCCGACTCGGCGAAAAGACTTAAATTAAACGGCCCGTCATCAGATACCACGAGTATCAGACTCAACGTGAAGCCGTTCTCGTCCTCGGTGCAAAGCGGCAGCAAGTACCGCCCCTTCCGACTCGTCGAGGAAGAGCTCCTCCACAACCTGACGCTCCTCCTCTCCTCGACATCCCCGGAAGCCATCACCTCAAGCACGTCGACCATGATCGCCGGCGCCCTGACCCTCGCCCTATCCTACATCAACAGGGAATCCATCCTGCTGTCCGAATCCCTGATCGGCACATCCTCCCTCAACACAGGCACCGCAGACGGCCCGGGCGCCGGCCCCGGCACAACTGAAGGAGCCCCTCAAACACTCCAATCCCGCATTTTACTAGTTTCAGCCTCTCCCTCCACGGACCTAGCCCATCAATACATCCCCATCATGAACGCCATCTTCGCATGCCAGAGGCTCTCGGTCCCGATCGACATCCTCCAACTACCTCTCCCTCCCATACACTCAGACCTGCCGTCAACCACGCGAGCACCAACCGGGGATCCCCCAAATTCAAATTCAAACTCAAATTCAAACTCGACAGTCTTCCTCCAACAAGCCGCCGACGCGACCCACGGGATCTTCATCCCCGCTCATCTCTCCCCTGCAAACACCACCTCTAACCACTCCCAGTCCGCGGCCACCAACGCCCAGACAACAGCCTCCCAAGCCCTCCTGACGTACCTGCTCACCAGCTTCCTCCCCTCCCCCTCGACCCGCACCGCGCACCTGATCCTCCCGACGCGCATAGACGTCGACTTCCGCGCGGCGTGCTTCTGCCACCGCAACGTCGTCAGCGTCGGGTTCGTGTGCAGCATTTGCTTGAGTATCTTTTGCGAGCCACCCGAGCGGGGCGAGTGCTTGACGTCTGGGACCGTGTTGGCTGTGAGTGATGGGGTGGGGAGGCGGCCTGTGGTGGCTGGTGGTGGCAAAAAGAAGACCAAGAAGACACAGGCTCAGGGTGCGAGGTGAGAAGCTAAAGTATGATGTTGAGGGTGAGAATCGATCAGCCGACACGAAAAAGGGGGTCGTTCCAAGTTCAATGATCTGCTAACGTCCTGGAATTACAAGGTTATTCGAGGTCAGTGAGCACCAACTTCAAGCAGGAACTCCCTTGATCTATCCAATGTCTCCTTCATGCACACGACACGCTTTTAGCGGAGTACAAGGTTTCTAGGTCGGTAGCTTGCCGGCCCACGAGCAGCCACTATGCCGCTGGTTCTGGCTGAGTACCAAGAGGAAAATCATTTCGAGAGGGCGCGAAAGTGTTTGTCTGCCTATCTACCTAGCTCCGGGCTTTTGTCGCGTCTTTCCTCGAACAATAGACGCATCTTAGGTTCCCATGAGCCCTCACGCTCAAGAAGACATTCAGCTATGAATATGCCCTTGCCCCCTTGGCACTGCCTTGGTCTCACTTGATGTCTTTGCCGTGGATCCTTGTGCGCCCCATTTTTGGCCCATATCTGCATGGTTGGGCGTGGTGTCGAAGGATTCTGGGCGCCACCACTGCTTTGGCTACGATGAGGTGGACTTCTAGCCCAAAGCCTTTCCCATTGTATGTACCATAAATCGTGCCGGCGTTGCATGTGCCATCGCAAGACAAGTGGTTGCATCCTCAACGCGTTCGAGCAAACCTCGACCGACTGACTCTTCCTCCCTGGGCGATGGATCCGTGTCCTCGACTTCGTGACATGGTGCATACAGGTTTTCGTTCCTCCGAGTGCATTGATGCGAGTGCGAAAGAGTCGGTATTGTGGCCGAAGTAGAAATAGACCCCATCACGGGTCTTCTTAACAGCCAGAATGCCGATCGCCCCAGCGCAATGACTGTGAGCCACACCCGGATGGTCCATGAAATCGTTCACAATGATAGAACGCATTGCGTCGTCCTCATTGCATTGCACGAGTCTTCCGTTTTCCTTACGGACAGCATTATAGATCCGATCAGCCGCAGTGGCGGCCGCGGTCGTCGTGGCCATGTGTTCTCCCGTACCACTGCAAACTGTGGCAACACACGTCTCGCTAGAGTCTCGTGGATGGACGGGAATGATCGCAGTACCAGTCCCGACAAGAGCAGCTGGGCCACATCGACCCTTGTGCTTCATGCCTATTCCGCCAGAAGAGGAACCTGCCGCGATTCGGCCGAAGCAGTCGACAGCGATAGCTCCAACTGTGTCGTAAACCTCGTCTTCACGGCCATATTTATCGGCTGGCGCCACCAATGGATCGAAGCCTTTTCCATGCTCATTGGCAGCAACGGCCTCCTCAGAAGACGTGCCATCGAAAGAATCGCTCGTTTTCTGACGCTTGGTCGCTGACATTAGCCATGGCAGACTGTCATCAGTAGCAGTTTGAGAGGAGCTAGGCTCCGACGAGCGGTCATGAGACGCATTGCCATCTGGCGTGTTGTGATTTGTCCCGGGGCGGCGAAATGGAGACCCTGAGTCGGGAAGAGGACGGGGCAGAGTAGGCACATCGGCTGTGGAGGCCACAAGAGGACGAGTCATTGTTGGCATTCCTGACAGGCTGGGCCGTTTGCTGAGGGATGCGTTGGGAGTCAATGGGGTTGCGGCAGTAGTCCATTCAGCTTGGGAAGCATTCCCTGCAACTTGCTGGGCTTGCATTCGCCTCTCTGCCTCTTCATTTTGCACTCTTTCCAGATCCCGCTTCCATCTGATCCACCGGTCTTTGGCTCCCTCTGAGACGAGAAAGTCGTCTGGAAGGATCGGGATTCCCTTACCAGCTGCATATTCGGTCGCACCGGGACCGACAAGAAGGTTTGGCGGTACTCGTTGAAGGGATAGTGGCTTGGTGGACTCTTCGAGGACAAGCCGAGCGACAGCAATAGGGTTTTTGACGTGGGCAATAGCCCCAACCGCACCACTTCGACCGTAGTGATCGACCAACGTAGCATCACACTCGACACCTCCATCCATGGTCAGGTTACTTCCGTATCCCGCGTTTGTGATCTCCTTGTCCTCGAGCAGGCGAAGTGCCATCTCCACAGCGTCAGTAGCATCGCCTCCATTCTTCAGCACGGCCATTCCGACTCTTGCTGCATCGTTGACGGCGGTGAGGTGGACCTTTTCATTTTGGTGGCTATGGAACCCGGCCCCGGCATGGATGAAAATGGCACAGATATCGCCACCTTCTGGGGGTCGACGTGGCATTTGACGAATCTCAGTTGCTGGGACAAGGAACCATTGGTTGGTGGAAGATACTCAGAGCAGCTGTGAAGCAAGACTCTCAAGGCGGTCGGCGGTATGAAATTGAAGGCGAGGTCAAAGTATCGTCGCCCCGAGGCTGCACTGAGTTGTTGAAGAGACAAGGGCCAGCAGGCCGGTAGCTACAGGGAGCAAGGACAGTGCTTAAAAGAACGTTAAGGATAGGCTTGCTACTGTTCAAAAGAGTGTGCTTGGAGAACTGCAGAACAACGATGCGGTGATGGCTCTGCCGGACCCGCTTGGTGACGGCGAGGTGAAGATACAGTAGGAAAGTAAGGGACACCTCAGGATAGGCTCACTCTGGCTCTATTTGGGCGGCACGGGGAATAGAAGCTGCCCATCCACATGTCATTTTTCTGACTCGCGCTTGCACTGACTGCCCTAAAGCTGCTTAGATGCGCTGTCAGCTGATTGCTAGAACTACGCACATGGCAAGTCCGTTGTTGAGGTGGCAGGATGCTGCAATAATTGGGACTATCAGTCCTGAATGACAGGTGTGTGAAAGAGCAATCACGAAACTCACCAGGGCACATCGCCGGGGACGCCAAGTCGGGGATTTCGTCGGTTTGCGAGAGTCACGTGGATGACATAATCACCGCCCACTTTGCATCGTGGGTGCGTCGCCAGTCAGCCCACTAACTAAACCATTGCTGTCATCTCACTGTCCCCCAATCCAGTGTCGTTCTCGAAGCTGCCTGCGAAAGGTGCTGGCGGATACAGGAAAGTGCCCCCTCTCAGGCTCAGACATTCTTCTCTCCCCGCCGGCGATGCTCCTTCACACCAGCATTAAGTCACCGTAGCCACCCTTCTCCCTCCACCCTGCCCGCTGCGTGACCGGCTGTCCTCGAGTTTGTGCGCAACCGGCCCCTCAATATGGCGGCCCAAACCCCAGCCGTTGTCATGGACAAGTGAGTGTCTCTGCGGTCGCAACGAGAAGCATGATAACTGATGTATCGCAGCGGAACTGGGTTCTCTAAGCTGGGTCCGATCATTTCCTTCGAGCCCGTAGCTGGTCCTCTAACCTGGTTGTTATAGGGTTCGCCGGAAATGACGCTCCTTCCTTCGTCTTCCCTACCGCCATTGCAATGAAAGGTGCCGGTGGCGGGGCAGCAGGATCAGGCTCGGGGAGACCAGCAGTTGCAAACAAGCCTTCATACCTTACTGGCGGTGCCGGACCCAGCTCCAATCTGGCAGGCAAGCGGGGGACCGAGGATCTCGACTTTTTCATCGGAGATGAGGCATTGGCTGCATCGGCTGGCCCGGGATACAGCATAAATTACCCTATCCGACATGGCCAAATCGAGAACTGGGACTACATGGAACGATTCTGGTCAAATTCCATATTCAAGTATCTGAGAGTCGAGCCAGAAGACCACTACTTCCTCCTGACAGAGCCGGTGAGTTACGGTTGTTCCTTGCTGGGTTGGACCAGGCTGATCATTCGCAGCCTCTGAACCCCCCCGAGAATCGTGAGAACACCGCCGAGATCATGTTCGAATCCTTTAATTGCGCTGGTCTATACATTGCCGTGCAAGCGGTGCTAGCATTGGCCGCCTCGTGGACATCTTCGAAAGTCACAGATAGATCTCTGACGGGGACTGTCATCGATTCCGGCGACGGCGTCACCCACATTATTCCAGTCGCGGAGGGGTATGTCATTGGCTCCTCGATCAAAAGCATACCGATAGCGGGGCGAGACATCACATATTTCGTGCAAAGCCTGCTTCGAGACAGAGGAGAAGCAGATAGCAGTCTGAAGACTGCGGAGCGGGTCAAGGAAGAGTACTGCTATGTCTGTCCGGACATTGTTAAAGAGTTTGCGCGATACGACAAGGAACCTGACCGATTCCTCAAACACACTGTGACGCAACCAAACGGAAGGACCCTTACAATTGACGTGGGCTACGAGCGATTTCTTGCTCCCGAGATCTTCTTCAACCCCGAAATCTACTCGTCCGACTTTCTTACACCCCTGCCAACCGTGGTGGACGGAGTGATCCAATCCTCGCCCATCGACGTGCGGAGAGGTCTCTACAAGAACATTGTCTTGTCTGGCGGTTCAACGTTGTACAAGGACTTTGGTCGAAGATTGCAGCGAGATATCAGACACTTGGTAGATGCACGCATCAGAGCATCTGAAGCGCGCAGTGGTGGCGCCAAGAGCGGTGGACTAGACGTGCAAGTCGTGACACACAAGCGACAAAGACACGGACCTTGGTTTGGAGGCAGTTTGCTGGGACAGACGCCAGAATTCAGGAGTTATTGCCATACCAAAGCCGAGTACGACGAGATCGGACCGAGCATTGTCAGGCGATTCGCTTTACTGGGCGGCCCAGGTAGTTCTTAGGCCCACGGATGCGCCTCACGAGATAGAGAGTGGGAATGTGGATAAAAGTCGTCAAGCAAGCGCCCTTGACGTCGAATTTCGGTTGCTCATCAACCCGAATACTTTTGACTGCTCGATCGAATGATCCTTAGCCCCGTCGCACCTAAGAAGCAACCAAGCAAAGGTGAAATAGTGTGGACGCCACAAGCTAATTGCTGACATAATCGCTTGAAATGGGTTTGCACTTCTGTGAGGATGATGCCACAACGACGCCGCGGCTTTTCGAGGCAACAGCTACGAAATCGTTCTTGTCCCTGATGGGCTGGCTATATATAGCTTGATTGGTAGCGATGAGGTCGCCGGTCGCTGCCAGGTGTAGTGGGGTTTTTACTGTAGGAGGCCCAACTCGGAGATTGCTTGAACGCAAGGATATCCCGACCACCCTCTTTCCACTCTTTACCGTTCTGATTCCGGCTTTCTGGGCTCGCGGAAAGGACAGAAGCCAAGCGTGCGCCCAGCAGCTGCCATGGCATCCGGACGAGAGTCGTCGGCTCCGATGCCAATATGTTTCATGATGCAAAACCCGGGTTCGCGTCAAAGTCACCGGGAGAAGCACCTACAGATCGCGGCAGCTCGAAGCCATGCAGCCAAATACATCGCCCGAGAGGCTCGGTGGAAAAGACAAGTAAAGTAAGCAGAAGGATCCCAGGCTAAACGGACGTATGGTTGACCCAGCCCCACTGCAGTTGGCGCCAGGAGAAGGACTCTCAATCGTCTGGCCGAAGCCCATCGGCAGACAAGGCATTTGATGACGGCGAAGTACAACATGACTCTCCAATCGTGCTCCGGACCGCTCTATCCCAGAACAAAAGAGACCCATTCTCTCCATACGACGCGTCACTGCATCCGACCATTTTCCAGGACCTCATCGAGTACGGTAAGTAAAGTCACTACCCCTACGCCTGAGGCGGATATCCTCTGTTGCTCGAGTCCGCTGCATTCCTGCTGTGCATCGTGCTCTGCTGATACCACCTAATGGAAGCGTACGACACTTTATGGCCTGGTGTTGTCGAGGTCTCGGGGAATCCAGCCGTGCACCCGGGTCGACGAGAATGGCGTTTGGCTGCTCAAGAAAATCCAGCCGTCTACCATGTCCACCTCGCCAGCGTGGCCGACTTTGGAAAGGCGATGTACCATTCACATGGGCTCAGTAACGAATTCGACAGGCTGAGGTTGTTCCACCATACCAAGGCGCTTGGGTTGGTGAGACAGATGATACAATCCATGGGCGCCGACGGGGTACCGTCCGATGCCCTTGTCATGGCGGTATACAACCTTTCCTACCAGGCTACAGGCTGGGACTATCGCATCGTTCCCGAAAGTCATCCTCCTTCGCCAGCATTCAAGGCCCGATTCCTGGGCGGCTACGGGAGGAAAGTTCCGCATGACGACCACATCCGCGCCATGAATACTCTCATCCGGGCGAAAGGTGGATTGCATAAGGTCGAACTCGCTGGGATCGCGGAGATGATCTGGCTGTGGGTAGTATCTGTTGAGCAAGGAGGTGCTATGCTAACGATGTGGTCAAACTAGATGGAGCCTGGACAATTGTTCGGCTCACCTTAGGACCCCGGACTTCCCACTTCTTAAGCAATACGAGGCACACTTGACGAACTACAGGAGGAATATGGCGCCCTCGGTCTGCGAAGGGCCATCCGAAGGGCAGGGTTCTGCGTTTCTAGTCCTTCCGCAGAAGGGCGACATTGGCAGACTCCGCGACTGTTTGCTTTGTACAGCGGCCCTCACTGTCGAGTTCGGCGCCGTGGGAGAACGTGGTGAGAGGACATATGCATTTCGGCGACTCGTGAGAATTGCCCGCGCAAATCATCACCAACTGCTGAGCCTTCCAGCGGACACTAATGACCAGGACACTCACGACAGGCTGATATTCTCGATAACGCGGCTTGCTGCGCTGCTGTACCATGACATCGTCATTTTCCCTCAAATCGATACCTCCGGGATCAAGCCCCGGCTGGCCGAGCAGTTAATGCACCTCCTGACTGAAAGATCCCGGGACCTGTTCCCAGGGGCAGGACGAAATGAGTATCGTGGCTTGGTCGTTTGGGCTCTCCTCCTAGGGAGTATCGGATCCACATGGACGAGAAACCGCACCTGGTTTGTCGAGCAGTTGCACTGGCGAAGCCAGGCTCTTGGGATTGAAACATTTGCTGAGCTCAAGACTTCCATGTTGGAGTATCTCTGGTTTGTGAACATGGACGGACCTGCTCTGCGAGCGTGGACAGAGCGAGAGGCCGCCATGCTCCCGTCATACGAAGATGGGTGATTACTGCCGTCGGTCGCAATTTCAGCCCTATGGAACGTGAGATGAGGCCGATTTCAGCTGTGAGCTCAGGAGGGCTGCCCTGGAACTCACGGGCATGAACAGTTGTGACACCGGCAATACTCCAAGACGGACTAACTATCCTCCTGCACGTGCGACGTCGCTTCATGTTTCAATATCTCGCCTGTCCGATGGTGAAAGCTAGCAAGAGCTCATTTATACTCTCCTAAACCAGGGATACAACAAGAATAGAATGTCGCGCTACTTAATGTCGCGCCAGTCCCCAGCACCCGAGGAGTCCGTGGAATACCTACTTTATATGCAAGTCTAATACCCACCGAGAAAGATGTTTAGCACCCCTTTAACGAATAACACTCTCGCCCACAACAAGACAAGCACGGAAGCTTAGTCCACGCAAGAACAAAAACTCCACTACAGCCCCTGCTCGAATAGGGCATTGTAGCGAGAGTTTCATGTTATAACAGCAGCTCGTTGTTAGATTGGGCTATATCCGGTGGTTTTGGCGGACCAGCCGGTCTACTCCCATCTCGCGGCATCATTTTGAAGCCGCCGATTTGACTGATCCTGTCAAGTAGGCGAACGGATTTATTGTTGGTTATGGGACGGTACAACACGGGTGTTGGCGAGATTGCTGTCGCTGGGATTCGAATGGTGGGTGTGGTCGACACAACTCGTCACTGGCACGCCTTCTAGCCCGGTGCTAGTTTGATCTCAACCAGCGAGGAAATTGTTGACAGAAAGTTGGTGACTACACTCTTTTAGGTGAAGAGGTCGTGAAGAAAGATGATTGGGTTGGTGTCGGTACTGGTGCTGGAATACTGCCAGACCCGGTATCTACCCATTTGGTAGGATCAACAGTGGTGGTGCAGTACGAGGAGTTCCACCGTCTCTTCGTCACCAGCAGTACCATGTCCCAGCGATGTCTTTCGCCAAACGGACCAGACGACAACTTCAGCAACTCCGCAACGGGACACCATCGATCACAACATGATGGTCTACGTCCAGCTTCCTGCCAGGCCCTCTGCGTAAGCCAACCCGTTCGATCACATCCCCGGACGTACACGAGATGGTCGGAACATCCTTGGGCATACAGAGTTGTCTTGGAAGAGCTGGACGCCACGTAATCAGAATGGCTCCGCTGCTGCTTGGACTTTGCAATAATGAAGCACTCGGCCGAGCTGCTTAAATATGGACCGCGAACAAGATACCAAGCATGGAAGAGAACCCCTGCTAATATCCGGAGTTCGAAATAGGTACCTAGGCGTTTGGACTGCTATCCCTCTGGAGAAAGTTTGGAAAGCCCTATCCCAAAGACCTACCCCGAAGGATAAGCCCATACTCGTTGAGATTCGGTTGCCTCGCCTAACAGCGGCTCGTGACTCTCGAGGCAGGAACCTGCGCTGAGGCAAAGGAAAGAGACATGCTCAAAGCCCTTGACCAGGGCACGGTGCTGCATCGCTGCATGGCTTTCAGACCTCAAGCTTGTCCTCAGTACAGCACATCTTTACTGTATGTAGCTTCGACAACCTTCTCCTACCCTCTGACATACGCAAGGCCGTGGCCGGCCACTACACTCCCCACTCACCTCGTACTCCAGCCCGGCCAGATCTCCTCCGCCAGCCTCTTCACCAAGTCCAACTTCTCCCACATGGTCTCCCTTGTCATGCCCACGCCGCCCTCGGAATGATCACTCGCAAACCCACACTGCGGGCTCACGGCCAAATTGTCCCTCAGCGCATCCTCGCGCGTACGGCCCCCGCCCTGACCCTCCGCAATCACGTCCGCGGCCTGATACACGCGATCCTTCAAGGCTTCGAGACTTTCCATCTCGGCCGACTTGGTCGTCACGACGCCCAGCACCACGGCTTTTTCGCGAGGCAGGTATTTCAAGGGCGTGAAGTCACCGGCCCGGGGCGAGTCGAACTCCAGATAAAACACACTGTAAGGCGTCTCGGTGAAGATCTTCTGGGCGATGCGCTCGTAACTCCCGCTCGCGAGGCCGACCCCGTTGGGGAAATTGCCTCTGCAAATGTGTATCCCCACCGTCAAGTCGGGTGGTAAGTGTGCCACGGCGTCGGTGTGCGACTTGATGTATAATTCTAACAGACGGTCGAGATCGACGTTCTCGGCTTTGCACGTCGCGATCCATTCCTCGCTGCGAAAGTCGTCAGTTAGTCATTGTGTGGCACCTCTCTTCCGCGGGAAAGACGAAGGAGGAGCCCAAGCGAAAGCAACAACAGCAGCATTCGCAGCAGCAGGGCGCAACTCACTCGCAAAAGAAACTCAAATTCGGGTCATCGACCTGCACGACGCGCAAACCGGCATCATACAGCGTGCGGATCTCCCGGCGGAGCGCCGCGCTCAGATCGCCCAACAACGCTTCATCACTGCCGTACAGGTCCTTGTCGAACGGCTCCTTCAATTGCACATGCCACCACCCCGGCGGCGGGACCGTCATTTTGCAATCCCCCCACCTGTCCGCGGGTAACAGACTTCTCAAGAACAGCCAGTCGTCCAGGTATGCCGACTTGGCATGCCGCACGGGGTTCGCCGTCGGAAATCCCGCATCACGGCCCTTGACGCCCCACTCCAGCAGGGGGCGGTTCGTGGGAAACCCCGCCCGGAAGTGCTCCAGAGGGGTGTACCGCATCTCGAAACCGGCGAGGGACTCGAAGAAGTTGCCGTAGAAGATGCTGCGTTCGTATTCGCCCGTCGTGATGGGGAGGATGCCCCGGGAGAGTTGGTCCGACACCACGGCCTTGATGGCGTGGTCTTGTTCCCTTTTGAGGAGGGTCTCGGGGTCGGCGTCGGCATCGCCAGTATTTTGGACTTGAGCATGTCCGGTGGGAATGTCGTTTTCGTGCTTGACTCCGTCTTCGCCTTTGTCCTCGCCTTGGCTCTCGCCAGCCCGAGACCCCGCCCGGAGATTATCACGCGGGAGGAGAGCCCTACGGCGTGCCTCGACAAGCGATTTTGGCCGGAGGAGGGATCCCACCTGGTCGGCGCGGAAGGGGGGTGCCATGGCGAGATACGTATCGTACGTAGACAGACAGACGAACACGGGAGGTCCCACAGAGTCCGAAGGACGCAGTAATTACGCAGGGATCAGAGTCAGAGTAAGCAACTCAGCCGGTAAACGGACGCTGCAGAGCACTGTGGCCGGGACTGTGGACGTGATTTCAACCTCTTTGAAGGTGTGTGATCAATGAGTCTTGACTTCTGATTCGTGATTCTTGATATAAGATGCAGGATATCAAATGCAAAGGAGCATACTTGACACAAGAGCCGTCGACGTAAGTAGCCACCTATTAACCGATAACCAGGCAGGCAGGCTGGCAGGCAGGCAAGTCGGTCATATATCTATAGGGGCACAACCAACCCACATGGAGTGGAATGAGTGGGTCAGGACTCTACTCGGTACAAGATACTCCGTACTCTGACGGGGATACTTACATAGCAGTAGGTATGGTGGAGACGTTGCCCTTCTCCACAGGTTGAACCTCGGGCGGGGCACACAGAAGCAGGCAGATGTGCTGTACCTCGTACCGTCGCTGTCGCTCTCACGACCGGGAAGGATATACGTCCGCGACTCCGTACTTTCTGCCTTCTACCCTGGGCTCTCAAACTACTTTAGTGGACAGTCGATAACCTCGGATTCCGGATTAAGGCGGGAGGGCTCCGCTCCGTGTATGGTACTGTACCCTAACAGTTCTTCTAGCTTGCGGCTGGATGTGGACGGGATATGCCATGGACGACACGGCACGACCTATCAAGGGATTCGTCTTCTTGGCCGACACCGGTATGGGATACGGGGATATTACTCCTGGACTTGTGGAGACGGATGCTAGTACGCATCAGGACGAAGTACGAGTACAGATTGTGGGTGAAAGTGTAGTATGTAGTGGTGCTGTGACGATGAACCGTGGGAAACGTATCGATCCAAGCAAGGGCATCTGCATCTTGTAATGAAGGATAAGACCGAAGAAAGGCGGCAAAGGCGACAAAGGCAAGAAAAGCCAGAAAACCAACCGGGGAAGCCTAATTTGCGATGCAATGGACATTCGTATCTATGTAGAACAGGAGCTGTCAGCTCGGTGGTAGTAACACGTCCGCAACCATTCTAACATGGTCACAGAGATGAGCTGCTAGCCGTCTCATATTCCACGCAAAGCGAATGCTCATCATGGCACATGAATCCTCGCGAACCTCTAGCTCCTCAAGGCACATAAAGCCGCACGAACCCCTGCACGGCTCGCCGACAAGTCACACAGTTTCCAAAGTTGTTGAGCGCCAGGCTGACGCGGCAGTCCTCGCACACACAGAGACAGCGACACGGCCATGCAATGATCGTCCTCGACGAGACCTGGCAGACCACACAAGGCGGACCCAGCTGTGTGGAAGGGTCATCATCGTTCTCCGTCGGGCCACGCAACGGAGGAGCGGTCGCATGCTTCTTTCGCCGCTCGAGAATGAGGGACTCTAGGACTTCTGCTTCCTCGGTCGGTGTCAGTGGTCGAGGGCCTTTGGCCTCCGGCTCCGTATATAAGGAGACTGCCGGAACTTTGCCCATGTGGTCATGGTGGTGGGGGGTCCGTCCTGCCAGCAGGATCTTGGCCCGCTCGGCTTCGAGTTCACGACGATAGCGGGAGCGAGTCATGATCCCAGGCGAGTCGGCTGACGCACTGGCCAGCAGGTGAGATGAAAGAATCCGGGCTTCTTCCCGGGACGCCGTGTCTTTGGGATTGAGAAGCCTGGCAAGTGTGATAGCGTCGAGTGGTGAATCCGAGAAGGTTTCTGGCGTCGACTCTCGAGTCTGGATTTGTGAAAAAGACCACATCGGCCCTGAGGATGTCTGCGTTGGGGTTCTCGTACCCTCGGGCTCTGATTCCCATTCGTCTTCGTGGACGCTGCTGCTGCTGCTCGCGTCGGTGGACATCGAAACCACGCTCGTAACATCATCAAGATCGTCTGCATGTGACGGCTGGTACTCGCCGCTCTCGTCTTTGGTGCCAAACCAGCCACCGGATTTCCACCAGTCGTACAGCTTGGCGTCGAGAAGTTCATCAATTCTCTGTCCGGAGAACTCGGTCATCAGCCGCCTCCTCATTTCCGGCTCAATATCGACTTCGTCAGTTCGGGGTATCGTGAGCTTGCCATCTTCCCTTAGGACCCAAAAGTCAAGAGTCCCTGTGATGGTCGTATTGCGCTCGGCATTCATCTTTTTCAATGACCTGCCGACCAGGCGTCTCAGCCAGCGAGGCCGCGCCGTGATGCCAATCGTGTCCAACAAAACACCAAACCCAAATCCGATGTATCCAGCCGTTAAAAACATGATACCCCGAAGGTAAATCATAAGCAAGTAGAACCTTGTCGTCCGTTGTACAGCCCCAACGCCTCCATTGCGCGGGGTAGGGTATACGAAAGAATCTTTCCCTTCCAATTCGTTTTCCTTTTTGTCGAATTTCCGTTCCTTGCCAAAGCCGGACTCCCAAACACCTCCTTTGTCAGTCCCTCCGGGACTCGAAGGTGGCAAGCCGTATTCTTCCAGGATTTGAAACTGCTGCCCATTCTGAAGGGTGCCGGCACCTTGAAAGGGACCCTTTTCACGCATTGCCGAGTCAAACTCGTCGAGTCGATCTTCCTCCAGCCAAGTGAACTGTCGAACTTCGACGGCCCGGCCTTCATTCAAGAAGACCGCTTCGGACGCGGCAGTCAGTGCGGCAAACCCAACACGAAGAAGTGCTGTATAAAAGTCCTCGTACCAGCGGATGTTGATGCCACGGGTCTGGACTGCGGCTTGAAGGTTGTCGTGAGCTATGGCGAAACGTTCCTTGAGGCTCGTTGGTTGCGGAATGTGTGGGTTGGTCCCCAGGGATATCGCAGTCAAGGTGAGCGCAATGAGGTAAATGACCAGACAAACTGCAACGCCAACCAGTATCGCCATATGGGGGAGGAAGCCAACAATAGCAACCGTAGGGAAATGCAGGAGGCTGCTGACAGGGCGGTTGTCGCCGTTCTCTCCACTTCGGACCATGACACTCGTGGTAAACAAGCCCCATACAAAAGAACCCATGAAGGCCATTCCCCAAACTGCAGTATTGACGAGGCGCCATTGACGTTGTTTGCCCAGGACAGCAATTACGTGAGACGATAAGGAGTTGCAGCATGATAGCAGAGTGACCAAGAGAACTTCGACTGGCACGTTGACTCGATCCAGGATGTGGGGACCTGTGAGGGCCGCGGTAGCATCCGCGAGTGCCAGTATAGTGCCCGAGGCCGGTATCGTAGGGGAGGAGTCTGCTTGTGAGAATCCTGAGGCGGTCGTGTTGCTACTGCTCGAGGCCTTGACGGTGTTAAAATAGCCAAGCCCCAGAGTGTGGGAGATCATCGTCTCGGCTTCGGCGAACGCCAGTGAATGCTCGAAGACCGACATGCCCACTTCCGTCATGGTCGGGATCTGTTGCAGCGAGCAAGAGAGGCTGTCGACAACATGAGACAAACTCAGACGCAGGAACGAAGGCCAGAGAAGCGAGAAGGACCCATATGGCGCCCGAACGTCTGGGCTCGGTCTGCTCATCCCAACTGCTGCACAGGCATCTGCATCTGTGGACTGGAAGAGTAGCGTCGATGTAAAAGTGTGAAGGCGCCCGCCGTCCGTGGACCAGTCTAGCAGGCTGTATTTGTTATTGTCTCCATGTCGGTACAGTGAGTAGTCCGGAGACGTTTGGCATCGGATAGCCTGGAGAAGCGAGTGGATCTGGCTGGCGAAAAGTAGAATGGGTAGTATTCGCAAAGCTAGCCTCTTCGTCCAGGTCAGCTGGATGCGTTGGCGGGAAGCGCCATAGACCCCAATGCGATTAAGGATGAGCGCCTGTCATGGTCAGCAGGTGAGTCCAAACACTTGTGAGACTTTCATACCATGGCAAAGCATGTGAAGGCCCATCTCGACGTCAGATAGTGCAGCATGCCCCAGTATGACTTGAATGTGCTCGCCTGAAAAGCCTCTGCAAAGAAGGCCGCCCAGCTCTCTGCGCCTGCTTCGCCGACTGCTTGCGCCGCAGCTTCTGCCATGACTTGTCCTCCTGCAGCACCCTCAGCCAGCGGCGGGCCTCCTCTTGTGAAGATGTTAATGCCCAAGCCCTCCACGAATACCTGGTGCCATATGAAAAGAACTGCCCGGTCAATCAGCGAAGCGAACCGGAGTGGGAAGCAAAGGAGCTGTTCGGCAGTTGGCAGACTAAACGACGAGGTCACATCTGCCGCGGCTGTCTTGAAGGCTGTCAGATTCAAAAGTGAAGGGGAGGCAGTTATCGGTCCCTGCGCCTGGGTGAGTGAAGAGGCCGCCTGTGCCGCCGTTGATTCGACCGTGACCATGTCTTCGAGATGTCTCTGCCCGCGCCTGCGGGTGACGAGGGGCTTTCAATGCATGGGTTGTGATATGGCGTCAGTCACATTGACAATGTCTTCTCGATCATTGGAACAAGCGTAGTCGATGGCTGAGCAACTCATGCACCGCAAGAAGGAAACACTTGATTAACTATCCATCGAGGATGCGGCTATCGGAAGGAAACCAGTTCGGTCGAACCAAGAGCCGAAGACCGGCTGAGAGGCGGACGGGCTTCGGATCTGAGATGGCGTGGCGTCACTCCCCTGTTACTTCGTGCTCATTCAACGCTCACATGCTGTTTACCATACTACAGTAAATGCAGAGTCTTGTGTAGTTACATATACAACGCAACCATGATCACTTTCCAACTCTACAGTCGACCGTCCGCGAAACACAAAACTTCAGCCTCACGAAACTCCCGCTTCGTGCTTCTCGGCGTCCCATGTGTCTAAGAATGATCCCAGGTCATCTATCGCGCCGTCTAGATCGAAGTCGTCGTTCTCGATCAGACCGAGCATTCGTTGTTTTTGCGCATGTTGCTTCGTCGATGCCGAGCTAATATTGTTCGAGGCAGATACTCCTGTGGAGTGTTGCGAGGAAGCCTTAAGAATACTCCGCGACAACGCTGCCCGGGCCGTCCTTGGGAATGTGTCATCCTGCGGAAGCGATTTGTGACCTTCGTTCTTGTCCAGTTGCAGATCATCACCGTACTCAAATACTGTTTTGGAAATGCCCGTATCTTCTTGACTCGGAGGAGTAGCTTTCGAAACTTTCAAAGCTGACTTGATAGATCTTGACGACTTCTCTTCAACTACAAAGACGTGTCGTTTCCTGCTTTTTGATGCACCCGTCTTCTTTGCGGCGGCGGAAGGCATTGCTTCCCAGGCAGCGCCGGATACCGCTCGCAAAGTTTTAGTGGGAGCTGTTGGGTCGTCTGATACCAGCAGTGGATCCACAATGCCTTTGGTTATCTCCTGTGGGGAGTGGATGGAAGCGTCTTCATCTTCGACTTGTGGCTCGGACAGAGCTTGTGGGTCAGGCATCGCAGCATTGTGTTTATCAATATGTCCAGAATCGTCTGAGGGGTGCACTAGATCAGTCGGGTTGTCATGATTGCCCGCCAGACCAGACGCTGGCCCGCCATGATGGGAGCTGTCACGAAGCATTTGATCGTGACTTGAGAAATTGGAAGGTAGCGAAGGTAGAATGGGAGCTTCGGGGAGCTGAGCTGACGGAAGCTCGGCCATTATACTTGACCCCGTTGCCTCCTTCTCCAAAGAAGGAGGTCCGACCTCTTGGGGCCCTGGTAGAGGCATTTCTTGTGCTGTCTTCAGAGGGGCCGAAGCGTCGCTGGAGGCGGGATGGACGTCTGCCACGCCTTTCAAAGAACTCTCGTCGCGAGCCTCAGATGGCGAAAGTCCGGGTATGTGTCGACATGGCCCCTGCGCATCGGCTCGACCAGCAGGAGCAGAGTCTGAATCCGTGACAGCCGTTGTAGGCTGATCTGTCGTACGCTTCGACCGTAAGATTGCGTATTCCGCTCTAGATTGGTCTGTCCAGGCTGGTTTTGCATTGCTGTCACGTTGCAGGAGTGGTGTTTGACGTAGCCTTTGTTTCGAAGGTGAACTGGGGGAATGTGTTGCCTTTTCGTCAGGCGGCCCAGTTCGCGACTTCGTAGAAGACGGCGAGCTTGTTAAGTGCTGCTTGACCGGTTTTGAAGGCGATATAGGGGGACGAGGGAGGTAACTGTAATTGGAGCTAGTAATAACTGCACCGGACCGAGCGCCGGGGCCCGTAAAAGGCCGAGAATTGTCTCCTTGGTTCACTTTTCTTTCGCTCGGTGATGGCGGCGTAGGCTCAGGATGTAAACCAACTGCTGCCTTGTATGCTTCGTTTGTCTTCAACCAGTCTTCGACCTTGGGGTCCCTGGAGGCGAGCTCCTCGTCAGAAACAGAAATATCTGGAGTTCTTCGCTTTCCTGTACAGCTCAGCATCAACCCTCGGTTATTTTCGTGAGGGTCCTTCTTTTGCCCTGTGGGGTATATATCTGCTTTGGCGGCCGCCTGACCCTCTTGCTTCCCTGCCGATGTTGGTGAAGCCCGATCCGTCAGATTGGTAGGGTTGGTGAACTGCTCAGATCTCGCTTGACTGGTTGTACGTTCATCGATACGGGTGACTTTCTGTTTGGACCAAGGATTTTGCCATCCGTCGCCAAACGGACCTCTCAGTCCAGCCGTAAGAATGAACACAGGCTGTCCACGCAGGTACGCCGTCGCGTGCGCCTCGATCCGTCGTCGCTTCGCCGCTCTCTGCTCCTCGCTCTCTTCAATCCCACCATCCTTATCAAAGATCACGACTGTGTCCTTGCAAATAGGAATTTCGTCGGCGCAGATTGGTGAAACTGGTCTAGGGTATTCAGGTGCCCTAGGTCTAACGATGGGCATGACTGACCGGTTCAGGGATCCAGTGACCGCTTGCTTACCCCAGAAGAAGTACGAAGAGAAAAACGCTGAATGACACAAACGCTGAATGCATCGAAAGTCGCAGAAAACAGCGTGTGATACCGCTAGTAGTGGTGGTGGGTTGGTGACAATGGTGGCTAGTGGAGGTGGCTGAATTGATCTTTACGCGTGACGTGACGCGCGCCTAATGACCCTACACTCGTCCGTATTTCTCTCATATTTTGCACTTCGCGGATAATTACGTAACCAAGCGGAAGAGATTGATCAGAGCGTCCAATGATCGTACAACCCATCATAAACTTCTACAACCATTTGGAACATTCAACTATTGACAAAACCATGCAGGTGTCGTGGATGCGTGATTACTATCTGCCTACTAGCCCTACAGTCGACTATCTAAGTATTCTCGGTTCTGCTTACAGGGGCACACAGCCTGGGGATGCAAGAATTTTGTGCCACGAGAAAAGGGACTCGTGAGGTCGGCAGCCATCGTAATATCCTCCACCCCACCACACTGTAAACCACTCCAGGATTAAACTCGTTGAAGGAAAGGGTATCGATGCAAGCAATTGACCGTCAAGCAAGAAAACATATCTGTTATTCTTTCCGACCTTACTGGGTCACTCCGTCGTAGTAGGTGCCACTGGGGTTGGGCTTGCTCAAGTTAGCGGTGCCGCTGTTACCACCCGAGCTGCCGAAAGCCTGGTCAACCTGATTGCTGAAACCAGCTGTAGCATGGCTGGGATTGGCGGCGGACATCGGGTTGCTCGCTGCGGTTGTGCCAGAAACAGCCGACATGTCATCACCGGTGTTGGGGTGATTGCCTCCGCGAATTCTGCCCGCGGCCGTATCATGGGGCTTCCTGGTGACTTTGCCGGGTTTGGGGAGGTCGGAAGACTCCTTGGCACTACCAATACTGAAGATAGGAGATTCCCATCGGTCGCCCTTGCGAGCCAATTCCTTGTACTCGGTAGCCTTGGTTGAAACACCACCAGGCAGGTTGATATGTTTGAACATGGAATCTTCCTTGGTGACTGCGACATTGACGTTGGTCTTCGAAGCCTTGTCCTTAGCCTTCTCCTTCTTCTCGGTCATCTTCTTTTGGTAGGAGTTGAGGTAAGATTGCCAAACATTCGGTGCATTCTCAGGATCGTCCTTCGCCGCCTGCTTGCTGCGTTCCACATCTTGGTGCACGCTATAAGCAAAAGCGTCAGCTTTGGTGAAGGTATCTCTGATCTGCTTTTCGAGAACTTTCTGAATGACCGGCTTCATGACCTTAAGCAACAATGGCTTGGCAATGGTGAACAACAGCTTGTGGTTGGACTGCTTGATCTTCACACTCAGATTCTTAATCGTGACGTCGACTTTGTCCACAGCGACGAAATGGGTGCGGTCGCTAGCGGTCGCATTGCGAGCAGAGATTTTGAAGCTGAAACCCTCGCCGCCGAGGAAGATGTCCATGACACCCTTGTCAGTGATGGACGGGAATCCTTGCTTCCTCTTGATGTAGTAGGCAACGTCTCGAAGGTCCATCTGGACACCAGAGCCTGCAATGGTGACCTTGTTATCCCTCTTGTTGGAGACTCCCTTGCGCCCCATGCGGAAGTAGTTGTCACTTCCGAACTCGAGTACATTGGGGAACAGGTTATCACTTTCGATGACGAGGTTTTCGACGACAGCATCAATCATGGGGTCCGAGACCTCAATCCTGGGAATGGGGATGTAGCGAGTGTTCTCGAAGATCTCGGGGATGATGACCTCTGTGATATCCTTGACCAGGTGAGGCTTGAAGGTGGCCTTGCCATTCTCATCATTGCCAAGATCCAAGAATAGCTTCTGCACAGCGTCTCCGAAAGCCTTGTTCTGCGGATCCTGGTCGAACTGATCCGCGAGGAACTTGATCTCATCGAGGATACGATCGGTGTGGTCTCGGTAGCGGTCGCGGAGGAGGAAACGGCCCTTATCATGCAGACGATTGTACTCATCGGTGGCTTCATCCTGAAGAATGTATCCCTGCTCCTGAAGGCACTTGCGAATATATCGGTCGACAGCCTTGAACCAATCCTTGAGTTCTGGGTCACGATCGGCATCGCGGTAAATAGTATTCAATGCATCGAAGAAGTCATCAGTGCTGGTATAGTTGGCGAAGCGTTCAATGAGAGTCTTGAACTTGGTTAGCGCGTCTTTGTTATCGCGAATGGCAGCTATACAAACCTTCAAGTTAGCCTCTGCACTTTGCAAACGATTATCTCCATGAGCACCTTTGACAGTCCCAGCAGATTGCGAGGTCAAGTTGTTGGCGTGACCGCCGTACTCTTCTGCGAGAGAGAGCAAGGTATCGATAGCTTGGCGATCTGAAAGTTGTTAGCTTCTATCTCCACTCAAACCCGAGGAGACGACGTACAGTCTGAATGGCCTTGGATCTCAACCACCATCTTCTTTAGACGCCAGATGGTCTGGTCACGACGCTCTTGCGGGAATTTCTTGTTGGCATAGTTCTTCGTTTTTTGAGCCGTCGCATTCTTGGCTTTCTTTGCGTCTTCCTTGCGCTCGTCTGGAACATTTTGGTCTGCACGAGACTGTAGGTGATCTGCAGCATTCTGCAAGCCTGAGACGCCAGCTTCACGGTTGTCCTGGCTTGGGTGTTGCTGGGCGGTATCTGCGCCTTGGTTGGCGGCTTCCCTCATGTCATCGCGGCTGAGGGGCGAGTTCTTGTTGAAGGTGTCACGTGCCTGGTTCCGAATGTTCTCCCGCGACAAGTCGGGAACGTCATGCCAGGTGTTATCTTCAGCCGGGTCGTCAATCTGGTTCAGCCGATCTTCAGACGGGTTGACTTTGCCGGCGACATTCTGAGCGGCGTCACCAGCGACATCGCGCATGAGGGTGACGGCATCGCTGAGGAGTTTGCGGAACTGGCCATTGGAGAGAACAAGTCTGCCAAGTGTCTTGAGGCCGTCAAGAGCTTGATCACCGTGTTGCCGGGCGGTGTCCTTGTCCGTGGGGGCATTGGGGAGGCTGGTGTTAGTGGCGTCAAGGTTCTGGGTGTCCCAAATGAATTCCTGAAGCAGGTTTCCGTCGTTCTTCGACAAGAGAAGTCGCTGAGCTTGGCGAATGACCTCTCTCAAGTCACCGACGAGCTCGCGACCCTCGCTTGAGAGCTTCGAAGACGGTGAGGAGAGGAATTTAGAGGTGATGGCGCTGTTCAGGGCAACATCGATTTGCTTGTTCGAAGGGACCTTGCCGTTGGAGAAGGCTTGGAAAATGCCGTAGAGCTGGAGCTTCGAATTGATGTCCTTCTCCTTGACGGCGTTGTCGGTAGGACGATTGACCGTCGCCATGATGAAGGTGGACCAATGGAAAACTATGCGAAATGGGTATCACAACGATAGCAAGGGAAAAAGAAACTGCGGACGCTGGCGCAGTTGCAATACTGGGGTAGTCTTCGAGTTTGTGTGAAGGTGTGGACGTGGTCGGGAAGATGCGATGAGTTTTGTGTGAGGATAATATGAAAGCCAGAAGAACAGGGCAGAGAAGAGGAGAAGTGATGTAGTCATGAGTGAAGGCGGCAGAGGCCCGTGTTGCATTACCTCACTGACCGCTCACTGGGAAACCGGTGGCACCAGGCGTCACCGAAGCACGCGCACATGGTGCTGTTTGTTCCAAGTTTGGGAAGGATCTAACCATGATCTCGCTGGAATCAACCAGGGATCGGCACAGAGTGTGGCTTGCCTCCAGTCGAACAAGCCAAGCGCCATGTCGACAACAGGCCGAAAGGGACCAGCTGAACGAATTAAGGTGGAGCCCGCTTCCGAAGTTGATCGCGGAGGAGAAACAAAGCCAACCATGACATCACCAGCCACAAGAACGGGGTTTGCCTGCTCTAGCACCATCCAGCGGCTGCTTTTCACGCCTACCACAGTACTGCGTTCCTTGAGCTTTGTCGTCGCTCTCGAGTGTTGCAAGCCTGTTTGCAATTCTTGCAAACCGTCCGATCCTCAGATGGTCTTCATTTTGAGCCAGACTACGGAGTAAGCGAGCGAGGAATCCACCTGAGGGTAGCCCAAACAAAGCGACTGTCGAGACCTCATTTAGTTCTTACGTTCTCGTTTTGATATTCTGTCGCTGGCCCCCAGCCGCTAAGCTGAGCATGAGGACTTGTACCTGTACTTTACTCGTAGCTCGTAGCTCATAGTACGATCGGGTCTATTGTGTACGCCAAGCGAAGGTGCAGACCGAAAGTCGTCGAATCACCCGATTCGATGTCACCACTGTACCACCTCGCTGCGAGCGTGCCCGGACTCACTTTCGAGATCAAGCCACTGTCATCACGAGCTCAACCATCAAGTCACTTAGTGCTCCCCATGAGTGACCTATGAACATTTCGTGGCCGCGAGGTGTGGAGAGTGGTCGTCATCGCCTGCCTTAGGCCAAGGTTCATCGCGATCAGGCCAGGAAGACTCCGCAGCCGATCGGGGGACTGGAAAATCTTCCGTACTGTGGTACTGTGGACTATCTACCAGATGACGTTTAACGTCGATGGAATCGCAAGGCTTGATACGGATCATTTTCCACCACTTAGATGTTAGCTCTAAATCTCGCTGGGTGTGCGTGTGGCTGAAGCAGCTACCGCCACGCTTACCTCAGTTTCCTGTCACGTGGCAGCGCGAATCCGCCTGAACGCGCTTTCTCCCCGCCTCCATTTCAGCCTCGGATTCCTCCGTAGTTACTGCGTAGACATGTCCAGCTGCCGTTCACTAACAACGCATCTTTCTTTATCGACCTCCGTCAAAGACCTTTAGCCGATCACGAGTGCCAGTCTTATTCCCCTGATGGTACGATACTTTGGCATCTCCCCAATCTTGCAGCATGGCAAGGTCCTCCAGAGTTGGGGCTCCTAAACGTCCATTCCGTGAACAGAAGAAGCAGATGAGGCTGCAGTTCTCGCCTCTGCCCTCGTCATCGCCCGCGAAAGAGAACTACAGCGCCGCCGTGCAAGATCGACTGGCTGGTATAGCCTTCGAAGGTGCAAAAGATCCAGCTCGGGCAGCCCATGGGCGGTCGCCAGAGCCAGTATCTTTACTCAGCCCCAAGCCTTCTTCCCAGGCTGAAGGTGACACTCAAGGTATGGTAGCGTACTTGCACTGGGGATAACAGGCTGATCATTCTCAGGGGCTGGTCAAATGTCTCCGCATGCCTCTTTCCCATCCTCGCTCACCCACGATCGCGTCTCTCACATGCGGTTGGCAAGTGACTCCGATGAAGACGATTTGGTAACGCCAGCTCAGAAGAGACGCAAGGTTTCCAATGCCTTACCGGTTGTTCAAACGCCTACATCAATGCCATCGCGACGATCTACGCGGTTGCATCAGGGCTCGTCCTCTCCACTGAGATCAAGGACATTGATCGCGGATGAAGACGTATCCGACGAACTGCAAAGCTCACCACCGAGAAGGAGCTCCGGTAGGCTGCGACGGGGATTGTCAGCCCGCACGGCACGCACCACCATTTCAGAGTCTTCCCACGGACACGCCTCGCCTCCCGTCCTCTCTTCCGCCAATAGACAGCCGACATTGTCCGATATTGGATCGCCAGAATCAAGTGACGACGATGTGGTCATGGTAACGAAACCTGCCCCCCGGAGGAAATCAAGAGTAGACATGGACGATCCTTTTGTCGTTAACGACGACCAATTGACGGCTTCTGCAGACGAGGAGCATCCCAGGACGAAAACACCGAAGAAAGGCAAGCCTAGAGGTGATGTTTTTGTCGTGAGCGATGATGAGGTTGAATATGTCTCTTCTGAAGATGAAAGCGAGGACGACGGCGTGCATCCCGCTGTCAGATCCCGTCCGCATTCATCAATGCCCAAATCTTCATCTAAACGCCGCAGGCGGACCCGACAGGAGCAGGACGAGCTTGACGAAGATCTCCAGGATCTGCAAGACTCAGGCCAGCAGATCCCGCACACCGAAGCGCGCCGGACGAGAGGCGGCCCGGTGACTACTGAGAGAGACAAAACAAGGGAGCACTTTGACCTTCTGAAACGAAGACGAGCGGGCGCGAAGATTACTCGCATTGCTGACTCAGATGACGACGAAAGCGATGAAACTGCGGAGGCTGCTGACATCGATTTGATCGGCGAGCCACATGATGACCTGGCCGATGAGCAGTCGGACACAAGTGTAATAGACTTGGACGTACACGACCGAGAAGTGGAGCACGACGTGGACGAAGACGATTTCATTGAATACGATAACGAAGGCAGGCATGGTCGACCACATCAGGACATCCCTCTGCAGTTCACTTCTTTCGCGTCTAAGAAGCCAAAGGAATTGTTCATTCACATAATCGAGTGGATGGTGAAGAACAAAATTGCGCCGGCGTTCAACCGGGAAGACCCTGTCTACAACTTGGCTTTTAGTCGAGTAGATGACCAAGTGCGGGCCCAAGCAGGAAGCAGATTGATCTCTTCTGCGTGGGGAAACGAGTTCAAGCACACGATCTTGGCCAGGCCGTACATGAGGGTAGTAGCACTCCCAGGCGAAGACGAAGACCACATGCGCACGTGTGATGCTTGCAATCGGACGAACAACCCGGCTCGGTACGAATTTGTCTTCAGTGGCGAGCCCTACTACAGGAAGACATTGGAACCTGTCGATGACTCGGATGATGAAGAGGGTGAGAAGGAGGAAGAGGACGAGGCAAGAGCTGACAAGAATGATAATATTACTTATGACGATGCGGGTCATTCGATCGCCTCGTCGAACACACGCTTCTTCCTCGGTCGTTTTTGCGCTGCCAACGCCGAGATGGGCCACAAGTTAACGCATTGGAAATATCACCTGAACGAGTCTCTCATGGCGTATCTGGAATCGCAAGGCGTGTTGTCCGCGGAGGCGATCGTCGCTCGCGAGAAAATGAACAAGAAGAAGCGTGAAAAAGAAGCGGAGAACATTGTGGACAGCATGGAAGAGACAGGCGTTATTGATACCTTCTGGAAAGAGTTTGAGAACGATCTCAACGATGCAAGGTTGGGTATGGAGGACTTTGAAAAGAGAGGCGGCCGAACGAAGGGGAGGGCGGGCGCCATTCGAGCGAAGAGTGGCAGGTTAGTGAGGGAATGGGACAAGGATAGAGTGAAAGTGGCAGTGGCGCTGGACTCTGATTCAGAGGGTGAGTGAAGGCGATTTCAGGAGAGGACGGATAGGTAAAATCCTACTCGGGGAGTCCTGCGTACTGGCCTCGACACAGGAGCTCTCTACTTGTGCCCATTTGAAGCTCTGGACAGACGGCTTTGCTACCCAGTCACGGTCAATGAGTGGATGAGCGCATGGCCACGGAGCACCGTGAAGGTCTGGAAAGGAGTGATGTGTACAGGAAGCGGATCTTTGCTGGTGTAGGTTTCCCTGGATATGCCATGCTCAGCTCTCTATGATCAACGACATACGCACCGAATAGCCCTATAGCACGAATCACAAATCAGAGCATCTTTGAGTTCCAATGTCCGATTATGGTAGTAACAACAGAGGTGAGATGAAATTCTATCCCACCTAGTAAGAGCCAAGAGCCCCTTTCTCCGACATCCAAGGACGGTCGACATGGAGTGTGATGATGTGCTCATGTTCGCGTGTTGTACAAGTCCTCCCTTCCCTGACTGCCTCTACCTCCCGCTCGCTCCCTTGTCATGCTCTGCCGAAGTGTTCAAACATGCGAAACACCATGCGCAAGAGTTGGCCTTCCCCAATAACTGTGGTCATCCATCCAGTCACTCAACACCTACACCGCAGGATATCTTCGCTACTCCTTCTCTCTTTCATCTCATCCGCACTCCCAAAGGAAAAGGGTTCACAACGCCGACTTCGCCTCCCCCTGGCCAGGCTGCATCATTCCCTGCGCCCCCTGCTCCATCATTCCCCGCTGCCGCTCCTCCTCCATGTACTGCTGTTCCTCGCCTAGTGCCAGCGCATAAGGGATGCCCAGCAGCAAAATACTCGTCGCGAGGACCCACAGGCTTTTGCCGCCGTAGTTGACCGTCGTGCTCGTGGCGGAGTACAGGGACGATGACGCCGAGGAGATGCGCGCCCTGGCCTTTGGGGGGATAATGTCGCGCAAGGCAGAGAGGCGGTCCAGGAGCGATTCGTCCAGTTGCGGGGATTCGGCGTCGTCGTCGGAGATCTCAGAATCTAGCGCGACACACAACGTTAGCTGGTCGGTAGAGTTGAAGGCTCATGATGACATTTATTGAAGACTTCACAGGAAAGACAGCATATTGAAGCCCGCCGGGCGGTGCCCCAGTAGAAAGGAAGTAAGGAAACTGAACAACAACCACCGAAGATGCGGTCAATGCAGGGCTACGGACATACCGGTGTCGGTATAGTCTTCGTCATCGTCAGCTAGGAGAGCGCCATCGACAGTGCCTTCGGGTTTGTTGACGAAGTGCTCGTCTTCGAGTTCTTCGAGCCTGACCATCTTGGAGGGACTTTGTTGGGGACACGGATGATACTGTGTTCTGGCTTTTCAGAGGTGAGGCTGACGGAGCGCGTTTGGGCGGCTTGGCAGGGAATCCGACTGGTATGGAAAGGCGAAGCTGAAGGGTGGGACAGGTTGTAATGTCGAATTGATGTGATGTGGTGATGGATGAAATCGATCAATTTGGAGCTCGCATGCTCGTTCTCCGCAAGGAAATTTTGGCCTTGAGATTGCGGCGCAGCATGGAGCGTGAAGCGCATATCCTGGGGTGGAACTTTGATACTCCATACAGTACTTCAATCTATGCTGGTCAATCTTCCCTAGTCGTAGAAGCACTCTATTGTGCAACATATTGCGGACGCCCTCATCTCTCACAGCGAAGAATGAGGGCGTCAGTGCACGGTTGCCGCCACAAGATGCTGCTTGCTGCTACGCCAACAGACCATCAACTAAGCCAATATAACTGCTTTGGCTACTGTCCTTGACTTGACGGCAGCATGCAGCCACCGGTAACTAAGCTGGGCGACGAGGGCACAAACGGAGATATTGACAAAGGGATAAACTCGCTCGTCGAACTCGGCGTCGATATGACGGGCGAGGCAAGAAGCCCGCATTTCTCTTACATCCAGAAGGAATGGACATATGGCAGCGGATCGACCCTGGCGCTGCCGACGTGCCAGAACGCTTATGCCTCATAGCCATACACATATCGATGCAATACTTGCAAGCTGCTATTTTCGCGACCTGGAAGACGCATCAAACGTGTTCTGGATACTCCCATGGGACTGGATGATGACCCTCCACTGGACAGGAGGCTGCTCCTCCGTGTATACATCTGCCCCAAAGACAGGTGCTTGATTGTCAGCTTCGACCACCCTCGATACGCGACCACTCGGCTCGTAAGGGCCAACGGCAGCTGGTCGTCACGGGGCTTCAGATCGTTAGTCGGCAAGCTTCAGCGCCTGCGGAGTACGGGTACAAAACGAGGTATGTGAGTCCGGGGAAGATATGAGAGCCGTCTGCTTCCCGCTGTCTTCTGTTTGCATAATGGGATCGACTGGGTAAGGGCAAGCTGAAACCAAGGTACACCGACTCCTTCAGTAACAATAGGCTTATTTCACTGCTGCTAAAGGTTTATGCTGTTCTCGCTTCTGATCGAGTTCGCTGGTGAGCGTGGGCTTCTTCCTATTTGTCCTACTCGGCCCCTACCTCCTTAGGCCTTTGCGTTGATGATGTCGACGACTAATAACAAGATTAGCGTGCTGTCGGTTACGGCTCCGATGGGAGAGAGGTCAACGTACAAGCAGGTTTCAAACTGGCACCGCCAACCAAGAATCCATCCACGTCAGGTTGCTTGGCCAAATCTCTGCAGTTCTTCTCACTGACGCTTCCTCCATAGATGATTCTGGTATTTTCAGCAACTTCAGGCGAGACCGCCTCGCTCAGCCATTTGCGGATCGCGGCATGGACCTCTTGTGCTTGTTCTGAAGCCAGTGTTAGTCAGTTCGACAAGCAGTCATCCAGACAGGCAGGATGGCGATGCCCGAGACAGACATGTCAACATACCGGTTGTAGCGACCTTCCCTGTCCCGATGGCCCAGATTGGCTCGTATGCAATCACGATATTTTTCCAGCCATCCTTTCCAATGGTCTTGTTTACCGCCTCTAATTGCCTTGTGACGACATCGTTGGTAATGCCCTGCTCCCGCTCCTCGAGACTCTCGCCACAGCACAAAATGACGCCAATACCGCCATCCAGCGCAGCCTTTGTCTTGCAAGCAACGAACTCGTCTTCTTCGCGCAGGATAGTGCGGCGCTCCGAGTGGCCCAGCAGCGTCCAGGTGATGTTGCTGTCTTTCAACTGCGCTACCGAGATCTCACCGGTGAAGGCACCGTTGGGCCGGTCAAACACGTTCTGGGCCGCAACTTCGATGTTGGGCGAAAGGTGCTCACGCGCGAGCAGGAGGTATAAGCTTGGAGGTGCGATGACGACTTCGGTATTAGGATCGAGCTTGGAGGTGGACAGGTTGTGGACGATCTCTTTGATGGACTGGATCGTCCCATTCCTGGAGCATTGAGTCTCGTCAATTATTGTTTTCTAGCTTATGAATGAGGTAATGTCTTGGAATAGATATACATTTTGAAGTTACCACCGACCTAGCGAGCGTTAGCTGGTGCTCGCACTGGAGAATATCTCGCAGGACAGGAACGATGCCTCCCCCCACGCTTTCACGGGAGAGAGCCTTGTCCCTGAGAAGGGCAGAGCAGGTTAACTTACGAAGAACTTGCGACCCATGTTGGCGGTTAGGTTTCTTTGCTTCGAATTACCAAGGTTGCGGGTAGTTTTAGGGTGCTTCAAGGGTTGTGCGGTGCTTAGGAAAACAAGTCTGTGTCAGTGTAGATACTCAAGAAGGACGAACGGCGAAATATGTGCAATGGGGCACTTCGGAAAGCGAGCAGTCCAGGACTCGGCACAGCTCATAGAAAATGCATCGGCGTCTGTTGACAGCGGGGCTCCGTTGCCAATGACGAGGGGCAGCGACTAAGTTGCCAGCCGGGGGAAGCTTTGCCGAGCAGTATCCCGGGTTTTCACGACAGGAGCAACACATTGAAAAGCAGAGGAGGCCGGATCTTTTTCGTCCTATGTGAGCCGTTGCGAGCCTGGGAAACGGCTCGACTGGCCGAGAAATGCCCCCAATATCAAGTCATAGTGATCCGCCTGGCCTCAGACCTGAGACGGGAGGCAGAAAATCGACGTGGAGCGGTGTTTGAACCCCAGGATGGGACGGAGACGGAGTGCATATCGTTGATACCTCGTCATCGTCGTTGCGCACGAAAGGATGCAAGACCACGCTGCCTCGTACCCGTAGGGCTCGAATGGGGCGAGTGGGGTGGAGAGGGACAGCCTTGCACATACTCACAAATGATTCGCAGTAGGATTGACCTCAAGATGTGCAACGGATACGCAATGGACTTGAACCGCATTTCTCGAAATATTTTCCGCCTTGCGGACAGGGAGTTGATTCTCCCTTGAGATCAAAAAGTGAAATTCCCGGAGAGTCAGTCGGTCTTCCTCTGTTTCAGGAGTATCCTTTACTGCTGAAGCCTGCATTTACCTGGCGTCTGCCACCCACCTACGCCGCACCGATCGCCCCGGCTCTCGCGTTTCCGCACTTGTAGGGCGATGGCAACCAAGCGCTCAGACAACATTGACGGTGCTCCTGCAAAGCGCCAGAAAACATCTGGCGAGATGGACCCTCGAAATAATCCATATCTCGCTCATCACTATGAGAACAACACCAACGGCTACTCGAACGGCGCTTCAACGCCCCCAATCGTCAAAGATGGGCCTCTCTCCAAACTCCAGCGACATAAGACGACCGCCGCACAAGCTCGAGAAGCCGAAGATGGCAAAATCAGCCCTTTCACAGGTCGCTCTCATTCCGATAGATATTTCTCCATCTTGCGCACCAGAAGAGATCTGCCTGTCCACGCGCAGCGAGACGAATTCCTCCAATTGTACCAGAAGTCGCAAATCCTTGTCTTTGTGGGCGAGACGGGCTCAGGCAAGACCACACAGATTCCGCAGTTTGTCATCTACGACGACTTGCCTCAGCGAGAAAAGAAACTGGTTGCTTGCACCCAGCCTCGGCGAGTCGCTGCCATGTCGGTGGCGGAGCGTGTCGCAAACGAGATGGATGTCAAACTCGGTGAAGAAGTGGGTTACAGCATACGATTTGAGGATATGACCAGCCAAAAGACCATTCTCAAGTACATGACAGACGGGATGCTGTTGAGAGAAGCCATGAACGATCACGACCTCAAAAGATATTCCACCATAATTCTTGATGAGGCCCACGAGCGAACATTGGCCACCGATGTGTTGATGGGTCTACTGAAGGAGGTCGTGCAGCGTAGACCAGATCTCAAGTTGATCATCATGTCTGCCACCCTTGATGCTCAAAAATTTCAGCGCTACTTCAACGACGCACCTCTACTTGCCGTCCCGGGACGAACTTTTCCCGTTGAAATCTTCTACACGCCCGAGCCTGAGCGCGATTATGTGGAGGCTGCGATCAGGACTGTCTTGCAGATCCATGCCACAGAACCTGAAGGAGACATCTTGCTCTTCTTGACTGGTGAAGAAGAGATTGAAGATGCATGCCGCAAGATCTCGCTAGAAGCAGACGAGATGATTCGAGAGGCTGACGCCGGTCCAATGAAGGTCTATCCCCTGTACGGCACGTTGCCTCCTGCTCAGCAGCAGAAGATCTTCGAGCCAGCGCCACCGCCTCGCAAACAGGGCGGCCGTGCAGGGCGCAAGTGTATCGTCGCCACCAACATCGCTGAAACGTCCCTGACAATCGACGGCATTGTGTATGTGGTTGATCCAGGCTTCTCCAAGCAAAAGGTGTATAACCCACGCATTAGAGTCGAGTCCCTGCTGGTTTCGCCGATCTCGAAGGCTTCCGCTCAACAGAGAGCTGGTCGTGCCGGTCGTACCCGGCCTGGAAAGTGTTTCCGACTCTACACCGAAGGTGCATTCAAAAAGGAACTGATTGAGCAGACGTATCCGGAAGTCCTCAGATCCAACCTCTCATCGACTGTTCTGGAGCTGAAGAAGCTTGGAGTTGACGACTTGGTCCATTTTGACCTAATGGACCCTCCGGCCCCTGAAACTTTGATGCGGGCATTGGAGGAGCTGAATTATCTTGCATGCTTGGACGATGACGGCAACTTGACGACCATGGGTAGACTCGCATCTGAATTTCCCCTGGATCCAGCCCTTGCGGTCATGCTCATCTCCTCACCAGAGTTTTACTGCTCCAATGAGATTCTGAGCTTGACAGCTCTGCTGTCGGTCCCGCAGATATTCGTGCGACCCGCATCAGCTCGAAAACGTGCAGATGAAATGAAGGCCCTCTTTGCTCATCCTGACGGCGATCATCTGACAATGCTGAATGTCTACCACGCTTTCAAGGGTCCTGACGCACAGGCCAACCCACGACAATGGTGCCACGACCACTTCTTGAGTCTTCGTGCTCTGCAGTCTGCCGACAACGTCCGGATGCAACTGAAGCGTATTATGGAGCGGGAAGAGTTGGAGTTGATGTCCACGCCATTCGAGGACAAGAAGTACTACGAAAACATTCGGCGTGCCCTGGTGTCAGGATTTTTCATGCAAGTGGCTAAGAAGGAGGCCAATGGCAAAACCTACACTACCGTCAAGGATAACCAGACGGTTCTTTTGCATCCAAGTACGGTCCTCGGCCAGGAGAGTGAGTGGGTTGTCTACAATGAGTTCGTTCTCACGAGCAAGAACTACGTGCGGACGGTCACAAGTGTGCGTGGCGAGTGGTTGCTCGACATCGCACCGGGTTATTACGACATAGACAGTTTTCCAAAGGGCGAAGTCAAGACCGCTCTTCAAAGACTCCAAGAGAGGGTGGCTCGACGCCAAAAGATGAAGGGTGGAAGATAGACATGCGGCTACAGGATTATGGGTATGTACACTTAGAATGGAAAGCGCTTGCTACAGCATCACTTCCGTTCCGTGCTTCTTACCCAGTCTACTGTCCTGTGGCGACCGCATATACGAGTTGGCCTAGACACTTGCCAGTAAAGGCAACATGTCCTGCACGTCCTGGGTTCGAGGCTGTGCCTGGCTCAGCCCTACGAGGCTCTTACACCTCGCTGGACCAATGATCGAGTGTCTTTCTAGCCATTCAAATCTCTTGCAGATGTCGATACTATCTTGGGCTTACCGGGTATGGAACCTGGTCGAGTCGGAAGAATCCCAAGCGGTGAGGGGTTCGCCTGTACTGTAGCATGTCAGCGCGGCTGTCCTTGGAACCATGTGTTGCAAGCGGCGACGGAGATCGTCCAGTAACTGGCGTTAGGGCTGAAAGGCTCACTGCATGTGTGAACTCGTGTACATAGGTGCGCGTCGGTGACCGCGCTTAGGTGCGAGGAAGCTGTCAAGGCGTTGACGTCGTCTGGAAACCGAGTGGAAAGCATCTGGCTGCAGTGGCAAAAGCAGCGATGGCGAAGCGGGCCGAATTCCACGCTGACAAAAGTCGTTCAGGCTTTCCTCAAATGTCTCTCACTGTTCTTTCTTGCCGGTGTCACCACTTTCCAATCGAGGTTCGTCGTGTGTACCGTTGATGGCGATCTCTGGGAATCATTTCCCACTTCCTTCCCAAAATTGTAGCGATGTCAGGTCTCCCTAAGGAAACTCTCCACCACACCTTTGCCATTGGCTGCAATACCACTGCGTCTCACCTCTCGTTCAGCCTCACGAGTTGTGCCTGGCTAGCACACTGTGTCCAGTCGGTATGTCTCGTCGGACGACCAACTGCCTGTGCTCATTGCAGCTTCCCCATGTCGTTCCGCGATCAGTCCCTCCAAGCACTTCCTCCCCTCTTACATTGCTGCAAATAAGGTGAGACCAACCACTGCGCGCCTAATCCCTCTCGGCGTGGGCTAGTCGACCTACTTGGCGGAGCAGTGTGTTGAGCATGCATGGCTTCGGCGACCCCATCGGTCGGGCGTCTCGTGGTGGCGTAGATGATGTGGTGCTAACTGGCTTTCCCTGTGGCGATGTCCTTTTGCGTCTATCATTTCTGAGCGACTTGTGGAGTATCGCCCCCGAGTCCTGGCACCGCTTCCTCATATAGTTTCTATTGTTGTGTTTGTCCTCATACTTTGGCCCTGGTGTTGGCGGGCCTTGTCCATACCCCTCTGCTGTGTCGCATCCACTTTTGACAGTCTCTCGTCCTGACCCTTATGACTGTTCCAATGCGACATACATCCAATCTGCGATGGGGGATTAAACAGACATGGGCTTCGACAACAACTCAAGCTGCACATCAGATCCCAGGATGGCGCACATCCGACGACAAGATGCCTTCGACGACTCCGAATACGGATCATGTCCGGTTGGAGGACAGTGGTGGAAGTGCGAAGACGTCAGCTACCCGACATTCATAGGATGCTGCTCGAGCAATCCATGTTCCGGTCGACTGTGTCCTGAAGAAGATCTATATCCCATGGGTTTCAGTTCTGTCACTGCACCCGCTCCCGACTATCCAAATCACTCCTGTCCATATGGAGGACTGTGGTATACCTGCGCAGAGAACACTGTCCCCTTTCAGGGCTGTTGCGCGAGTAATCCATGCAACGGGCAAGGTTGTCCAGCATCCGACCTGCGAGCAGCCGCCGTACACACCGTCGTGGTGGCGGGAACGTCGACGTTCACTGTTCCTTCCCCGGTCGCGACGAAAAGTCCAACTACAACAATTTCGACAACAGACACCACGATAACCTCTAAGCCAACGATAGAGGGCTCAACGTCAGCCTCTTCCCAGCCGGTCTCCGAATCAGTCGACGTAGCCGCGATCGCTGGCGGCGCCGCAGCTGTTGCAGTCGTCCTGACAATCATCATAGGAGTGCTGATCTGTTGGCTTATTCGAAGGAGGAGGATGAAACAAGCAGCGATGAATTCTGCGCAGGTGGGGATACCACCGCAAGACCCAAAACCCTTCTACAAAGACCCTTTTGGCGCGAGTAAGTGCATGCATCCAGTCCTCGGTCGTTTCCCCAACTGAGTTCTCCTAGTTCTCACTCCAACACTTCCGCGATATAGTCGACGACCTCCTTCTTTTGGATACCCTCAAGCACCTTTCTCTCCCGCTCCTACATATCCGTCCGCACAAGTCATCCATCCTCCACATACCGAACCTCAAGAGGTCATGGGTCTTTGCTTGTCAAAAGACGAATTCAACCGTCGTACCAAGTCGAGATCTCCAGCAAATCACCATGTAGACCGACCCATTGAGCTTGCGACCCAGCGCTTCTCTGCAAACAATCCTGACGCCGAGGCGAAGAGCCCTCCTTTGGAAGCCCAGCCGAAGCCGAAGCCCAAGCGTAACTCCAGGGTAGAAAGAGAGAAAGAGGTCGCGCGGCCGAGGCAGTCACGGTTACGGAGTCGCCCAGCACTGGTCAACTTGCGCGCGGAGGCATCTAGAAGTCCCTCGAGGAGTCCGGCGCAAGGATTTGGCCCAAATGATTGAGCAGGGCTACGAAGAGGCCATATACATTCAGACACGCACGTGTCGGAATCAGACAAGTATCAGTCGACAAATAGTCTGAGCCTTGCAGCGCTCAGCATCGAAACGCACTGTTGCGAGAGCGAGACAGAGCCGGAACCAAGCTGCGAAGTGCAGGGTTGGTGCACCGGTCTTGGTCACGGCAGCTTGCTCAAAGTTAGATCGAAGAACCGGGGAAGACCCGGACCATGTTGGGACTGGTAGTCAAAGCCGAAGGGCTACCGGTCAAAATTTTGTGGTGCAATCTCGCTTGTGCGGCTCTAGGGAGTTCTAGCAGATGCGAACCTTGGCCAGACAGTCCCAGTCTGCCGAACAATGTCCAGCCGCAACCGCAACGGTCGGCAGCACAGGAGCATGTGGACTGGGGAGACGTACAGTATTACCACAACCCCTGCGAACACCTTCCCCTGTAACATGTCGAGGAAAGCGTGGAGTGTACGCCTCAGGGGACATTTCGCCAAGAGATTTCAAGTGCCGCTTGACTTTGATTTGCAACGGTCATCAATCTGTGTATAGTAGCATTTCCCAATCAGTGTACACGGTAATGCGAAAAGCCTGGTGTCAGGGTCAGTGGAAAGCCAGAGGACGCTCGAGACAACCGCATTCGCCAATCGCCTTGATATCATTGGCTCGGGCGCATGTGGGGTGGCCTTGGCATGTTTATGTAAGCGAGGATTTTCTCAGACTGGCCTTTCGAGAAAGTTTGATACCAAAGCCATTGATATCGTGACATTAAGCGCTCATAGACTCTATTACTGTACCCTAGATTTTATGTTGCGGTGCTGCGCAGCATCCGCAAAAGGATCTATTACTTTAGTAACCTCTTTCCATTCCCCTTGTACGTGGGGGCGTTTCTCACCTCTGCTGAAGCAGAGTTCCAGATTTCAGCAGGACCGTCGACTCACTCGGACTCACTCGACCAGCTTCCGCCCGTTCGTCCGCAAGTTCAAGGAGGAAGAGGCGGAGGACAATGCTCGACAGACCACCGCTACAAGGATGCAGAAACAGAAACGCGAGAATGGTCCCCACAACCGGGCTGGGGATAGGATGCACAAACGCGCGAATGGACCCAACCGGGAGCCACGTAGCGTTACGAAGCGATTCAAAGAGCAACCAGGTCGCGAGAACACGACGACAGGCACGGTAGAAGAGGTTCTGGACATCGAAGCCCGGACTCTTCTCGCCAAGTTAAAGTTACGGCTTGGAGAAACCAGCAGTGCTGCTGGACCCGGAGCCGGAGCCGGGTACGTGGAGCGGAACGGGAAACTAGACGAGCAGCAGGGTACTCGTACTGTTGTGAACGGCGACACAGACACACACTCACACTCCCACCTGAGAGACCGAGCACCCGCATCGCACGCGGAACCACAACCACAACCACAAACAACAGATTTGGAGCTGGACCTCGAAATCCAAGAGCTCTCCTCGACGGGCGACGGGCTGGCGTACGCGCCCGACAAGAACGCGGACCGGGACCTCATCCACGTCGTCCCCTTCGCCGTGCCAGGCGACAAGGTTACTGTCAAGACGTACCCCCAGAAGCAACCTCACCACAGAGCATGGACGCGAGTCGACCTCGTCAAGGTCGTGACCCCCTCGCCGAAACGCGCGGGAACCACCCCACAGTGCCCATACTTCGGCACTTGCTCGGGCTGTCAGCTCCAGATGCTGCCCTACAAGGACCAGCTCGCGCACAAGAAAACCATCGTGGAAAAGGCGTTCCGGCACTTTTCGAATCTGGACCCCTCGCTCGTGCCACCTGTGGACGACACCATCGGTAGCCCGCTCGAGTATGGCTACCGGACGAAGATCACGCCGCATTATGACGGCTGTTCGCGGTCGAGGCCGTGGAAGGAAGGTGACGCGCCCCCGCCGTTTGGGTTCGGGAGGAAGATGAACCAGAATGAGGGGAAGGTGCTGGATATAGAGCAGTGTCCTATTGCGACGGAGATTTTGAATGCCGGGCTCAAGATCGAGCGGGAGAAGGTGGCGCGGACGTTTTGGAAAAAGAGGACGGGCACGACGGTGTTGTTGAGGGAGAGTACGACGAGGGAGGTCCTTCCCTCGTCAACACCGCTTGAGGTTCAGCGTGAGGATGAGAGTGGTAAAGAGGCTGTAAATTCCAACGGCACTACCGCAACCATCACGGCAACGCCAGACCACGAGCAAGAGCAGGACCTATCTTCCCTCCCGCTGGAATATCCTGGCACTCCGACCTCGACCTCATCCTCAACGTCCTCGACGACAACCCAAATAACATACACGTATGGGCCCCACCACTTTCGAGACACAAAGACCTACACATCTGACCACCACGCCGTCACGACCGAGCACATTGGCCCCTTCACCTTCAAGACGGCAGCCAACTCGTTCTTCCAGAACAACAACTCCATCCTGCCCACCTTTCTGGCGTACATTCGCGACAATATCCTGCCCACACCTACCTCGACTTCCTCTTCGTCTCCGTCCTCGACGGATCGCCTCCCCATCAAATACCTCCTCGACGCATACTGCGGCTCGGGCCTCTTCTCCGTGGCACTCGCCTCGCGCTTCTCCTCCGTCCTCGGCATCGACATTGACGAGGCCTCGATCCGGTGCGCGCGCGACAACGCCACCATCAACGCCGCCGTTCACAAGTACCTTTGTGGGGATCACAGCGGAGATGGCAGTGGAAAGGGAAGTAAACACCTTCGCGGCGCTGGCGCCGGTGGTGGTAAGGATGGTATCGGTGGCACCGCTACCAGTAAGGAAAGCACTAACCTCGGCTTCATCGCCGCGGATGCGCAGCACATCTTTGACGACGTGCCCTTCCCAGCGGCGCAGACCGTCTGCATTATCGACCCGCCCAGGAAGGGCGCGTCGCGGGACTTTCTCCGTCAGCTGTGCGCCTATGGGCCCAGGCGCGTCGTGTACGTCAGCTGTAATGTGCATACGCAGGCGAGGGACGTAGGGATGTTGGTTGCCGGGGTAGGCCGGGAGGATGGCCACTCGGGGTCCCAAAAGCGGTGGAGGTACGAGATTGAAAAGCTTGGCGGGTTTGACTTCTTCCCGCAGACGGGACATGTCGAGGGGGTATGTTTCTTGAATAGAGTCGAAGATTAGCTGAGGGGGATTTGAGAGGGAGTCGGGAGGATTTGAATTGAGCTGAGAAGGACTTCTAGAGGGATTCACTGCATTAGTATTGCCTGTCTGGTCGCAACACGGATGAAGTCTCGTGCTTCGGTGCTCCACCAGAATGATAATACAATACTTGTAGTGCAGAGGAGAGTCACTCAAGCAGCCGTCGTAACCCTCGTCGTTGCACGGAGGCTACACCACGAACGCGTTGGCCTTGTCTTCGTCCACAACTATGGCTCCGATATCTGCCACTCCAAATCTTTCATGGTCCAGCGGCACCCATACACCAAAGACCTTATACTCGGGTGGTGTATCCAAACAACCAGGACTGCTGCTCCGGAATGCTTCGTAAAAGGGAATATCCGGGCGGCTTCCCAATGCAATGGTCATTGTGTCCTTCTGCTGCGCGCGAGCCTGGCAGAAAGTCTCCCAGTGAACGAGACCGATGCATGTCTTAGAACCGGCCTCGGTACTGCTTTGTTGCGCAGGTCCGTCGCGAGCGTCGTCGCTATCTTCATGTCCTCCGGCAGGGTCGTCGTTTGACACAGTCTTGTTCTCGCTTGTAGCTAGCCCCGGAGCCCATCGCGGGTCTGGCGAATCTCCTTGGTCTTCAAGAGGATGCCACTCACCGAGGATGACTCTGACCCCCCGCTCCCAACAGAGTTTAGCATCCAGGAATAGCATCTCACAGATCACCTCGAAAACTGCGTCCTCGAGACCATGAAGTGGCATGCTGTAACAATGCAACATGAGTGGGCCCAGGGGTGAGCCCGCCGCCGATGCACGCTCAACGATTCTGTGGAGGCAATTTTGCGCCAGTCCAGATAAGCGCTCTCGAGGTGCGACATCTAGGAAGACGTCGACGGCTTTCGCATCGTCGGTAGAGCTTGATATGTGATTGGCAACCAACACAAGACACCCTCTACAGCCCTGTACCTGTTCCAGAGGATCGTCGGACGACAACATAGCTTGCAGCTTGGCTGTAGACGGAACTGATTGTCCGAGCTCAGCAAGTCTATTCGTACACGCCCTTTGTGACGCAAGCAAGGCATTGCAGAACCATACGAAACCTGTCACTTTGTCATGGTGGGCAAGCCAAGAGGCGAGGGACCGCGCTTTCGAAGCACAGCTCTGCCAGCGCGATCTAGAGAGTCTCAGAGGAAGACGACCTGGTGTTGAAGAAGCCACAGCGTCGTACCATTGGAACATGCCGTAAATGTGGCGTACATCTTCTATTGGTCTGAAAAGGGTAATGTCAGACGCATCAAAGCCCCAGGTCTCGTCGCTTATTCCGAACAATCCAGCCGGACATCTGGTGGGAATGAGCACGGGTTCGACCTTTCGCAACTGTCGCAGAAAATCTTTCAGCAGCATGTTGGTTGGCAGGTCTTGAAAACCTGAAGGTGGGTCATAGAAGTCCCAATCTGCGAAGAGAGACAGCACATAGTCTTTTGGCTGACTAGCCGAGAGTTTCAAATCCATCACAGAAGTTATCTCGTCCGTGAGTGAAGCCCACGGGTACCAAGCCATGTGCTTGTCGGCAGTTACTAGTGTTGCCCCAAGAAGGAACGCAGCCACTTGCATGTCGGTTCGTTCAAAGAACTCGTCTTGACGCCCAAAGGCGTCAACGAAACTTGCATGGTCTTCCTTCACTCTATCCAAAGCGTCAGAGTCGCTCAGTCCAAGCTGATCTTTGTAACGCTGATGTGATAGCCGGGAATAGTCGTTCATCTTTTCCAGCCGTGTCGGTAAAGGGGACCAGTAGAAGCAACACTCGGCAACCTGCACCTCCGCGTAGACGAGGGTGACAGATCGGGCATACCTAAACTCCTGGTTCGTCCAAATTCGATAAGGCCATGAGCATGCGCCGTTCGAATTTAGGCACACGTATGCATGTAAAGCGTGGAAAACAGCTATTTCTGTGGCCGTTTCGTACATCGCAGATTCCGTAGCAGATGAACCGATCGGGACCTTTTTCAAAACAGCTTGGTACGCCTTTCTCAAGCATGCGCAAAGACTGCTGGGACAGAGGACAATAACAGGCAAGATTCTGAAGATTGCCGGAATTTGTGTAAGGGACTGTCGAATCTGCTCGTTCCTTCGTGGCAAACAGACTTGATCTATCCAGCAAGCCCCAAATTTGTCGGTGAACTGCACAAGACGTTCGAGCACCGCGTCTACTCGCCACTCGGCTCCTAGTTCAATCCATACATTTTCTGTGGGATGGGATACCAGATGTCCTATGCAATGTTTGGTGCGGTCGAATTGGCCCCAAGTATATGATATCGCAACGCCGCTTTCCTTGCACAATTCGGCTGCCGTGATCTTTATGCTCAGATGCGTCTTGCCAAGAGTCGAATCCGTGAACACCTGACAAGTACATCTTCGGAAAGTCGCCAATCTTACTGTTTCGGCTGTTGCATTTTCGTTCGGGCTGGAGGAAGCTTTCTCCTCACTGTTGAGTACATCAATGTGGCCGTTGGCTGCATATGCTTTGCTGTACTGGGCACCGTCTCGGAGATACCTTGGCCCCTTGCTGAGATCGCCCTCTTTCTTTTGCAGCTTTTGGCTCTTCGAGGCAAGTTTCCGTCCAGCTTCAGCTATTCTTTCCCGGGCCTTTTGAATCTGAGCCCAATCTCGATGTATCTGTTCATCAAGCTGCCGTAATTGTATCTCCCTTCGTGTTAAGGTTTGTCCAACTGGGCTGCTCTCCACCTCAGGTCCCAGGCCGCGCTTCGCAGCCTCAGAGGTGTACGGATCCATCCCGACGCAGGCTCAGGTTCTTACCAACTGTCGTCAGTGTGAAAGTCCACCCTAAGCAATGGTCACGCCATCAGATGGCGTCGTTGACGACAGATGGTCGAACGAGTTGTTGGGAAGTTGGCTGGCAGGCTGGAGCTCAATGATGAAAGTCATGTTCTTCCATTGTGAACAAGCAGGCAGGCAGGCGGGCAGGCAGCAAGAGTCTGTCTGCCTTGCCGCAGAAGCCCTCATCGGGCTGAAACGCCGCAGCTGCTGCCAATCAAGACTGGATACAGAAGAGAGGCGCGTGCGAGACGCGCCCGACGGGAGGGCCATGTTTGAGGCTGAGTGCATACACGACCTGCGTTCATGGCGGTGGCATGGGAGAAGGTCGAATCCGGGTGGTGAAGCGGCATGATGTTGGCCTATTGGGCAGGTCGTACTGCAGGAGCGACCGGTGAGAGCAGTCATTGGAGGTTGGAAGGCGCCGTGCAGGATTGGGGCTAGTGGGAGTCGATGGCCCCGGGACCCTCCGCACCATTTGAAGCGGCGTTGGCTGGCAGCGGCACCCGGTCCACTGATGTGCTCCGTACATACTGTAGCAGGCGTGTGAAAACTAGGTAGGGAACTGGAGCATTCGGAGTGGAAAGAAGCCACTTAATGATACTGTGATCTCAACTCTGATACCATCAGACCCTCCTCATTTCAACTACTACTGCATGACACGATACATCCTGGGACACATTAACGAGAAGGCCGACGCAACGCGGTGCGCTTAACATAATGACGGAGGGTACAAGGTACAGTGCCCTAAAGCCCTGATTCCGCCAGGTTCGGTCATATGCCTTGCCCGCGAACTAAAAGGCGGATCCACGTCTCGCGTTAGACTCGACGATTTCCTTCTCCAACACGCCATCCTTGGCCATGCTATGTGCAAAGGTAGTCGTCGGCCTCCACTTAGCCGAAGTGCGCGGGGTGGTCTCCTCCATCATCTTGTCGACCTGCTCGAGCGTGAGGCCCTTGGTTTCGGGCACCAAGAACCAAGCATAAACGAACGCGGCCGTGCAGAGGCCTCCCCAGACGAAGAAGACCGAGGACTTCAAGTCGCCGTGGTCTTCGCCGACCATGTATGGCGTGATGACGGCGATGATCTGTAATCTGTCAGTTGATGCTCCGCTGCTCTAGGGTTTCCAAGGTCAAACTCACAGTATTCCACAGCCAGTTAGAGGCAGTCGACAGGCCAACGCCACGCGACCTGATGGGCAAGGGGAAGATCTCGCCAATGACAATCCATGCTCCGGGACCCCAGGTCGACGCGAAAAAGAAGATGAAGATGGCGATAAAAGCAATCTGGGCATTCACGGCGGGGATGTTGTCGGCAAGGCTGGTCTCGGGATCGGAGGGATCGGGATGAGTGTGGTTGAACCCGACCGAGACACCAATGATGGCGACTAAGAACTGGCAGATCAACATGCCCAAGGCACCCCACACGAGGAGTGGCCTGCGGCCGAATCTCTCAACAGTCCAAAACGAGAGGGGTGTGCTGCAGACGTTGACCAGAGTGAAGATGAGTGAAATGAGGAAGGTGTTCTCGATGGCGCCCGTGGACTGGAGGAAGGGTGTTGAGTCTGTTCCATGGGTTAGTATAATGTATCATCACGATAAGGACATATCCGATGCAGTGCGGACACCGACTTACAGTAGAAGATAAAGTTAACACCGGTCCATTGCTGCATCATCTGCAACGAAGTCCCCAGGATGGTCCGTCGTAAGTTCGACTTTTGCACCCACAGACTACCCCGGAAGCAGTTCGCCCAGCCGGAGAACCAGCCGCTGTCGGGAATGACGGCTCTCTCGTACTCCTCCTGCGTCCGGTTAGCACCGAAGATACTTTCATCACGGGGCATCTATCAGAAAAAACTCACGTTCGCGACAATCTCAGCCAGCTCGACCTGCACGTATTCAGACTCGCGGGGCTGGCCTCGCAGCTTCGACAACGCGATGGCAGCATCTTCGAGTCGCCCCTTCTTCACAAAGTAGCGAGGCGAATCCGGGAGTGTGAACAGCCCTCCAGCCAAAATAATTGCCCAGGCGAACTGAATGGCAATAGGGATCCTATATGATCCGGTGTCTTGACGGTCTTCCGTTGCATACACGACTATCGATGCCAGCATGATGCCGATGGTAATGCAGAACTGATATCCTGCCACAAGAGCACCTCTGACTTTCCTCGGGCACTTCACGGCGAGTTAGCATGTGCAAAGATCCATCAATGGTTGAGTACTCACAATCTCGCTCATATACAGGATCACGATAGCGCTCTCAAAACCGACACCGACGCCAGCAACAATACGTCCAGCAACAATGGCGGCCAGCGCATCGCCCTCTCCCGTAATCATTTGGATGACGACACCGATCATGTAGATGAAGCAGCCCAAGATGACGGTCCATTTGCGACCGATAAAGTCGGCCGTGTCACCACCAATGAGCGCACCGAAGAATGTGCCTGCCGACAGGATTGAGACGATGAGCGATTGATGCGAAGAGGTGAGAGCATCGGCAGTGGGACCCTCCACTGCGCGGATGAATATCTCGGACCCGAGAACGCCATTGATGTATCCAGAGTCGTAGCCACTAGTCGTCGTTAGCACCCACCGCCATGATCGGCCGAAAGATACGGCAGGAGCTCCTAGGGCAAAAGACTTACAAGAAGATGCCGCCAAATGAAGCAAAGGCACACATCAGATACGCCTTCCACGTAACGGGGGCTTCGATGCGGTTGACATCATCGGTTGTCCTGAGGGCGATGGAACTGGTACGGCCACGTTCGGGCTCCTGGTGAGTCTCTTTGAAGTCGGCCATGTTGGCGGTAATAGGATGCGTAAGGCTTCGGGCACATGCAACAGAGACAAACAGCCGGTCGCAACAGATATCGCGCTGGAGGAGGGGAGTCCCTACGACCTTTATACATTCCTGGCACGGACCATCAAAACAGACACCCAAGAGCTCACACCTGGGGTCGCCATAGCGCGGAATAGCGGAGGGCTGCAAACACCAATCGCCTGCTGAGAAGATGGCCTAGCCTCGCGTCGACTGACCTCAAGAGTCACGCAACATAAGATTGCGGTTTGCCTCTCCGGTGACCACATGGGAACCCAAGCGTAACGTCGGCGCCAGTGACCAGGACATTTCGTCATGGGGTGTAACATTGATAATCCCCACTGCAACCTCGCGCGCATAAAGCGCGTCTTAACTCGAGACTGCTTGTCGTGGCGTCAGGCTTGTCGTTGACGGGTCGAGTCTTGGACTGGTTCTTGGAGGGAGCTTCCAAGACTCCGACAAGGCTTGGATCCCCACAGTTTGCCATCCAGCGTTCCGCCAGCCGAACACCAAGCATCGGCCTTCCAGAAGGCGCAGACTGCCGTCCAGCTTCGAGATCTGTGCGCTTGGAAAGGGGAACTGTTTCCAAGAGCAACTCAAGACATTGTGAACCGGCGGACCAGGATCTCGCTCATGTGTCCCAATTCCGTCGCAGCGGAGGAAGGCTCGTTGCGGTATGCATTGCCCAGACAACCAGACGGCTTGGCAGCCCGATCCAAGATGGAGTGGCGTGGGTCACTTTGCGGGGTTGACGACAGAAAATCAGGATTAGACGGGCGCTCTGCCGTCAGCTGGGTGGTTTCATCACCTCAAAAGTCTCTCGTCTTCGAGTGACGCGGGCATCGGCTCCCCTTCCTCCTTGCTGAGAAAGTGTTGGTGGCGCTTGGTTAAGCAAAGTCTTAACCATGGCGAAAATATTGCCAAGAGGACTCCGCTGATGGAGATCGCTTCGCCCTCCGCTTGGGGACCAGTACCAAGTCGGCCACTCCGCTTCAGCTTACGAAGTTACACTCACTGTGTGCAACGTTCAATGGAGGTGTCCTAGAGCGACGAGCTAGTCCCGGATCTCCACCAAGCGCTGGACATTCGTGAAGTCGGACGTTTGTCCCGATTTGAAGGTCCACCACGGATCAAAGCGGGCTCTGCCACACCTTACCGTTGGCACAAAACAGAAACAAGGGACATTGTCGGGTATCTTCTAGAGTAGACATCACACCCGTACCCCAAATTCAGTATATATAGTCCGAGCCTGCCCACACACACCTGCCCCTATACTTGCAGCCTTGCTAGCCTGGCAAAGGCATGATTCGATCGTTCTTACCTCTGAGCCGCTGTCGGTGATACCAGGCTCAATGGGTAGAATCGACATTCAACTGCCTGCCTTTACTAGTGGCTTTGAATTGCTGATCATGCCAAATTCTTTACCTCCCGCACAGCCATGACGGCTGTGTGCGTCGTGGTCAGGAGTGTTAGTGGTCGGTTTCTCCTGGTTCACAAAGGGGTCTTCCATTACTTGGAAGTATTGGTGATTTCCCCTGCACCCTTCGCTGTCGGGGTTGGTATGCTGGTCACGTGTGCTGCAGGGTCGCTAGAGTACGAGTACGAGGGCGTCTGTCTCTGAGCCAATGAAGGTATGTGAATTGTAGACATGTAGGACAAGTGCAGAGAGCTTGCCAACGAGAAGCCTTCGCTTGTGCCAAAATCTCCCGAGCGATCGACGGGCGAAGCTCCCCCAAGCCACCTCGAATCAGGCGCCCACGTCGTGAGAGTGCTCCTCGCAGGAATGATAGCAGAATGCCTAGAGGCCACACCTATAAGAGGATCAGGTGTCTAGCTCTTGCTGATGCAAAGTCGAGCAAAGCTCTCTTGGACTCACTAAATCTGCATAATCCTCCGCAACCCTTTTCGCAAGAGATTCTCACACAATTCTTGACGATGGATGCAAAGCTTACCATCCCTACGATTGACGATCAGTACGAATCGGAGGCCTCTAACGACACGGAAGTCCCACCGCCAGCATACAGGAGGAACTCTGAGTCTTCCACCGAGCGTTCCTTGTACGACGAAAAGGATGAGGCTCCATCAACAAGCCAGCAGGACTCCGGCCAGGTCCGCGAGTACGGGTTCTACCACCCGAAACTTCTGGCCCGTGGCCTAGTCATTACCGATGGTGGTGCCTCAATCGAGACAAGCAAAGTGCCATTGTACTATGTCGAAGTCTCGGAATTCGCTCTCAAGAAGCCGGATGTTATTTTGCATCGACTGCCTCCCACGACCGGGATGTCGAATGACCTGGATCACCTCGCTAACGCTGGAGAGTCTGCTCCAGTCATCGGCGTCGCGCATTTCCCGAAATTCTCGCAGCAAATCAAAGCTGGACTTGGTGATCCTGCTTCCACGGGCGAAATGACATACGTCGAAGTGCAAAACCCGAACAAGATGTACCACGGCGAGTACCGTATTTCATTCAATGGCAGGTCTTTTGCGTGGATGCGGACCCATGACGCAGCTGCTGGCGTCGAAGGCTCCAGTGTCACACGGAAGATGAACCGTGGTAGCTTTCAGCTGATTGATATGTCCACAAATGAAGTGGTGGCAGCATTTCTTGACAACAAGTTCAAGAGCTGGAAGAAAAAGGGCAAGCTGAGGATCTCGAAGAAGCTCGAAGAAGATGAGATCGAAGCACAGCAGCTTAAATTGCTCGTAATCTTGAGCATCGCGGCGATTCTGGAAAAGGCTCGGAGGAGGCAAAATAGGAGAGCCAGCTACTACAGTGGAGGTGGCCAATAGGCTGGACGAGGCTCTGGGTGAGGCTTGAGCGAGTATCCCGTCTGAGATGTCGGTAATATCCTCGGTAATCGACTGTATCGATTTATTTCTTTGCTGGGCTCGATTCGCTATTCGAGGAACGCCTCCCCGGAAGCAAGAGGCGGGTTTTCTGGGTCCCATCAGAAGAGGACGCTTCATGCGGTGCAAATTCCGGTGCAAATGTCGTATTGAGATTGTAGTTGGCACAGCTCTTTTCTGTTCAGACGTCCATGCGGTATCACCGAGAGATGGCGCCCATAGAGGTGGGCCATAGTGCGACCTGGGAGATGCAAAAATGTCGTACTCCTGACAAGCCCGGGCCATGGATCTTTGCACATCGTGCCAACCGGAGCGACGAAGCCCTGAATCGGTAGCGCTGATATTTAGACATGCTCCGATGGGAATACCTCTTCGATGAGTTTCAAGGTATGGCTTGACCTCTGACGGATGTCCTGGGTCGATAACACGCCATCCTCACAGATGTAATGATCGACGTACCTGACAGGACACCATTCAAAATAGACGTTGCGCACCGTTACCATCTCCTTCCATGCTGCCGAACCCTCCACATGCCAGGTACTAGCCAGTTCATCCTCGTCATTATCCTCCTCTTGGTTCTCCTCTGCTGTCCCAGGGACAGCTATTTTCTCGCTCTCGCTGATGCACACAACATCAACTGAGCCATTAGTGACAAACTTGCTTACCAAGGCGGCCGCTAATGAGCCAGTCTTGTTGCTGACATCGCCAGCTTCTGAAATGCGATCAGCGCCCATCACGACGAAATCGACGTTTTTGCTCAGGATCGCCACCGAGGCATCGCTTGCCAGTATTATGCGTAACCGGTCGTGGAAGCAAGGGCCACTGCTTTGGTATTCTCGCCGCCGTTGAGCCTCCTGCGTCAGCGCCTTGGCAAAACTTGCGCCTTCATTCAGCGGACGTGATTCAAGGATTCTCAGTTCTAGAGACAATGATTCATCGGCGTCCAGGGCGTGTAGAATTGCAGCTTTGATAGTCGATGAAGAACTTAAGGTTAGAATTTTCACAGATTTTGTTTCGGCTGGTCCGGTTTGAGTTGCCTTGAACCTCTCTTGTAAGAAAGTGGAAAATTGGTCACTCACTTGCTTTGATATCTGCTTGCGGCGCATGAGATACACTTCCAGGCTCATCTTAATTCGGTCAAGAGGGTTTTGGCCTTCAGCATCGATGCACCCTTTGGCGTCTTTCAATGCGGTGGCCACAGCACCACAGATGGCGGCACCCATGCTGGGTCGGCCATTGAAAGCAAGATGAAATGCTTGTTGTTGGAAACTTTGCCACCATTGCTGAATATTTCTAGGAGGCTGGGCTTGTCGATCATGTTCCACGATCTTGACCATTGATCTGATCGCCATTGTAGCCAATTCTCTGGCGCCGTGTTGATGATCCAGTCGGAGTTCCTCGAGTCCCTGATGCAGCACACTTCCTGGATCAACCCAGAGCTGGCCAAGGGTAATTTCTAGCCTTGGGACGCAATCATCCAGGATCTTCCGATCAAGTATGTCGCTCACATCTTTCCACTCACAGCCTAGGTGCTCCCAGTCGAGGCTCAAGCCCAGTTTACTGACATCACTGTCTTGATCGGCCAGCGTTCCTTTCAGGCGGAATGCGAAGGGCCAGACCTTCCAGATCCTGCCCTTGGAGTTGCCGCCATTCTGGCCACTCACGGCTTTCTCATCGGTAAACTCGAAGCCGGCTCCTCTTCTCCATAGCTCGAGCTGTTGTGGTCCGAAACCAGTCTCTTCTTTTATTTCGCGCCATGCCGCAGCCAGAGGATTCTGGTCGTCTGCTTCGACTGAGCCGGCGATAGGTGCGAGCTTCCTCTGGTACGTCCGAACTTTTTCAGAACGGCGGAAGAGCAGGACTCGATATGGTTTGGATGCGTATGGTCGGGCGGGGAATATGAGCGCTGACACGACTGTCCGTAGTTCAAGGGGTGGAGTTGCAGCCGCGAGTGACTGTGCCATTGGTAACAATGAGGTTCTTGGAAGGCATCATCGCCAACTTTTCACAGGAGCGAGGTCATCAGGAGTTACATGTGCGCGAGTTTAACGAAGGTGGTAGGCTATGTTCGGTGCATGGGTGATGTGCTCAAGTGGGCCTCAGAAAAGCACTCAATCTTGTGAGTCGGTGTAGATGAGTTCATTCACTTCGCATTCATTTCATGTTCACCTCAGCCAGGCTACGGTCGCAACTGTTTCATTGCAATCTGATATGATGCAATCGTTTTTAGCCCTACCACCCCTAAAACGCCAACTTAGGCGAACCTGCAACTTCCACGAGAAGGACCCTAATTAATTAATTACATAACGACTAATGCCCCTTGGCTCCGTTACCAAAGGTACCGTCTGCCCACACAACCATCACCCTTCAAACGGTGAAATCGAAAGTAAACTCGTCCCTGCCCTTTGAAAGTCCGGAGCCTTCACTCGTACAATGAAGCTGCCTCTCCTCAAAATTGGGACCGGCAAGTCCCTCATACTTTGCGGCAGCAGCGTCGTGGTCGTTCAAGCAGCTGCGACCTTCCTGTTCCCTGCTCACAAGCTTCGCACCCAGCGGTGACCACTCTCTACTGACCTTGTGTCCTGGCATCTTTGGCTGGACCTGATGTTCGAGACTGTCTCTGCTCCGCATACTCCTGGAAGGTCTTTGGCAGCTGTCTCTTCAACTCGTCGAAACATCGTGTGCTGCTGTACTCGGGCCACAGTCAATCCGCATGGCATGGCTGAGATGATAGCAGTCTCCCCTACGGCATTGTTAGCGGTGCTCTCACTGTCTTTTGCAAGGAAGCCCCAGCGCCGTCCAACACTCTGACCTTCTCGAGCACGATCGTGCTGTCACCCTACGCTTCGAGAGGACTGCCAGGTCCGAGCAAGCAATGCCGCACCCTGTTGAGCACGGTCACGGTAGCCATCCTTTCATCGTAGAATCTTTGGGAATTGTTATCTGACTTTGTTCTCCGACTTATACTTCGGTGCCCATCCATCTCCAGGACATTGGCAGTCCTTCCATCAATCCTTGCGCCCTAGAAGACTCTTTATCTTCCTTGTGAGTATTTACCAAGGACCTCAACTCCTGTGGTCCGGATTAACAACCACTACGATGTCATAGAGGCGCGGAATTACGGGCGCAGCGAAGAAGTAAATTGGGACGAACCATCATCCGAAACCTCAAGCCCTCGGCAAGGGCGCTTATTCACCATGCCAGTGAACTGTTGCAAGGCGCCTTTGAAGGAGGCTGCCGCTGCTTCCCGCGTTCCATGAACGACCGAGCACCCCTTGATCTACCCTTTTCAAGACGGCTTCCAAAGATTCTTCTCACCACACCATACGTTTCGACTAGCACATTCGTGCTTCAGTGGAAACCTAGACGCGACAAGAATACCTCTTTCAAAGGCACATCAAGCACTTTCGCGCATGCGAGTCACACGAGGTCATGATCATCGGCCCACAGCCATGGGATCATCCTGCTCGACGGCTGCACCTTTGTCCACCTGGAGGGCGCGGACATCAAACACCCGTTCAGCGACGCACCGGTTGAGATGCACGAGCTGGATCCCGGCAGGAACCCCAAAGAAGTTTCGCAGAGCACTTCGGGTTCATAGATTTCACCATCGAGTTCAGACCCTCCGACATGTGCACATCGCTCGGCGATCCGAAAGCCCCGGCGCAGGACGGAAATCTGTATGTGAGCATTGTCGTTCTCAACGGCTTTGCGTTGGTAGATTTGAATGGACAGGTCCACGTGATTCCACCAAAAAGTCTCAATCCGGTTGCCCCAGGCGTACCGCATACGTGGAGAGCTTGCCCTGTGGGAGTGACGCTGCCACTGTGGGAGAGTCAAACAGAACCGGACTCAAGATCAGGACCAGCAGCAAAAACAGGCACAAGAACGGCAGAAGTCACATCAAAACGGACGTTTCCTGATGCTGTACGAATATGAGGACTCCAAAGCCTTCTTCCCGAGCGCACAAACTAAGACTCTAAGCCACATAGACGCATACTAGCGCTGCACCGAGCTGAATAGTCTCCCGATCCCAAAGCTCAGCGACGTCGACGTCAAGGACTGGTGCTGGTTCGTCCGGAGAAGGCAGCTGCTCCCTCTTAGCCGAGCGGGGTTTCGTGCATAAGAAAGCCTTCGGCGTACTCTGCATGCTTGGACCCGGGCCTCGCGAAAAAGAGCCCATCCAACTTCGCCTGCAATTCTAGGTCACCTTTCGCATCTACGCCCAGCTCACGGAGCTGTTCGTCCGCCCACGCACGAGCACCCGACTCCAGCACCGTCGTGTCTCGTATCATCAAACAACTCCACAGAAAGGCGTCCCTCGTATCATCTGCCTGGGCATCTGTCCCTGGCCGTCCCGACTTCTTCAGCACCCCGATCTGCACCTCCACCGCATGCTCGCTGGAGAAGTTGGTCCATTTCCGCCTCGCCCGCTCCACCCAATTGATATACGCCTGGACCGCTACTGCCAGGAGCCGCTCGGTGAAACTCAGACCCTTGGCGCCCAGGATATCATGGCCCAGCTCTGTCATGCTTTCATGCGGACCCGGCGTCGTAGTGGCGGCCGTAAACCAGTCGTAAAAGATGTCGAAGAAGCTGAGGAACTGTATGCTTAGGCGGGAGTTCAGAGCCAGCGTCGTGACCCCAGCAGGATACCGTGAGATTTTGACCTGCAGCGCCTCCGGCGGCACACGAGGCGGGTATTCCAGCACGGAATCGTGGGTCCGGTCATGCAGGCCAAGAGCTTCGTCGCGTAGCCGTTGGGTTTGTTGGCGCCGGAGCACGTCGGCGGATTCGAACATGCTGGAAGGAGGAGTCCATCAGAAGCAGAAAACACGCATAAAGCCCGATCGAGCAGTTGTTCGCGTTGCACCGCTGGGTGAACAAGGAGACGAGAATGCGAACTTGAACTCGAACTTGAACTCACCCCACGGCCGATATCTTCAAGAAACCCTCCCACCCCAGGTTATCCAGCCCGCCTCGCAGGGCGACAATCCGCCGCACACCCTCGACATGGGCATTGAAAGCGTCATAGTCATTCAGCATGCGCTAGGGTAATCCAAGTCAGTGATATTCAGCAGGTCAGGGCACGACGCGAAGGAACCCCGAGGACCCCCAAAACAGCAGAAAAACACATACATACACGACCGCCATGGGAAAGATCGTCGCCAACACAATATCACTCGTCCCCACGCGCGGATCCGGATTGCCAACAGCGGCCCTCAATCCACCCACCGCGTTATTAACATGGTGCACCGCCTCGCGCGACAACCGTGCCGCAGAATGCATATGCAAGCTCTGCATGACGAGCCCAAACGCAATCATCGACGAGCAGTACATGGCCGTCTCGAGCACGTTCAGCCGCATGATCTGGTGTTGGCGCTGGTTGTAGTTTCCCAGCCCGAGCGCGAGCGGGCACATGACCTGGAAGTGGAAGTCAAAGGCGGTCATGGCGCTGTGGGTGTTCGCCACGGGGAGTGTCCAGAAGGGGTCGTCGCGCAGGGCGCCGATTTGACGGGGCAGGAAAAGCAGCGAGTCCATAGTGTTGGTGGCGTGCTGCTGCTGGCGGTGGACTTGGTCGTCTGCGTCTGACTCCGGGTCCGCGTCCACGTTATCTCGCTCCGTCACCACGTAGCTTAGGATCCACGCATTCTGGCGGCTCGCCGCGTGCTTGATTGCTCTTCGACGTTTTTGATGTCGCGTGTGAGCGTGGTGGGCGTTGATGGTGGCCAATTCGCCTCGAGGGTGGAAGTTGTGGGTGCTGCGGTTGATGAATGTGATTGGCATGGTGGTGGTGGTGGTGGTCGTCGTCGTCGCCGTCGTCGCAGAGAGGCAGACGGATGGTGCATACTGTACTTATGTAGTTCGTTGTGCGGTGTGTTCTTAGGGGAGAGCTGAAATAAACTACAGCAGGTGGTGCTGGGATGTGGCTACGAGGGAGTCGGACTCAGTCCGTGTTTCAGGAATAGGAAAACGTGGGGAACATGGACGACTCGTACGGTGTTTTTCGTACAGTATGCCCTCGTGGCTTTGATCTGGGCTGGCTGGACCGGTCAACGTCGACGGGTGTGTTAGTCAGCGTGCCCGAGGTGGCGCACCTCAGGCGCACGATCCGAAGGGCAGGATTGGCCAGGACGCCCATGAAGTCGGGGGTGATGCGCTCATTATCGTTCTCTCCTCTCTCAGCTGTGCGAGTAGTAGCTGGCAGGCCCCTGCATGACTTCACCTGGTTGTGTTGGTTACAGAACTAGATGCTGATCTGGATTGCTGACCTTCTCGAGGGCGGCTACGCTGTTCGGACTCGGCTCCTGCATCATTCCGACGCAAGGACTTCAATTGACGTTGACGTGAAGCATCATACCATCGATTACTTGCCAGTAACTGTAATGTAGGTTAGCTGCCAACCATGATAACAGCCACGGCATGATCAGGTCAGACTCGCGTTTATCAATGGAATGCATCAACAAAGCGGTAGCCGACAGAGAAGTTTCATGTTTATTCATATCGGCATATATTGGTCATCTCGTCCGCAGACCAGAATGCATTATATGGGTATAGACGTCAACCTGCAATCTGCCATCTATCGTGGCACAGACACGGCGGCCTCAGATCGAAAGATCCGCACAGCTGAACGCCGGATTGGTCGCGCCCGAGTAATCGGCAATGATGGCCTTGACTGCAGCGTAGAGACCAGGACCCAGCAGAAAGAGGCCGACAATCATCACGAAGATATGGATGACAGTCATGATGGACCTGTACAGCCCATTCCACACCTTTCCTCGGTATAGGTGGTAGTACGCGACGGCGAAGAAGCTTTTCCCGTTGTTAGCGACATTCGACACGCATCGACAAACGAGGCACTTACATGAAGCCGAAGAACGAGTCGAACGCCGCGCCAAGCAGAGACAAAAAGTCGCCCATGCTGGGGATGACCTCGGCGAAGATGAAAGCGAGAACCCAGACAACGACGATAACGGCAAACCAGACGCCCCACCCGATGACGGTGTTGCTGTGGGCATGTCTGGACTTCCCCATGACTCGGAAGTATATAAATTTGGCAGACACGTTTGTGTAGATTACGGCAATTACCGTAGTAGGGACTATGACGAATGCAAAGGAGCCTTTTCTGAACCTTTCGGGCCCAAGGCTGCCAAATGCTGGAGCCGTGGAGTATTGACCCAGGTAATGGAAGCCGATGGCCGGAGGGCAGATGAACAGGAAGGCCGAAATCGCGGTCAACACGGCCAGCGACTTGGGGAAGTCCTGTGGTTTCTCCATTTCGGCGATGAAGGTCGGGAACAGGATCTGAGGCACCCACAAGAAGGTGAGTTGGAACTGATAGCATGTATGTATGAAAAGGTCGATCTATGGAAGGGTGGTACACTCTGAGAGATATACCACGTTTGTGGGTCACGTGCCACTGCCTTTGTGCGAGGCAGTGGCAGTGGCAGGCATACACTGCCTGTACCATGGGTGAGTGAATCCAACTCCCCCCCTGACTCAAGGTTGTCCCACAGCGTTGAGTCCTTGAGCTCACCCAGAGGGATACCCCCCCCTGACTTACAGTACACCTCTATGACTCAGCTCACGCCCATCCTTGACGCTAGGTCCTCATGCCTAGGTTTCGCCAATGACTTTGTCAGAATGTCAGCGAAGTTGTCCTTCGTATCGACCCGCTTGGTCTCGATCTCTTTAGTGTCCATGACCTTCTCACGGATGTAGTGGTGCTTGATGTCGATATGCTTTGATCGAGCATGGAATTCCGGATTGTGGCTTAGTTTAAGGGCCGCATTGTTGTCGATAAACAGCGGGATAGACGCAATCGAGACTCCTGGGATTTGGAGATCATTGACGAAATTTCGAATCCACACCGCGTCTCTTGCAGCCTCGCCGGCAGCAATGTACTCTGCATCCATAGTGGACTGTGCCACTGTCGCTTGTCGCTTCGAAGACCAGGAGATTGGAGCTTGAGCCATGGTGAACACAAAACCAGTCGTCGACTTCCTTGAATCTTCGCAATTCGCAAAGTCACTGTCGACAAATCCGTGAACGTCGTATCTTCCCTGCTTGTCTTTTCTGAACCTCAATCCTTTCTCTTTAGTTCCTGCTAGGTAGGCATAGATACGATGAACGGCATCCATATGGGCCTGTGTCGGATTTGAGCAAAAACGTGCCACATATGCGGTCGCGAAGGCGATGTCCGGTCTCGTTCCGTTGCTCAAGAAATTGAGGGAGCCCACCTTTGATTGATACTCAGTCTTAAAGCTTGGATCCGCCGTGGTCGCGGTTTCTTTTCGAAGTTTGACTCTTGGGTCCAGCGGAGTTCCGGCAGGGGTGATGTCTTCCAGCTTGTATCGTTGTAGGATCTGCTTGATGTATTGTCTTTGACTGATAATAGTTTCATCGCCTTTCTGCTCGACATGCATCCCAAGGTAGTACGAGCATTTGCCTTCGTCAGTCATTTCGAACGCTTTCGACAGTTGACCTTTGACAGTATCGACGTTGGCCATATTCTTTCCAGCGATAAGGATGTCGTCTACCCAAAATCCAAGGATGAGGCCCATGTTGTCGTGGATGAAGATGCACGGATCATACTGTGAGATCCTCCATCCTTGTGATAGCAGTGTCATCCTGAACTTCTCGTACCAGGCTCTAGGAGATTGCTTCAGGCCATAGAGCGACTTCCGAAGTTTCAGGACATATCCATGTGGAATCTTCATGCCGGGCGGAGGTTTCATATAGACTGGTTGATCGAGGTGGCCATTAAGGAATGCGGTTTTAACATCCAGCTGATGTACCTCATATCCGAGCGATGCCGCCAGGGCGAACAGGATGCGGTAGGATGCCGGCTTCACCACGGCGGCAAAAGTTTCCACGTAGTCGATGCCTTCCTTTTGTTGAAAACCCCTGGCGACCAGTCTCGCTTTGTATCTCTTGATCCTTCCGCGGTGATCCATTTTCCGCTTCCAAACCCATCTTGATGTTATTGCTCTAACGCCAGATGGCAGCTGAACAACTTCATACGCTTGGTTCTCCTCTAAGCTCAAGAGTTCATTGTGCATAGCTGTCTTGAAATGTTCCGCATCAGGTGCTCGCATAGCCTCGGCGTAGCTCTGTGGATCTGGGAATTGACTCATATCGGCCTCGACAAGCATAGCCGCCTGTTTCCCCGGTGGGCCTCTTATTCTCTTTGCTGGCGGTCCAGTTGGGCTGTCCTCCTGCTTGAATTCTGCTATGTCACCGTCGGTTAGGTCCGACTCGTGGTCTGGTTCGATATCTGAATCATCTGACTCTAATTCGGAGATTTCTGGGCGTGGTCGTCCCTTCTTGTTTTGTCTTGGTTTATCATCTTCGAGACCAGACCAGTGGTTGAGTATGCCGGATCCAGCGCGAGCCAATTCCGCTGCATTATTGTTGTGAATCCAGACATATCGTGTAGGGAGGTCGTCGGCATCCGGAGTCGATGTCATTCGCAAATTGGCATCTTGTCTCCAGTCGCCGATAATGAGTCCAAGGCGAATATTTATCCGTCTATTCCGGCCCCAGGTATGCAATATGCCTGCGACCTGATCCTCGCTCAGATTATCAAAGCCTAGGCCTCCTTCCAGCATCACATCCAACAGTTCTTCATCCTGTAGAAGTTCTTGAAATGCGAAGCCGGGTTCTTCTTGAGTCGGTGGTGGAATATCTGGGTGTTGAGCACGCCAACTCCGAATAATCGCCTCCATACCGCACATGAGTCCTGTGGATGGTGTCGGAATAATTCTTGGTCCATTTGGAAATGCGTTCACCAGCGATTCTGCTTCCGGGTCCAGTTCATCGTCGTCATCTCTCGATAGAGCTGCTTTGTCCTTTCGTCCAGACCTGGCATCTTGACGATTGCTTCTGTCCTGCCTCATTTTTTCTAGTACTTCCTCATAGTTTGGTTTGAGAACTGCGCGGCACTCTCCCTCATCGAAATCATGCGTCGGAACCGTATATCTTTCAGTTGCGCCATCTTCCCTGTCGTATCTGCAGTGATGGATTCTGCCAGGCTCTCTCTCCAATGAGTTTGGCCATTTCTCGACGATGCAATTATAACAAGGTTGCCCCGAATCACAGTTCAGCCCTCTCTGGTTGCATCGACGACACGATTCGTAGCACTTGTCATCCTGTAGGAGTTCGTCCTTCGTGAGTCTGACGCCCTTCTTTATCTCATAATCTGGTATTCCTCTCGTGGACAGTCCATCATCGTCCTCGTAGTAGCAGCTTCTGGCGAGCCGGCCAAGACCGGCCATGTGCTCACAGTTGTTGCACGGTATCTGTCTGTTGCATCCTCCTGTTCCCCTGCTTCTGCAGCCAGTGCAAGGAGTCGGCATTCGTTCTCTCTTCACTTTTTCCCAGTCTTCCCGGGTCATGCACCGTGCCTTTGTCTGTTTAGAGGTGCAGCGAGTACACGGGAAGGTGCCGCTACACGCCCACGCATGTTTCCAACATCGATTGCATGTCTTTTTCTCTTCCTTTTCTTTGCGACCAGCATCTCTCTTTACCATGTTGGCCGTGGTTTCTGGCTTAATATCCACACACCTAGACCCGGATTCAACACATGCCGAGCATTTTCCTTCTGCTGTCGCTTTGTCACATCGGCGTTGTCGCTTAGCGCACATGTCGCATTTTTCTTTCCATGACTGAGGCTGAGTTCGGATAACTGACAGCTGATTACGGTGTTCTGGCTTGACAAGGTCTAATGTGTTGAGTCTCTGGTCGATGCATTTCATTTTGAAGCGGCTGCATCTTGAGCAACTTCCGTCTTTGGTGTCACGATCGCAGGCTGCTTGTGCTCGAAAGCATTGGTCGCACTTTGACTCATTTGGGTAGTAGTTACGATTCTTTCTTGCTCTGTCCTTTTTCTTGCGTTGTTCGGGCGGCAGTGACTTGCGGCCCATCCCGGCAAAGAACTTTGATCGGACAACCTCTTGCTCATCATCCGCATCGGAGGTGTCATCATCAGAGGCAGGATCTTCATTACGGTCTCTGGTGACTAACTTTTGCGCGTTTACCTTCGACAGGGCCGTCGGTGCCTCGGGCTGTTCGGTTTCTTCATCAGGTAACTCCTTAGCCCATTCGTCGTCATCATCACTGTCGTTGCCGAACCATGCGTTATCTGGGGCATCCAGATGGTGTTCATTTCCCGAATGTTGAATTTCAAGTGACTGACCTCCCTGCGGGCTGGTTTCTGGTGACCCCCACTGCGGGCTGGCATGTTCGTTGTCTGATTCCTCAGCGGCTTGGGCATTGGCGTCCTCGCCAGAGTCGGAGTCTTCCTCAGTCTGAGGGTCTTCGTCGTCTATGTCTATGGGATCGTCATTGGCGACTGCCGGAAGCGGAATTCGCTGATTCCTCGATGGCTCGCTGTGTACGTCGTCCAGTCCTTGGCCATCTTCAATCCGGGCCATGCCCACTTTGAATACCTTGCCCTTCTCGGGGGAGTACACTCGGCAGATGGACTCACTTGTGCAGCCCATCCAATATCCAAGCCATGCACGTGGGGTGTGCAGCTTAGGTTTATATGAGGTCTTCTCGTGAGGCAACGTTACGTAAGTCCTGCTGCCCCAGATACGTTCCATGCCAAGGTTGGGTTGGTCGTTATGGATGGCTTCCCATGGTGTCTTCTTTTCTCTCTTGCGGAGTGCTCGTGCAGGACTCCTATTCTTTAGCCAGACAGCATGTTCAACTGCCTCCGGCCAAAGGTTTTCTGGTACCTCGCATGTTTTGAGAAGTTCAATCGCTCGCTCCGTAACGATAGTCGTGATACGGTCGCCGATATTGGCTTCCTGGATCATAGGAGCTGCTTTTTCCCGTATGGTTCTGTTCGCTCGTTCCGCCACTCCATTCTGGTAGTGTTCAAAGGGTGTAGTGGCTTCCATTCCAACGCCATGCTTGACCAGCCATTTTCCGACAGGACCTTTGTGGAACTCGCCGTCTAATCGGTAGTTGCGAATCTTGATGCCCTGGGACCTCTCTATATGATTGTGCAGTTTTCGGAACTCTTCGGGCAGCTCATGTTTTGCCTTCATCCTGACTGCCCATGTCATCCGCGTGGCATCGTCTGTTAAGAACAGGAAAAACTTGGTCCCGTCCCATCCTTCGATCGAATACGGTCCCCAGGTGTCTGCATGTATCAAACTCCCAGGCTCCTGCGCATGGCGCTTTGCCGGGTCTCTAGGGATGTTGACTGTTCCTTTCGTAATTGCGCAGATTGGGCATACCGCACGAAGTTTTGCTCGGATCTGTTCATCTGTGAGGTCAATCCCTGTGCTGAATTTGAGTAAGTTCCTCATATTCTGCCATGATAGGTGACCAAGTCTTCTGTGCCATTTGAAAACTGGATCCTCCAAATCCACTATGGCGGCGGTAGGGGCTTTCACAATTTTCAAATTGGCAGGTGCGATGCGGGCATGGTAGAGGCCATCCACCAGATCGGCAATACCCACAACTTGGTCGTCAAGCATAAGTGTCATACCTTTGTTGGTCGCTTGCTGTCTTGTTACTTTGCCTTCTTCCAGGAGTAGCGAGAGCGAGAGTAGGTTGCATCGGCCTCTTGGGGCAAAGGCAACTTGCTCTAGTTTAATCACCTTGTGTATGCCGTCTGGTGTGATAAAATCTAGGTCAACAATGCCCCCTCCTGCCACTTGGAGCTTTGCAGAGCCATCTGCTGAGTTGATGTCCATATCAAGAGGACGGAACTTTGTGAACCATTTCTTATCATTGACGATATGAACGTTGCATCCCGAGTCCACTAGCCAAGTATCTGAGGTATCGAAAACTCCGACTGCAAGCGCCTGCAGTGCATTGTGAACCGTTGCACAGCCTTCGCCTTGGCCATTCTCCCAAATATCACCGGTGCGCTCGAATTTCCCCTGCGTGTCCAGCTTTCCCCCAGTACCAGGTGTTTGCACATTGTTGCAGTCTAACCGACAATCACTTGTCGGTACCTGGCACAGAGGGTCAGCCTGCACACTTTGCTGAATGGGGCGTCGTGGCGTACCTTCGGTCTCGGCTAGGGCGTTTCGAAAGTGGTCGACATCAGAGCCAGCAAGGCCAGCAACCGGTTCGGTCTTGATCTTCTTTGCCTTGATCTTCTCTTTGAGGGACTTTGGCATCAACTCAGGGTGGAGGGTCCAGCATTTGTCGTCAGTGTGGCCAGGCTTGTTGCAATGTTCGCATGTGACGTCAGGTTTGCCGGTGTCCTTGGCAGGTTGTTGATTGGTGGACTTGTCGGCATCTTGTTTAGACGTCTTCTTCTTTGTCGCAGCCTCACGCTCTTTCTTCTCTTTCGTGTATGTCTCGACCTTCTTTTCCTCAGCCAGCAGAGCTTTGTACAGGAACTTGATGTCATGAGAGTCATCGCCATTCTTGAGCTTGTCAAACTCATAGTGGTTGATGAATGGTCGGTATGAATTGGTAAGTCCAGCGAGGATATTGGTTGCCATCTCATCATCGCCATATGCGCTGTATCCAGCTCTCTTGAGGTCGACTTTGTATTGACGGTGCTGATTGAAGTACGCAGACATGCTGTCGAAACTTCCGAGCTTCAAGGTTGTGACTTTGCTGAGAATTTCTTTGCGGACAAACGCCTCATTGACTTTGTATGTGTCCATAATGTATGCATACGCCGCGGCTGGGTCTTCAGGATCCTCAAGCTCCTCTTCGAGTTCAAGGATGATGTTGTCTGAGACCCAATCTTCAATGAGCTTGCGAGCCTTCAACACCTTCTGCTTGTTGTCTTTGTATTCTTCCATGTCCATCTTGAACTCGGCAAATGCATCTTTATTGTGGTTGATGCTGATCGATTGATCTTCTGGGGTTCCATCGGGGGGTTGGAGGACGATTGTTGTTTGACCCGCCTTTGCTCTAGGACGCATCGATCTACCGGCTGGTTTGGCGGGGTCGTCTGCAGTTTCGAGGTAATCGGACTTGACAGGTTTCTTTGTGATGATCGCCTCGTCGCCTGTGAGAATGTCGAGTATGCCCGCGGCTCTGGCAGCGCGTTCAAACAATCTCTTCCATGGAACAATGTTGGTTTGGCCTTCCAACTGCTGTCCTGCTTTAGGACCATCCGTCTTGGAGTCAGCCATCCTGGCTTCTATTGTTTTGATACTGATGATCTATCAGGCCACTAAGATAAGGAGCTCATAACCAGTTGGAACTGATAGCATGTATGTATGAAAAGGTCGATCTATGGAAGGGTGGTACACTCTGAGAGATATACCACGTTTGTGGGTCACGTGCCACTGCCTTTGTGCGAGGCAGTGGCAGTGGCAGGCATACACTGCCTGTACCATGGGTGAGTGAATCCAACTAGGTGATGTTCAAGACGGCGTTCATGCAGTTCACCCAGGTGGTGCCCGGTAGGGGCCAGGCGTAGGTCCTGACTTCTCCGGCGGCAGGGTAAGTACCGTAGTAACCATATCCGGGATGATCCTCGATACCGGCAAAGATGAGGAAGAGAAGGATGGCAATGGCCATGCAGAAGGCTTGATTCGTCAGCCATGGTATCAGACCCGTAGTCGAAAGTACCACTCACCGGAGAACATCGACATGAAGGATATATGGCGCAGCGTCCTCGGTATCGACATCACGATACCAATCAGCATACCGATGACCGAGAAGACCACCGTGCACTGCGAATGGTCCGATAGAGTGTTGAGGATCTTGGCCGCGGTGAGGACGTGGAACCCGATCAGGAGGATATTGTTGGTGAGCAGCATGAATCCCGTGAACTCGTAGGCAAGACGGCTGCGGCCGAAGGCGTAGTAGCCGAAATCGCAGATGTCCCTGATCTGAGGATACTTCATGATATATTTGTGCATCGTGATGGAGGTGATCCAGAAGAGAATACCGGCGCCCACCATGGTGATGATGCCAGGAACCCAACCAAGCACGGAGAGCGACCATGTCTGAGCCATGATGGCGAGGCAGACTTGGTCGCCGCAAAGCAACCAAGCAGCCTTCTGCCATGACATTGTCCGAAGCTTGATCTCATGGGTATGGTCTGGACAAATGTCAGTAAGCCGTAGAGTCAACGGCATGTAGAATCATCACCTTCAGCGACCAGGTCGTGAATGATCTGAATCGACAAGCGACGACCAGCGCCATGTTCCTCTCCTTCGCCTACGTCGACTGGCTTCTCGTCAGGATACGCCGTCTTGGAGATGCTGCGATCTAGCTTGTCGTCCATTTTGAGCGTGACTGGATCAAGATTGTTGTGAAAGGGGTGAAACGATGGTGTTGGAAGTAACCCGCAGGCCCCTTCAGGCTTATAAGGTAGACACAATCACTCGGAATCTAGAATCAGCCATCCCAAGCGGTAGACTATCTGTCAATGCCATCTCAGCTTATTGTTGCAGCTCCCCTTCGCTTCTATGGCGTGATAAGGACAATGAGATGTGATAGGCTGGCGTGGGTCACTCACGGCAATCCAGGCCTCCACTGTCCCAAGCCTTAGTGCCTTCGCAACGGCGTTTAGCTTCCAATTTAGCATGTGGTCGCGAAGTTCCCGCGGGTTAGCCATTATCAAGCAGCTGGACCCAGTGGAACGTAAGGCTAGAAAGAGTTGGTCCGTGACCGGAATATGGATGTGGTAGCCTTGCCTGCGTGGCGTCAGCTGTAACATCAACTTCTGGGCGTTGGGCGAGTGAACGCTCCATCCTGATGCAGTTATTCGGGCCGGGATTGCGGAATCACCGAGAAAGATGCTTCTAGCGAGATAAAGCCTCGGCACTGAAGCTGTCGCGATTGCTAGCTGTGTTGCATCAAGAGTGTGCATCTCAAAGCCAGAGGAATTCACCATTGAGAAGCTCAGATTGTCTCGTGATGAATAACCTGGTCGAGCTTATTAGGAAACAATATCCCGCAAGCGAACCATCAGCCGGTTCAACAGAAGTTTGCGAAGGCTGCGAGTTGCACATTGTGCACATGGAAGAACATGACGCGATTCCAGCGCTCACACGAGATTGTCGAGATTGGCGAGAAGGAATACTATATGATCCTGGGATGCTGACTTGAGCTGTCTCGCTGTTTGCACAAGGTTTTCCAAGAGTCCCAAGCTTTCAACGGAGGGGGAACAAGATTCCTAGGAACGGGCTTGCGCCCCACCGTAGAATCTGCGCTAACTACTGCGAGCCTCAAGACACTCGAAGCGCTGCGGTCTGCGGCTGCTCCTCGACGTGAAGCTGAACAGCAAGCCCGCGTGAAGCAGCAGCAAGCTGTACTTGGGGTGTTCGAGGAGCACAGCCCGGAATGCATTACGACTTGAGATAGCGCCTGGCGCGCTTACAAGACAACACCCTTTCAAAATGATCGATTTCATGGACTACATCGTCCACGCCTTCGGGACGTCGACCGACTGGAACCCAGACAACAGCTATTCCTCCCTCACGGCGACGTCTGACGCTCTACTCTCCTTTCAGACTCCCTCCACCTTGTCCCTGCATATCTCTTCTCTAAGCACACCGAACTTTGCGTCCTCATACACGCTGTCGACATTGGGACAGATCGATGGCTCAATATCATATCTCTACTCGAGCGTTGCGCTGGGCCACGTACCTTCGGAAGCACCGACTATACCACTCAAGTCCCTGACGAAGGGCTATAGAGAAGTAAGGTTGCCTGTGCCCGTCGTGCAAGGAGACAAGGACAGGACCAAGTTCTTCGCTGAAGATGGGCGCAAACCAATCCTGCTTCACGCGACCTTGGCCCTTCCCCCTCCTTCAATCCTAACAGCCTTGTATGCCCGGCGGATCAACCCAGAGACAATCCTCTCGCTGTCCCTCTACAGCCAATCGACGACAAAGCCAACTGTCAATTCTGGTCCGCCTCCAGCTTCGGTACTCGCGCATCTACAGCATGACAACGGGCAATACTCTATAGAAGGACTAGGATCGACAGATAACGGCCTGCTAGGAGTGCGCGGTCTCTGGAACTTTGGAGTCGGTGCTCTGAAGCCACCCGACAATGTGGCCTCACCGCGAGAGGTCACAGAGGATTTTCGCCCAACATTATCCCAGACCGACTCCCTCTCCGCCTACCGCAACCGGCTGGCATCCAAGCCGTCGCTCCTCTCCGCCGGCGCCGAATTCTACTACAGCCCATTTTCCCATGTCATCGGCCTCTCGACAGGCCTCCGCTTCACGACCCTCGCACCACACATTACGCCTACAGAACCTCCTGCCTCGACAGGCAAACCTCTCGCCGGCACGTCTGCCTCCCTCCTCTCCACGGCAGGACACACTCTCCTAACCCCCTCGAACGTCCCGCACTCCTCCTTCCCCTACACCATGACCCTAACAGCCACGCCCCTCACCGGCTCGATTTCATCAACCTACTCCGTCCGCCCGACACCCTACCTGGCCCTCTCCTCCCGCTTCGACTTCAACTTCTACTCCTGGGAATCGCGCTACGTCGTCGGCGGCGAGCTCTGGCGCCCTCAAAAGCGTGAGCGTGAGCGCCACTCCGCCACCGATTCCGAGACAGATCCCATCCACTGGGCCCGCGCGCTCACGTCGGACTGGTTCACCCCCGACGAGCGCGCGCTCAAGACATCGCGCCAGGACCGTGAAGAGGAAAACGTGCTCAAATTCCGCGTCGACGACACGTGGAGTGTCAAAGCCCTCTGGACCGGACGGGTTAAGAGCCTGCTCGTCGAGGTCGGCGTGTCGGTCAATCCGGTCGCGCATCCTCTCGGTGCCCTAGGGAGCGAGATTGTAAAGCCGGCTTCGCTGGAGGGAATGGCGATTGGGAACGGAGGTGGGGGTGGAGGTGGCATGAAGCGATGGACGGGCAACGTGGGCGTGAGTGTCGCTTATTCGACTTGATGGGCGGTGAGGAGCATACAGCGCAGCGCTTGGTCTTACCACCTGTCACATGTGCCACTCCGCCACGAATGACGGGTAACGAACAGCTGCGCAGGTCTCGAGACTTTGCATTGCATTGCATTTGTTGCTTGAGATGTATGATGAACTTGCATATACGGAGTATATCGTACCTAGTGATACCCGCTGTGGCGCGTTTTTGAGGTTAGCTGTGGCGTGGCGTACTGTACAATGATGAGGCACCGAGACAGGAGAGCTTGGTATTCGGAAGAGTGGTGGTCAAGGTCATCTGGAACTTTGCCTCTGCATGGCGTTCAATGAATGCCACAGTATGCGGGTCTATCCATGCGTGCGCTTTCGAGATCCCGTGTGGTCTACCTAGTTCATCTGCATACAGTAGTACTTCATAGTCATTGCGCGCTTCAACGCAGTTGATTGTCTCTCCCACAGGTTTCATCCCCAGGCATTTTGACAGGACATGATTAAACAATTGCTCTTCCTGCCCGATCTCCCAACATGCAAACATCCATCTACGGTCTTCGTGACTATTTCGAGTTTCGCGTCTGTTACGTTCCTCTTTCCGTCCCTTCGGACGAGATGGTACTCGTAGCCACACCAGCAAACTCTTTCCTGTCACTTCCTCCCGCCACGCTTTCACCCTTGGGAGAAGGCGGCTCCGGCTCCATCCCAGCCAGATTCCTCTGCCATTTTCCTGAAAGCCGCACGTCCCTGCCTCTGCTGGCCTGCTGTGCGGCCATTTGTTGCTCGTAAGACTCCTAATTCTTCTTCTTCAGCTCGTCCAGAAACTTCTGCGGCGGGGCCTGTCGATACCCTTCGGGGTTATTCTCGGTCCAGCGCCAGAGGTCTGCGCACGCGTCTTCCATCTTCCGCTTGGTTTCCCAGCCGAGCTCGCGATTGGCGCGAGTAGGGTTGCTTGTGAGATCGAGGACGTCTCCAGGACGACGGCCCACGACCTGGTAAGGGAGATCCCGGCCCACGGCTTTGCTGAAGGCCTTGATCATGTCGAAAACGGTGCTGCCTCGGCCGGTACCGAGGTTCCAGGCTCGAACACCGGGTTGGTGATTACGGAGGTAGTCCAGTGCTGCGAGATGGCCGGCCGCCAGGTCGAGAATATGGATGTAATCGCGAATGGCGGTGCCGTCGTGAGAGGCGTAGTCATCGCCAAAGACTAGGAGCTTCTCTCGTTTCCCCGTGGCGACTTGGGCGAGAAGTGGGAGCAGGTTGTAGGGGACTCCCGACGGGTCTTCGCCCATGATGCCGCTGGGATGTGCGCCGGCGGGGTTGAAGTATCTCAGCAGGCCAGCATTCCATTTTTTGACTTGGGTGGCATCTCCATTCTTCTGGGCCTTTGCGCGTTCGGCGGTGATGTGGTCCGTGATCATGAGTTCGGAGGTGAATTTGGTGTTGCCGTAGGGGTTTGTGGGACCGAGGGGGCATTCTTCAGGGATGGGGATCATGCCTGGCACGCGGGTAGCGTCGCCATAGACAGTCGCAGAGGAGGAGTAGACGACATTCGTGACATTGTTTCGCGCGGCAGATCTCAACAGGCATAGCGTCCCGTAGACATTGACGCGGTAGTATTCGAGGGGTATCTCACCAGACTCGCCCACAGCCTTGAGGGCGGCGAAGTGGATGACGCTGTCGATGTCGGGGTGTTTGGAGAAGACATCGTCGAGGGCTTTCTCGTCGGTGATGTCGGCGTTGTAGTATTCAGGCCGGCGGCCACATATGAGTTCTATCCGGTTGAGCACCTCGGGGGACGAATTGTAGAGGTTGTCGACGATGACGACTTTGTAGTCGGCCTCTAGCAGGGCGAGGGCTGTGAAGGAGCCGATGTAGCCCGTGCCACTGGCAGACGCAGGTCAGCTCTTGTCTCGTCTCGGTGTCGCCTAACGCACCCCGTTATCAAGCAGCTGCCCACAGGCATCGTGATGTCGCTATCCGAGTCAAGGCGGGGTAGATCCGTATTCGAGGGCTCCTCCCAAAATGATGCGCCAGATCTCACCGTGGACTATGCTGTACAGAAGGGATGCAGTGTCAGAGAGCGACTTGGCCGGAAGAGAAAAACGGAAGGAAAATCCTTTGATATAGTGTCGCAATCACAGTTACGGTGAAGCTCGTGTTGCTCCTCTCGCAAAGCCTCGATCCTCCCACCGGCATCTGCAAGGGACACGCCCATTGTGGAATCGCCGCCGCCCGCAGTTTCCCCACCACAAAGCCATCGTCATTTTCGTCGGCGGAAAACAACAATTTTTTCTCCGCCTCCAATTCCGTGCGCCGCAGTCTACCGCAGTGGTGCAACTTGCAACGGCCAGGCAGGATGGGGGAGCCTTCCGCAAAGAAGCAGAAGACTGCAAGCGCTGAGTCCTCTGGCGCACGAATAACAGACCCTCGATTCGCAAATATCCAGTCCGATCCACGATACCGCTTGCCTGGCAAAAAGAACAAAGTCAAACTTGACAAGCGGTTCGCACGAGTCCTTGAAGATGATGACTTTGTTAAGAGAGCCAAAGTTGATCGGTACGGACGACCGCTGGAAGCAAACGTAGAGAAGAAGCGCTTGAAGAGGAAGTATGAGTTTGACGAGGATGAAGAGCCCGAAAGTGACGAGGCCGACAATGACGACGCGGTCAAGCAGGAGTTGAGCAGGGTTGAGAAGAAAACTCGTGATCCGTTACGAGAAGGGCGAGAGACCGATTCTGAAGCCGAGACCTCCTCGGATGAGACGTCCACCAACTCAGACTCGGAGGAAGAGGAGGGAGCGGAAGAGGTGGATGAAGAACTCGACGTTGGCGCTACCCAACAGCAGGACGTGCCCACCGGAGAAGTCACCTCTCGCATCGCCATTGTGAATTTGGACTGGGACAACATCCGCGCCGCGGACCTAATGGCCGTCTTCTCTAGTTTTCTACCATCTACCGGCGGATCCATTGTCAAGGTAGCCATCTATCCCAGCGAATTCGGCAAGGAAAGACTCGAAAGGGAAGAATTGGAAGGACCACCCAAAGATATCTTTACCAATGCTGCAAAAGGAGGCAATGCTGATGAGGATATGTCTGATGATGAAGAAGCGGATGAAGACATAAAAGCGTCCATCCTCAAAACCGAAAATGGCGATGAAGACTTCAACGCAACCGCCCTACGGAAATACCAACTCGAACGTCTGCGCTATTTCTACGCTATTCTCACCTTCTCATCCCCGTCGGTGGCGAAACACATCTACGACGCCGTCGACGGGACCGAATATCTCCGTACTGCGAATTTCTTCGACCTAAGATTCGTCCCCGAGGACACCGATTTCAGGACGGATACTCCGCGCGAAGAATGCGAACGGATACCAGACGATTACAGACCGAACGAGTTCGTCACGGATGCGTTGCAGCACAGCAAAGTCAAGTTGACCTGGGATGCGGAGGACACAGGGAGGAAAGAAGCCGTCGCTCGGGCATTCAGGGGTGGCAAGGGAAAGGGCAAGAAGGGCATGCAAGAAATGATTGATGAAAATGATCTCAGAGCCTATCTTGCATCTGATACCGACGACTCTGCCTCGGAAGCATTGGAGCTCGAAGCCGAAACAAGCACCACTCACGACAACGCTGCCCCAGCACCTTTGTCAAAGAAGGAAGCCGAACGGCAACGCATGCGAACGCTCCTAGGCCTGCCTCTCGACACCGTCAAGCCGGCAAAATCCAAAGATCAGGCGCCTGTAGGAGACATGCAAATCACATTCACATCCGGTCTGAATCCCAGCAAAGATGATAAGAAACGTTCTGTATTTGAAAACTCGCCGGAGCCAGAGGAGACGACGTTAGAGAAGTACGTCCGCAAAGAACGAGAACGCAAACAGAAACGGAAAGAAAAGATGAAGTCAGCGACCGCAGTCCCTGATCATGAAGATACTCCCACAGAGACCGCTGATCAGCTTATTGAAGACGCGCACGAAGACGAAGAGGAGTTAGGATTCGACGACCCATTCTTCGCCTCCGCCGAACCATCCGCCGAGCTCTCCAAAGCAACGTCAAACAAATTGAGGAAGGAAGAACGGCTGAAGAAAAAACAACAGCGTGAGGCAGAGGAAGAAAAGGACCGCAAACAGCGCGCCGAGCTCGAACTTCTCATGGCGGACGACGACGTCGAAGCCAATGACGGCGTCCCAGGAAAATCCAAGATCCAACATTTTGATATGCGCGAAATCGAGCGCGCCGAGAAACAAGCTCGCAAGAAGGGGAAGAAGAACAAGCTCAAGAACAAGTCCAAGTCCGACGCTGCTCAGAGTAGTACCAGCGAGATCCCAGCAGATGACTTCCAGCTCGACACCGCGGACCCGCGCTTCGCCCGCCTCTTCTCGTCGCATGAGTACGCCATCGACCCGACGAACCCGCGCTTCAAAGGCACGAAGAACATGAAGTTGCTGCTGGACGAGCGGCGGAAACGGAAGAACAAAGACCAGCACAAGCAGAGCAGTGAAGGAGATGGCTCGCGAGAGGGACGATTGGCCGAGAAGAAATCAACCGGCAATTCTGAGCCCGTCGGCGATGTCAAGCGCCTTGTGGAGAAGATCAAAAGGCAGCAGAAGAAATGACACGCTGTTTTTGAGTGACATACATACGTAGCATGCAGGAGTACTCCGTCTATGTCTAGCTACTGTGTAACAAAAAGGCAGCATGACTTGTCCCGGAGACACCAATGAAATACATACGGGGAGGCTATGCTTTCTGTGGATCGCGGAGTTATGTACTGTGCCTTGTACAGTACTGTACCACAGTGCTCACAGGTAGGCACTGTATTCGGACTCCAAGGGGGTACAGTGAGTGGCCAGGCTCAACTTCGGCTCAGCCTCGCCCGGAATCCGAGGGTCCAGCACGGGGGGAGTTGTCTCTTCCTTTATCATCGTCCCCGAAGGTTACACGGCAACCGACACCTCCTCGATTGCTGGTTGTGGTTGTGGATGTGCCGTCAACCCAACCAAGTGATGGTAGCATTTGTATGCGGTCTGCTGGAGCGGATCCTCCTTGCCTCCCTCCCTCTCCTTTGAGCCTTCAGGTTCAGCGTTAGGGTTAGCACTCATAACTCATGCTTGATTCTAACAAAGTGTACTCGCACACGTACTCGTAGTCATCGACAAGCTCATCTCGAAGTCGGCATTCCTTAATTAGAACAGGTGGTGCCGAGCCTAACGCTCTAGCCAACGCTTGGGGTGAGGTTCCGCAGATATAATATCTATCTGTCGACCTTGGTCAAAGCTGAAACCACAGCCGCCGGGGCGAGTACGAGTGCGAGTGCGAGTGCGTGTGCGTGTAACAGTGCCGGTCTCAATTGATGGGTTGTTGCGGGCCGGGAACATCATCAGAGGCCTGTTCTGTTGTAATTATTGACCCTGACCGACTGGAGCTCCTCCCGGGACTTGGTGCTAGAAATCACGATCCTCGTATCCTTTGGGACGTTCCTGATCATGGGCATTGTCAGCCACGGTGGCCGCATTGCGGGTCTTGGTGGGCTCTTTTTGAGGAAGGCGTGAGATACGGCGTCTTCTTGCTACGAAGTCGATGAGAGGGTATGAAGGAATGTGAGGAGGTCATGGGGATTATGGCTTGCAGCTAAACTAGGACGGCTCATGCAAAGGTCCGGATAAGGAAGAGTGTCTGTCGAACGACAAGCAGGATGAAAAGAGGGCTTCTTACCGGTAAGCAGGCCTTGAGGGGGGAAGCGGCGCTTCCAGGTGACGGACTACAGATGTGGCGTGTGACTTCCGGGGGCTTGGTGTCGGTCCAGCAGGTCGTTCCGGTAGAGGTCGCGAGGAGTACAGCCGAAACAAAACAGCTCGAAATTCGTCAGTACTGAGTAGTTTACAAACAATAAACCCGGAGGAGACCTGGCGTTTGGCCATACAGAATGTTCTCCCGATTAAAACCTCCTCCCGTCCAGATACGAGGTGGGAAAGGGATCAGGGCTTCACAAGCTCGTACCCCAGCACTAGTGGTGTTCCCACAGCCAGTACAACCCCCCTGAGATCCACGTAGCAGCTAGCAAAGTCACCCTTGGGTTGTGCTGCTGGCAAGCCGATCCGGGCACCTAGCAGCGGCTCGACTGCCTGTGTGACCAATCCGAAGAGCCCCGATGTTGATGTCAGTCACAAGAAGCAGAGTGACCCGACACCATTCCCTCCGCGAGCCTCAGACCATGACAGCAATGCAAAAGCCTTCAGGGGCACAGCGCCGGTGTTTCCTCACGCTCTCTCGAACCATGGACCAGAATTGCGCAGCGAGCATTGCGATGTGATATCTCCGGAACATATCGAGTTGCGCGAATAGCTGCGCAGAGTTGTATTAACACGAAGGTGATAAAATGCCATCATTTGGTACCGGATGGTTGCTAAGCCAGGCTATCATGGTCTTAGCGCGCCTGCTCTAAGACTTTTAGTCAACTCTTTCTTTCTTTGTTACCTATCAGCTAGATACAAGGCACTTTCAATTTCGCTTTTCTGCAGCGTTGATTCTCAGGCCATTGAGGCCTGTGCTGGTTCGGGTGTCTTTCGGTATATTTGATCCTCGACTCGGCGGATCGTCGACAACTGTGGACAAGATCGCATAATACACTATGACTTGTTTTGTAGAAGGAGGTTAAGATACACCTGCATGGCGGCCGGGTTCAGAGGAGAAGGCGGCGCAAGTTTGGGCACTCCCGCCGGACGAGCGATTGTCTGTTTGGCCACCGCGGAGGGGTGGTACAGACGCGGGTATTTGGCGACAAAGGAGGGATCGATCTTGAACCGATGCATTTGGCTGTCAGTCGGCGGTGTGGAGTGGCTGCACGCCGTCGACGCCGCAGTCGTTGGATAGGCGAAGAGAAAGCCCGGCCGCGACATCGTGGAGCCGCTCGCTCCGTGGCCGGAATCCAGCGTGTTCAACACAAAATCCATGACATTGAATCCGGTGGTTGACGACTCGCCGAAACCCGGTTCCCGGACGTAAGCCTCGGTGAGATGACAAACCATGGTATCCAAGTCGTAGGTCATGTAGGTACTGATCAAGCTGTCCCGGAGAGCCGCATGAGGCACCCAGTCAATGACCTTGGGATAACACGGGGTCATCATCTGCATGAGCGTGGGTCTGTAGATGGGCGCAATGGCCATGCGCGCCGCTTCCGTTCGCGTCGCTTGCCACCACATGATCGGCGCAATAAGCCCACATGAGTTGGTCCAGGTCACCCAGTAGCCCATGAAGGGCCAGGCAACGTGAAAGAGCGCATGGAGCAGGTCGTTCATGATATAGGGGCCACTATAGAGCAGTAAGTTTCTGCACAACAGTGCTAGTAATGTATTTTCTTCACAAACCTGGTGTATCTGGAAGGCAGCGAGCTCAGCTGGACCAGGTCGCAGATGTATTGGAGATGATCTGACAAGTTGGACGTCTTCTGCACCATGGTGGCCTCCGGAAGCGAGAGTAGTGGTAAGGGGACAGCGTCTGGGGCTGCCTCCGCAAGGTCCAATTCTTTGTTCACATGTTGCTGCAGCTGAGTGGTTTGATGCGACGGGGGCCCGGGGACGTCGAACGAAGCATCACCCCAGTTCCATTCTGCGGCTGCGCCCGTGTTCGCGGGACATGTTTTGGATGGCGTCGTCCAAGAGTTAGCTGCCAATTTGTTCATGTCGTCGTGGCAGGATGTTGCATCTGTCGGCATGATCAGGAAGTCGAGGTTGAGGGGGCTTGCAGACTGGCATCTGTCCTGGCGCCGTTCCATGTTCATCGACACGCCGTCGTCACTACTGTGCAGCACCACGGCGTCGGGTGACAACATCTCCGTCGCTGGCGGCGAGTGGATCGTCGGCCGAGTCGACGTGGGACTTCCATCTTCAGCTTCTGCAGCACATCGGTGACATGGTCAGTTCAGATCCAATCAAAGCCCAAATTCAAGCCAAGGCCACAGCCAATTTGTAAGTTCCGAACGGGTCTCACTAACTCGAGGTGTTCAAAGCCGGCAAGACGCCATCCGCCAGTCCAATGATGGTCGTCGAAACGCTGAGTAATTTCTTCCGCAAGGTGTGTAGAGAGTCTTGTAATGCCTCGTTTCGTTGCCAGAGCTCGGATGACGGACCGTTGGGTTTATGTTGAGACAGAAAGGCCACCTTGGCCTCGAGTTGTTCAATGTAGGCCGACCGTCGCTCCCGAATGACCTTTTGAGACAAGCGATTTCTCATGCGTCTGAAGAGCGGTCATTCACCCGAAACTGCCAGACACGAAGGGAGATTCCATGGAACGCACTTTTGCTCCTCTTTGAGATCTTGCTCGTTTTGGCCTCGTTTCGCCGAGGAAGACGAATGATAGTCTGCTTTCGTGCCCATGGAGGGAGTCAGACAGAGTGGGACTTGTATGGATGTACGAGTTACGAGTCGACGAGATGTTATATTCGGAGATCAATATTTCCACGTGGTCAGGACCTTGCATTGATCGGTCTGAGTCAGTCGCTAACGACTCGAGATCGGGGAATGCGTGACTTGATGGGGCGAACGGCCACGAACGAGCTTTACCCGGGAGCCTGGGATAGGGGGGCCCCGCGGGGTGCCAAAGAGTTACCTCTGTGCGTGCGGAGTGTAGGGACCTCGGAAACAAATCCCATGCCGCTTGGGCTCTCGGACCCCGGCGTTGTCGCCTCAATTCTACCGCCTAAGGGCCCGGCTGGTCTCATAGCGTACGACTATTGTTGGCCAAGTTTTCACATGGTCAATCAAACACTTCCAAGATTCGGATTCTTGGTCCAAGTGTGGGCATCACTCACGTTCAGGGTACGTAGAAAGTGGATGAAGGTGAGCCACTCGGGAACAGCTTGCCCATCTCGTCCCCATCTACATCCATCTACTAACTGCATATGTTCAAGGTCAGAGATTGATAAATCAAAGATACAAACATCCTTCAGCGCACTCAAAGAGACAAGCACTCCTCTGCAAGATCTAGTGAGTTGTCGATTCCGTCTCGAGCTGCTTTTGGACGGCATTCTCAAGATCCTTCTCTTCCTTCTTCTTGTGAAGGGTCACGGCGACGCTGTCCGTCATTTGGGCATCCACGCTCGGCGTGAAGAGACTGAGGAGAATTCCTGTCCCAGTAAATGCCAGCGAGGCAAAGAAGACGGTACGATACGCCGACGTGTTGCCTTCTTTGTAAGCGTTGATGGCCACTTCTTGAATTGGTGACGTGAGCCCTTGCACCTTCGAAAACGCGTCGGGAGTGCCCAAACTCAGCGCAGCCAGCAACGCCGGGACGGAGCTAACAGGGAGTCCAGCAGTAGTGACGGCAGGTCTCACGGCGGCAGGTACCGTTTCTGCGAGGCGATTGTTGAGGATGGTCACGTAGATGGTAGAGGCAAGTGTTGACAATGCTGAGCGCACCGAGCCGGCAACACCGACGGCCACGCCAATCTCGTTCTGATCCCGAATGTACATTCCTGGGAGCGTGAGGGTGAGGGCTTCCATCCACCCAATGAAGAAGTTTCCAGGGATCAGCAGTCCGATGGGTAGATTGACGTCAGAGGGACTCGCGCTGGCAACGCCTATCTTTCAGTTAGCACAAAACCTCCAGGTAGAGCGAAATTTCCGTCTCACCTGCAAGTAAAGCACCGCCGATGAGTGTCGTCACCGTCAGTTGCGCCCGCACAGAGCCGATAAATTTGTATAGGAAACTGCCAGTGACTTGTCCTAGGGTAAACGCACCCCCGACGCAGCATTGTAGCCAGCCAGCATAGATTTGGTCTCCTTCCGCGTACAAGACATTGACCATGGATGGCCAGACAATTCCAAATGCGTAATAGATGCTGGCTCCGATGGACACCAGGAGCGTGGCGATGAGCCACCCGCGATTCCGGAAAAGGTGCATCGGTACCAGGGGCTCCTCCATGGGATGGTAAACCTCCCAGGTGAAGAAGGCCGTGAGGACCAGCGCGCCGATCACGATTGTCGCGATCACGGCAGCCGATTTCCAGGGATAGACATTCCCGCCCCATGAGATACCCAGGAGGAACACTAGTTAGAGGACACCCGGATCAGTACGCCAGCCAGCCACCCAGAATGGGACTCGGGGTCGGTCAAACTCACAAACCATCCCACTAGTGAAAAGGAAAATGCCGATATAGTCGAAGTTGCGGATCATTCTGAGTTTTTCTTTGCGGCTGTGTTTCATGCCAAAGGTCGGAGGGTGATAGAAGAGGAGGTACGAGCCCATCGACAACCCGTTGAAGATGATCATGAGATAGTAACACCATCTCCAATTTGCCCTGGTAGCTAATGAATTCGCGATGGCGGGCGCCAGGCCGGAGAAGGGAATGCAGCAGAAGCAGGCATATGCCGTCCCAATGAACCTGTACTTCATGGGCACAAGCTCGCCAATGAGGAACGGGTAAGACAACGCTGTCGCCCCCGCGAGACCAACAATGACCGAGCCCCCAATCAAGGTGGGCACATCCCGTGCTGTTGCGCAGATGATGGCGCCAATGAGGCCAAACCCCTGGCCACCAGCAAAGAACCAGCGGCGGCCAAAGATGTCGGAAATACGACCCAGCAATGTCTGGCCCACCGCCAATCCCACAGGAAACATCAGGGGAACCCAGGCAATGTTCTTGTTCGGCCCGATGTCAGCATTGATGATGCCCAAAATCGGTGCTGCGAGTGCATATCCTCCGACACTGCCCAGCAGGCTCAATCCACACGCAGCCATCGAGCCTAGGAAGTATGGGCTGTAGAAATATCCCTTGGGCAAGCTGGCAGAGTCGGCCCCAAAGAGGGCCACCGTCGGCTCGGAGGCTGCAAAGTCTTCGGTATGTTGAACGTGCGGTTGTTCCTTGTCCGACTGCGAGGCCATCGCCATCGGATTGTCATCACTCGGGGTGGACATGATGCTATCTCTATGTCTCCTCGAGAGACTCCTTGAGAGTTGAAGTGAAAGTAGAGGAGGGATACACTCTCCTCTCAGCAGCTATAGTTCCCCTATTTATCATTGAACACTCGATGAATCCACACCCAATCAAGATATGTCACTGGGCGGACCCGGCGCTCCATAATCTGCCATCGGGGAAAATGGGCTCAGTGAAGGTGTGGGGAGACCAGGCCGGGGTGCCGGGGCACTGGGGACCGTCGGTTGTCGCTATGTCACACAAACGTGAATCACCCAGTTCCTCCACGCACCACGAGCAAGGCATGCTCCCTATCGAGTGAGTGCTTGGCTGGCATTATCCGAGGTCTGTCAAATGTTGAATCTCCAGCCGACATGCGCATCTTGGCAAGCTGAGGTCTAGATTTGCACATTGATGGAAGCCACGGTATAGGACTTAGGAGATAGAGCAATGGGGCAAAGAAGCGGATAGATGGGTTTGCTGGGAACTGTTACGACTCGGCCCTCGGTGCAGGACGATGAGGGCAGGTGGGCCGGGGCTGCCTCGCTGCCAAGGCTCCACCGGATCACGTGCCCGATCTTCTAACGGCCTTTAGTAAGCCCACAGTCCTTACTAATCCCGTCCGACATTCATCCTGAAGAGGCATGTGTCCCTCTCGCAACCAATGTTACACTTGCTCCAGCTGAGATTCCTCCTCCTTGCGATGCAAAGTCACAACAACCTCGTTGATCATCAAATGGTCGACAATGGGCGCAAATAGCGACAACACCATCAAGCTTCCCCCGACCGCGATTGATACATGCATGACTGAGCGGTAAGGCGAAGCTTGTCCCTGTCTGAACGCGATCGTTGCGATATCCACTATGCATGGTGTGGGGCTTCGAACTGTTGCGAGATCCGCATCATTGCGGCTCGTTGATGCTGAGAGCAGTCCAGCAACCGAGGACTGTGGCAATCAGCTCTGATGGCAGCAGTTGCGACCGTGTGGTCGCCAATCGGTTGGTCAGCGCCGTCACAAAGAAGGACGACCAGATGGTAGAGATGACGGATCAAGAAGACCGGGCGGTCCCGGCTGCAATACCAACCCCCTTTTGATCGTGGACACAGATGGCAATGAGTGTCTGTATGACATCTTCGTTCCAATCCATGGCAAAAACACCACAAATGAGGAGACCTAGCGCTTTCGACTTGTCATCGGGTCCCGCTGTGGACATACCGGTCTCTGCCGTTGATTTATGTTTCCATCTATCTAGGTGTGCTGGGGAGGGGATTGACGCACATCCCAAGAGCGTAGTCCCAATTGTCATCGACATCAGGCATTGAAGCTTGAGTTTCAGGGACCCGTTTGCCCAGAAACCCACCAATGGTGTGACCGGCGTTGTAGGGCACACCGGCTGCACACGAGAGGATGTCGATCATATTTCCCTGGCGTTCTGAAGATCATTCCACTACTGCCTGCGGCCAAACAACAGCAAAGGCGCAGATGCTCCCCCGGAAGGACAATAGCAGCATTCGCACCAACCCCTCGCAGTCGCGGAACAGGTGTATCGGGAAGAGCGTCCGCCGGCTGGGAGCCTAGGTTTACCACAATCCCAACGCCACCAAGGTGACGAAGCCGAAAACAATCGGTGTGATGGTTGCCGCCGACCTCCCTGGATATTGGCCACCACCCCCATGACGGGCCGAGACTGAAGATGACGAAAACGCCGCAGGACAGCAAGATACCCACCAGGTCGATACGATTTAGATATTGTCGTCCAGTCTGGTAGCGGTGCTTCATTTTGGAGGTGCGCGGGTGGAAAGAGCATGTAGAAAAGGGCACGCGAGACGAGGTTGAGGATCACCCATCCACCAATAACACCATCGCCAAACGCCGTGAGGCTTTGTCAGAAAGGCATTCGCCACCGCAGGCGCAAACTCGGAGAAGGGCACTGCATACCAGATACCCAAGGACGTGCCAATGAATCGATATTTCATGGGCATAACCTCCTTGGTGAGGTAACAGTAAGAGAACGGCACCGCTGGAAAACGCACTCATGATCGTGAACCCTCCGACCAGCCACGGCACGTTCTTCGCCGTGGCTCCGACGATGGATCCGATCAGCATGAGCGCTTGTGGGACAATGAGAAACCACCGGTGCCCAAAGATATCCGAGCATCGCGGCGTCAGAGGCAGGCTCCAGCGATTCCGAGCACAGACAGATATGTAGGGGACCCAAGCCCACGTTGGCATCTGGGCCGCTGTCTGCAATCATATAGGTCCAGATGGTGGATGGCAAGGCAAACTGTCCCATGGAACTAGAGAAGCCTGGACGATTCAAGCAGCCAGCAAGGCCGTGCACGGGGGCAAGGGGAAGAGGCAGCATTCTTTATCCTTATGCCAATGGCAACCACCGAGCCCCAGAAACGAGTACTGCTGTAGTAGTCTTCTTCAAGAGCCAGGCGCTCCACTTCGAAGCTCGCAATCTTGGCACGTGTGCTATGTAAGGAATTTTTCACCGTCTAAAATCATGTCCTGGTGATGAACAGAGCCGGCTTTGGACCCATCTTCAGGCCGTGTCGTGTGCCGGCACTCATCTTTGACACGACGACGACGATTATAATGATGGCTCGGGCTATGGGACAGAGGCAGCTAGATAGGGGGTACAGCTATCTATGGAACTGTTATCACTCTCAGTTAACTTATTTCAGGAAAGCCAATAAGCTCGATCAAAGCTGGAGCTTGGTAGATGAAGAAATCAGCTCGGCTTCGTTGGCATTGCGGTCCAACGCAGGAACCGTACCACGGAGAATGCGAGACTCTGTCAAACAACAGTACAAACTATGGCCTGGCTCTCCCATTTGTGATCGAGGCGCCCGAGGGCGAGTTTGTCAGGGTCCGCTCGAATTGTCGGAAGTAAACATACTCCATATCCTCATACCCACTGGCCCGCTTTTACCACGCCAGTGACTACGATATCCGTGATTCATCATGGCCGCTTTTACCACGCCAGTGACTACGATATCTGTGATTCATCATGGCGCGGGTGAGGAAAGGGCGAACGACAATGAGGCTGCTAATGAATGGGCGTCTAGACCCTTGAGCCTTGTGTAATGGGGTGAGTTACTTCAACTCCTCGATGGATGACTACGTAACGGGCTTAGAGTTGAAGAGTTTCATCATGGCAGTGACATTGGCATTGCGCTTATATGTTGATGATAAGGATATTTTGTGTCTTCTCTGACGACAGGGTGAAGAGTCCATGTAATGTATGATGCTCTGTTGTGATACTAGGCTCTGTGGCGCCCGAGGAGAAACCGTCTTCTCGCACCGTGAGCTCTACGAAAATGAGGGCGTAAGACAATGCAGAGACCGGGTAGGTCACTCTGGAAGACACCCTGAGGAGACTGCATTTGTATTGAGGAGTGTTGAAATTTAGGAGTTGCTTTCGTTGACCGAGAAGCCTCTGATAAATATCATTAGTTCATCAAGATTCCCAGGAAGCAAGCTCCAAGAGCATGACTTACCCATCAATAAAAAGATTCTGGCCCACGACCAGACTCATCTTGGGTGTGCACATCAGTGCCACGACATCACCAATCTCATCGAAGCTGGCAGACCGGCCTTGTCGGGAGACAAAGTATTGCCACATGGCCATGCCTCGCGAATCGACAACATCATCCTTCATCAAAGACTCTTCCGCCATTTTGGTCAAGAGAAATCCTGGCGACACCGCATTGACCCTGATGCCATGGCTTCGACCTTCTAATGCCGCCTGGAAGCCGCGAGAAAAGAACCGATTAGACGGCTACTTGAGGAATAGAGGCATCCTACACACTCACCGTCTTTGTGATTCCGTAGCACGCGTGTTTGGACGCGGTATAAGGCCCAGTCCCGGGCATTGTGAGCAGGGAATTGACTGATGCACAATTCACAATGGCACCCCGTTGCGGAGGCCGTCCATCTTCACTAAGGGTTGTGCGGTCAGTCCCATGATTAGATAGAAGTCCCCCGAGTAAGGTGACCGACGACCTACACGGCGAGCGAGTCCTGCTTCATCATTTGAATCATCTCGTATTTTGTGCAGAGCATAACACCGGTGGCATTGACTTCGAGCGTCTTCCTCCACTTCGCCACGTCGAGATTGACGATGCTGTCCGGGGGTCCCACGATCCCTGCGAAATTGGCCGCGTAATCGATCCGGCCGAACTTTGCTACCGCTTCGGAGACAGCTGAAGCCACTTCTGCTTCCTGTGTCACATCTGCACGGATGGCGAGGCACTATCCATCTCAATGTTAGGTCCCGAGCAATCCAGCGCAGGGAAAGGACAGGACTAGTCACTCACCTCGGCCCCATGGGCCTCCACAGCTGCCTTCCCCAGTTCCATGGTTTCTTCGTCGTTGATGTCGACAATCACCACGGCTTTGGCCCCTTCCTTTGCAAACGAGACGGCCACTGCATTCCCGAGCCCCCTGGCTGCACCGGTAACAAAGGCTATCCCGGGCGTATTTGGGCCCTGTCGTCGACCCATTTTGAAATGTCAACCTTTTAAAATCTCTGACTCTGAAGTCTCCGTGGACAGCTGCTGCTCCAAATCTTCTGGAATTCCGTCCAAAACAAGGTGAGAACGTCTTAGTTATTGTGAGTGGTGGTCTCCGCCCGATTCCTAAGTTGATGGCACGGCTAGGGCTACCTTTGGATTGAAAATCAATTCGGCTTTGCATCCGCATCTCCATGGACACCTGGAGATGCGCCGAAAGACCCCGAGCCCCATGTGTGGCACAGAGTGTGGTTGTGTTGGTTGTGTGGGGTGTAACCAGGCGAAGTCGCCGGTCTCTGAGTCCTTCAATTGTGTCTAAGAACCTTTGTCAGAAGCCGCTGACTCGTGCTCCGCCAACACCTCTGCACAAAGTGATTTCCCCTGTACGGATGCCGCCTTGGCTTCGGCATGAGCTGAGTGATCCCGGAATAACACGACTCCTGAAATCGTGACAGCCAGACTGGAGCCTTGGACCCTTGTTCTCCCGCTTTGACCTGGACTGCCGTGGTATATGACCCGAGGAGATGTGCTCTGGCACTTTCACTTCGACAGCATTACAGGTTCAGTTTTGGAGGTCCTTGCACTCACAAACCCTGGCTCGCAAGTCAAGCATTGTTCAAGATGCCTCATTCTACCGCCGGAACCAATGGAGCTGCTGATGGGTTTCGGGTTGAGGAGCATTGGCATTCCTACCCTGGACACCTGCGTGTCGTCTGTGTTGGAGCAGGGGCCGCGGGCTTACTAGTCGCCTACAAAATGAAGAAACTCTTCTCCAAGTATGACCTGGTGGTCTACGACAAGAACCCTAGCTTGGCTGGTACTTGGTACGAAAATCGGTATCCTGGATGCGCGTGTGACGTGTAGGTGACATGGAACATCCTTTCCCAGATATGTGTAACTGACAAAGGGCGCAAGACCCGCACACGCTTATACTTTTACTTTCGAGCCAAACCCTGACTGGTCTGCATTCTATGCGGGTTCAGGGGAGATCAAGAAATACTTTGAGTCTTTTGCAGACAAGTATGATCTGAAGCCTTGGATCAAACTCAACACGAAAGTCCTGAGTGCGACTTGGATCGAGAGCGAGGGTATTTGTAAGTCCCATATTCAGTTAGCGCTGCCGGGGTCAACCTCTGACTGGAGTTCATGCAGACAAGGTCGAGCTCGAGACTGAAGGTCGCAAATTTGAAGATTGGTGTCACGTCCTCATCAATGGGACTGGGTTTCTCAATTCCTGGAAATGGCCCCAGATAGCGGGCCTACACGACTTTCAAGGCCAGCTCCTGCACAGCGCCAACTGGGACCCGAGCGTCAGCTGGGAAGGCAAGAATGTGGCCGTAATTGGCACGGGCTCTTCAGCAATCCAGATGGTGCCGCAAATTCAAAAGACGGCGAAGCATCTGACGTCGTTCATGCGATCGGTTACGTGGATATCCCCCCCAGTGGGTGCGGCGGCGCTCGAGCAGGAGAAGACCAAGAGCGTCAAGAACGCCTCGGGCGAGCCCGTCAAGGAGGCTGAACCGGCCGCCCAATACTACTACACCGAGGAGGAAAAGCAGCGCTTCAAAGACGACCCCGAATACCACCTTCTGTACCGTCGAAAGCTCGAGTCATCGGTGAACAACCTTTTTGACATGTTTATCGCCGATTCCGAAATTTCAAAACAAGCACAGCAGCAAATGCGCTCCGAGATGGAACGGCGTCTGGGTCCCGGCCACGAAGAGTTGAAAAGCCGTCTCATTCCGTCCTGGCCGCCGGGATGTCGTCGTATAACGCCTGGCGATGGCTATCTCGAGGCCCTTGTCCAGCCAAACGTAACGCCCGTTCATGAAGAGATTGAGAAGGTTGTGCCCGAGGGCCTGGTCGATAGCTCGGGCAAGCTACACAAGGTTGACATCATCGCCTGTGCCACTGGATTTAATCTGGCTTTTGCGCCCCCGTTCGAGCTCCGTGGTGTCAATGGCGTGACCATGCGCGACGAATTCGACCCGGAGCCACAAGTCTACCTTGCCATGACGGTGCCCAAATTCCCCAACTACTTTGTCGTCAACGGAGTCAGAGGGAATTGGGCAGCTGGGACAGCGTTACCCTCTCACGAAGTCTGCGTCGAATATATTCTCAAATGTGCAGCCAAGATCCAGACGGAGAACATTCGAGCCCTCGAGGTGAAGCAGGAGCCTGTCGACCAGCTGTATGAATACATTGACGAGTGGCACAAACGGTCAGTCTGGAACCGGGACTGCAAGAGCTGGTACAAGAACAATATCTCAGGCGGCAAATTGTGGATTTGGGGCGGTTCGGTAAGTATCCTCGTTCGGGAAACGTGAGTCTGTCCTTATATTCTAACACGTAGATTCCCCTCTAGGCAATGCACTTCATGAAGACCATCAAAGAGGTCAAGTGGGAGCACTACGACCACCGATATCGCAAAAGCAATATGTGGTCATATTTGGGCAACGGGCGCGTCAAGGCCGAAGTTTTGAAGGAGGTAGATAAACTAGCGCCGTATATGAGGAACGCTGATGTGCCATGGGAGATAGAATAGATTGGCCATCCATTTAGATATAGTGATCTGGGACATTTTGAACAAGCGCACTTGCACGCCGAAATGGCAAGTATTTCGGCCGACACCTTGTCCTCAAGCTGAGGAGCCCAGGCCGAGTGAATCACCAATCCATGACAGTCCTGTGAGACCCCAGTTGCTGCGCGTGAACATGTCCGAAGCATCTCCATAGATCTAAGCAACGGCTGGGGTATCTGCTTATATACCGCGGGCGTGGAGCTCAGAGACGGCATTCGACTGCGTTGATATCTCAGACCAACCCAAACCAACAATACCATGGTACTCCCGTCCCTCACCACCAAATATCATCATGCTCCATACCCAAGCATCGATCCCAATCGGCCTGAACTTTCAGCTTCAGGCAAGGTCGTAGTCGTGACCGGTATGGATAAGGCTTCTAATTCTGCACTTGAGGGTCGGCGATACCAACACAACTAATGCTGCTGCAGGAGGTGGCACGGGGATCGGAGCTGCAACTGCTCTCGCCTTTGTCACGGCTGGAGCCAGGGTGGTTGCGTTGCTCGGGCGTCGACCTCAGCCATTGCAAGAGAGCAAATCCCAGATCCAATCAGCGTACCCATCTGCAGAAATTCTCACATTTCCACTTGATGTTACAGACGAGGCCGCAGTGGGCGATTGCTTTGCTTCCCTGACTCATCGATATCGGGGAATAGACGTCTGCATCAACGCGGCGGCATATCTATCCGATCAGGGCACCATTGCTGCTGGACCAGTCTCGGAATTCTGGAAAGCGTTCGAAGTGAATGTGAAAGGGGGCTTTATTGTCGCACAACAATTCCTTCGCAACGGCTCCCGTGACGGTTCTGTCTTGATTGGCATCAACTCTCTAATTGCACACCTTCCGGCGTCGATTGTGGAGCAATGTCCCGCCAGCTACGCGAGCAGTAAGATCGCACTGGCAAAGCTGTACGAATATGTCGCCTCCGAGAATCCCGGTGTCCGTTGTTATTCTCTGCACCCTGGGGTCGTCGAGACTGAGATGGCAGCTAAAAGCGATGCCATGGCGCCCCCACAGAAGGACAATCCCTTCCTTCCCAGAGACGAGGGTAAGTGGCGCCCCATCCAGATGGTCTCCGTTCGCGATCAAACAACCTTCTTGCACGTTGATGAGAGACGATACTGAGCCGAGGGGATTTTGTAGCTTCACTTCCTGGACAATTCTGCGTCTGGCTCAGTTCAAAGCTCGGGGCTGTCATCCCATCGGGACGATTTCTCTGGTCCAACTGGGACGTGGATGAGCTGGCGGCCATAAGTACGGAGCTTAAGAATGATCCAGTCACTTTGACCATGACTTTACCAGGCTGGCCATTTCCGCTGCCGTCTCCAGGCAACACATGAGCAATCCAAGGACTCAAGTACTCGATCTTGGTACTCCGTACGCCCTGGGAAAAAGGCAGTTCCTGCCCAACACACAGCCACTTCACAGCATATACGAATCGACTCGGTTCGGAGGACTTAGTGACTTCAGAAGGGTCTCAGGCGCCGCCTGGCCATGGTTACCAAGGGTCATGTAAACAATAGAATCGCGTTCACCGCGTTGCACCGCGTTACACAAGGATGTGTGTCGATGACACCGCCAGCCGTGTCATTACAACGGCCCGGATAATTTTCCCAGTCACGCAATCCGGGGTTGGCTCCGATGCTGCCTGGGCGAAAAGGTCTCGTACTCCATCCTCCCTACCCCGTAGCTCTGTCCAGTAGCACGAGGCCAATATTCCCCTATTCACATCCCCATGGTGGTCGAATTGGACACTCGGAATTCTGGCACCCGCAGGCTGAGGCCGCCAGCTCCACCTTACGCCGCCTGTCCTGGGCATATTCGTGCTTGTCTAGCCATCCGACTCAGCAACAAACGACTCAGAAGCACGAGCTCCGGCTAACTCGTCGATGACACATGGTTTACTGAGAAACAGTGCAGACGACCCTCGAAGAAAGCCTCTTATGTCGATATGCCTCTAATTACCCCGTCTTCCGGGCCCCACTTGCTCTCTACTATGAGCGTTTGATGTATTTTCGGGACAAGGCTCGAATCGCGTCAATCAGGGAACCGAATTGATACAGGCAAGCCTGAGCACCAGTCCACATGTGTATATAATCTGGGTTCCCGCAGCCGTGGACGACGAAAATCTGGGGTTTCGCACTTTGACATCTCCTGTACCGAGTTTTTTTACTCATCAGATCCATCACCAATACTAGAAGCAAAGTGCGCGGCCGGCCGGGCATTCCTGCATCATGAACAGGTATCAGTTCCTCTGCCTTGCATATGTAACGTTTGGATCGATCTTCTACGGCTACGACTCGGGTATGTATTTCCAAACCCTGCTCCGGTGCGGTCTGAGCCCATGCATTGACCGCTCCTCTTACTAGGCATCACCACGTCGATCCTTGCCTATGAACGATTTTTGATCTATTTCGACTTGAACGCCACAAAGATTGGAGCCTTCAACTCGGCTTATTATGGCGGATCCTTCATTGGCTGCATGCTGAACTGGTACCTGCCCAACAAGATCGGCCGGCTGCGAACAATCCAACTGTCATGTGCAGTGGCCTTTGTGGGCATCTCCATGCAGACGGCAGCAAAGAGCTTTGGTGTATTTTGTGCCGGCCGCGTTGTTGGCGGCATCGCCTGCGGTCTGGTCTTCAGTGTCTGCCCCACCTATGCCAGTGAAATCAGTCCTCCCGAGATTCGAGGATTCGTCGGTGGAGTGTATGCGTAAGTATGACCTGTGCGCAGTCCGGATTCCGTTCGGTGTTGGACATGACTGACGCCGTACGCCCCGATCCAGCGTGAATATCAATTTTGCCTACATGTTTACAGAATGGATGTAAGTTGACACGGAACCGGGCACGTCGACGCAGTTGCCTATGCTGACGACCTCCCCACATACAGCGGTCTGGGCCTTTATTTCATCGACTCGGATGTCTCCTGGAGATTGCTTCTTGGACTGCAGCTGGTCCCCGCTGTCGCTATGTTTGCTGGGTCATTTTGGATGCCGTTTTCGCCACGTTGGCTTATTCTCAAAGACCGTAACGAAGAGGCCCTGGTGGTACTCAAGAAGATGCACAGTGCGCCGGGTCACGAAGATTTTCCCCTACGGGAATACCACCAGATCAGAGCCCAGATCGAGCTGGATCGAAGCGAGCGCCTCGGAGTCAGCTCGATCCTCTCGAAAAAGTCATATCGCAAACGACTGATGATCGTGGTTGGTGCCGCGCTCTTTCAACAGTGAGATCTCCGCTCCTATGAGCTTGTGGCTCCGTGGACATATACGCTGACGCAACCATCTAAAGGCTGACGGGCGTTATCCCCATCCAGAATTACCAGGTGCAGGTGTATCAGAGCCTGGGGTTCTCCAACATTCTCTCCTTGGTTCTGACTGGCATTTATGGCACGGTAGCCACCGCTTCCGCGGTTTTGGCCATGTTGCTCTGCGACCGAATCGGACGTCGAAAGCTCGTGGTACGTCACGAGCCACCTGAGGCCAACGTCACGGCATATAGCCCTAATCATGCTCTCCTGTCGCTAACGCTGCACAGTTTGTCGCCTACGGTCTCATGATCCCAGCCTCCCTTGTGCTGGTGATCCTTTGGTCGCGTTTCGAGGCCTCAGGGAACACCAACCGCGGCCTCGGAATCGGCGTCGTCTTTGCCATCTACCTCTTCTCATGTGGTTACTCGGGCCCCATGAACACCTTCTGGCCGACGGTATGTTCCGGCGATCGGCGGCACGGCAATTCTCTGATGGAATGGCTACTGACGCGTCATACAGTACTCTGCCGAAATCCTACCAACCTCGATTCGGTCGTTTGGGGTCGCCAACAGCTACCTCACGTTCAACGGCATAGTCATTCTACTGGTCCAATGCACCCCTCTTGCGCTGGAGGCGATATCCTGGAGATACTTTATCGTTTTCCTCGTGATGGACTTCATCTTCGTGGTGGCGTTCTCCATCTACTGTCCCGAGACGAGGATGAAGACGCTGGAAGAGATTGAGGCCCTGTTCGGAGATCATGTTGCAGAGACGCCCGACGGGACCGGGAAGCATCTGACCGACGAAGAACTGAAAGAACCGGATGTCGTGGTGACGGAAAACACCAACGCCACGGAACAGTCCGCGGAGAAAAATGCCACTTCTGCCTAAGCTGCGGCACGGCTTGAGGAACGTGGGAGCCTAGATCTGGCGGCTCAGACGGTGCTGTTGTTGGTCCGTCGCGCACGCTTGAGAGAGCCGACCGCACATCGTACATAGAATACAAAATCTCGGGTCGCACGAAGGAACATGGAATCCCCGGCGATCAACAGCTAGGAGCAGCGTTTGGTTCATGCTGGACTTTCATCGTATTCCTTCCCCTCACGAGTCTCTTTTGCCTACCTGGCCAGTGTAATGTGCGGGTCGATTCGAGTCAGATTCAAGTGACACACGCAGCCGGTGCCGCTTAGCTGTTAATTGTAGCTGGCCTGCCGGACCGTGTCGGACTCGCTCTTGGTTTTGTCTTTGGCCTCTTTGCCAACTTACTCTACGCCCGGGTCATGTCTGAGACCTGAGATCTTACGCATTCTACAAAAAGCAATCTGGGACTGCCTGGGTTGGAGCCGTCGAGGCACACACTCACACACGTGCACGGCATCGCAAGCAAGCAAAGCCAAAAGACCTGCCAGTTTCACAAGATGAAAGCTGCAAGGTTTTACGGCCCGCGTGACATTCGCATCGTCGACGATGTCCCTGTCCCAGAGCTATCGCCAGGCCAAGTCCTCGTTGACGTCGAATGGTGCGGAATCTGTGGTTCCGACCTTCACGAATACCTTGTTGGCATGTTTCACTATCCAAGGAAGGAACTGAGAAAACAAAGGGGCTGACGGGAAGCAGGGCCACGAGTGATCCCGACCAAGGAGACACCTCATCCACTGACGGGAGAATCTCTGCCCGTCACGATGGGTCACGAATTCTGTGGACGTGTCAGCAAAACCAGTGCCGGCTGTACCTTGCGCCCCGGCCAGGCGGTCATGGTAGACCCACGGATGTATTGCAAGTCGTGCGACCGGTGCGGGGCGTCCCAGACCAATATCTGCAGACAGTGGGCGTTCAAAGGCCTGCACGGCCACGGCGGCGGCTTCTCAGAGGCCGTGGCCGTTGACGAGAACATGTGCCATGCTCTCCCCGGCTCCGTGCCTCTGTCCGACGCCGCGCTCATCGAACCCTTGGTCGTCGGAAGACATGCATTGAAATCGTCAGGCATGGCACGCTTCGACGACCTTAGTGTTCTGGTCATCGGCGGGGGCCCCGTCGGCCTGGCAGTCATCTTCAATCTCCGGGCACAAGGTGCAGAACGGATATACGTCTCCGAGCCAACACTACAGCGACAGAAACAAACCGCCGATTTTGCCGCCGAGGTCTTCAATCCTTTGCACGACAAGGTCGGGAACAAGTGTCGCCAGCTGACCGACGGCAAGGGAGTCGACCTTGTTTTCGACTGTGCCGGAATCGGCCCCGGCTTGAAGGACGGAATGGATGCCTTGGGGAGCGGAGGCACCTACGTGAATGTGGCTGGTTGGGAGACGCCGGTAAGACGTCGAATCAAATCTCTTCGTCGAGAAGAGGCGGGTCATGCTGACGCTTGTTCGAAGTTTGTCGTGCCAATGGAGCACTTTATGCCCAAAGAGCTCATCTTGAGAGTGGCCATGTCCTATACAGATGCGGATTTCCGCGAAGTGGTTCAGGACTATGTGAATGGTGAGTGCCACTTGTCCGACCCGTCCTGACACGCGAGCCCAGCTAAGTACCAGCAGGCAAGTTCGAGGGGGTGGAAAGAATGATCACCAGTCGCATCGTCCTGGATGACGTTGTCCAGAAGGGCTTCGAGGAGCTGGTGACGAACAAAGATGATCATGTGAAAATCATGGTGACTCCAAAGAGACAGAATATCCATGGCTAGATTAGACACCGTTGTGACGAGGCTCTGAACGCTTCAGTTAAATATATTATAGTTAGGCTGCAATGGTGATGATCTACCAAGCCACCCGCTGTCAGCAACATGAGTCCACTACTCTAACCTAGATGTGCCGAGTCTTCGCTCTCTCCTGGCGACCTCGATTTGTGCTGAGCGTTCTCAGAAAGCACTTCACCCTTTTGCTGTCAACTCTGGGGCTCAGGTAAGCAACGGAGTCGAGGAAGCACAGCGCAACACCGCAGAGCCGGTCCAGACCGCACGCACCGCCTACTAGGTAAGTAGTATGGCTGGGATCGTGCGTTATGTCGCAACTTCCTTGGGTATGAGCAGGGGCAGCTTCGGCATTAAGGAGGTACACCATATTCCGGAGTACGGAGTATGTGGTTCGATTATAGAGATGTCAGCCGGACGAATAGCATGGGGCCATTGCAGGTATTCAGCTATGTAGGAGTCGTTGAATCGGCCCACGCCCTGCAGTGACAGGGTAAGTCTTGACTGGCTCGTACACCAGCACGAGTCGTGTCCTCACGAGCAGTACCACTCCTGACACCCAAATCGCCGCGAGTACACCAACCCTTGGGCTTGTGGCCAGTCGGTCCGGCCATCTAACATTCGAATCGAATGCCTGGGTAAGCGACCCCAAGAGTCTGGAGATTGGTGACAGGCCCAAGAACCAGAGGGTTCGGACGCCGTTATCTCTGCTGGCTAGAGACCATGATGGCAATTCAAAAGCCCTCGCGAGCAGAGCGGTGGTGCAGAGAGATAATATGCCCTCCAGTAGTCTTAGGATAGTCAGAGTATCTGAGATATTGACATGCAGTAGGTTTCTCAGGCCAGAGCTGACGTTCTATAGGTCCCGTCAGCTTCCCGGGCGATGCCATGTAGGTACTAGAAGCACGCAGACCCTCACCTCAGGTTGGCCATGGACGAGACAGAGATGGTCGTCCGCGCAAACCATGCCGTGACGACGAAGAGGGCTGTGGCGAATACAGCCACCGTGAAGTCCCACTTGGTTTGGTATAGCACATGGTGGCGTCGCTCTAGACCAGGAGTCTGGACGTTCGGGGGACGGCGGCATATGGATGAACTCCTTCGATACGTGTCTCCCAGGCTGGGACATAGGAGAGGTCTGGCGACGTGCGATGGCTCCAGGTTTGCTGTGGTGGTCCCGTCCATCCGCTCATCCTGTTGATCAAGGTCTTCGCCGGGACGGCCATCTGCAATCAAGTCGAGTTATCCGATCGTAGTCGCTCGAAAGGCTTCAGGAAGGCTGTCAGGCTGTCGGGTGGCGCCGCGCCAGACAGTCCCAAGCGGCCACGGCGGAGATGAAGCCGGAGGTCGGGAAATGGTGTTTCGCAGCTAAGAGATGAAGAGGGCTTACGCTGTTCGGAGCAGCCACGCCGTATTCATATTGAGACGCATATGGCCTCCCTCTGGCTGGCAAGGAGCTCTCGAAGCGGCATACACCAAGTACCTGCCCGCAGCATAGGGGAAATGGCGTCAAGGACGGACGTCGTGCCAATTCTTTGCGCCTTTAGCCATAATTAAAGAGCTAGGAGGAAACTGCCCTTCCGCTGCCCCCGGGGGGTTTGTGCCTCGAACACCTCGACCGCCACCGGCGCATTTGGACATTTGCATTCCTTGATTGGCATTCAGCTCGTGGCTTGCCAAGGGTTTCTGATGGCGTCCAACACCAACATGAGTCCACCACTGGAACATACATATGGCGAGTCTTCTCTCTGTCCTGGAGGACTTGACGGAAATGAGTACTATCCAAGAGAAGTCGGCCTTGAGGTGTCACGTCTATCGCTGGGGTCACCCTCTTGACCCAGACAGTCCAAGATGCGCTCAACAGGCAATCTGGATGCATATGCAGCAGCAGCCCTGATATTTTCGGTCCTGCCCACACAAGGCAAGACACATCTCTACCAGGAAGTTACGGCGTTTGGCTGACCACGCCGCAGTAGCCAGCCAGTCATGCAAGACGACCTGCACCGCTCTTGTCATGAACGGCTATCGAGTCGAATGGATGCCCAAGAGTTTCAGCTCGACCATCGTGGCGGCCACGGTCGTCAAGATTGTCAACACCGACCAGGACACGACGAGACTGTCGAACATCTACAATGAGATCCCAGCGGGGTATACTGTGTCCACGAACACGAATACCCAGGGAATGCAGACCCTCCTGCTAACATACTACCGCACGGGCAAGACACTGACCAGTACCATGTGATGTACCTAACGATGACCCCCAGGCCAAAATATACCAATCTGCCGTCTGCTGACTAGGATGGTGTCGCTTTCCGCGCGCCAGTGCCTTCCCTACCCAGTTCAACGCCAACCCCGACGAGTACTTCTGGACGGGCGTGTTGCCGACGGTGGACGCAGCGGGCGTGTCTGTCTGCTCGACCGCTCCCACGTCCGGCCTCGGCACGACGGTGAGCGTGGATTACTGGTCCCAGGATTCGATGTTCACGACGCCCACGTACACGTGCGGCCCTGATCCCGGGGGACTTCTGTTCACGACGTCCCACGTGGAGCTGGAATCGCGATTCACGACGTACAAGACGGCGTTTCTGGACGAGGCTGCCTTATAGACCTGTGCGACGGGCCACCCTCCGTCACCGGCCAACGTGGAACTCACCGTCAGGTTCCTCACCGAAACGTCAGTCTGTTACGAAAGCGGCTCTTCTCCTAGCGCAGGACAGCAGACCAGGGCATCGCCAACACCGTCTGCAGGATCAAATTCGAGTGCCCAGGTGTTATCAGAAGATTTGGTTCGTCCTCCTCTTCTCCAACTGCCAAAGCAATACCCGATTCTCAGTCACCCACCTCGACCTCGCGCAGTCCGACCTCGACTCCTTCAGGCCCAACCACAATGACTCCAGCCAACGCTAGCGAGACAACTCTAGTCGACACACCGTCCGCACCTGTGCAAGCGAATAATTCGACGACTGCAAGACCGATATCCACGTTCTGGCCATGGTCGGTCTCTTTGTTGGCACCTCTCCTTGGCCTCCTTATCAACGGAGTCACGTCGACGAATGAGCAAGCAAGCGAGTAAGTCTGAAAAGCACCAGCGCGACACCACGGAGCGGATCCAGACCGCACGCATCGCCATCTGTGTAATGTGGACGTTGGGAACCATGCCTTATGTCGCACCTCTCCTTGGCATTGTCAAGACACACCATAGTCCGGAGTACGGAGTACGTATGTGGTTTGGTTGTAAACAATCAGTCGGACAAATACTGTATAAAAGGACCATAAACCTGTACGGGTTCGTTGAGGCAGCGTTGTACAGCTCTCTTAAGGATAGGCAAGGGCAGCTTCGGTATTGGACAGGCACACCTTAGTCCTGAGTACGGAGGACGGAGTACGGAGTATGTGCTTCGCTCATGGGGAATCAGCCAGCCAGACGGATACTGTAATAAAGGAACCATTACCTTACACGGATGCTTTGAGACAGCGTCGTACACTATGAGAACAGGGAACAGGCGGTTCCAGTTACTCGAGGCTGGGCTTATGTTGATTGACTGAGTGCCCGGTTGGAAGTAGATGGGGAGGAAGTTGTCTGTACACATGAGGTCCCTGACTAGGAGCAGAAGCCGTCTGTCCAACGGAACGCACAGTGAGCATAGTGGGCAGAGTCAGATACCAAAGCGAGCATTTCAAGTGGCAGTTGCGTGGCGTGTCGCAAGGTGTTTATTCCATTTGATTTGCACTTGTCGTCTGTATCCCACGGTGTTGACGCACTCTACCGATCGCTTTTCGTTCACTTATTCTCTCCCATTTCTCACTCTTCATCCACCAGAGGCCCACAACCCCCGGACTGCATTGCCCTGCCCTGTGTGTTCCGTTGTCCGGAAGCCGTGAGTGGTATTGTGCGCGATGTTACCCGCCAGTCTTTTCATTTTTTTTCTCTTGATCTTGGCTCCTTTCCTTTGTCCTCCCGGAGCTGTTCGGCGAACAACAAGCGTGCCTATACTGTGCCGTCTGTACAGTCAGTGAAGATTTATCGTCCAGTCCACCTTTTCTGTTGGACTCCATCGGGCTGAGGTCCTGTCCGTTGCAGCCTGCCTCCAACAATTCTTTGTCGATCTTAGGGTTATCCTTCGCCATTGCTCCCACGAGTGAGTCGCACGTATGAGATCTGCCTAAGTCTTCTCTTATCGATAGGGTGGCATGCCACCGTTGCCCGCGCCACCTCTCAGTCCCAATCCACGACCTCCTACTTCACCATACATTTCCATAAAAGCGCGTTGTTGCGGTCCCGGGTCACCCCCAAACCTGGCGGCCGGATGGTTTGCCATTCCACCAGGAAAGCCGAGCGGTGGACCGGCGTTCATGAACCCGGGAGGCGGATACATCCCTGGGGGCAGGTTTGGAGGAGGCATGGCTGACTCTGAGGTATATTTGCGTTGGGGTTGTTGTGGCCGCTGTTGTTGGACTTGTTGTATAGGGATCTGCTGCGGTTGTCCATAAGGCGCACCTGACATGCTACGGGGAATGTTAGCCAGGCCTGGAGGGAGCGATGGCTGGCGAGGTGGTTGCTGTTGGGCTTGCGCCTGCTGAGCAACCCAGTTCGGGTTCTGCCGTGGTACCTGGTCCAACCCAGGAGGTCGGTGGAGACCAGGTGGATAACCCTGCGCAGTTTGTTGTGGGGTTTGCGCCGGTCTCTGCTGGGATTGCTGGCCTCGAAGGAATGAAATCAGAAGATCTTCCTGCGAAGGTTGACCACCGTTGGTAGGCCGTCTTGTGCCCGGCTCTCTTGTAGCCTGGTCGCTCGAGTACATGGACACGGGCGATTCATCAAACATCGACGCTCGAGTGGCTGCTCTGAAGGCATTTTGTTCCGCTTGAATGGGAGAAATGGCAGCTCCACGGGAAGCGATAGGTCGATTGCCTGCATCATTCGCTGATGCAAACATATGGCCACTTCCCGCAGGAGGTGGTGGTTGCGGTTTTGGTGCCAAACTCGCTTGGCGGAGCAGGCTCAAGAGAACTTCATCCTTGTTGATGCTCGATTGTTGCCGTGTGTGGATGGGTTGTGAGACAGGTGGTTTGGTATCAATCGATCGATGTTGCGGTGCAGAGGGTTGGTCCTGATCTAGCCGCTTTTGTTGTGCCGCTTCGTTCTCACCAGCCAGAAGCGCGATCAGATCGAGCTGAGGAGGCCCCGATTCGGGTTCGGCTTTCTGTTCAGGAGCTCTAGCATAGAGTGACGTTCTCGGTTTCGGTGCCTCTTGGCTCTGGGGGGTGGGATTGTTGCTACGAGTCTGTAGCATTTCCAGAATGCGCGCAAATCCGGCCTGGTCAGCATCAGTGGCAGGACCAGCTGCTTCAGCAGACGAAGGTCTTTCTGTAAATGGGAGCTGTGGCTGCGAAGGAAATTCGACCTGCTTGTTTTGCTCGGCTGCAGGACTGAACAGCGAGGCGAATTTGCTCTTGCCATGCGGCTTAACGGTCGCGGCCTTCTGCTCAGTAGCTTTGGACTCGAACCTAGCTAAGAACTTGTCCATCGAGTCGTCTGGTTCGGCCGAGACAACTCGTCTGGCTAAAGGTTTCTCCTCGGGTGGCGGACTGGCGACAGCGGTCTCGAGCGGTGCTGCTCCCCCAGCTTTCATGCGCTCTTTCCACCGTTGGAAGTCTTCTTGGGTACGGGCTTGGAACGGTTCCTCGGGTTCGGCCGAGTCCATCCATTCAGGCTCCGCCTCGGCTTTGGCATTGCGGTCCCGATCCCAATCACGGTCTCTGCCTCGATCCCGACGCCAGTCTGGGGCCTTGTCCTCCTCAGCGTCACCAGTGTCCTTTCTGAACCACGACTGCGACAGCTTAGCCCTCGATAGTGTATCTCGTCTTGGGCCACGCGATGGTTCTTCCAGAGCTTGATCGTTGTCTGGGTCAGGATCACCCCGATCTCTTCCTGCCCACTTTGGCCTACGGTCGTAGTCACGACGGCCTTCAGGCTCCGGATCTTCACTCTGTTGGCGATTGGTGTAGCGCCCATTTGTCTGAGTATGTCTTCGCTCGTGATGTCGCTCTAGCTCTTCGCCAGTCTTCGTCCTGTCCCCCAAAGTAGTGCGATCTTTCTCGTCTGGCGCATCCTGTGCTCTGCCGAGGGCGCGCGCATTGGAAGAAGCGAAGGAGCGGCGAGGTGGGCCAAGTACGATGCGATCGGGGTCTGCAAGTGTTTCTGTTAGCAGTTATAGCGATGGCCATGTATCTGGTTGATGTACCGGTAGTTGTTCGTCGTTGGGAGTCGAGGAGTGTGGGCCTCTTTTGGAAGGTTTCAGTCTGTATAAGCGGTTCATCTTTGCTCGTGCGTGGAGCAGGTCTCCTGCCGCTCGGTTCTGGCGGTCTGGCCGAGTGTCAGTTATCATACTCTTGCTTGGTCCATGGCTGGTCTGGTGCTTCATACCCCATCCATTCTTCGATCGCTGGCAGATTTGGGGGTTTACATATTAGTGGCGACGCTCGTAGCTTCAACAGGTCTTCGACCGAATATATTCCAGACATGTTTTCGTGGGTGCTGTACAGGGCGTTTCGTGCATCGGTTAGTGAGGGGTGGCGGGTACCCGTATGGTCAACGGTTATTGCTGAAGGCAAATGATGTGCCTCGAATGCGTGCCTCAAACGGGCAGACTGAGTAGAGATTCGCAACTATAGCGGCTGGTGGTGCTCCAAGGGAATCGGAAACGGAGCTGAGAATCGGCGTAGCCCGTCGCTTGGGGATGTGGTCTCATGCGAGGGAAATCAGCAGTGGGAAGTGGTGAGGAGGTCGAGTCGAGGATGTTAGTGCGCAAGCGGTGACAAAGAGATCGGAGGCCGGTTGATTGAGAGTGTTCTGTTCCACAATAGCTTTGTTCGTGTCCAGGCCAAAGAGTTTCTTCCAGCTTGAGTCCTGTTATGTGACGTCGAAATCGTGTTTGGTCACTGGCCGAAAATGTAAATCGGCGGGAGGCATCGAAGGAGGAGTAGCTACGGTGGATCGCGGGTCCACCAAAGGCACCTGTTCGGCTAAGCGCAGGCACGATACAACGTAGTTGCCTGGCGAGCTGGACCTCCAACTTGGCGTAAGCATGAGGGAACAGCAGCATCTCCCTTCATTACATTAGAACTCGTGACGACCCTGACAATGAACTGGGGTACAACTAGTTGGGTGGTGAATACTTTGGATCATGAGTTCCATCCGAATGCGGGAATCATCACTTCGTATATGAGCCTATCAACGCCTTTGCCAGTTTGATACCTCATATCGACTTTCCACTTCTCCGTCTGTGCTATTCCCTTGCAGATTATGACCATAACACCACCGTGCACTGCACTGAGTCGCACGCTCGGGGCCCTGCCCACACCGTCGAGGTATTTCCCAAGATGCCAGTCGCATGGCAACGCATGGCAGCGCATCTCAGCATCGGCCGCCTATGAGCTTGTCGAAGACGAATATGGTGCTGTTCTAAAGCGCCAAAGTGAGTAGGTAGGTCAGCAGCGGTTCCTGATTGAACATGAGAGAAGATAAGTACTCACGTTGTCAATCGCAACATCCCTCAAAGCTGCAATGGCGGTCAAGTCAGCCTTTTGGTTGGACCAACAATACCACGACCAGCACTCACTCAGATTGGGTTTCAACTCCTTACTCCCAAAGATCAGCCCGGTGTTAGCCTGACTGACCTTGGCTTCTTTTTTCAGCTTGTCATACAGCTCTTGAACGGTGCTGGTGGTGGTAAGGCCGTGGAGATTGATCGTTCGGTGGTCGAGTTTGACGAAGACATTATCCAGTGCTTTACCGGTGGGAGGGCCGGGGTATGGTGGGAGGTCGGCCTGACCAGGTTTGGGAGTAGAATTGGTCTGAGCCCGACGACTGGTGCCGTGGAAGTGGTCGATTCGGGTTACGATTGCGCCCTGCATTAATGCACCATATGTCAGTCTAGTGTCATGGGCGTGGGATCGGAGCCCGCCAAGATGGAGGTTTTTTGCCTTGTCGAGGGGTCCTGGAGGCACGTACCTCTTTGATGCCGTAATCGGCGAGAGTACGTTCTGTCTCTGGGTCAAATACAGGATCTGAGCGGACTATCACAGCAACACACCCTTGTCCTCCATCTTCTCGCTGAAAACGAACAGGTCAAGGTCTTCAGGATTGACGTATCTCTTCTCAGCCCGGCCAAGCTCAACTGCCACTCGACTCTTGAAATTCTCGAACCTTTGCGCACGAGGAACATCTTTGATTTCGAGCTCTTGGGACTGATCTTGCGTAACGATCCTGATTGAATCGAATGTGGCCGCCATCTTGTTCTTCCTGAGGAGTTATTGTACTCGGGCGTTTGAACGGTCTCTGCCAATGTCAAATACACTGGGTGAATAACAGCAGACCGGCACCAACGGCAGAGCCTGGTTAGGATCTGGACAGGATGGGTGCGGCGGCTCAGAGGGTAAGGCAGGCCCTTATGTGACTCGAGGTATTCATGTAAGACACTTCGCAAACACCAAACCAATGAATGTCAGCCTCATGCCCGAAGGCGTCACATTTTAGAGCTTGCCTTAGCTTTCGGCGAGGCAGTGAAAAGCGTCGGACTTTGGTTGAGTATCGTCCTTTTGTAAGGCTGCCACTATTTTTTCGGGCAACGGAGCCAAGACTGGGTATTGCATTTGAGGCTGTGAGGCGCACTGCCGGACAGGGTGTCAGGCGCTTCTTGAACACCTTGGAACCTCGATCAGGCTGAAGGCGTTGATCTTTCCTGTCGAAGTACACCTCGCCGAAAGCGATTACTGACTCTCAACAGCCTCGTTGTTGCTATGGCGGACAGCGACGATGCCGATGACTGGAAGGTCTACTGGAAGATCAATCTGCTTTTCCATACTTCATTTCTTGCCAAGGGGAAATTCAAATGCATGTGGTGCGACAAGGAAGAGGTCTCGACTTCATTAATGCGCTCAGATTTTGCATTGTCAGCTGTGACATGCTCTGCAGGACATGTTGCAAACTTCGATCCGGACAACATGCTTGGCGTTTGCTACCATTGCGATGCGGAATTGGTACAGACGATAACAGAACGGAGACAACAATGCTTCGAGAAGGGCTGCCAACGGTCCGCATTGGTTCAGAAGGACAGGGTGATCCGGAGGTTGGGAAAGACGGCTATCGTTGAGAGGTGAGGGCCGCCCTAAAGGTCGAGAAGGCGAAAGCACTGAGTGGCTTGGAAGATACCTCGCCTTGGTCGATAAGCATCGCGTCCTTGAATGCAAGGTGTGTTATTGCGAGCAGATCACGCCAGAGCAGTATTCGGAGCTCCAAACAACGGACAAATGTCAGCATGATCCAGTCCAGTGTCGCGACTGCCTCAGGAGAGATCTCGAGGGACGCATCAACGCAGGGGACTGGCGGTCGATCAAATGTCCGCATCAGGGTTGCAACGAAGTGCTGACCCCTAGGGATGTCGACAAGTTTGTCTCTCCAGAGATCTTCAGGGCGTAAGTGTCTCACTCCTCCAGCAACGTCCGCGACAGATTTTCATCAAGGCGGTATAGGTACATCAAAGAGAAGACGTTCGAAGCTCTATCCCATAACCCAAAGTATCGGGTCTGCCATGATAGTTCGTGCGGCAACGGGCAGATAGTCGACGTCCGAGGTGAGTATCGCCTACTTGAGCCAGTGGCTGTGGAGGACACGGTTGCTAATGTGGTAGGTAGACTCTGATCCTTTCTGGGCGTGCTCTCGCTGTAGGAAATTGAGCTGCTTTCTGTGTAAGGAGATTGGTCACCGTGGAGAGACCTGCGAACAGAGTCGCAAGCTCAATCCTCAACGCGACCAAGTGGAAGCTGCGAGACGGAAGAAGTGTAAGCGATGTCCAAAGAAGGACTGTCGCCGGTTCATCCACAAGATCAAAGGCTGCGCGCATATGACGTGTGTTAAGTGTCTGTCCAAGCTATTCTCCAAGCCCTTTCGCATGCTGGATCACTGTTTGCTGACTTCTGTACCAAGCTGGAACGATCGGGTGTGGAACCAAGTTTTGCTGGAAGTGCAAGGTGATTTTTCCGCTCAAGAACGGGAGGTACGAGTACAGGCACATACCCGGCTGTCAGATGGTGGGTAAAAGGTTTGAGGCGAAAGGAGCCATTGCGACGGCGCCACGTCCTCAGAAGGGAGATCCATTGTATGAAGAAGGATGGAACGAGGATCCTGGTTATGAATCAGGTGATTCTGGCACCGAGTCTTGGATATGAGGAAGAATCACACTGCGCTGGGAGTGTAAGGAAAGAAATACATATGGCCTGCTTATGTTGCACTTTCAGCGAAGTCTTCGAAAGCAAGGCGCGAATGTTGTGTATTTAACCAGGAGGCCGCCACAGAACGCTTTAAGTGCACTAAGCCAGGTTTCAACAGCGTTTTGCATGAAGGTTGAACCACTTCAGCGCCAGGATGGACCCTGGGTCCTTGTACTCGATGTGGCCTCATTGCCACTTGTCTCTTCGTCTCTGGGTCCCTTCTGATAAGAAGGTAGCAGCAAGTCTCTGGCGGTGGAAGTTAATAAGGTGCGAGTCGATCTCGTAATGTAACGGAAGCGGCACTCACCGAAAAACTGAGCTGAGCGGGCCCATTGTCGTACCTTCCAGCACACAGAAATAAGCCCTCCAGCCATGATCGACCAGGGCGCTCGCAAAGGCGATCGCGGCAATGCCGCCTGTTGCGGCGAGGCTGAGGCAGAAAACCTGTTGGTCCACCTGAGCAATACCAGCCCATATCAGAAAGCCGGCTATCATCCGCATCATGTTGAAAATGATGCTCCAACCTGTCCATAGGCGGAGTGGTGTGCCGCCGATTGGAGTGTTGTCAGGAGGTCTATGGCGCAGCATCCCAATCTTGAGGAGTGCGACGACCGCAAGAGCGACGAAGAAGGACAGAATCCAGAAGGCGAAGCCCAGGTTGGCTCCATCGCGGATATGCTTCACCCCGGGCTGAAGGATATCAGCTCCTCTGACGCCTTTACGAATATCGTCGTAGATGCCAATCGTAAACATGCCGAACACTCCTTCCACACATTGCATCTCCAAAGCGCTCTCGAGGTAGAGCGTAGGACACATGTACGCCATGAACAGCACAAATGTTGCCGGCAGAGGTCTGATCAACCATACCCAATAAAGATCCGAGAACGAGTTATCTGGATTACTGTCGGCCAGAAGTTGGGCCTGCGCGATAGCGAAGACAACGGCCTGGAAGAAAAAGCTGCCAAATAAGGACACAAAGAGGTAGAATCTGTTGACATATCCAGCGTGCTCTTCCGGCTGGTTCTTGATGCGAGATAATCTCCGTCGGAAGATGCTTGAGCCGCAGATGAGGCTGCATACCGCTGGCGGTACCCAAAGCGAAAGCAGCAGGAGTGAAACGGTCGTCGATGTCTTGCACACCCCTGATGCTTGATGCACCTGAAATCGCGATGTGATTCCACGCACTTCGTTCGAAGCCATGGTGTGTGAAATAGTACGTCGACAGGCTCTCAGGTCTGTCCGGAGTGATGGCTAGAAGACATTCGAGGTTCGCAAAGGGTGTCATGAGGCTGGAAGCGCCCACCCAGTCTGCCTTGCAGCCTTTCACGGTTCATGATCGGGCAAAGCCTCCTCCACCAAAAGCCATGCCTTGGCAAGGTTTCCGGTTCTGGACGCCGTCGACGCCCGGTCTGCGAGCAAGTCGAAGGAAGTCCGTAACCGCGTGTAACGGACTTGTGAACTGGGCTGAAATCTAAATATACCCAAGAACCTTGCATGTGGCTTACTGGAGCCGCCTTTCTCGACAGGTTCTTGCCTGACCGAGTCTTCGAGTGTCTTGGAAGCTGCTCAGCCTGATGTGTTGTCGTTCTCAACTTCTTCACCCAAAGAATTGAAGGGTGCTTGACTTTGCTAATTGGCATCGCTACCGGCCGCGAGAATGGCTCTAGCACACCAACCTACGCACGAGTTCCAACGGAGGTGGTCGAACGCAGATGGGGAAAAGGTCGGGCTGTGGATATCTCTTGGAATCATCATCACCATCATCATCTTTACAGTCCTCCTAGGATCCCTGAACATTTACCTGGGTAGACCGATCTCCAAGCTTCGTGAACTCGAAGATGAGCAAGCCACACGAGACAACAGAGCGGAAATGCAGGCGCGCGAGCTCGAGGATGTGCGCAGCCAGCTTGCGCGAAAGTTCGAAGAGTGCGAAGCAGCTCTCCGAAACAAAGAGGGTGCCGATCGGAATTTTGACACACAGCGACAACTTGTTCTCCAGCAAAACAACAGAATAGCAAACTTAATCCGCGAAAGAGACGAAAAAGCTGACGAACTCCGTCGGCGAACGACCGAGCTTGATGAGTGTCGCCTGTTTGGCACGGAAAGGGCAACGGAAACCACCAACCTCAGAAACACTTTGCGCGACGTAGAGGCCGACAGGACCCGGCTGGACAGGGATTGTGACAGGCTTAAAATGCAGCTAAGTTTTGCGACCGAACAGCTTGCAAGACATCGCCGCCGTTGCAATCTGGATGAGGAGTGAGGCAGAAAGACTCAAGGCATTGAGCTGTTGTCGACGGACGCTAGGATGCCAGCCAGAACGTATTCTCGTCATATCAGTCATTTGGTGTCATGGAAAACCATGGAAGCATATGCACATAGATCCGCGGTGATGAAAAGCTCAGATCACGGTCCTGCGTCCTTATCGTACAAGCTGTTCACTTTCTTCGGTGTATTTTGGTCGTACCTGCCGGGCGACCGACTTCTGTAACCGCATTTCTCGTCAGAAGGTCATGAGTTGACGTGATCATCAACCCAACATCTCCACATCAAGACCGATAGCCCTCATAAACAAGTTGACGTTACCGAGCCGGGCACCCGCCATCTCCGGAGGTAATGCCTTGCTCTGAAGGACTGTTTCCATGACTCTGTCCTTCACCCCAATGACCAGCCTCTGTTGTTGCTCAGGGCTAGCACATATGCCAATGGCTGCCAAGAATTGCCACACATACATGTCGTCTCCAGAATTGACTGGCCCGGGGAACAGCGTAGCAAGAAGAGGCTCCAAAATATCGAAGAGCCGACTGTATAACATGGTCCACTGTTGCCAGTCCTCGTCAGTCACTGACCCAGCCTCTTTCACCAGCTCAGCGCGTGTCAACAACATCGTCATCATGCCGAGACCGATCTTGGTATGCGCAACAACCGAAATGTTTGTGCGATCGATGAGAAGTCCAAGCAGCCCAGTGATAATGTTAATTGGTGCTTCTGTGACGCAAGACAACAAGCACGGCATTACGGTTTGAGAGAAGAGCTCGATTTCCTCTCGGACCATCGGAGGAGGCTGTGATGCCCCAGGCGCCAAAATAGCGTCTTTCACAACGTCCAGCTGATCAAGATGGACCACAACCATTGTCAAAATGATAATTGGTTTGTCCTGGTCAATTTGATGGAACACACGAGGAATGGCCTTCTTCCCTTTAGCGAATGACAAGAACGCGATAAACGGGTGAGCAACAAGTGAGCCTGGGACGATAGGATCGAGCACCTTAAGACCTTGCCAAAGACTGTCAAGGAGTTCGCGCTGCTTCTGACGCCATTCAAGATGCGCTTGAATGGAATCACCATCGCCCTCGGTCGCTGGTGGTGGCGCCTGGCGTTCATGATCCTCAAGGCGCATAAGAGTCGTATAGACAGCTTCAATGTTTCTCAGGACGGTTTTGCGGTCGCTTGTGCTGACGCCTTCGCCTTTCTTTGCGCTGCCAGGGCGGTTATCGAAGCTTTCTGTTCTTTTGATATTGAGCAGAGGTTTGGGAGTCTTGGCATTGCTGAAGGAGATTTTCCCCAGACTGCCCTCGATAATCAGCTGCTTGTTCTTCGGCTTGAGCTTGGCCGCCTCTACGGCTCGTTGGACTTGCTGTTGCATCCTTTGCATGTGGTTGTCCCCATTGATCTGCTGTCTCCTGTTACCCATGCGAGTCCCAGTTTGAAACAGGTACGTCTGAGCAAAATGGCCGAGGGGTTGCGTCGGATGCTGTCGTGGAGCACCCCGGATTTGGCTATAGACCTGGTAATAGAAGTCCTCGTTAAGGGCAGCCTCAGGATTTGCATCGGTTGAGCTTCCAGTTGCTGCAACTAATTGCTGAAGTTGAATCCGAGTGATAAAGTTCTTGTCTTGCGGTGTCATCAAACCGTTGCCTCGGGACAGCAGGAAGATCTTGTGGTTTCTCTTAGCTCGTCTAGCATCTTCTTCGAGATAGGCACGACGCTGCTCTTCGGATAATTCCATAAGCTGCTGAGGGTGCGTGATGACAGGTAATGCTCCAGGTCCTTGGGTTACGGGTGGTTGCACTGGTTGCGCTCGTTCGAGACTTGGCTGCGGAGAATGCCGAGCTCTATTTGGATTCTGGAGAATCTGCAGAGGTTGGTGAGGGCCACGGGGAGCTGAAGGCATGCGATTGTGAGCTCCAGCTGCAGGCCCGGGTGGCTGTGGTTGCTGATGGGCTGTCATACTAAGGGGTGGGCCCGTCTGCTGGAATTGCTGAGGGGGTTGCTGCTGGAAATGTTGGGCTGGGAACGGAGATGACTGCGCCTGAGGAAACGGCGCTGGTGGCTGTTGTGCCTGAGATTGAGCAAGCATAAGAGCTTCGACTTCTTCCAATGTCATCATGGCCGGAGCCTGGGACACTGGAGCCGGCACGGCGGTGGAAGCGGGCACAGGAGCAGGGACCGAAGCCGGCACGGCAGGTCGACCCGTGCTGATGCGGTTGTCGGACCTTGGAGCAGCAGCAGGGGGAGCTCGTGAACCCCATGCGCTGGACTTTGCCTGAATGTCTGGAATGTAGCCCGGATCCTGATACTTCTCGTAGCCGGTCTTTTTGGGCCTCGACGGCTGGGGCTGGGCGGGACCAGCATGCTGGGACGGGTGTTGCAAGTTGTAGCGCATGTGCTCTTCGTTGATGGCATTTGAGACTTGGGCGGTATTTCCAAAAAAGTCAAAGTCTTTGCCCACATTGCCCTCAGCGACACCGCCCTCGGCACCACCACCGAAAGTGTCGTCGTTCAAGTCGTCGCCTGCTTCCTCAAGTTTGTCACCCAGGCCATCGTAGGTATCTTCAAAGTCGAGGCTAGCGAAGGAAGTCAGAAAGCGCATAAGCATGTGGACGCAGTAAAAGAATCACATACACATCTTCGTCATTATCTCGGAAGGCTTGTAGCTTCCGGGCCTTTGCGACTTCGTTAAAGGGGTTTGTGTGCTCGAAAATGCCCCGACCTGACGACCCAGGCTTGTCCCTGGGAAGAGCTGTATCGAAGCCGAAGAAAGACATCGTGAAAGATGGGTATGTGGCAATATCTGATCTGTTCGAAATGAACTCGACTTCACCGCGGTTTCACCCCGCTACTGACCACCTCTTTGGTCGACCGGCAGGAGCTGCTTTGCATGATCCAACGAAAGACCAACCAGCGTAGATGCTATGAGATGCCAGATAAAACGCGTTGCTCAGCTGAAGCAGACCAGCAAATGCGGGTTGTTCAAGTGAGCCGCAGGTGAATTGCGGGTAAAGTCGAAGATGCTCATTACTGAATCAGTGACGCAGGAATGTTTCGATGTGCGCGAGGTGCGCCCAGCTGCGATTGGTCAGGTGTCCCTCGTGCAGAAGAGGCCCGCCCAACCTGCCCTTTGCGTGCTCTCTGCGTGCCCGTGGTGCCCCCGGAGCCGAGCTCGCAAGCCACCCTTGCGAGATCCAGGGGCCTGAGGGGCCGTACGGAGGACTGTGCGCCTCTTTTAGAAAACACGTAGCACGCCTCAGCTGCGCCGCCTCCCGCACTCCGCGTCATGCTAGCTGAAAATGAAGTCCCTATTTCGTCCAGGTAGAAAAGTTTGGGCGACACAGATCGATTCAGCTTGCGCGTCGCCGTGTATCTCCCTCGTCACTCTTTTCCCACCACCCGATCCCAATGTTTTCTTAAGGGGTTCTGCATTCGACACCTTTGTCTGCAAGAAGGATTTCTTTGTTTCCACGCCTATTGTCTACTTGTCATTTGCCGTCAGCCTCGCACGAGCTGATTCCACAACCGACTTCTGGCCGCATGTGTTGATCGCACGGCCTCCGGACAGGCGCACCTGCTACCAATTGTTATCGATTGTCCTTGACTTCAGTCTCTCATCCTCCGAGAATCGCGATATTGTTCTCTCCGCATCCCGCGTTCCCAAACATTTCCTCCCTAATATCGATATCCCCCACCCAACAAGATGGCGACCGGCTCCGGGAGATATCTGCGTTATATACTGTTTGCGGTGTTTGTGAGTTACACAACAACGGCCGAGTCCAGGTCTGAGACGTCGCATACTGATCTGACATGAACAGGGGATTGCAATTCTATACTTTATTTCCACCTCGTCACTCCCCGAATCAGCCGGCTCCCTGACCCAGGGCACGACTTTTGGCTGGGACCGGCCCGCGGAGTCAAAATCGAGTCCTGAAGTGAAAGACTCAACCGAGCTCGTTCATCTTCCTCAGACATCGTCCGCTACCGAGGCGCAGCCGACCTCCGGAGCAACGACCCCGAACATCGTCCCTACCATCCCCTCGGAACTCTCCCCTCCCGCGCCTGGCGAACGCGTCAATGCGACTTTCATCACTTTGGCAAGGAACACCGATATCTGGGAAATAGCGCGCTCGATTAGACAAGTCGAAGATCGGTTCAACCGAAACTACAACTACGACTGGGTGTTCCTGAACGACAAGCCCTTTGACGAGACGTTCAAAAAGGTCACTTCGTCCCTCGTGTCTGGGAAGACGCATTATGGAGAAATCCCCGTTGAACACTGGTCCTTCCCGCCATGGATTGACCAGAAGAAAGCCGAGGCGGTGCGCGAGGACATGCGCCGAAGGAAGATCATCTATGGCGACTCGATCAGTTACCGACACATGTGCCGTTTCGAATCTGGGTTCTTCTTCCGGCATCCGCTGCTCCAACAATTCGAGTACTACTGGCGAGTTGAGCCCAGCGTCGAGTTGTTCTGCGACATCCACTACGACCCGTTCCGGTATATGAAGGAGAACAAGAAGAAGTACAGCTTCGTCCTCAGCTTGTACGAATACGTCGAGACTATCCCGACGCTGTGGGACAGCGCAAAGAAGTTTATTAAGGATCATCCTGAACACATCTCCCCTGACAATTCCATGGCATTCTTGAGCGACGACGGCGGTGACACGTACAACAAGTGCCATTTTGTAAGTGCCACACCGAATAAACACGGGCTGCAAAGTGCTAACACCGGCTGTAGTGGTCAAACTTTGAGATCGGCAACCTAGACTGGCTGCGCTCACAGGCCTACCTAGACTTCTTCGAGAGCCTCGACAAGGACGGCGGTTTCTTCTATGAACGCTGGGGCGACGCGCCTGTCCACTCAATTGCCGCTGGTCTCCTGCTCCGGAAAGACGAAATTCACTTCTTCAATGACATCGCATACTACCACGTCCCCTTCACGCACTGTCCAACGGGCGACGACGTCCGCCTCAAGCTCCGCTGCCACTGCAACCCCGCCGACAATTTTGATTGGAAAGGCTACAGCTGTACATCTCGCTTCTTCGACCTCAACAAGCTTAAGAAGCCTGCCGGGTGGGAAGCTCAAGTATAGCAATCAACCGCCCGCAAGGGCGGAAGTCAAGAAACAACCACAAACAACCAAAATGGCAAAAGCCAAGCCGGTGCGGGTGTTTCTCTGATGTGGGAGATGTTCAAATATGCGTGCATCACATTTAGCATTGGACTGGTCCTGACGATTATTCTGATGAGGATTCCGAGGACGCGGCGGAAGCTGCTTTCTTGGGCGGAGCGGATGGCAGAGTGGCATGAGAGCGGTACTCACGAACCTGAGGACGACCAGTGGTACAAGAAGACCGAGATTGCGCAGAACCGAGGATGATGAACATGCCACCTGATTCAAGATCAACAAGACGACGCCAGCTTGTATTAGCATCGCAGGGACGGCTTGAGTATCAACGAACAGCAACACCAGGAGAATCAAATTCCTGCGAATCTGTCTCTATCAGATGCTTGACGTCCCACAAAAAGACGCAAATCCTCTGCAACTGTACAAAACAACCGAGATCCATTCGAACGTCACGCTTCATGCCACAGGATACAGGGACATGATGTGATGCTTAGGACGCAAGGGGTGGGATATTCCTATTCAAAGACACTTCAAAGACACAATCTTTGCATGGCCGGCGTTGGGAGACCCCCTTGGGAACTGGAAAATGCCACTGGCCATTGAGCGATTGGCACACATCGAGCTGCTATGCTCCTGTAGGACTGGATGCTGCAATTGGCTCAATAGTGCAAGCGCCATCGAGCGCGATTAAGTACACAATCAGTGCCTAGGAATTACTGTAGCCTCCACCATGGAGCAACGAACACGTTGAACAGGAAATAAACTTGAGTGGGTTCCCGGAGCACGTGACATTTTGGTAGTTTTTGGTACTAGCATGCCCTATGCAGTACAAAATGTATGACATACGATAGTACAGTTCGTCCACAGGTATAAGAACGTGTCCGTGTTTTGAGTGGGCCACATTCGCATTGTGTCTCCCGCTAATCCTCTCTCGAGTCCTCTCAGCTTGATCCCTCGATTTGCAGGGGAAACCAGCACGGTACTCTTCTGTCAGGATGTTTGTGCCCCTGTTGCGAGTCGTGCCGTTGGGCCCCGCCGAGCTGAGCTTCACCGCCTGACTGTCACATGAGGGCGTTTGATGGCCGTGGCGACGCAACAACGGCATACCGCGTAGCTGTAGTCGTTGAGAACATCGCCGGAGCAGCAGCGTCGGCCGGTCTGGTTCCTCTTGACCTAAGCACAACTCAGGGCACGAACTCGCTCTCTCGCAACAACACCGCCGAACCGTTGTGGTTCCCCGTTTGCCTTTGCCCTTCTCAGTCGTGGCTTGCTTAGATCGCTATGCCAGGCGTCCACATCAACCGACTCGTGCTGTGGATATCCGCTGTGCGTGATCCCGGTTATGCTGTCTTCGGTTTCTTGGTCCCGTATTTCGATCGGCTTGTCATTCGCGTGGGAACACCGCCCTGTAGATTGCGACGCGGTGAAGTCAGTCAACGTCCTGTGCGTAGTTCCAAAAGCCATTCTAGAGAATTTGAGGAGTTTTCCATAGCTCGCTCCGCTCGAGCTTCAGCTTTGGTTGACCCCCGCGCCACAAATCAAGCAATCAAGCAGATATTTAGAATAGAACACATGGTAACGGTGGAACTTACGAGGTCAAAAGCCCCCCTGACCAAATGGTACCTCACACCGGGGCAATCCTGACTTCTCCCGCCCCTGACAAGCACAACACTATGCTGCTGTACATTATGTCCCTCTCCAGGGATATACGCGCTGACCACCCTGCCTGAGCTCAGCCGTACTTTTGCAGTCTTCCTCTGTCCGGAGTTAGGTTTCTTGGGCTTCGTGATGCCCACTTTGAGGCACACGCCTTTCATGGCCGGTCGGTTTGCTGCGCTGAGAGCGGGAGACACGGCGTGCCGGGCTTTCTTTGCGTGGCGGCCATTCGTGCGCGTGCGGAGTTGGTTGAGCGTTACAGAGAGTGGGGAGGTGGAGGAGAAGGAGCGAGTCAAGGACGAAGGCGAGGGAAGGCGGTGCTTCGCGATGTTTGCGGGTCGAGGTTTCGATGTCGAGATGCTGAGGCGGGAGAGTGCGCGAAGGGCGTGTAGCGCGGAGGGGGATGGTATAGGTGGCATCTCTGGATGACCTGCGTAAATAGCAGGCACGCGGAGGGAATAAAGTGGTGGAGTGTTGAGTACTCTGTAGTTCTAGTCTTTGCCTGGAACTATCAAGACGATAACTGAATTCAGACCGAGCTACGGAGTACGCACTCGACACTAGGCCCGATTTGGGAAGCGTCGCAGCCTTGTCTTCTTCTCTGGTCAAGACAGCCTCGTCGCTGTTACAGGCGTTTGACCATGCCTTGGTTACTGGGGCGTTTTCTGGATGGATGCCATTACACACGAGAATGCTGAAGTCGGCTTCGCACTGCTAGAGGCTACAAGCAGGCAGAGCGTCTATCCTTGCGGCCGGCAAGTATCGGAGACACGGCCGTTGGTCCTTAACAATGGAGACGATCCCAAACTGGACATTTCCGAGTTCATTCCGGCTGGAGCCAATCCATGTGCAGATGCGCTTCCTCTAGCCGAGAGGGGCTGTAATTACAGAGAGCCTGCACAAGAAGACCTCGCAGGCAAATGGACACTGCAGGGACGATCCCCGAAATACGGTCGTTGCGAAACGAAACAGCCTGCGAGCGTTAACGTCGGAGCGGCGACCATCTGTGTTTACAGCCAAATTCCCGGCGCTGGAAGGGATGGGCCTGGACTTGAAGGAGATCGAGCACGATTGAAAGGACAGACTCCTCATCCTTACTTGCAGCACTTCCGGTCAAATCATGGATTGTAGTACCACAGCTTGTGGGAGCTGGGTGAGAAGGGGGCCGCTGAGCCAGGTCTGAAGATCGAGTTGACCGCCACCCGTTGAACGAGTGAGTGGCCCTTTTAGACCGAATAAATTGGTGCCTCGGGCCACAGGTCTGTGAGATCTGTGTCACAGGTCGGGTTACATATCTTGTCATGAGCAAGAGTCGGCGTAAAGTCCACCACAGCTGTGTGCCATGGCTGGACTTAGATCGATGCTTCGGCGTGATCGAATTGGCGGTAGGACTAGCAAGCAACCTGGCTCTAGCTCCAGGCCGCGGAATTGAACACGAGCACTCGGCCACGATGATCCACTGAGGCGCTCACTGGTCGCCGATCAAGGAATTCCCAAAGATCATGCTAAACCCTTCAGAGGCTTCAACTACCTCACTTACAGTATTGTGAACCGGTGAGCGCCCAGGAGGCCTTCACTCTCCCTTCCCCAGAACACGATCTAGCCCATGACGGTATGATTGACTGATTGATTGGTTGACAAAGTCGATTACCCTTGGCTAGCCACGACGGTACTCGGGGTCCAGCACAAGCTCTTCTGGAGGCGGGCGAGAAAGACAACCTCTCAGAGCAGACGGCGACTAGCTCCAACACACCGCGGTCGACGTCGGCGTCGACATCCACACCCTCAGCTTCCACCTAGACCTCGCTTCCCGGAAGTAGCAGAGGATCATGTCTAAGTCTATGTCGATATAGTCTACGTACGAACTCCACGAACAGGGTAGAGTACGTAAAAATCGCGGGCGTGCGTGCTGGACCGGATGCTGCGACTCTTCGGTCTTCGCTACTCGCCCCTACAGAGGGAGTCCTCCCTTTCCTTTTCCTATTGTTCATTCCTTCTCCCTCCCCTCCTCCTCCACCAGACGGCCCATCTTCCTCAAATCCTTCCAATACCACACTTCATCCACCAATCTCCCATCCAGGGGACTGTACCCGTACCCCCTTACCACGCCGAGCCTCTCATACCCGAGTCTCGGATATACGTCTTCGGCAGCGGACCCGACCTCCGTGTCGAGCATGAGATTCCACCGTCCGTGGTCCAGCGCCACGGTCTCCAACCGAGCCATCAGCGCCCGCGCAATGCCCTGCCGACGGTGCATGGGGTGGACAAACAGCTTTTGGACTTCCGCGCGAAACGGGCCCGTCTGGGAGAACGGCGTGGCGAGGGAGACGACGCCGGAGATTTCGACCGATGCCGCTTGGGGAACCCCGTGCCCATCCGCGGGCACGCGAATGACAGGCCAGCCCCTGCCCTCGGCAGCCCACGGTGCTGCGAGACCAAGATTTGTCGTCCGCTCGGACACATTGGACACGGACACTATGATATGCCGTTCGTTGGCGGAGACTTCGCCGAGCCGCTTCTCCCACCATTGGTAGAGCTGCGAGTGTGATAGCGGGGGAAGGAACGCGGCGAGCGTGTGGTCGTGTAGGATGCACGCGACGTGGAGGTGGATTATGCCGTCGATGATGAATGGGATGGGGTCAGAGGAGGCGTTGTCGCAAGTGGCGGTGGTGACGAGGTGGATGCCCGGTGTCAGCTCGAGGGCGAGAGTCGATGAGGAGGCCATCTTGTCCAAGTCCAAGCGGAAGCTACCGCGGGAGGGACAAAGGATGCTTATCAGCGGGTCGGATCTTGTTGAGTATCTCTGAGGTTATCAAATATTATTTAGTTTGATGATACCGTAATTACCGTGCTGGAAATGTCGAAGTCGCTTCAAATGTTCCGTATGCGATGGGATCTCTATGTGCGGGATTCGGATATACGCTTCGCTCCCTGCCTTGTAGGCTGTACCTGTAGCTGCTCTCCCTATAGCTGTTCCGCACGGATTATTTCGGGTCCTCCTGTGTTGGGAATGACTGGGATCTCTTCGTACCAGATCCGGAAACACGGCTCGCTCCCTTCCTGTAGGCTGTAGCTGTACATATAGCTTCCCTTCTAATATTTGCATCGCACGGCGTATGTCGTGTCGTGCCGCCCTGTGTGTGTGCGAGATGTACAGTGGCGCACCTAAGTACTTACCAACCGAATGTACCGCGCAGAAGTTCTCAATTGCATGCATGCATCACGTCAGAGGGCGCGCCTTGTGGTTTGGGAAATCATTGCCGCGACGCAACAAACGTGTATCTGCCTAGGTACACAAATCGATGTTACCTGTGGAGTCAAGGCAGAGTGAGTAGGATGAGTGGTCGATGCGTATTCCGTACAATGAACGGGATCAAATGAGGATAGTATCACCATGGTCAGGCAGTACGAGTATTCAGGCACCGTCAGGCACCAGGGATGCAAAAATCGTCCTCTGTGCGTGTATGTACGTAGCGTGAGGTACGCCCATATGTACACAACGTCTATACGGAGTAGTGAGACTGGACGATGTCGAGTCGTGAGGTCGCATCCGATATGTGCGCGACGACACTACATGCGTGCTAATGGCAGGTCAGAATGGTCTTCACGTACGTGAGTTGGGAGGTAATGTATTAAATGCACTACAGTATGTGGTAGATCCCATGGAGGTCAAAGAGCAAAGACGCGAAAGCCACTCCAGTACGGTACTGTATCGGCATCACTATTTCCTGGTGTTTCTTACCAATGGGCACAAGATGATTCGGCTCTCTCTTTCAGCTCACACCCCTACATAGAGTCATCGACCGGGCCAGGAAAGACAGAAACAGGTACTCAAAAGGCAATAATACCGGGCAGATGGGGCACCGTGATCATTGAGATGGCTCCCAGAGAAGGATACATCGCTTTGGATTGAGATCGAGTCACAATAGTCGGCTGTCAAGGAAAGGATCGCACGATGCCCCAGGGAAATGTGTCTGAAGTGACAGTGAGCGCGCGTCGATCTTGCACCGATGAATAAGGAAGGGGGATTGCGGCTTCTACTCGATTTGAAAAGAACCCTTGGCCCGGGCACATGGGCATCGTGAAATTCTTCGTATCTTTCGTAGTGATCCCCATCGTGGCAAAGTGGACGTAGGGAAGGGTGAAGTCACCGTCATCCACCAAATTGGGTACCACGCCGCACCACCTCTTGCGTCTACTTGTAGCCAGTTAGGAGGCTGTACTCACTCGTAGCGATGACCGAGTGTGGCAGTGTCAACCCTGCATCTCCAGTCCTCCAGTAACATGAATGGTCTCCCCCGTGCAATAGCTCCCCAGAGGTGACGCTAGGTGCACATACGCTGTAGCCACCTCGACAGGCATGCCGGGCCGTTGCAAGGGGGCTTGTGCGACACCCAGGGCGCTCATCGCCTCGGACGGGTTGCCTTTCGTCGCAGGCTGAAGGGGGGTCCAGCTAAGGGTCATGATCAGCCACGAACTCGTCGACACGAGAGCCGGAAGGTAGGGATGAAGTCGGCAAACTTACATGATACCGGGCGCAACAGAATTGACCCTGATTCCTTTAGGCGCCAACTGCTGGGCCAGGCCCCTTGTAAATGTGACGATCGAGCCCTTTGTCGAGGCATAGTCCAGTAGCGTGGGATTGCTCATATATGCCGCGACGGAGCTGGAATTCAGAATGGACGACCCCCGTTTCATGTGCGGCACGGCGTACTTGGCCATGGCAAACATGGCGAGGATATTGGTGCGGAAGGTCTTCTCGGTGACGGCCAGGTCGATATTGCTGATGTCTTCGCACATCTCCTGCATGGCGGCATTGTTGACCAGCACCGAGAGCTTGCCAAACTTGGACATGTGAGCGTCGATGATCTTCTTGCAGTTTTCTTCCTTGGTGACGTCGAGAGCGAGAGGCTGCGCTTGACGGCCGGCTTTCTCGATCGCGGCTTTCGTCCATTGCGCGTCTTCTTCTTCCTCTGGCAGGTAGACGAATGTCACGTCGGCGCCCTCACGTGCCATCAGGACGGCGACTGCCCTGCCTATGCCGCTGTCTCCGCCGGTGATGATGACTGCTTTATCCTTGAGCAGTCCCCGGCCTTCGTACTCCTTCAGGTACGGAGCCTTGCCTTCGTCGTCCCAATACTCAAGCTGTGTCCAGTTGGCGCTCGGGGTCATCTTTGAATCGAGCCCCTTGCCGCCTTCTTGATTTTGGGGCTCCAGCTCTGAGGCTGGGTAAGCCGTGGGAGGGGCTTGCGGCTTGTCCGACATCTTGTTGTTGGGTGCTGTATCAGTCTTTTAGTTTACAAAAGGATATGATGGGAGACTAAGCGGCGATCCCGATACTTATCCTCGTCGGCTGTACTTTGAAAATGACATCAAGATGATCGGGTCGTAAATGCCGTCATGCCTCGCATCCTGCGAATCATCTTTACCACAGTTCACTGTCCTCGCGCCTGGCCTGTTGCGGGCGCATTGAGCCCGGGAATGGGGTTGAAGCATTGCATAAGCTATCGTAGACGACGCCCTCAAGCTTTTGTGCCCATGTGGGCAGGAGATTCCAGAAGGAGAGCATGAACAGCAGTTCGATGGACGTCCCAATTTCTGTTCCTGTGGGGCGTCGCTACGAGGGTCTTTTCCGGAGCCAGGTGGAACAGCCTCCGTCAAGCGGGTTGCCTATCACAGCTATCGATGAAGCAAACGACTCAGAAAAACGAGTATAGCGTTGCATGCGACGGTTGTGGCTTCGTGATGACTCGGTGCTGTCATTTATAGATTCAATCTTCCTCGAGGAAAGCCTCGAGTAATTTGGTTGAATCATCGACTGGAACAATCGCGCCTCGACGCGTCTGGTTCGGCACGTTAATTGACTGGCTGGCTGCATCGATCTCGCTAATTGGCGCCGCGACCTGCCAATGGTGGCTTGATGTAAGGCTGGTGGTGTTGATACTCAAACTCGCAGACTCTAGTCTCCACAATGAGTCTGGCTATAGCATCCCAGATCATCGGATTCATATCCTTTGCCGTAACGCTGGCAACGTTATTGGGTATGTGAAGGACGTCGGGTGCACTGCTCATGCCGCACACTCTGACGCGGACGCAGGTGTCTATCGAGATCTCATATCGACGATGCGCACGGCAAATACAACTATTCCACTCATGCTAGGAAACCTTCGTCAGGAGCTCGAGGAAGAGCGGGCACTTCTTCGTTACCGCTGTCTTGAGGGCGATCGATACGACATCTTTCCTTCGCTGCGCAGACGGACCCGCAAACAAAAGGAAGTCTGCAAGCTTCTTCAGTCAACAGTCGACAAGCTATGGCAAGAATTCAGGAACCTGGAGCGTCCCTTCCTCATCAGAAATCCAGCTCGCGCAGAGGAGGTCCACAAGGGCGATTACTGGGGCGCCAGCGACCTCGACGAGAAGGCCCGTGGAAGGCCCGACAGGGTGAAAGACAGGTGGGACGATGCTGAAGCTGGACTGCCATCAGATCCCCAACAACGTTACTACCGGACAGATCTTGCGCATCGCTTTATTTGGTGAACTCCACTCCCAACACCAATGCCTTGACCTCAACTGACGCCTCCTAGGTGGCAATCTCAATCTGCTGTCGTCAATATGTTAGATCAAGTCCAGCGAATCCAGATCCGAAGAATTGAAAGGGACGTCTTTGAGACTGACGAGCTAGTAAAGCGCTGTTTGGACCGGCTCGAAGGCCGTGGCGGCGGAGGGAGGAATGGAAGCGAAAGCTCGAGCAGTGGTGGAAGTGGCGGTGGAGGCGTCAGAAGACGCAGTGTGAGGTCAAGGCCAGCAAGTGTAAGGACGTCCATGCGACGGGGAAGTGCAGGAAGGGGTAATTTCCGAGAGGTGGAAGAAAGAGAGGTCATCAGCAGACATCGAAATACCGAAGCTAGCCACACGATGAGACCGCGGGAGCGAAGTCCTCAGCCACGGTATGAGTATGAAGTAGTCCAGCCAGGAAGAATATTTGTGGACTTGGATAATGGCGAGCCCCAGCGGCGACCTCGGATTGGCCAGACGCAAAGTTACAGCCGAGACAGAGATAGAGTGCGATACTCTAGCACCGAAAGATGACCATACCGTGACAAAGAGGGCCTGGGAGGGACCGTAGTGCTTGGGACAATGTTCGCTTAGTCCGCAAGTTCACTCCTTCCTCCAAGCTCTATACTCCTCCTCGAGATGCGCCTTGAGCGCTGTGAAGTTGTTCGCGAAACCCTGCCCGCAGCGCCAACACTTGTAGTCCTTCTTCAAATTGGCATTTTGATAACCGGTCTGACGCCGAACATCCCCTTCAGCCAGCGGGAAGTCTGCAAGCGGGATGAAGAAGTCGGTGTTGAAGCTGTTGTAATGCTTCTGATGCTTGAGCCGATCCGAATACATGTCTCGACTGATGATATGAACGTGGAGATGATTCATAGACGGATGTGCGTGAATGCCCACCTTGAACTCTTTGGAGAAGTCCCGTCCCGTTGGCAGTTCAGTGGGAGGATCGTCGCTCTCCATCGCCGCTATGCGAGCTTTGCATGATTCTGAGTGAGGACCGATCAATCTTAAAAGCTCTGAAGCGGCCAACCGCAGGGCTTCAGCTGCCTCCTCTCGGACCATGGCTAGGAAGATCTCATCATCGAACGCGTCTCGAGGATTGATGTTCCATTTCGTTGAGTCCCGCGGCAGGAGAAGTAAGTGAACTGAAGCTTTTGGGAAGGCATCTCTGATGAGCACGGTATTCTGGTTGTGTTGGATGACGATGTCCGAGGAGAAGCTGGCAGGATTGAGGATATAGGGCAGAAGGCCATTTCGTGCATCTCTTGGATTGCTGTGTTGTGGTCGATGTTTCGTCTGCTTCGGTTTCGAAGACATGAGTTCGGAGAAAGCATTACGCTTCTTGTCGAGAGCTGGGGAGATCTGATCCTTGAAAGCCTCATCGTGCTGTTGACCTTCTACCGGGTCACGACTCGATGTCATCGCTGCAGTACTCTACGGCTGGGTCACTGGTGCAAGGGGAAAGTCACAGCTGGTTGTTTTGTCATCGGATAGAGGCAGTCACAGTCTACGTGACTTGAGGCACTTCACTCGGGTAAACTTCGATGAGCAGCAACCAGCAACACATGGTACCTGTCGGAGATCATGCGCTCTATGCGGACTATGATACGAGTTATTTGGCCGTGGGTTTGATGGACATTGCATTCGAGTGCTGGGCGAGGTGGCCTTGTGCCTGCGACAGATCCTCTCCCTGTCATGCCTTATCTGTATCTGGTGTGAAGCTTGCATCCCTCAGAATAGAACGCCATCCCTCCGTTCCCCAACCGGTAATAAAGAAGATAGTCTTTCGCTCTGCGGCGCAAGCCTCAAGAAATCTGGCATCTCTCAATGACTTTTGTGGTCACCCCAAGAACAATGCAAGCCAAAGCCGGTCCAGGTAAGTCCAGTTATGCTCCAGTAGCGACATGCACTCTCAACTCCATGCGGCCAAAGAGCTCCAGTAACACTGTGCCGGTATGTTATGTGGTGTGGAATCCCAAATTCCTCTCCTTTCCATTACATAACCACACACCGGCTGCAACAGCCTGCGCTCTCGTCTTGATTGTCCGTCTCCGGCTTCGAACCATGGCCGTAGGAGCCCAGGGGGGGCGCACCACCAGAGTGTCCCGACATCTCCCTGTTGTACCTTCGGATCTCCCTAACGAGATCGTAGAAAGCGTTGTCGACGTTTATTCGTGACTTCGCAGATGTCTCGATAAACTTGCACCCGAATTGTTGGGCCGCCTGAGCTCCCTCCTCTTTCGACACCACTCTTTCTCCCTCTAGATCACATTTGTTACCAACAAGGATGATGGGAAAGTAATCTTTGTCCTTGACCCGTAGAATCTGTTGCTGGAAAGTCATGATCTCTTCGAAAGACTGCCGAGAGGTTATCGAATAGACTAGTAAAAATCCTTCGCCTGTCCTCATATATTGCTCTCTCATCGCCGAGTATTCTTCTTGGCCAGCCGTATCAAGGACATCGAGAAGCGCGGTTTCGTCGTCGATAATGCATTGCTTGCGGTATGAATCTAGGCGTGTCAGCTCGGCTCTCCTCTGACCCAGGACAGATCGCACACACCTTCAATTGTGGGGTCGTATTCATCAACGAAGTGGCTTTGGATGAGTTGGATGGTCAAGCATGACTTTCCCACGCCACCTCCTCCTACAACCACGAGCTTGTATTCGCGCAGGAACTGGAGCGGCTTTTGCGTTAGTTGGGCCATTCTCTTCCCCGGCTGCAACAGGAAAAAAGTTGTGGACTTGGGTTTGAGGCACCTTTGAAGCCATCACGGAGAGCTACAGCCACGCCTCGGGGTGTGGGATGGTAAATCTCGCCAGAGACAGGTATTCCAAAAACGTGAATGTGGCGTCAATCCCAGCACTGCGGACTTGCACCCTGCAATGCGATAGAGGAGCACTTGGCGGAAGGATTCCAGATCGAATGAGAAAGGTTCCAGCCGCAAGGATTCGTCTCACAGGAAAGCGGCGAGATCGCAGGCGCAGTGCAGTGATCTGTTGCTGAAGATGTCCGGTCCTCCGGACTCCCGAGTGAAACGGATGTTTTGGAGCAATTTGTAACAGCGATTTGGAAGTAAGTGTAGGCGAAGCGAGGATGAAAGGGGACGGAGGTTTCGAAGCTCGGCAGGTCTGCGGTATTCGAGGGTTCGCGTTCGCTTGGAAGCTTCAAGGCTGGGTTTAGCAGTATCTACAGGCGCAGGTGCAGGTGCAGGTCTGTTGTGCGCAGTTCCGAGAACTCGCGGAAACGGATATGGTGAGTCGTATCGACGGGGAGAACAGTGGAGAGGAGGTTCAAGGGCAAGTGTCTGGCGGCAGGGAGGTAGCGGAAGTGGCTGTTGAAAGCGTCGTATGAGACTCCAGTTGCAGGGATGCCAGGGGTTTGGCTAGGGAAGAAGGGCCAACTGCCACCACTTTATCACACCCAGCATGTGAGTTGGAGATATGCAGTACGGAGTACGGAGTATCGAGTGTCCGTCCAGAGAGGATCGTCACCTTGCTACTCTGTACGGAGTACTTATCTCTCTGCTTGCTCACTGTCGCGCGGGATGAAGAAATGTGATCAAGGTACCCAGCGGATGTGCAGCAGAGCAGAGAAGGGAATGCCAGACACGCGCGCCTATTACATGCACAGTCCGGAGTACGCTCACGCTGACTTCTTCACCTTCAAGTCTCTTTCTAGTCGCCAGGCTGCACCTTCCTTGACTGATCTGTCGCGCACGACATCCTCTTCTTTCAACCAAAACGCACTCGTCGATGACCTTACTCCGTGCTTCGCCGTCAACGTTTCCTACCTTTCAGTCCACTGCCCCTATCGAGATCGGCTGGGCTCCAGCTACAAGTAGTGGTGGTGGGTCCCTCGCTCCCTACAGTAGCGCTGTGCCAGGTTAGTGCTAGAGAAAAGGCCTCCCTTTCCTTGCCGGAGCCTATCAGGGCTTCCCCAGTGAACCAAGTGGGCGGTAAAAGCTGCATCCCCTGGCGGCATGCTAACTCGGGGCTGCATTTTGATTCGATCCTCCTGCGACCCATCACGCACCGTTTTTCACCTGCGCCCTAACACTGCGCTTCTTCTGACGGGTAACTCGTAGGGGAGTCCATCATCTGTGATCGCGGTGACATCGTGGTTTTCCTGAGGTGAGTTTTCAGCTAGGACACACGGAGTACTCCATACTTACGGAGTACTGTGAGAGCATTCAGCGATCCTTCCACCTTACCTAGGTATGGAAGCTACCGTCGACGCTTGTAGCACCCCCGGATCCGCCTCGAACAGGCCCCAGTTTCAACCTCTTGCACACGGAACACTCGTACTAAAATGCAACCGACAGAGACATGGCTTGAAGTCAAAAAGAGAGGCACCATCCCGTTGAAGTGGTTCGCAGCCACTGCCTGAATTTAGTCTAGAGAACGCCGCTTTGAAGCTCTCGTGCACAAAAGGAGCGCGGAAGGAGTTCTCCTTCTCGCCAATTGGTATTCGACCTGATAGGGCCGGCCTTGGACACGTTAGGAAAGAAGCCGAGCGATACGGAACATGGGAAGCAGGAATCCACCCATTGGCTCCATGCCCATCATGCATCTCTCGACATCGGATGGAAGGGTTCGCTGGGCCACCCTGAAAACACCCTAGCAGCCTTCGAGTCGTCCAAGGTAGCATTCTGGAAGATTACCCAAATCTGAAAGTCGACATCATTCGCCGATCCTCATAATAAATCAATCCGGACATCATGGTGCATCTTGAGCTCGTGCGACTACGAGGTACTCCGTACCTGAGAAGCCAATACTTCGGCCCACGTGATTTCCATGTGTTGCATCCGGAGTCGTTCACGATTCGGGCTACCTTTGATAGTCTGGAAGCAAGGTTGATTCCTGACGTTCGCTTCTCCTGCAGCACTCCTTTACACATGGCGGATGACAGCGTGCGATTCATAGCTGGATTCGAACGTGGCGGCCTCGCGAGGACTATCCGCATCGAGGAGGAAAGAAGGAATGACTAAAACCAAAGAGGCTTCCTATTAAAAAGGCCATTCTGACGACTACCTGCAGGGGCCGCCATAATCAGGCGTCTTTATCCTTCTTCACGTCAGTCTCATCGTCGGTATCATCCTCTCCTTCTACAAAGACCCTCTTCCCCTGCACGCCTTCGGCCACCTCAGCCTCTAATGAGTCCATGTACTCTCTGTCGTTGCCGACCAATGTCACAGCATTCCTGTTCTTTCCCCATCGCGGATAACTCCCAACCTTTACACCCTTAGGTCCGACTTTTGCAGCCAGCTGTGTAAGGTAATCCGCAATTTGACTCTCGGCTATCGGTGTACTAAAAAGCATGCGATACATGCCCTTCCCTTCTGGGTCTTTCAGCCGTGGGAGTAAACGGGGTTTGTATCCTTCCAGCATGGCCTCGAATAGCCTAGGCACTCCAGGCAGGATATGGATATTTCCGTTCACCACCGCAAGAGGGACCCAAAGGTCTTCCTTGACATGGATGACCTGTTGTTCATCAGGGACATTGGGATCAGTAGGGAGTTGTGCCATTCGCATCTTGGCCGTCAATGCAGGTGACGGTACGTCCCAGGAAAAGTTGGGCTGTGATTTATGGGGCTTCGAGAACTTCTTCATCCTGGCCATGGTCGGTTCGTGCAGGCGTAGCTCTAGCCCGAATGCTTTGGCTATTGACTGGTAGGTTATGTCGTCGTGCCTGAATGCCACAAGCTCTGTCAGCTGCGCACGCTGGGGTATATATATGCTGGGACTGCAAACATACGTGGGACCTATACCACCGCTCGTTACCACGAAATCATAATTCTTGGACATGCGTCTGGCGGCTTCTATTATTTCATCTTCGTCGTCCGCAATCACCTCTATCCTCCTCAACTGCACTCCCAGGGAGAAACAGAACTTTGCAAAATAGGCCGAGTTTGTATCCACGGTCTACAATGGCCCAGCTATTGTCAGTCACGTTTTCCAATGCTTACGCAAAGCCCACAGCTTGCGCAGTCTCCTTTCGAGATATGGGTTTATCTGACCTTCCCACCAAGTACCTCGTCACCTATTATCAGGCATCCCGCCGTTTGTATAAGTCCTTTTTGGGGCCCAGATATTGTTTCGACGTTGGATGATGATGTCATTCTGGAGGTAGAAGAGGAGAATGCAGCGGCAGAGCGATGCGCGTAGTTAGGAAGCGGTCGCGAGAGGTGTCTTGCTAGCTGAGATAGGCGAGAGAACATTGAGCGAAGAATAGAGGGAATAAATAAGTGAAGCCAGTTGAGGCAATGAGGCTCTGTTCGACGGTCGATTGCGAAGAGCCACCTGCAGTGATCAAAGGTGCGGGAAGCAGATCAACCAGGCGCCGGCAATTTGGAGAAGGAAGCGAGGATCAATCGCTTTGCCCCACCACGTCGACGAGCATCGACGACGACAAGAACAGGACTCGTCGCTAACGGTGCATGGATAGAGCTGAAGACATTTGGATCTACTGTACTAGCCTACCCAGACCGTTGACGAGAGGTTATTGCCATCTGCGGAGACTCTCACCTCACTTTCATCCCTGAACTCACTCATCTGGAATACCCCGCGGTCCTCGACACGGGAGGACCAGGCTGTATTAGATTCGACAAGGTTGCTCGGAGGCTCATCTTCCGGCTTGTTCAGCTTCTTACAATAGACCATGCGCGCTCAGGACTGAGACATTCGCAACTACAGTCACACCAAAGGCATCGAGTCAAATTACAAGTTCATCTTCGATTTCCAGTACCCGATTCGGGACGCAGAATGGTATTCATCCATGTCCTCCTTTCCATTCCCTAAGTCGAAGAGACCATCAAGCCATCTCTTTCTTGGAATGAGCCACCGCATCGCTTACCAACTGACACTCCCAGACAGAGTCGAGGCTGTACAGCTTCTCGCAAGAGACCAAAGACCAGTTGCGCAAGTTCCGGCTAGGAACGTCTAGGGCAAAGACCCCATTGGCAAAGATATGTAAGTAGTCAGTGTATTTCCTTGGTACCCAGCTTGTTCAGACCAGTCCGGAGCAGTAGCGATAACCCCTTTGGCACGAGTTCAATGGGCGTAAGCATGGCCAGACTTCAAAGACACCACGCCAGATCCAGGAGTGGAAGTGGTGGTTAAGTCTGAACGGATACGGACGGTGGAACGCATGACGCCCAGACAGCTTCAATCCACTACCCTGCCGTGCCTGCTGACCGCGCCCTACCCTACCACAACGAGCTACCTTCTGTCGAGTCTCTAGGGCATGCAGACCAATGTAATGCAATGTCAAACTAACCATAATCCACACAGACCAAATCGACGCCAAAACGCAAGAAATCAGGCCTTCATCGGACGAAACCTACGACAACCTCCTCGACCTGGCAGATGATCTCCCGGACTCATCCCCGCGCTTCATCCTTCTAAGCTATCCCTTGACGTTGGTGAGTTCGTTCGCTACGTTCGTTCGATGCCTGCACCGGCGTTGCCCCCTCCGGCACCCCATTCTTCGCCTCCCTGCCCGGTCTCAAGCTAACAGCCGAGTCGAAGGCCTCAGGCCGCCAATCCGTGCCCTACGTCCTCTTATATTATCTCCCCGTCAACTGTAACCCAAACATGCGGATGAGTTACGCCGGCGCGGTAGAGCTGTTCCGGTCAACCGCCGAGGTCAATCGCGTGCTGGAAATCACCGAGGCCGAGGACCTGCAGGGCATTGAGGAGAAGTTGAAGGGCGAGGATTGAGCGTGCATGGCCGGTGCGTGGCATTACAGCTTGGAAGCTGGGGGCGTGAGGGAGATGTGGCGATCAAGGGCGAATGCAACCGCCAGACGGCTGAAAATAGGGAGCATCCAGTATTAGAGCTGTGTGCTGACGACGGGGTATAAGCTGGATGATTGGGCTTCTCTTGGACTCTTCATGCTTGTGATTTACAGTACTCGGATAAGGTCGGACCAGAGTGAAAATACTTTCAACCGGGCACGGACTTCAGTGAGGGTCACGGCATGAAGAGTGACTGACTGGTTTGGTTCCATGATACGCTATGCTATACTAGCTTTGCTTGCTTATACGGAACTGGCTCCAAAAGTGGGATTGACCTAACCATCACGCACAATGCTCGTGGATTGCCAACCCTGAGATATTCGACCAAGTTGCGGGTACAGTTACAAGACAGCGCCCTCGTTCTCGAAGAAGATAACCAAATACAACTCATTGCAACATCGACTCGCTTGAATTAAATAAATTAAATGCAAAGTTATTTTCATGCAAAGGGTCATTTCAAAACATCGGCCTGCTGCTGACTGCTCACAACTGGCTCCTTACCCTGTCGGCGCCACCTCCCAGCCCCCCATCCCGCGCAGTGAAGCTCCGGAAGTATCCTTCCAACGCCTCTACCGTGCCGCGGCCCTCAACAAGTCTTACGGCAATGCCAACATGACCATCCGGCCTCACAACGACGACGGCGCCTTCCTCGCCCTCGAGGCCCACCTTCGCGTGCGCCGCGGCCTTGGACTCCAACACGCGCACGTCCTTGCGATCGTCCGCGTACACCTTGGCCGCGTAATCGCGGAACAAGGCGGGCAGGTCGGCGATCTCGATCTCGGACCTCTTGGCCGCGAAGACGAGCGCCAGACTAAAAAATCGAGAATGCGGGTTCTCGCTATCGTGGTGGATGTCCCGTGACGCATCCCCGTAGCCGAACCGTGTGTAGAATGAATTCGGGGCCGTCAGGTGGCGCGCAAAGTCCGCGAGTGCTTGGTGGCCATCGGGTCTAGGGCTCTGGCCTAACCCTGCGAAGACGAACATCCTGAACGAGCCGTTGAAGGGGATTTCGTTCTCGAGATGCACGACGTTGGCATCAACCACCCTTGTCACGTTGCTGGGCGGCATGATTCGTCCGGGCCGGATTTTCGGGCTTCCGCTGATGATGAGCGGGTGTTGGAACCGATGGTCGTCAGAGTGGTTGAAGATGTTGCCGTTATAGGCCACGCCGAAGCCGGATGTGAATTCGCAGTTTGCCTTGAACATCTCGACGAACTCGTTCTTGGTCTCTTTCGATCCGCTCTCGTGCGCGTCCGAGACTTCGCTGGCACTGGGCTGCCGTTTCGAGAACAGCGCCGCGTATTTGTTGTCGAAGTTCAGGAGAGTCTCGGCGATGAATTTCCGTTCCACTTCGTACGTAGAGAGGACGTCGCGGCTGGCGAAGCCGGACTCGACCAGGTGCATTTTCCACGCGAAGTTGATGGCGTCGTGGAAGGCCGTGTTCATCCCCTGGCCGGCTTTGGGCGAGTGCGTGTGGCAGACGTCGCCGCCCATGAAGACGCGGTGGTCGAGCGTGTACTTGTCGGCGATGCCCTGCCCGATCGGGTAGACAGAGTACCATTCCACACGGTCCCAGTCACAGTAGTACGGGGCGAAGATCTTCTGCGCCGCGGCTTGCACTTCTTCCACGGTGGCGGTCTTGCGGGGGTTGAAGTCGGGGTCTGTGGAGCTGGCGATCTGGATGTACAGGCGCACCATATTGTTCTCGCGCGGGATGACCATGATGCTGCCGTGGTCCGAGTGGATCGTGCATTTCATCTTGATGTCCGGGAAGTTTGTGCGGACGACGCCGTCCATGACGCCCCATACGTGGGAGATGGGATCCTTATGCCGGATCTGCACGCCGAGCTGTTCGCGCACAAAGGATCGGGCACCTTCGCCAGAGAAAAGGTACTTCGCACGCACGGTGTCGGTGACGTTGCTGTCTAGGTTTTTCAAGTCAACTTCGACGGGATACTCCGCGTTCTTGTGGTTCGTCTCGAACCGTGTGATTGTCCAGGGTCGCTGGACTGTTGTCCCGTTCTTCTCGAGGTCTTCGATCAGGACGCGCTCGATCAAGCCTTGGTGGAGTAAGGCTGTAAAAGGATACCGTGCGTCCAGGAATTCCGGGCAACTAGCCCATGTGCCTGTGCGGACAATCTTGCCGCCCGGGGCCGGGTCCCAGAATGCAACTTCAAAGACTCTGGCGGGATCGTGAGCCATAACTTTCCGCTTCAGGCCCATGTTTTTGAGGATTTCGAGGGAACGTGGTTGAATACCGTCTGCTCGGCCTGTTGCTGTAGGCACTGGCCGGTTGTCGATGTGTCGGACTTTGTAGCCCCATCTTGATAGTGCTACTGAGAGTAGTAGACCAACTGGACCTGCTCCTATGATTACAATATCATACAAGGGTATCTCTGAGGGCATGTTGATGTGCTTGTAGAACCACGTGGGGTTGAAACTGGGAGAATGATGAAATGATCGCTGTCAGCGATGTAAGGTGTGCACAACGAAGTTAGCGACAGCTCCAGGAATCTTGGGCGGAAACACGGTCGATGATGTTGAGAAGACAAGTGTGGACGCTTTCAACTTATGAATAGATTTTGAAGTCACGATCAGCCAACCGGCTCTGAAGCATGGTAAATATGTGGAGGACGGGCACATCGGTCGAAGGAACGAGATCAAGCGAATGGGATCGCCGTTTCCGAGCTTGTCAACCGAGACTGTTGCCGCTGAAGCCAGCGGCGACTGGTCCGGCCGTAGAACGGCGCGAGTGTGGGCGTAATCCCGAGCGTATGCAGAGCCCTATGGAGAGAGTACCCAGTATACGGTCAGAGAGGGCTTGTCTGTCTCTGAGGAGGAGCCCGAGAGCGTCGGTGGCGCCATGAGGGCCGTTACCTTGGGACACATAAGGGCGTCATGGTAGGTAGGAGTCTTGTTGCGGGGATGGATGGCAGCTCGGTTGTGAAACGCGGGAATTGCGAGTGTCACGTGAGGCTGGACCCTCAGGGGTCACGGGACGTCTGGAAAGCGTTTAGCTCCTTGGCCAGAATGCACGTCTTTTCCAACTTCAACCAACATCAGTTGCTCTTTTCTCCCTCTGCGACAGATTGGCTCCGGCGTACGTCGACACTGGTGTACTTAAGTATATGAGCTACTGCACCTATCGCTGTGGGCAAGTTCCGGTCGACGACGGGGTATGCAATGCATGAGTGTGCTTGTAAGGGCTTGTCGGATGCGCATCGATTGGCACGGAGGTACATGGTCGGTCACGGTGACTCCAGATATAGCTGTGATGTCTTTTCGGGGCGGAGGTCTGGGCGTGTTGGAATGGAGCTCAAATGAGCTGCTCCATGCTTCTGGCACTTGTTCTGAGCTTGCTTGTCCGGTAAGATGGGTCAATGACCAGGCTACTTCACCTGACGCTGTATTTGCAACATTGCAGCGACACAGTACAAGGGCCACTTTCCTGCAAGCACGTGTCTTGCTTGCTACCTGAAATCCTCTTACCTTGTTGTTGTTTTCTTTTTCAACGGTTGGGAAGTGCAGCCGGTGGATAACCTTCATTGAACCATCACAAAGGTGCATTTGGGGTCTGAATCTGTGAGTAAACTGTCCAATATCGGTGCCATTACTTCTGCAACCCATGAACACAGGGAACAGACCAAATCCCGGCCGGCACACCTGCCCTGGAAGTGGTGTTGCCCCCGTTGTCATCGTCGTTGCGGAAGTGTTTCTCCGGCTTGGCACGCACCGACAACGATATCGCTCTGTTCATTTTAAACGCCATGGACATTGTTCGACGTCCTGGCCACTTGACAGGCTCTTCTCTGCATGCTGGATAAAGAATTGGGTGTCGGTTTCTTGTCTCATTCATTTCATGTACAATTTCTCCTGTTCAGGTCCTTTCGAAAAGCGCTTCTCTTGCTTGCGCCGTCTGAATGTGATTGCGCTGGCCGCACTCTCAATTCGACCCATCTCCCGTTTCACCATTTTTCTTGTCTCACCAACATGGATATCACGCGCCGTCGGAACATGACAGCAGCGATACCTACTCCACTTCTAAGAAACTCGAACAATTTCGAGGACTTCGGGTGCTTCGACGAGGAAGAGTGTCGCTTCTTCCTGCGAGAAGTAGGCGAGCGTGTCGTGCCAGTCTACCCGTTCTCTTTTGGCATGGAAGAGGTATACAGCTTGATTCTCGAGCGGTATGGGTATTCCGGACTGCCAGATGCCACGAGCGTACTTCAAGATCTGCTTGAAAGTGATGGGACCGCAGGCGGCCTGGGAGACGACGGAGATGTTTGGCGTTCGTGGCGACACAGTTGGAGACACCGAAATGTAAGTGGCCCCGTTCAACCACTACCCTGGCTGACTCGAGCCTAAGGACGACGCCCTCAACCCCTTCATTCCGAAGGTGGGAAGCTTTATCTTGCAGCCTCCGACTCTGCCGCACGTTCGCAAGATCAAAGCTCTTAACTTCATTCGCATGAGCGAAGAGTGTGAGAGAAGGGAGCAAGTTCGAGATGCCATTGTTGCTGGGAAGAGGAAGGCGCTCTGCGAAGTGTCCCCAGATCGTGACAGAGTCATGCCTGCACCAACCAGCAACACTGTCAAGCAGCAACAGTCGGAGGAGGACAACCTATATCGGCTCCCATCCACAACTTACTCCCATCAAAGAACGAGAACCTTGCTGTTATCAAGCCATGGTTCACCAACCTCCGGGCAAGAACAATGCCAGAGACCTAGCACGGCTGAGGGTTCTGACAAGGCGCATCATTCTCCGGAGAGTTCTTCACAGCCGGGCCTCCCTGCGCTTGATCCGTTGCTATTCGATGCAGACATCGATCCATCGCTCTTGATCACATTTGGAATGCTGTCTTCGGAAGAGAAAGGCCTAAGCCCTACCCTAAGAGGCGGCCACGGCGAGACAGTCATTCTCCAGCCGGTCAGCTTCCAAGGCAGTCCAGCTAGTAAGATCCATGACACGGTTCTCCGCAACTCGCCTCTACCGCGTATCCAGTCCAGCCCGTTCCGTGTCTTTACTCCTGAAACGCCTCGAAGTCACGTCAGAGCCGATGCCAGCATCCGCTCCAGCCGTGTTATCTCGGAGCCTCTTCAGGTGTCAGTGAAAGGGGACAAGCAGTGTTCTGTGGAGCACGATAAGTCAGTCGAGAGACGACGCAAGCTTTCAGACAGTCTGAGACCTTTTGTCCGCCGTCCAGCTGGAGACAACTCGGAGCGCAGCAAGATAATTCGTGCAAACCATCGTCAAGTTCGAATACTCGATGGTGTCATCCTTAATCCCAAAGTCCGCAAGAGATTGTCGTCGCCCCCAGTCACTGCCGTGGACGATGAGGTGCACGTCGAGGACAAGAGAAAATCTGGTGTGCGCCGCAGCCTTACGCCGGTGTGGCAGAAACGCGATTCTTCACGGCACAGCTGGATGGAGATCATGCGGAATTTTTTTCGCACCGAAGCCACCGCCAGCCAGCCTGCAAAACAATCAAAGCGTGAATCTTCAAATCTTTTTCAGCCTGCAGTCAGATCTTCAACAACACCTCCAAGCCCTCACGCAAACGTCGACAGTCAGCCCGGTCAACGAGAGCAACCATCTTATCTCCTTGGACTTGACGGCACTGTTGATCCTCGACCTTTTTTCTTTAGAACAATCGTGTCCAAAATGGCGAGAATGTCGAGACTGGACTGCAACAAGCCACTCCCACTCAGCCCTCCTGGCATCGCCCGCTCATTGTCAGCTCATCCGGGATTCCCCAACGCCTTCCAGCCACGTCCTAGCGTTCCTGCTATTCTCACTCGAGCCAACACTCGCGCAGAACTCAGAAAGAACCTTCAGGCTCTGACAACGCACGCCCTTCAGCGGAAGAACATCCCCGACAAGTACCAGTTCTACCCAGTCTACAACGAGTTGGAAGACACCTTCGGTGATCAGACAGCAGACCCAGCAAAGACCTTACAACCACCACTCTCGTAAGTTCGCCTCCTTTCAATTGGAGATGAGCTTCTAACAACTCTTCAGAGCGCTCACTTACTCCAGTGTGACGAATGCCAACCCTTTCACACGTCAAGAGAATGTACCAGGTTCGCCCCTGCAAGCACAACCTCCGCTCTCGTAAGTAACTCTGTCACTATTGAGCAACTAGGTGCTGACTAGCCGCGCAGTGGCATTACATACTCGAGTATCCAGAACGCAAACCCGTTCATGAACATTCCGGAAACCCCAAGTTCTGGCTTCTGTCCTGTTCCGACCTTGCAACAAGGCAACCTGGACTTCACCCTGCCACCACCAGCGCCCAGACCGCACTTCTCGACCATCAGCTCCCAGGCGTCGAACCTCAACCCAGCGGCCAATGTCTTCACTCCGTTCAAGAACATCATGCGCAAGGGCAATAGCACCAAGGGTATCAACGACAATGCGACCACGGGAGGATCGCCATCTAAGCAACACATACGCAAGATCAGCCTTGGAAAGCTGGGAAATTTGTTGAAGAACCCGTTCATGGTGGGCCTCTCCCCTCACAAGTAATTCACTTGATTGTACTGTGTAATTAACTTCAAGTAGTCACAAGTGCCAACAGAGCAAAGAATCGACCAATGGATGGCAGCAACTAGTGCTCCATCGCCTCGTCCTGCTCCTGTTTCCCCTGCTGCTCACCCTGTCATTTCGCTCGATCCGGCTTTCCAAGCCTACGTGTTGGGCCAGATTGAGGGCATCCTGGTCGCCTCGACCAACGGGGTCCTCTTGCACTCTGGCAAGATGGGACGGCTGGACCGGGGTGTCGTCGAGCAGGTCGCTGCCGACTGGCAGGAGGCCGGGCGTACCCCGGTCGTCGATTTCATGTACGACTGCCAGACACAACGGCAGCTGTTCCTCCGCCACGCGGCGACGGTCAAGTTCAACAACCTGGACAACGACCGCTTCGCCCATGCGCTGGAGCTGTGGTCGGCCCTCGTTGCGGCGCTCTCCCCCCGTGTCCTTTGTTTGACCGACATGGTCATCCTGGGACATGTCTACGCCTTACCCGAGGTGCTCAGGATGCTTCGTGCTCCTGAAGCCACCCGGGTGGCTGCGCGGGACCTGGGGCGGAGAGTCGCTGCCGAGGTCGACAGCAGGAAGGCCGCTGTGGCCAATATGGCCGGGATCTGAGATCCTCGTTGTGTCGTGGCGTGGTGGGTGTGCGGGGGCGTCGTTGGTCGGTGTGATATCTTGTGCGGTGTCTTGTGTTGTGTCGCGCTGGCGCGACCGCCATCAAAGAGATGGCATAAGATTGTGTTTTGACGGAGTGTTTTCCTTTTTCCGTTTTTTTTTCTGTGAACAGAGATGGGAGGGGGCGACCCCGAAAGCAAATGGCTGAGAGTGTGAGCTGCAAGGGCGTCCTGTTCCTATTGCGGTGCTGGTGATACCCGTTCTCCCTGTCGTCGACCCGTGCCTATCGCGTCACCATGTGGTCCGTCACTAATATCGGTGTACAGCATATACTGGATGTACCACCTCCTTCCTATTCAGCGCCCATTCCAGTGACTCCCACTGTCGCTGTAGCCGGCCCATCCTATCGTGTCACCACCACCAGCTCACAGCGTGCCTTTCTTTTATCACTTGCCTGTTTTGAACGAACCCGCCATCGCCCGTTGCCGTTACTGTCGCAGCTGCCATCGCCTGCCCTTCTAACGGTACTGACTCATTTACCCAACAGGCCAAACTCAAGGCAAACGCTGCTAGCACACTGACTCGCAAGTTGTCGGGATATCAGTGCGTCCTTTTTGCCCAATGTCGCCTCCCCATGTAACGTAGCCGCCATTCCCAACCCCTAACGTACGCCTTCCCATCGTCATCGTTGCGTATATCATATCAATCGCTCACTAATTACAGTGGTACGGTAGAGGTAGCTGGGATTATCGTGAGCAGAGTCCACGCAGAACAAATGGCGTGCTACGCCATCCATCACATCACATGCCGATCCGTTCCCTTCCCATCCCTTCTCTTCCCTTCTCTCTGACATTGTGCACCAGACGAAGACAAAGCTCATTGTTGAAGCCGTTCCTCTGTGAACCTGTGCATACCGTGTGAGTAGAGGGACTAAGGGATCGCAGACGATCCAGCTACGTGTATATGCATCTACTGTATGTCCCTGCTCGTAAGATGTCTGTTCTCCATGTACCCTGCATGGTCGAATGGCTGCACACCGTACACTCAACGACATCCATACCAGATCCGTGTGCACCAGAGTGCAAAGGCAAAGGGCGAAAGGATAAGGAAGCACCGAACGAGAGGCAGGAAAATGATTGTGGCATATGTTCAGTTCGCCGACTAACTTAGCTATTCACGATTCGATATGCACTGGCTTGCCTGGTTTCCTCTGTACTGTACAGTGATAAGTCCAGCACCGAGTACGACGATAGGAGTTGAGCATTCTCTTGCTGACCCTCATGGTAGTCATATTGCCTTCTATCAAGATAGCCGTGCCAGCGCCTCTGGATAGCACGGAGCAGGTGATTCCGACATTGGTGGGACAAATTCACGTCACCAGCACTGCTGCTGAAAAGTAAACACCAAGACAAGAGAGAGAAATATGCCAATGCTGGGTGAATGGGTCAAGCTCTCTCTGAATGTCGAGCGAGATATCACCACATTGAGCTCTGCTTCACATTCACAAAACATTCACGCTATGCTTCGTTTTGTGTGCCGACCTGTCATCTATCGTCCCGTTCATGAAAAGCCGTTCGATCTGGTGTCTTCCAATGCCCCCTGGTCCTCGAACTCTACAAATCCGGACAAAGTAATCAACCCGATATAACACCTCACGCTCTCCGCAATAAGAGGTCGGATTTTCTCGTCGACTTTGCCATTCACACCTGCAATCTTCTTGAACACGCCCACCATGTTGGCTCTGTAATCGACCAGAAATGTCCGGGCGCGGTAGTGAATTTGCTCGTTTTGTGCACCGCGAGAAAGAAAGGTTGATAGAAGGACTCGAAGAGTGGAAGCGAGCAGGACGTAGTATGTGTGTAATGCGGAAGTGGCGGAGTCAGGGACATAAGGCGAGTTGTTGTTGTCGCTGGAGGGTGGCAGTGCGATGCCTAGATCCGGATCTGCTCGGAATAGCTGAGAGTCCCGAGCAGCTTGTACAATTCCAGCGTCAAGGAGCGCTCCTGCGCCGTCACGAGTCCTTGAGATCTGGAGGAGGAGGAGCATGCGCGCTTCGAAAGTTAAGAGGAGGGAGCTCCGATCTGAGTGGATTGGTTAGCACTAAACAGGGCATGCTAAAGCCAAAAGAAATGCATTCGGCACTTACAACCCGGTTCTGAGTCTTGAAACTCCAGCGCGACATGCTTCAGAGGATCAATCATGATTTCCAGCATGTTGGCCTTGACAAGGGAATCGAGGATCAAGTTGGATTTCTCCATCCTGGCCAGAGATGTGAGCAAAGCGAGAAGGCCAAGAGCGTTGAATCGGCACTCGTCGACTCCGTCCTCGGCGTCATCGCACATGAGCTGCACAAGACGCTGGCTCGCCGATCGAATGCAGCCCATGCTGTTGTGTCGGGCTTTGACGACCACTTCTGATGGGGCAGTCGACGTTGTGAGGCGGGTAAGGTATTGCGAACAGATGCTGTAGAAAATTGTCCTCAGGGCCGTCCGTGAGTTGGAGGCCGCGATGCCTTCGATCGAGGCACGAAAAAGTGGGAACAACTTCTCTGTGACGAGATTATCCAGATGCCTGTTCGTCAAGGCCGTGTGAGAGAGCGCAAAAAGCAACGCATCAGATGCTCGGGCTAGTTCGATCATGTCGGCTCTCTCGTCCGCGATGAAAACATCGAGTTTGGGGAGCATGATCTGGATCATGTGCAGGATGAACTGTACCTTCATCGTCGCCTCCATAGGGCAGCATTCAACGACAGCTATGACCATCTCCGCATATTCGTGCAAGGCGTCGCTCCTCGCCTTGAGCACGACTTCAGACCGGTTTCGAGCTTCAATGGTGGCAATCAAATAATCGGCTTCATCAATCAGCTCCTGCTCGTCGATTTTGTGGCTGCTTGTTGCCGATGCCTGCTTCTGCATAAACGAGACCCGATAGGCATTGAGATACTCGCGAATCATCTTGACGTCGTAGACACTTGGCTGACTTTCCGTGGCCTCGGCCAGGTAGACCTTGAAATCGATGCCCACATAGTATTGAGGTTCGACCTCAAAATTGGCCGAGAGATCGAGGTCGAGAAAATCAAGGAGCGCGAATATGTCCGGATTGATGATGACTGTGCCATCCACGTCGCTGGTCTTGCCCTGAAGAGTCGATAGAATATGTCGCAGATTCGTCGAGAGACCCTCCTTTGAGGCTGCTCTTATCTCGGTGACAATGTAATTGTACAGAGAGCCTCGAGAAGCAAGAAATTCAGCCAGGGCTTCGGCTGAGGTCGTGTACCAGAAGGTCTGTTGCAGAAGACTATTGGCGTCCCACAGTGTCTGCTGCGTGACGATAGGCTGGCTCAAACATAACGATTGTAAGAATTGAAGCCTCCGCAATTGACCAACAACAACACTGCTCGACAGTGAGGACGACCACAGATGTCTCAAGACTCGGAAGGCCGCCGCTTTCATGTGTATCAACCACGAAGCCATTATACCGTCCTCGTCATCTGGATAGTCTTGGACGAGATTGGCAATTGAGTTGAAGACTGACACTCCCGCATCCAACGAGTCTGAGATAGTCAGACGCTCGCCCAGTCGATTGAAGCCTATCAGGAGGTGAGCAATATTTGGCAGGTCAGGCTGCGTTTCAAGGCAAGCGTTGAAGAAAGCAAGGATACCATCTTTCAAAAGGTAGCTGACCGACTCAAATCCTTGCTCGAGCTCGCGGACATCAAATTGTAAACGAGCATACAGGTTCCTGGCGACAGGTTGAAGCTCGAAGCCCGGATCGGGACCCAGCATATCGACAACTCTTCTTGTTCGACCACGGACATCCTCCGTCGTCAGAAAATGATTGTTGAGTTTCGGTGAGCTCGAAAGCTTCTGGAGCAACGCAAGTGCCCGAATGGACAGCTCAGAGTGCCCGGTGGCGGCGAATTGGCAAAGGTTAAGCACAATCTCGGGGTGTGCAGCGAGAGCCTCTTCCAGAGCATCAATGTTCGAGCGGGTGGGCGGCCCATCCTGCGGCATTTGGGATTGAACCAAAGGCCTCACTATGTCGAAATAAGTGGGCTGGAGATCGAGCATCCGGTTGATGATGTCGATTGACCGTTGCAAACTGAGCAGCAAGGGCGAGTCTGGGAGCGCAGCATCCGCAGATTCGCCGGACACTCGCAAGCATTCCAGCAACAGTTTATGCACATCATTGCTGAGGAGCCACTGCATGAGCCTGGCAAATGGACTGCGCTGAGCATACGAGAGTGCGTCGGGCACCTCCGGCAATGCATCATGGCTGGAAGTGGCGCGGTCGAGCATTGCCACATAATCTTCATTGACCCCTTCAAGTCCAATGGCCATGAATTCAAGACAATGGAACGACCCAATCAATCGCTGCAGCTCAACCGCAACTTCGGGGATGCGCTTTGCAAAGACTTGGCCACAAACAAAATCAATGTAGGGGCCAATCCCTGGGCGTCTATAGTCCGAACCCAGATCTTTGGGGAATGGAAGCAGATCAGGACCCAGGCCCGTAGACGGTACAGTGACGATCAAGTCGCGAAGGAAGGCGACGCATGCGTCATACTGATCAAAAGAGGATGCAATGGAGCTGAGCGTGTTCTGCAAATTGATTAGGGTCGGCTTGGGTGGTGATGCTGTGGTGGCAGCCGCTGGGCGTGTTCTGTCGTGGCTGTTCGCCGCCCAACTGTCGAGAATCTGCCACATTATCGCAGCGGTTTGCGCACTCTTGTCCGTCAACAGCGCGTCCAAAGTCGAGAAAACGCTTGCCCTCAAATAACTCGGGACAGGTCCTGAGCTGAGACGTAACAGAGCTTGGGGGAATGCCGGAGTGACCGTTTCGAGGATATGCTGACGGGTGCCGCTCGGTTGGCGGCTGAGGTGCGCCAGTAAGCGGAGATAACACGAGAGCATGACTGGACTTTCCAGCTCGTTCATGTCGGTGGGAAGGACTTTCGGTATGTGCGGTAACTGTGACGTAGCAGGTCGTTCATGGACCTTCTGTGAGTACAGTTCAAGCTCGGCAAAGATTTGTTGATAGTTCATAGACGGGATACGCCGGCCTCTGGTCGTAGCCTGCAACGAATCATCCAATAAGAACTTGTGAGCCGCCTCTGCACAGTCTCGACCTTCAGATATAGAACACAGAAGTTCGCAAAAGGCGCTCACACGTGGCACGGTCTGCCGGCGCGAGGCCCACTGCAGAAAGCCGTAGAGGTTGCTGTCCGGATCTTCCCACCACAGCTCTGCGGCCTCAGGTCTCCCCTCGAAGGAAAACGAGATGAGAATGAGGAAACACTCGAGATGGAGTTTGCTAGGGGTGCTGCCTTGATGGGTGGTCGGCAGACCCTCTTGCAACGCTGTCAATAGGTTCAGTCTCTGATCGTCTTCTTCCGTCCTCAGTTTCCGGATCGAATCGGGCATGTTAGAAATGAAAGCCTCTATGAAGTTCTCTAGGCATTCCATGAATAGTAAGCGGAAATACGAGGACGTTTGCTCAGCCTCATTGAGAGCAAATCGATTCGTGTCGCTGAGAAGCAGGGTAACAAGTTCTTGCCTGGCTGGGTGCCGCCAAACGTCCAAATTGGTGCTTGTGCAAATGCCGAGCATGAATTCCAATGCATCCTCTTTCAATGCCGCCTTTACCGCGTCCGCTCGTCTTCCCGCGCCCGGATCCTGATCGATCAAGTCCCGGAACTGGCCACTGTACTCTGCGGTCCACCACAGGCTTAGTACGGCTTGTAGAGGTCTGATGGAGGTTGAAGAAGCATCTTGAGGCAGCGGCGCGAACAAAGCATTGAGAGACGCCGTGCTTTCTTCAGATATATGACTTCCAGATGATCCGTACTGGCGAAATGCTGCAGAGAAGGCAGGAAGATAGTGGATCAGATTGAAGTCGATGCTTTTCCAGCGAGGGAGCACAGCGTGAAGCTTTCGGAGATCTTCTTGGTTCGCGAAGTCACCCTGAAACAAGTACGCAAGAACACAAGCGAGTGCCTCATGTTGTTTGAACAGACTGTCTCGCTGGAACTCGAGAGTAGCGTAAAACTCGGCACCGCGTGGCCCACCAAGCACCGCCTTGCTCTGCAATGCATCTGCAATCTTGGCCTGGGACCTCTCGATCTCTTCCAATGTGCTCAGGCACTTTCTTGTGAAGACAGATCCATTGCCAGGAACACCTTTGTCAATCTCCAGAACACTCCCAATGATGGTCTCAAAGACTCTTCTGACCTCGTTATCGGACTCCAACGTGAGCGAGTACTGCAGGGTAATTCGCAGGCATTGAAGCAACAGATCTCTGCGGTTGTGGAACTTGCTGACCACATCCATGACCAGAGAATCCTGTGCCAGCGTCAGATCTTGCTGACTCTGGATGACCAGCCGGCCAGCCCCGATCTCGTCCAGGTCCAAGGTCGTTGCAATGGCGCGGCTGATATGCTTGAATTCGTCGTTGATGGCAAACTCCTGGTCGGCCACACAAAGTTTTCCTGCGCTCTAATATTAGCATGAGATTTTTTCGGCACGGAAGGGCTGGGTTAGGGGACAGACCATTGTTGTAGGCGTCGCGATCGCTGGCTGCCGAAGTCGACTTGTCCAGCAACTGCCTGAAATCTTGGAGGCTCCCTTCCAGCTCCTGCCACAGGCGATTGATGTTGGCGAAACGCGTCTCGCTGAACGCGACGAGATCAGCGTGAAGCCCCTGGAGGCGTTCAAGGCTTTCCATGGTAGGTGTCTTGCCGGCGAGAGGCAGGCAGAGGTCAAAGGAACGCGAAGAAACTGCTCTCGGGCATTCCAACAATGGACGTCTGTTCTGCGCTCTCCAAAATCTTTGGCTGCGGTCGCGATTGTCAAATCGAATGCCGTCGCGGTTCCCAAAAGCGGTTTAGGCTAGCCTTAGAGATGGTCGCGTCACTTTCCCTTCACTTTACCCTCAGTCTCCCTTCACTTGATTACCTACTTTTACTGCCCTGGCGATGCTTTATATGGTATGTCAGGGGAGACCACGCCGCTATACTCATGTATCATGAGTCCTCGTCTACGCGAAACGCAGTGCGTCACTGACCGCCGAGATGGCGGAGGCTGGCATCGCTGCGGCCATCGGTATGGATTCATGCTTCTTTAGTGCTCAGCCTCACCCACTAACAATCTTACGTAGCCAAGCTAGAGGGCGGCACGGTTGCGCAGAGGAACGCGGGTCTAGATGGTAATGCAAACACCCGTGGAGTCGTGCTTGGCTGATACGGGCGCTCTAGATCTTAAACGAGTCCTGGGGGAGCGAGGGAATGCTCCGGAAGTGTGAGAGAAGATGGCCATCACTGGGTTGGTTTCCCATCCGCGCTGACCTTGTGGTATAGTGACGCGCTCAAGGACGAAGTCTTTCACAAGATCTTCGAGCTTCTCTACAGGATTGTGTCCAAGGAGAAGCCGGTATTTCTTCGGTCGACCACAGCGGAAAGAACCAGGACACTTGCTGCTTCTCGCTTGCAAGTCACAGGTGCTGCCCTTCGCTTGACTTTGGAGGTGGGAACGTCTAAGCTCAAGTACAAGACGGCCCTGTCGATCCTGGACCATATTGTGGACACCCTCCCTTTGACGGATGGCTCATTGTGTGAGCCTCTAAAGAACGATTACATCAAAAGCTTTCGAGTTCTCCTCACTTACCCCCCACACGGAGAACATATGCGACTCAAGCAATGGCAGACGTATGTGGACTTCGCCCTGGAGTGCTTGTCGACTGTCCTCGAACATGATGTTATTGAGGATGGTTTCCCAGACAGTAGAAACACCAGTATGGCATCCAGGAATGATCGGTCATTGTCTGTACGTCCCAGCCAGAGAAGCGGCAGGAGCATTGGTAAGGAAAAGGCTACGCTCGCCGAAGAGATCGTGGCTTCCTTGAAGAGCCTGACCTCTGTAGCCAACGTGCACGTCATGAGTCGGGCGCCGTTGATCGCTGAGAAGATTCAGGAGTACTTGAGCGTTGCAGGAACAGGTCAAGAGGATGCATTTGAAACTCTAAACAACATTGTGCTCGTCTCTCTTGGCCAAAATGTGGACTTCACGCAAAACCTACTGTGCGCCCTTATCCCTGTCATGCGCCGACTGTGGTCTAGCCGGGCTGGTACTCTGCGGGAGCAGATGCTCATCACCTTGTTTACATGCCGATATCTCTTCATTGCTCCGCCTGGCCCATGGAACTCGATCGACGCGGCTGTTCTGGAACCGCTTTTGACAACCATGATGTCTGACTACGGGAAGAGAGATTTGTTACATTTCGACGACATGCAACTATTGCTCGACTCAGAAACCGCACCGCTCAAAATCAGACAATTCAAGCCTCCTCGAATTTCACCACGAGCGTTAAGTTGCTGGTTGACAATAGAAGTCATGGCAAGCCTTGTCGTTGGGCTGAGTTGCAAAGCACGGCCATCGACCGCGGATAGCGACTCTGGGGACATTCCGCGTAAACGACGGAAAATCCAAAATCACTTGGAGCAAGTTCTGGAGCTCGCAGCAGTAGGGGTTGGGCAGGAAAAGGTGGTCGCTTTGCAGATCGTCTTGTTTCTCTTCGACCAACCTGGCGACCTTGAGCAGGACTGGATCCAACTACTCGACAAGTTATTGCCGGATCTCAACCATGAAGACCCCGCCGTTCAGACATGGGTCTTCCTGATCTTTTCAAGGTTAGCGCAAGCACCACATCCTTCTTCACGAACATCCGATATCTGGCTTCGGGTTTGGGATGCAGCGCGAAGAGCAATGGCTGTCGTCCTAACGACCAGGGTTTCCTGCCATTTGCTCACTGTACTCCTCAAGAGCGGGGTTCTAGATACGGTGATGAGCGCAAATCTGCTTGATGGCACTCTGTTTGGTGGTGGCAGCAACGGCCCAAGCACTCTGACAGATACGTCTCTGGTCTTAATGACAACTATACTAGGCTCCAAAATCCTCGACAGCGAGAAGCACTTCGAGTCCCTCAGCTTGAAGATACTTGGCTGGTTAAATCTCCGCTGGACCCTGCGTATGTTCAATAATGTTGCTGTCTAATCTGGGATACTGACTTGCCACAGCTGCGAATCTTGATCGACTTCACAATGCACATATTGTCTCTCACGTTCGGCCGGAGCTCTTATACTGTGTGCTTAGCTCCGTGTGCGGATTTTCGAATCCTACAACCGCTATTGACGATTGGAGTCCGGCACACTCATCTTTCAAGGCAGCAACTATGGCGGCAGTCAACCTCGACTTCTTACAATATCTCCTGCGAATCCCCTTTCCTAGCCCTGAGGCTGCGGAGCCCGCCAACGCTGCTCCGCGCCCACTTGACACGGCCATAAGAGCCCGCCTATATGGAGCGGTTACAGACTTCCTGGCGGCCAAATCGAGAGATTTCCTTCTGTCTTGGAAAGCTATCTCCGCAGAAAGGAGCTCAAACATTGGCAATGATATCGTAGAGATGGTAGCTGTTGCTTCGACTGTCTCTTCTGCAGTATTTGCGCGCGGTGCCGGTTACGAGTCAGAAATCAAGCCACCCGCGGTCCTGGCTGAAACACGTCGAATTGTGAGTGACTTCATCTCCAGCCAGAAGAATGTTGTCTCCTGTCGAGAAATGGCCAAGCGTGTATGTGCTTGTGTTGTCGCTACACACTCTCAGGTCTCTCGAAGCGGCAAGCGAGACTTTGACGATGACTATCGCGGAGTACTCGAATTTGCATTAGACGTCGCCCATCGAGGTATGGCAACAAACAATGCGGAAGACCCTTCGGACTTAGAATTCTTGGATGAAGACCAGTTGGAGTCGCAGGCAAGTCAAAGCAGCCAGGCAGGTTTCGGCACTGCTGTCATGCGACTTGATATACCTCTATGCCAGGATACGCATGAGCAACTCGCGAAATATGTGGTGGAGCTAACCACAGCTCTTCAAATGGTAAAGTCACAAGCGTTGCTAGACTCTTTAGCAGCCACTGTTGTCTTTGACGAGCTTATAAACCTTGATGCAGTCTCTTTGATTGGCGCCCGAGGAGCGGTGTGCGATTTTCTCTCACTGGGAACGGGAATCTCTCGGGCAGACGCATATCGTCTGGTCGACAAGCTCGGCAAGACCTATCTGCAAGAAGAAGCTTTCGAGAGATGCGAATCTGCCTTGTGTCTATGTCTCGACGTCCTTCGCCACCTAGTCGATCTCTGGAGTTCTGACGAGGATGACGACCTTGCAGAAGCATCATTTGAGGTGTACGACTGGTTCCTTAACATCGCACTGAACAAAGGAATTGCTTCACCACGAGTTCTGTCCGCACTGGCTGATCTGCTGGACTCTCTGCTGCTGAAAAACGCAAGTTACGGTGCTGACGATGTACCATCTCCGCGAACAAGCCTACTAAAGATCCTAGAGGTCAGTGATCCTCCGAACCAGCATAGAATGGCTGCGAAATTGCCCCACATCTTCGACAAGTACGTTCTGACGCAGCACGATGCCATATTCGAAGATATCGTCGGGAAATTGCCTTCGGATCCTGGGCGAAAAGAAGGTATCGCCGCACGCCTGTACATCGTATCGCATCTGGGCGCACGATGGCACACTGTCTTACGACAAGCCACATACCACGTATTCGAAACTGTCGCTCACGTGCCTGCTACGACGAAGATCGCGCATGACTGCATCGATCAAACCTGCAAATTGCTCAACCTAAAAAACCCGAGACTCCTTTTCAAGCTGTTTGCGCCTCAGATTTTCTTTACATGGCTGTCAACGGAGAGTCTCTCCTCGATGCCTTTCCAAGCCTTCGGATACACCTCTTTGCAGGAACTGGCCGAGGATAATATTGCTGAGCTGACGGGACAAACAGCTCTTCGCGGGATGGCTCAGGCAGAAGACCTGGCCCGACTTGTCGGTGTGGAATGGACTGAACTGCTTGCGGAGAACTTCGCCACTGCCGAAGCTTACACACTTGCTTCGGAGACAAGCGTGCCGAAGCAAGAACGACTCTATGATGGCTCGGAGAAACTGGTCAGGAAACGACTCGGGTCCGAAGTATACCTTCAACGGCTCCGCGAGTGCCTCCCGGACATCATCGTCGTGCTACTCACGTCGCTTCAAGACGACCGCGGCATTGACAAGGCTTTGCCCTCCCGAAACCTGGGCTGCTGGCAGGAGATGGTTGACCTAGCGGGGCACCATACCGAGCTTCCGCTTGCTCAGCAGCCATGCTTCCGCGCACGTTGCCTTCCTGAGGAACTTAACTACTTGTTGTCAAGACTCGACATGCACCAAGAAGACATCTGGACACCGGCCCTCCTGATTCACTTGTCCCGGCGATTGCTGGACAAAGCGCGGCCAGCATTAGGACCTCTGCACACATGCAGCATCATCCGGAAGATACGTATTGTAATCAGCCTCGCCGGGCCCGCTGCCCTTGAAGGCTATCCCCTGGAGACGATGCTTCACAGTTTACGACCTTATCTGACCTTGTTTGAATGCGCAGGGGACGCGATGGGCATTTATCGCTTTCTTCTCCGCCATGGAGCGCCATATCTTTCCGCTCGGCCTTCTTTCATTGCTGGTCTTGGTGTCACCATCTTTGCGTCTCTTGCTGGCTTCATTAGCTCCTCGCAAGACAGCACTACGCAAGAAAGTCATTTCCTCGCTACGATGACCAAGGCCCAAGAGTTCCGCATGTTCCTAACACAGTGTCTGGAGTCCCTCCAGCTTGTGAATATAACAGCCGACGCTGAGCAGACTTATACGCGGGTTATCCAACATGCAAGAGCAATAACCCAACCGGGGACTAGCGCGAAAAGCACCAGTGAAGGCCAGCTGCTTTATGATCTGCTTATGGACCAAAGCAACAAAAACCCGCTTCTTTCCCGCCTTCACTTTGAGCTCTCTATTACAATCCTATGCCAACATTTCTCCCCGCCACCAGATCAGCAAGATGACATCCTGGCGAATGATGGGGATGCTTCCCGTGTTTTTCCTGTGTTGGAAAGCCTCCTGAGGGACCTTGAACTGAACCAGCCGTTCCGGATGTGGGCAGCCCAAGTGATGGGTCGAGGTTTCGTCATGCGTGGGCTCAGCTCCGGAGGGAACAAGAAGGCACGCCAGATGCGAGTGGCGACCCCAATTTCCAGAGAAGGCTTCCCAGATTTTGAGGCAGTCTCATCTTATACCAGCATCGTGCGACATCTAACCAACCTGCTTTGGACGTCTGATTATCCTGCAACGAGCTTTGCCGAGAACACATTACAATTGATCTTCAGCAATATGAGCCAATCCGGCAAACGCGGCTTCCTGGATCCTGAATTCGACAGAACCCTTGTGCAGGATATGAGCTTCACACATTGCCCGTGTCCTACTACGCTGCTGTCGCGTGATCTGAGTGCGTCAGACAACAAACACGAAGGATCCTGGGACCCGCGTTTGCAAGCGCAGCACTGGGCTGCCGAACTCCTTGCTCAGATTTCTGACGCAGCCGCTAGGGATCCCGTGCTGAACGTCCTGAAGCCTCTTATCAACGCAATACCCGAGTCGGCCGAGACGCTATTGCCACAAAGCGTGCATCTCGTTCTACTTAGCGAGTTCGACTCTCGCCAAGATTTCCGGGAAAGGTTGTCAGTAATGTTCTCCGATATCCTTTCTCCAGGTGTTCAGCAACCCAGTCCAGCACGACCGTTGGTGCTCAAGACTCTGCTCTATCTCAGAAAATGCAAGCTTCCCCGAGAGACCAATATGGCACAGCGAAGTTCTTGGCTTGAGGTAGATCTCCACCATGCTGCTATGGCCGCAAGCGACTGTCAAATGTGGCATGAAGCTCTTCTCTTTCTGGAGCTTCATCATTCCCAGGCGCAACTGCAAACAGGTCGTTCTTCCCGCAGTTCACTTGTCATGACCGAAGGTATTCCAATCGAAGTTATCTCGAAGATCTATGAGAATGTCGACGATCCTGATTTTTTCTACGGCAAGCACCAGACCTACGACTTGCAGTCAGTCATCAGTAAACTAGGGCATGAAGGTGCGAGCCAGAAATCCTTGTCCTTCCGCAGTGCTATGCTTGACTCGCAATTGAGAGTCACCGAGCAAACAGCGGCACTAGGCTCGGTGGCATTGGCTACCGCGTCATCGCTGAGTGCTGCGAATATGCAGGGCGTATCGGAGGCTGTGAGACAACATTATGAAGTTTTCCAGAAGGGTGCTTCTGCGGATAATGGCTCTGCACAAGATCGATGGGACTTGCTGTCTTCAAGCGAATCGACCTCGTCCTCGGTGGGCCTGTTGTCCTTGTTCCACGATATGCATAACATCTCAAACAAGGATAGCTTCCTCCTTGAGCTGGACCAATTGTTATTCGACGTAAGTGTCGCTATCAAGGCGGAATCCGCTAATAGAAGCCACTCGCATCGCCTCTATTCGAATTTGGCAGTCCTTGCAGAAGCGCGACAGACACTTGGTGCAACGTCGGTGGACAGTCTAGAATCGGCCTGTGCAGCTTTCGCGGCCAGGAACGAGAATCTAAAGCTCGCCAGGTAGGTATCTTTGCACATTGTCCGGTAATTTCTGACAACAGCAGGTTCGACGCATTATCCCCGGTGTTGGCAGGCAGAGAGGCCGCTTTCGCCGCCGTCAGAAGAAACCAGCGACTACAGAGTTCCTTCCTTGTTAACATCCACCAAGCGCTACTTCTCGAATTCCGTGTGACTAGGCAGTCTCTGGAAGTGGCGTCGAGTTATGACGAACCTCAATTCTGCTTGAATAGGGCGATGTATCTGTCCGAGCTCAATCATCTAGCTCAGCGAGTCGACCTGCAGGTTGATGTCGCAACTAATTACGACCTTGCCAGAACTTTATGGGAACAAGAAGAAGCGTCTGCGTCCATTGGGATTCTAGAAGATCTCGGAAGTCGAAAAGATATTGCCAAACAAGCCATCGCTGTAACGCGAGCTGACATTCTGACGGACCTTGGGCACAAGATTGCCGAGGCTCGTCTCGAAAAACCAGACGAGATCATCGAGCGCTATCTAGCCCCAGCGATTCAGGAGCTACATGGACCTCGAACGGGATCAGCCGCCGGTCGGGTTTTCCACAACTTTGCTGCCTTCTGTGATATGCAGCTGCAAGATACTGACAACCTGGATGACTTCACCCGCATCAACAAGATTCGAGAGCGGAAGACACAAGAAGTCTATGAGCTCGAAAGGATGGTTAAGAACAGCAAAACGGAGCAGCAGAAGCAGAAGCTCAAGTCACATTGGGCCAGGGCTCGAAACTGGCTCAAGCTAGACGAGGAAGAATGGAGAAGAGTATCGGAGAACCGAGAGAATTTGATCCTACAATGCCTGGAGAACTACCTGCTCGCTATGAGGGCTTCCGATGACTATCCTAACGATACGCTCCGGTTCGTCGCTCTCTGGCTCAACCGGGCGGAAAGCCCGACCGCAAATGCGGCCGTCCAGAAGCACCTCAGCACGGTGCCAACAATCAAATTTGCGCCACTCGTCACCCAGCTGACATCTCGCTTGTTAGATTTCAAGGACGACTTTCAAAAGCTGCTCAAGGATCTCATGTTCCGGATCTGCTCAGACCACCCGTTCCACAGTCTGTACCAGATCTTTGCAACCAGCAAGTCTCGTCCACCGACTGGTGACGATATCGCCGCATCCAGATGGACGGCAGCAAACAGATTAACAGAACGCGTCAGGCAACAGAGCACATCCTCAGCCATATGGACTGCTGTCCACAACACTTGCGTCGCTTTAAACAAAGTCGCCGTGGAACCACTGCCGGAAAAACATGGCAAGGCTGATTCTAAGACGCTCCAGTTGCGGAAGTTACAAGGTGGCCCAGGGCTAGAGGCACAAATCACGAAACCGACTTCGAAGATTCCACCGCCTACTATGAGTATCGCTTTAAGAGCAGATCGCGACTACTCGCAGGTACCGACATCTGTCTCGATCAGTCCGGAGCTTTCTGTTGCGAGCGGTGTCTCGGCGCCCAAGATCGCCACAATCATTGCCTCGGATGGCTCTCGACACAAATTGCTCTTGAAAGGCGGCAATGACGACCTTCGACAAGACGCAATCATGGAACAAGTGTTCGAGCAAGTTTCCAACCTCCTCAAAGAGCACCGCAGCACACGGCAACGGGACCTCGGGATCAGAACGTACAAAGTGGTGCCGTTGACCAAAAACTCGGGCGTCATCGAATTCGTGCAGAATACGATCCCATTGAACGAGTATCTCCTCCCAGCTCATGCACGGTACTATCCCAAGGACTACAAATCGAACAAAGCCAGAAAGGACATTGCGGACGCTCAAGGGAAAACGGTTGAGCAACGAGTACGGGCTTATCACACGGTCGCCGCCAACTTTCACCCAGTCATGCGCTTCTTCTTCATGGAGAAATTCCTCGACCCTGATGACTGGTTCTACAAGCGCCTCAACTACAGCCGCTCCACTGCTGCCATCAGCATTCTGGGCCATGTGCTCGGTCTAGGAGATCGACACGGGCACAATATACTGCTTGACGAAAAGACAGGAGAGGTGGTGCACATCGACTTGGGCGTAGCTTTCGAGGCTGGGCGGGTGTTGCCAGTGCCTGAAGTCGTTCCCTTCCGCCTGACCCGCGACCTTGTCGACGGAATGGGGCTTACAGGCGTCGAGGGCGTGTTCCGACGCTGTTGCAATTTCACCCTTGAAGCCCTTCGTCGCGATCAAGAAGCAATCATGACCATTCTCGACGTTCTCCGCTATGATCCATTATATTCATGGTCCGTCTCTCCACTTCGCCTCCAAAGAATGCAGGAGAACAATGCTCAAGCCCCGAGCACGGACGGTGCTGCAGGAAGCACTGCCGCGACAGGCATCAGCAGTATATCACTTGCAAATAACGCGACTGCCTTCGGTGTAATTGCAGCAAGGAGAGAAGAGACAGAACCAAGTGAAGCCGACCGGGCATTGACCGTAGTGGCGAAAAAATTAGGCAAGGCCTTGAGTGTAGAGGCAACAGTTAACGAGCTGATTCGGCAAGCGACAGACGACCGCAATCTGGCGTTGTTGTATTGTGGTTGGGCTGCCTATGCTTGATGGACGAAACAGGCAGCGTGCTTGTGGGAGTGCCACCCCGATTTGAGGAGAGTCAGATGGTGAAGCTTGTTATGTACGGGGAGGATCAGTGTCTTTCCAGCCGCCGAGGCGGCGCTCGTTGCATGCCGACGGGAAGTTGTAGGAGCAGGGAACAGTTGCAGCTCATGGTGGACCAGCATTGAAGCAGACAAGTCTCCTGTCTCGTGTCGTTTCTGCTGCAGGATCTTCCCTGACTGTGCTTGTGTTCGTTGTTTCTAGGCGGCTAGGAAAGTGATCATGCTGGTTAGGGTTGGGTCATCTAGACCCTGTCACGGTGGGAACCGGCGTGGCAATTTCTCCAAGTGGACGCTTTTGTCCTTTGCTTGATTTGTGCAGCTTCACTTCTTTCTTCGAGGAGCAGTCTTCGCCGATCGCTGCTGTGAAAGTCGTGGCATTTGAGCCTTCCGTTGTCGAAGGCCTTCCACAGGAAGCGCCGATGTCATGATTCAGGCTCGTCAAAGGACAACTTAATCTTCTTCCCTTTTTTCTTTGGCGCGGTGGCAGCTTTCTGGGCTGGATGGACTTCATCGGTTTGCCCCTTTGCTAAGCGTCTCTGCTTGTCGTCTTTGTCGCTTTCACTTGGTTGATTCTCGCCCTCTCCACCAACAAATTTCCCAAGCTTCCTCTTCTTTGCTGTCGCCGAAGAGCCGATTTCGGCGACTCTCTGCCGCTCAGATTGCTTTGTGCCTTGCTCGGCTCCCAGCTCCGAGACTTTGGGATCTTCTGTCGTGGCTGGCGTGTAACCCTCGTCCTCGCCCTCGCCATTGACCCGCCGCTCAAACTCGGCCTTTTCAATCCTTTCACCTTGCTCATCAACGATCACCGGCTCATCTTCATCGTCATCGCCGGTCTTCAACCTGTCCTTTTTTGGTCGAGCGATCTGGACGTTGTGTCTTCCATCAAGACCACCAAACTCCCCTTTCAGTTTGCGGAGGAAGGCTGGTTCTTGTTTGTTGTATTGTAGGTTTTTTGGGTTGAATGCCATTCCAACGCCTTTCCAAATCGCGCGATGTCGGTGAGCTGAACAAATTGGACCGATCGAAGGTGTCCCCGTGCTGAAACCGACGCTCACGAAGCACGCTAAGCAAGAGCATTTGCTCCGCCGTAACAGGTCACGTGCCGATAAGCTTTTATCGGACCGGACTCTTTTGGGCGACTCCTGAGTGTTCGACGTCAAGACGTGTTCGCCTTCTCTTTCACTCGCCCGAACCTCGTGTTACAATGCCGCAGTGACAAAAGCCGGCCGCATCAATGCTGTGGCCCCCTACGCCTGCGCAGTGTGCGCGAGGCTATATCAGAACGTCTCAGAAGTTCAGGATATGCCCCCAGTTCGCTGCAAGAGCCGCAGCGATCCTACGACGACGTTATGCCTCCGAGACCGATAACCATAACACCGAGCGGAAGTCACTGGCGCGGGTCGCGAGCGCCCGATATAATGAGATTGGTGTGCAACAACTGAGCGATCACCTTCATCCACAAGTATTCCTGTCGAGGGCCACGCGACCACGTGCGGATTTAGTCGACCTGTCCAAAGATCATTTGCGCAGGCATGGACTACTGGGCAAGAACCAGGATCACAATGCCGCCGTGGGGCTTGACGCGCCTCCGATCATCGGAAGCAGTCTGGACGAGCACTTCACTAAGCTGGCCATGGACGCCTCCGAGCCATACCTGTCTTACGCCAACGCCTTCGTCCGAGCGAATACTCCGCAAAGACCTCGGAAATGGGTTATCAGGAGCGGCTGGACAAAGTACCACCCAGACATGACCACGGAAGAGGTGGACGCGCCAGACGAGACGATGCTATCATTCGACGTCGAGACCATGTGGCGAGAGTCACCGTTTGCCGTCATGGCCACTGCCGCCAGTCCCAATGCTTGGTATGCCTGGATATCTCCGTGGCTGCTCGGCGAGACGGAAAATCCTCGACAGCTTATACCATTGGGCGACCCTACGAAACCGCGGATAGTCGTGGGGCACAACGTCGGCTACGATCGCGCAAGAGTCAAAGAGGAATACGATCTGAAGCAGTCTCGGAACTTCTTCCTTGACACAATGTCCCTACATGTCGCCGTGAACGGAATGTGTTCGAGGCAACGGCCAACGTGGATGAAGCACAAGAAGAACCGAGACTTGCGAGACAAAATGGCCGGCGACGACAACTCGTTTGAGCTCCAGAGAATGCTTGAAAGTAAGATGCTAAGCGAGGAAGAGGAGGAACTGTGGGTCGGAAGAAGTTCCATTAACTCATTACGAGATGTAGCCAAGTTCCACACGGGCATCACCATTGACAAAAGCCAGAGGGACTACTTTGGCGAACTGGACCGGGAGGGCATCATGCAACGAATCGAGGAACTGCTGGACTACTGTGCTGCGGACGTCGCCATCACTCACAAGGTCTTCCAGAAAGTCTTTCCCAACTTTTTGGAAACTTGTCCCCACCCAGTCAATTTCGGTGCGCTTCGACACATATCGTCCGTCATTCTGCCTGTCGACAAGTCCTGGGACGAGTACCTGGAAAGGGCCGAAGGCACGTACCAGCAGAGATTAAAAGACGTCCAAGATCGACTTCTACAGCTCTGTGAAGTGGCACTAGGCGCCAAAGATAAGCCAGACGTATACCACAGCGACCCTTGGCTTAGCCAATTGGACTGGTCAGGACAGGAGATCAAGTACAAGAAGGCAAAGAAAAAGGGCGAGAAGCCCGTCCCGGTCGCTCGGCAGAAAAAGGCTGGTGCACCTAACTGGTATCGAGACTTATTTACCTCGAACTCGTCACCCATCAGCCTGACTGTTCGAACGAGGATCGCGCCGCTTTTGTTGAAGCTCTGCTGGGATGGATACCCCTTAGTGTGGTCCGACCTGCATGGTTGGACTTTCCGGGTCCCAAGTGGCGAAGTGCACAAGTACGAGCACAGCAACGCCGTCAGCTGCGATATGGCCAACGAGGAGAACGTCAAGCTGAGAATCGACACTACGCACACTTACTACAAGCTTCCGCACAAAGACGGCCCATCCGCACGGTGCACATCGCCCCTAGCCAAGGGTTACTTGCAATATTTTGAATCTGGCACATTGACGTCGCAGTATCCATTGGCCAGAGAAGCCTTGGAGATGAATGCGTCATGCTCCTACTGGATCTCGGCCCGTGACCGAATCACATCCCAGCTGATCGTCAAGGAAGCCGACCGGGATCCCTCGCTGACCGGGAAATCGGATCAAGGTTTTATCTTGCCTCAGATCATCCCGATGGGCACCATTACGCGGCGCGCCGTGGAGAATACCTGGCTGACCGCGTCGAATGCCAAAGCCAACCGTGTTGGGTCCGAATTGAAAGCAATGATCAAGGCACCACCTGGCTACTGCTTTGTTGGGGCAGACGTCGACAGCGAGGAGCTCTGGATTGCATCTCTTGTGGGAGATGCCCAATTCCGGCTTCATGGCGGCAATGCCATCGGCTTCATGACGCTGGAAGGCACAAAAGCTGCAGGCACTGATCTCCATTCCAAAACCGCCAAAATTCTGGGCATATCCCGAAATGACGCCAAGGTCTTCAATTACGGCCGCATTTATGGCGCCGGCTTGAAATTCGCAGCGACCCTACTCCGTCAATTTAATCCGACCCTGTCCGAGCAACAGACGACCGAAATCGCCTCGAAGCTGTACAGGGAAACAAAAGGCACTCGCACGCGACGCAAGCTGCTCGGGAACGGCTCCTTTTGGCGTGGCGGCACCGAATCTTTCGTGTTCAACAGACTCGAAGAATTCGCCGAGCAAGAACGTCCTCGCACGCCTGTTTTGGGAGCAGGGATTACAGAAGCCCTGATGCGGAGGTTCATCAACCAAGGCTCGTTCATGACGTCTCGCATCAATTGGGCAATTCAATCTTCAGGTGTTGACTACCTGCACCTCCTAATCATCGCCATGGACTACCTGATCCGTCGCTTCAACCTCGACGCTCGTCTTGCTATCACAGTGCATGACGAAATCCGATACCTTGTGGCGCAACAAGATCGCTACCGTGCGGCAATGGCATTACAAATCAGTAACCTCTGGACCAGGGCCATGTTCAGCCAGCAAATGGGTATTGAAGATCTGCCCCAGTCGGTCGCCTTTTTCTCCGCTGTCGACATTGATCACGTTCTACGCAAGGAGGTGGATATGGACTGTGTGACGCCAAGCCATCCCGAGAAGATTCCTCATGGCGAGAGCCTCGATATCAGCGAATTGCTTGAGATGGGCAACCAGGCATATTTGGACCCGAATGTTGTGCCGAAGGACGGGCCGATCGACTTGGACAAGTACAAGTATACCCCGAGGAAGAGTGTCATGGAGATATTGAACGGCGACGGGGAGAGCGATGTCGCTTACGTCAGGGCGCAAATCACGTCTGACGATAAAGAGTTGAGAGATATCATCAAAGAAGTGGAGAAAGAATCCTCGTCATCGGGCGAAAAGGCCACCATAACGAAATCCGGCACTGGCCCCAAAGGATCTGGCTCTTCAGGTTCGGGCTCAGGCTTGCCGAGAGGTCGTCGGCCGAAACCTAAAGTTCCCATCCCAGCTCACGCGCAACCCCAACAAGCCATACTCATGGAGGTGGAAGAACGTTGGAGTATGGGTTACAACAAGGCCTTTGGGGGTGATAAGCCGTGGTTGCCCGAGAAGAAGTCGGATTGGACGAGGAAGTGGGCCAGTGACGGGTGGGAGGTGTAGGCCTCATGTGTTTATGATATGTGTTACTTTTCAGCATTTGCGTGGATGGGCTACTTGTGTATGGATTGTATGCTTGATATGTGTTTCTTTTGTACGAAAGTTTTAGTGACGGAGTTCCAGTGGCATGTATGTATTCCCACAGAGCTGGACGGAGGGCGGCAACGGGTGTACAGTACATACCTAGGTACCTGTGTGGATATCGTCGAGGTCGAACCGGTGTCAGAATACCGGGATACTATTGAGTGCTTCATGCCAAATTTCAGACTTTTGCGTCGTCTTGATCCTTTAATGGCGTCCAGACTGATTGTCCGAATACTAGCGAATGCGTTCACCAAACCTCATACCTTTGCGTCGTCTCCATCCTGTAGTCACGTCCTAGAGACCATCACAACCTCCACCGCCGAATCATCCCATCTCCCTCATAATCCGCGCAATCTCCCTCTTCGCGAACCTCTCCCTCTCGTCCTGGCCCATCTCCAGTCCCGCCTCCCTTATGGCAACGACCCGTTCAACCAGGCCAGGAAGCCTCTCGATCTGCGTTTCTTGGTCGGCGTCGTCACTGTGATTCATCTCCCGAGAATCATCCCCTCTGTCATCATCTCCCGCTTCCTCGTCGTCTCCCCCGAGCATACTCATCTTCAACTCCATCATCTCCCTCTGCAGTTCAAAGTCCAGGGCGCCGAATCTGGAGGCCCCGTCTCCCACTAACGTCCTGGCCCGCATATTCGGCAACGTATCGTCATCGCCATCGGTGTATTCATCGTCATCGAAATTGAGATCGTCCCCGTCGTCACCTCCGTCACCGTCACCCGGCTCGGCCGACCAATCTACCGACTCGAGAACCTCGAGCACGCGCGGGAGACCTGTTTTCTCGCCGTGTTCGTTCCTCTCGCCATATTTGTTCCTCTCGGCTTGCATTGGCTCTTGCATTTGGTCCTCCTCCTTTTGTTGGGCGTCTCGCCCTCTGATCACGCCATCCCACGCCACAAATTCCCACCCCAGGAATCCCAGTTCAAGACACCGCTCCTCGAGCTGTTCAATGAGGAGCCCATTTTGCTCAGTAGTAGTGGGACTCGTCCTTCTCGTCCCAGGGCCCGAAGAGGAAGAAGCCTTCTGCAACACGACGAGGGAAGCGATATCCCTGCCGGGAAAGTCGTCCTCGATGGCTTCGCGGAGGGTGTGGGCTGTTTGGATGAGCTTGATGAGTGGGTCCCGCTCGGTCTCGCGGTCCTGGTCCGGGTCCTGGTCGTGGTAGTGTGATGCTGACGCCGATGCTGATGCTGATTCTCGCGTCGCGAGGGCGGCAGAGGTAGTGGTAGAGGTTGAAATGGCAGAAATCGGCAAGAGAAGGACGATCCCGGCTATCACGGCGCGGACTTCGCGTGCCGCTGGTGAGAGGATCTGACGTGTCCAGTCCTCGAGAGTTAGGGTTGGGATTGGGGTCATCGACTCAGTGCTTGCGTCTATGTCTGTGTCTGAGTTGACGCCCTGGCTGACCTGGCGTTGACTCTCGGCCTCGTCCTCGTCACTGCTCGGAGGATTCGAATCGAGCGAGTTCCTTGCATCTCTCTCGCTCAGTGGTGGCAATGCTGGTCCGGGAGACGCTCGCCTACCGGGAGATTGTGGCGTGGCAAACGGTGAAGGTAACTCGTCGCACCATATCCCCACGTCGCGGGCGTAGTATTTCGTCGTCAACCTTACGGGTGGGTGTGAAGTGTAGCCTGAAAAGGTGGCCACGTCGGCGGACGGCCTGGAGCCGGTGATTGCCTCGAGGAATGCTGGGAACAGGGGCGGTGTAGGTAACGAGGACGGAGCTGGCGTTGGCCCTGACGCCCATGCTGACTCTGACACTGGCGCTGAAATGCCGGGGATAGTGCTTGGAGAGAGGACTAGGAGGCGGAGCGACGACGGTTTTACTGGGCATGGAGACGTCGTAGAAGGCATGGCTTTGGTGGTGTTTGCGTTCGCCTAGACTATGATCCTCGGATGTGCTTGCCTCGTCGTATGTGTATGCTTGTGTACTGTGTCTGGCTCGGCGTTTCCGGCGTGTCATATGCTTTCCATGAGAATGTGGTACTCGACGGTGGGAGGCGTGCTCAGGGGAGCGGTAGTTCACGGCCGGGTTCTGCAAACCCTTACACGGTTTGTCAGAGTCGGTGCCCTACAAGTCTTGCGTAAGTTTAGGTTGTTTCTGCCGTAAAGTGATTACCCTTGCACAGACCGAATGGAATGCTTAGGATGGGAGATGCTGTCAAGACAAGGATCGGATTTATATCCAGCCTTGGCGAGTGCGGCGAGGCTTTAATATTCCTTCGTCAGCAAAGGCTACATATACGCCACCCACCACGCCCTCAGCGGTCGATCGACAAGCGATTCCTCGTTGGTGAGGCTATGCCGCCGGTCCTCGTGCCGTAAACAGTCTTTGGACTTCCAACTGCATGAAGGGCTCTCCTCAACTTATTGCGCCATAGGTCCCCAACATGCATGCACGGTGCTATCAAGCGGCACATCTCAGACTTCTGCCTCGTCGTGCACGTTCCCGTGCCTGCCAGTGGCGTGCAATCTCTTCGGACGCAATTTGTGCTCTCCTTTCCCTTGTGTAATTTGCAGCACATAGGCAGCGTCGAACTAGGGCCCAGCCACTTCCTTCCATCGGAATACCAAATCTCCAAGCTTCTTGTACCAGTCTCATATTCACTGCCTCCTCCCTGCTCGCGCGCGATTGACAGTCGCCCGCCCTCTCGCTAGCCCGACACCTCGTCCTCTTGTCCCCCTAGATCTGAACATGGGCGCATTCCGGAGCATATCCGGGACGATGAAGAACCGCACGTGGCTGCCTCGGATGTAGACTTGGTCGAGGTGGGAGACGCGCCCGTCGCGGGCCGTGGCGGTGATGTCTTTTAGTTGGACGTTCATGTTGTCTTCCGCTGGGCATTGTTAGTCGAGAAAGCGCATTGTGGGTACGGCCACCAACCTTCCAGAAGTTTGCCCCGGTAGACTTGACCGGATGTGAGTTCTAATGTGACAACATGGCCCTACACGCAAAGTTTAGCCTCGTCCTTCCTGCTACCGCGTGTGGGATCCTCACCTGTGCCTCGTTGAGCAGCTTGATGGGTATGCCGATTGTGGATGTGAGTTTGCCCATGGTGGGCGGGTGGTAGGCTTGCGCGAGTCGACCTCAGTACTTGACAGGTTCGCGGGGTAGAGTGCGACAGTAGGTCCTGAAGCAAAGAAGAAGCGGGAACTCAAATGTGTAGTCAGTTCACAAGTAGATGTTTGCTTCGCACCGCAAGTCGCAGTGGGAAAATGAATGCGATCTGGAATCGGATCTTATCTTATCTCCGCGTGTTGATATTGACGTCGTACAGTACACTCTCTTGACACTCACTTCAGTCTTCTACAAGCGCCGGGCGGTCCATTTCAACGATCACTCTCTGACATGCCACTCTTTTCCAATGTCCCAGCACTGCGCCTGACATTGGCCTACGCCCTGAGCGAGCCGTCCTCTCTACTCCCGCACAGAACCATACCTACACTCCTTCCACTTCCACTGCCAATCGGCCCGTGGCTTCCCTCTCTCAACAGCACAGGCAAGAAACCGACTATTCGCGCCCTGGTTCTTGACAAGGATAATACGCTATGTCCGCCGGAGACAACCAAGCTCCATCAATCATATATAAACAAGCTTGAGAAATTGAAACAGAGCGACGAATTCTCCCACAACCCACACAGCATCCTCATCGTCTCCAACACGGCGGGCAGTTCTTCCTCGGCTGAGCATGAAGCTGAAGCCAAGCTACTGGAAAAGGAGCTAGGAATCCCCGTCTTGCGCCAACACCCTGACCGCAAGAAACCGTTCTGCGGTCCGGATATTTTGGCCCACTTCAAGGATCATGGCGTCACAGAGGACGCGCAAGAGATTGTGGTTGTGGGAGATAGATTAGCGACGGACGTTCTGTTGGCTAGAGAGATGGGTAGCTGGAGTGTCTGGACGAGAGACGGGTGGCGGAACCCGGAGACGCCGGGACGGGATTATCGGGGTTTCTTTGGACGGATGGAAAGTCGATTTGAGAGATTCATGAGGGGCGGACTAGGCAGGACGGCGCCGTTACCGAAGACGGGTCCAAGTTCGTGAGCGTCGAAAGAAGATTGGCTGTCGCAATCCCAGTGTTGGTTCAAGAGAGGGCCATCCTCCGTCAACGGGCACGAGACTCGCTTCTGCACAATGATGCCGCTAACAAGACTTGTGGACGCTCGGAAACCGGGAATAGGAATGCGGACATGGTCGGCTTCACACTCCTTGCAGCCACGGCTGATTCATCACCTCTCTTCGCTGGGGACATTCAAGTTTTCAGAAACTTATCCCCAGCATCGACGGAGCTTCCCGAAACGGTCGACGTCCCCGTTGCCGAATGAGGGTATGGCGGTAGACTCCTACTGTCAGTCATGACCAGCCCCGACAACGCCGCTGGCAACTCGCTCATACCACCGGGCAGTCCGATTTGCGGCGTACCTGTCGACTGCAGGCCCCCACTTGCATTCGACATGGGACTCACCGGACCAGCAGTATCCGAGCCCACCGGGTCTACCGCCTTGCGGGCAGCCAAAATCTCCCTCTTGACCAACTGACTGTTGTCGATCGTCCACCGTCTATTCACAATCTCGATCACCGCGTCCTTCATGGAGAATTTATTCTCCTTAACGCGAACCTCGATGCGGCCGGAGAAAGGCACGCGGATCCACTCGCCTTTATCCTCTACTACAGGTACGTTGTCTGCAGAAAACTGCGGATGACTGTTAGTTAGCTTTCATAACAGAGTTCCAAATTAGAAGTTCAAGAGCTCAACTCGTACCAACATAAACCTGACCCCCTCAAACAGCACCTCCTGCCTCTTCGCGTCATGCTCGATACAAATCGCCCGCTTCAGATCGATCTGATGTCTCGAACACCGTTGCCGACTAGAGATGATGTTCACAATCGCTTCCTCGCGCCCGATACTCCTCTCTGATTCGTTTTCATTGTCCGTCTGCGTAATCGTGACTGTTAGCGTGGCATGGCATGAGCAGTAGCAAGAGCACGGATGTTCGTATGAGCAATGCAGCAGCATGATACCCGACCCAGAGGAATCAAAGACACAATGTTTCTCAGTCAGGCGTGAATCAAGAAATGCGAACCGTGAAATACGAAATGCGAAATGTGCGAGGACAGGACAGGACAGGACATACAAAATCTCGCGCCAAAAGCCCCTCCAACGTCCCTCGACTGGAATTCCCACCACTAGTGGTATCCGTATCGTACTCGAGGAACAATTTCTTGAGACACTGGAATCCGTGGGGCGACTTGGTCGTGATGGCGTGGTAGGATGTCGTGTGTTCGTGGATTTGCACTTTTGGCATCTTTGGGTTTGACCGCCGTGTCAGTAAGGACTGATATTTTCTGCTGAACTTGAAAAGTCGAGGCTGGAGAGTCGAGTTCGACGACTCCGGCTTGGACGTGGACGTGGACGTGGCCGATTCCCTTCACGACGAAGCTCAATCGCTCGCTGTCTCGCTGTCTCGATGTCCTGGGTTCGATTGTCTTGTCTTCCAGTGTCTAAGTAACTAGAAGGACAAAGAACAGGGCACGGGCGGCAATGTGATGTATGTGTTGAGTACTCCGTACGTCCCCCCGGTTCCTGTGCGGTGCTGTGCTGTGCTGTGTTACCTAGGTAGGATTGTGGCAATTATTCACTGTATTGTGCCGGCTGGTATATTGTCGACATGCGCCGTACACTGTGCAGTCCCTATTATCCGCAATGTTGTCAGCTCTGTTGTTGTTGATGTCGTCGTGCAGCTGCTCAACCCCCTTCGAAACGTGCTCGGTGGTTGATTGGTCCTCGTGTGGGGATGCCGCTGCATCCTCCTGTCTGTGGGTGAGCCTGAAACAGGCCAGGCGTCCAGCGTTCGCGTGGCTCTGAAACACCTTTACTTAACCCGCCTAATTACGGCCACCTCGCACGGTGACTCCCAGCCGGTTAGATAGTTGGTCGGATCTTGTGTCACGCGAGTGCGATGCCTTCGGTTCTACTGTTACTATCATGTGGTGTCTTTGAGGTCGTGCCTGGTATTCTGTGACCCGATACGAGTATTCCGTACATACCCAGCGAACTGCAGGTGAGCTGGAGGTCTTTACTTGGAGGCCTGATTCAGGAGTATTTCGTGGGGAGCTAGTGGATCAGCCCTGCACGCCCTCGTGGCCCGGAACTCATGATCGACTCTAATGTACTCCGTACGAGGCTCTTTTCCAGCGTCGACAGCATACGCCGAGACTGTGCAACCTGTTGATGAGGTCGTCCGGGGCTCGATGGACACTGATGTAGTGGTTCTCTCTGTGGAAGACGTCCTCCCGTCCGTCCTTCAGCTGCTTGCATACTCGGAGGATGTGCAACTGGGCCCGCTAGTGGATTTCGCGCTGGAGACCGAATTGAAGGAAGTTGTCGTTGGCGACATCACAATGCCACTGCCCTGGTGTGTATTGCCTTGTCCACCGTACGGGCGTTTGGCCAGCATATCGAATTCGAGTTCCGGCAGGCAGGGAGGCGTGGAAGTCACTGCTTGGTTCCATTCCAGCAGCAGCAGGTGTCGTAATATCTCCAGGCGAAGCGGCACGCTTGCGGTTTCTGCTTGGGCGGTCCATGTCAGCGATTGTGGTTGGAGTCGCAGATGCAAGAAGCATAGGATGTTGTGATGAGAAGACACGGCAGGTGAGGAGAGGTGAGGTAGGTGCAGTTAGGTGACGGCAACTGTGACTGCGCTCGCCGTGCAGTTGGGACCCATTGAAGTACCAGCTTGTTGTTCACTCTCTCTTCCTTGTTCATTCACTTGCCGCTCTCTTTGACTTCTCTCATGGGGAGAATCAGGGCCAAATCCTGGATGCGGAACTCCACCAGTTGGACATCCTCGACAAGAGTAGGATGGTTTTCAAGGTCCAGGCTATTCGTTGGCCGAATCAACATTTCTTGTCTGGTGTCCGCGGCCAGCGATATCCACCCTCCCTCCTCTGGCCTTCTCCGTGGTAAAGCCCAGCCTTGTCATGCCAGGATCCAATTCGGATGAATTGATCTGGTTGCCCTGGTGCTTGGAAGCGCTTGCACAAAGCAGAGGAGGAGAACAATGCAGGGTATTATACGGTGGATACTGCAGTCAAGAGCAATCAAGGACTTCATGGGCATTCATGGGTTGATTGCAATGTACACTAACATTCATGGATGCGGGACAAGACAAACTGGCATCGATCTCTGGCATGTCCGGTGTCCACCTTGGCCACGACACCACAATGACATGCAATTTGTAAAATCAACTTGCCCCCTAGTACCCGCACCGTGCTCACTGCGTCACCTCTCATGATTGCATAGCGCTTGTGGCCCATTCATCCTTGTCGAAGGGCTGATCCTTCAACTTACGCACATGTCCATAGTTGCAATTCAGTTCTCGGTCCAGGTACCGAATAATGTCGAATAGCGCCGCCCTGACGGCCTCAGCGGTTGCTTTCCGGACATTTCTCTGCACTTCTGCAGACTCTTGGCCAAATTGGTAGGTGCTGAAGGCGTTGTCGGAGAAAATCAGCAGTTCGCTTGCGGCGTGCAGCTTTGCCGACCACATCATCCACAATGGCATGCGCTCCTATCTCCACAATTTTCAATCCAGAAATCCGTAGTGGCTCCATGTAACAATTCTGCATCAAAGCATAAGGTCAGGTAACTTCTGAGCAAACAGCAACGAGCCCCGCGAGCGCCATGTCTCGGTGCGCTGAAGTACCAGCGCGCGATCAATACTCCATTCAAGGTAGAGGGTTTTGTGCCAACCAAGAAGATCTGGGTTGGCCAAGGAAGTGACTCGGTAGCATGCGTATGCATACAGCTGCCCAGTCCTTTCGATAAATGCCAACGGTAAGGGCCGGCTGGGTGCGAAACTGCCATTGAGGGCCTTGTCCTCAGCCGCAGACATTTGATGCGCGAACTCCTGAAACTTGGAAAAGGCTTCTGCTTGCTTGTCCTCGTCGAGACATTCGTCCATCTCGACGACGAATTCTCTGAGGTGTTTGTACATGGCGTTCTCTTCAGCGTGTCGCTTGCTGTGATAGGCATTTGTTTCCTGAAAGGCCTTGAAAACTTCCGCTTCAGTTTGGGCACGAGACTGCTTCTCGTGCTCATCAAGCGCCTCCTGGCTCCAGCACCATCTAAAGCCATTTGAGTACTTGCCGAGCCAGATGAAGATCTTCTTTCGCAGCTCCTCCACCGTGAATGGTTCTTTGCCCCCAAACAAGTTCTTTCCATACTTGCTGTGGAAATAAAGCTCGATTGGACCAGTCCGTGGGTGGGTCATTTGCACCCCGAGTACGGCGAGAACAGCTGCCGAGAGGTGTCGTGCAGGAATCAGGACTGGTGCTCCTCGCCTCATCGGCCCGTCGACGGCTGTTTTGAAGGCGATGGTGACGTTCGGCGAGACGTGGTAATGGTCCAGTTCGAAGGCTGCGCTCGTGCGACTCCATTTCCCAGCCCAGGTTTCCGGCACCCAAAACGTGTACACGTTCCACTTTACCATGACCTTGATGAACAGCTTCTGGTTTCCTCGGATCGCGACAAAGTGGTTGTCCTCAAAGAGTATCGCTCGTCCTTCTTCGTACAGTCGCTTGCAGGTCGACATGATAGCACTGTGGAGTAGGCAAGTGTGTTTCTCTCTCACAGCGGCAGCATGAAACTCATCGCGTCTCATCCTCCTAGGCATAAAACACGTGCTTGGAGGTGCAATCAGGGTCTTGTGGTTGGCGTCGATCGTGAGAAGTTCTCGAAGGATCATGCGGCGGATTTCCAGAGGCATGCCCATGAGCGTGCACTCATGGCCACTTGCTGCGATTCGAATCATATCGCAGAGCAGAGGTTTGGTGACATCACAAATCATCAAACACCAGGACAGACGATCCGACGACTACGGATAGGGCTAGGAGGACAAGTCAGTAAAGTTGAGCTGCGACCTGATAACATACCTTGATTTCTGGTTGCCAAGCGGGTGAGGCAGAGACAGTGCAAGCAAATGCAGCGACAGACCCCCATGGTCGTCGCTCTGTTCAATGTGAAAACAGAGCATGGCATAGGCAGTCAGCAGTGAAAGTAGTTCCATTGTGCTGGTGTCCTTTCAACGAACAGCAGCAGCAGGAGACTTCACTCTGAAAAGGAATCCCAGGCACCTAGGTAGAACTGTGTGACACCCTCTCTTCTAATGAACTTGCCGGTGATAGGCATCGTCTGTGGCGCGCAGGCAGAGAGAAAGGAGTGACTGGTTAGCAATCATCTCTGGGATTTCTTTTCAAGTATTTCTCACATCCCGACGGATGAGATCTCGAGACGAGGAGAACCTTGCTACTGTTTCCAGAACCGTGCTGTAGTCTCTGAAGTGAATGACACCGTGGGCCTGCCCAACGGGCGGGCTATCAACACGTGTCCGAAACAAGGAGGAAGTGCGTGTACCTTATGTGGCATATATCTGCTTGCGAGCAAAGTGGAACCTGACCAAACCAAGATCTCAAAGTAAGCGACGTTGAAGAAGCATCGAAGTTCCGCTGGTCTGGCGGACATCTCAATCGCATGTCGCACAGAATTTCTGACTCGTGCTTTCCTCGGACTCAGATTGGAAGAGAGCAGCTCCGTGAATCATGAGATGGTCTAGTAGTTAAGATGTTGGTATTTGCCTACCCTGGCTCGCTGGGAAGAGGTACCCTCAAGCAATAATTACCTTTCCATGGATGTGCCCATTCCAGCGTTATGCGCTTCAACATATCCGAAGACCACAATCATGGGATTTCTACTAGTAGAAAGAATTTGCGCCTTGACACCGTCGCCATCGTTAACATCGTAATGGTGTCCATATCGGTCGTTCCTTGCCGTTGCTTGAAAGGACAAGCTTCGCCGGGTCCCGTGAAAATGCCACAAACCCCGGCGCCATGCGTGAAAAAAGCGGAAACTAAAAATCCCACTCGGTAAGACGCCAAAATACCTTCGGCGACAAGTCACAAGTCTTGTGGGACCTGGTTGTTTAGCCAGCCCACCTGAACGTCCAGATCAAACCATTAAACCCCTTCTTCGGAGTCAATCGTTCTCCCCATAACGACATGACCACTTGCTCGATCTTGTCCGCTGTTTCGAAAAAACAGTCTCTTGGGGCACCCGGTCTAAGCTGCTGTGCCAGGTCGTGCATCAATTCGTTAAATGGTTCCCATTTCTTATCCCCGGCCTTGTTCTTCTGCTTGATGCCAGTAATCACGACCGTCCCGTTGTTGTAAATGCGACGAATGCACCATACTGCGTTGGAAAAATCATTTCGAAGGGCAAAAAGTCGTAGAAGCATCGTGTCTAGACGGATATTCCACTCCGGCACTGGGGATGCACACGGCAGTCGTAGAGCAAGAAGACCGCTGGTGAGGGCGAGATCTCGGGCCAACGGCGGCTCTAGTCGAGAGGTTCTGGGCAGAGCTGGGCTTTTTGTTAGACCTGGTTTAGCCGGCGCCGCTTGCAAACCGTTGAGTGCTCGCCCAGGCGGCATTGCCAGGACGGCTTTAGGACCGACTTCAGTAACGCCACTTGTGTCTTCAGAACGTGACGTGATTGACGGATTCCCGTCGTTCAAGGTTGAGACGGATTCTTCGCTGTGCTCGCGAACCTCATCGCGGCATCCGTCCACATTTCGACATCCATCGCATACTTCTGGGTCAGTGGATGCTTTCTCCTTTTCTCTCGTTTGCTGTTTCTGTTGTCTTTTCAGAACAAGTTGAGCCAGAGATCCACTTCGCAGCTCGCAAAGTCGGAACGCACTAACAGCAATCAGCTTACAAATACGATTGATGCCATCTTTGCTCCTAGATGAGACGTCAACGAGGGCGCTGGTTCTGGTGCGGACAAGGCTGCAAGCTTCGTAGCACACACGCTCGAAGGAGAGCTCGGCAGAAATGTACTGTCCTTGATCAACGCAAATCTCGCCTTGAAGCAAGATCCGCTCAAGATAGTGACAAATGGCCCTGTATATGTGCAAGTTGGGCTCCTTTTGGCTCGCTAGTAAGTGTTTGTCGAATTCGTCTTGAACGGAGCTGCGACCACACGGCGTTCCGGAAGTAAGCAATCCTCGTCCTTCGACCAGTCGATGTTCTGTGTGTGCTTGATTCGTGTCATTGTAAGGACAAAGGAACTTGATAGAATTAATGTGCGGGTGCAGCCAGGGCAAGACGGCGAGCTTGACGAAACTGTGTGTGCGACCAATGTGACGAGGATGAAGTTCTGTCGATAGTGTCAAGTTGAGGCCCATCCCCCGTGCAAAAGGAGATTTGACCATGATCCACAGAGCATGCATAAAATCTGCGGCATCCAGATGACTGCTGATGTAGAATGGAGCGTCTCGCTTCGTATTCACACCAGTGAACAGCATGAGAGGGTTGAATCTGAAGTGAATTGGCTGATATTCGTCGCGAGGCCCGCATATCAGTCTTGTGGAAGGAAATGGGCCAAGGACTGGAACGCCATAGTTCTGCAACTTCGCACCTAGACCTTTAATGCCTGACTGGATCGCGAGCACTTTGTTGTCTGTATACAGCACCGTCCGTCCTTCCCAGTAGAGTTGCTTACATGTCTTGAGAATAGCCGGGTGTAGGTGGCAGCTCTTTATGATCGGAGGATTCCCATTAATCTCTTGGTTTCCCTTGTGCTTGAACGGCGCAGCCTCGAGAATCCGTCGCGGATTCAGATATAACAACTCGGAGATGCTACTTTGTGGTTGGCGGCGAGTATGGGCCTTGCGATTGCAGTCTAGGCATAACAAGTGCCGAAGGATTTCGAGGCGAAGCTCGACGGGTAGGCAGAGGAGAGGGGACGGGTTTCGTGACTGTTCGGATGCCGCAGTGCTTTCCTCTCCATATTCATCGCATTCGAAAATAAGGCGGAGAGTCAAGACCTCCCTCGACAGCAAAGGCATCCTCTATGCATGGCGCATGCGTCCCGCGGGCAAGGCTGTGAAGGAGTCGGCGGGATGTTTCCGGATATGATGTTGTCGATCTGAATCGTGGGGGCTATGAGGGCTGACCGAGCATGCCGAGTAGCAATACGAGGTACCAGGTAAGATACAGTGCACGTAACTCGTAAGAGGTGGTTCAACGGTATTGGGCTTGATCGACTTCTTGATCGGCCTGGCTAGTAAGACAAGTGGATCATTCGAGGTCGGACAGCGCGGGGATCATTATCTGGGGAAACGCGGTGAAAATGAAAGATACGGGAAGAAGACGGGAGCAGTGAAATGATGGAAGAGAATCCAGAGTCCCAGGACCCGAAAGCAGATGATTATCGAAACCAGCGTAAACAACAGAGAATAGTGATGAGAAGAATATAGTTGCCAACTCGAGTGTCACGCTCTGGTTGCAATGAACAGACGATCTGAGGGGTGTTTGAGGTGCCATTCATTTCCTGACTAAGCAGCTCCTAGAAGATCCATGTGAGCCAGCAAGCGCTAAGCTGCGACCGCGTATGAATGTTCCAATCAATCCATGCTGTCTCAGTAAATGATCACGGCCAAGTATGGCAAGTGGTCGTGTTCAGCTCGATGAGGCCGCTTCCTCCCTGGAGCCGGACATACTGTAGCATTACTGGGCTGCTAGGATCACTTCCAACGTGAGAGTCGTCCACCAGGAAACCCCCGGTCCGAACAGAGGTATTCGGTGATTAGCTAGTATCCATAGAGTCGCCGTCACCGCTTCTCTTCTTCATGAATCCCACATATTCGTCGATAGCCATGGGCCAGGCGCCGTCCTCCGTCCACCAGTCGAAGGACTCACCACCGGGTTCTCTTGTCCTCGTGACCAACTCGCCGACCATGTTCCACAAATCTTTATTGACCGGTCTTTTGATCTGTGACTCGTAGAACTCACACCAAAGATCCAACCACTTGGTCGAGGCTGTATTCCATTCAATGCCCCCCTTGCCTTGGCGGAAGAACATGTTCCAGAAATCGATTGCTGAGTCCATTGGTACACTGCGTTGTCCTTCTGGTTTTGCAAGCTTGAATGCATTCCGGTAAACCTGCTTGAAGTAGTTCGAATCGGTTGAGAGTCTCTTCCGGATCACGTCGATATATTGTGCCTGTCTTGACGAGCTGTCATATGGTTTGTCGCCTGTAGAAACGCTTCGCCAGCCGGAAACATAGGGTTCGCGGTCAAACTCGCCGATGGAAGGACATTGCAGAAGGTCACAAATCGCAAGATGGGCAACTTCGTCCAGCTCGACATCGAGGTCTGTGAGATATTTCTGCGCCCCTTCTATGCCAATCTTGTCCGGTGCATCTCTGGGGTTGTCTGGGCACTGTCAGCCGTTGGCGCCTCCCAGAATGGCTGAGGTCCTACCACGGTATTGGTCGAAGATCTTGTTGAGATTCTGTTGCAGTGGCGGGACTGACGTCGTGCCAGATCCACTCTGGTAGAACCTATAAGAGAATGTGGTGTCAGTGACTTTGGGACAAGATCAATCGATGCTCAATCCTGCATGCCTGTGACGTTGCCCCGTCCTGCCACTGCTCTTGCTGGACCTCTCTCTGACAGTCAACTTTGCTGACGAGGGGTTCATATTGGAAATTCGAGCCACGTCTCCATCCACCTTGGTCTTCTTGCCTGAGGCTGACGACTGGATTGATTCTGTAGATTTGCGTTTCGGCATGGCGGATAGGCGCCAAATGCAGAGAGCGCAGAGAAGAAATAGCAGCAATATGATTGATGGATGACTGGAAAGCAGATATTTGAGTTGGCAGGAGTGTAGATGCAGAAGGAACACCACTTTGGGGAACAAGTCAAGCGATACCTGTAAAGACCGACCGGATCTTTAAGGTTCATATGAGGCAAAGGGCATTGCAGGCAGGTGCGCCGAAGTGTAAATGTTGTCGGTTGCAGGCAGTGGGGAAACAGATGAAGTGCCTCGATGGCAGCACCAAATGAAAGGAAGCCACGGGCTGTCTTGCTCACACCTTCTTCACTTCATTCTGTTGCGGCTCAAGTAAGGCCATGGCCATCTGCCGCAGAACAAAAATCAAGGCATAAAGGCCCAATCAATCACTGGTTGACTCTGGTTGACTCACATCGACAGAAGACGACAACGCAAGAGCGAGAAGAAAAGAAGATCACACTTACGAATCCAGTGCCCTCTCTACATTCCAGTCATGGTTTTTGAGAAACTGTGCATTTTCCTTAACCGATTGTCCACGGAGAGTCTGAACCGACTCACCCTCGCAGCTATGCTCTCCTTTGCCTGAGTGAAGCTGACAAACTGTGATATAGAAGCTCTTTGTGAGGAGGTGAATGTCGGCATTTTGTATCTGGCTAGGCTCGCGGCGCAAGTGGCGCGGCAGAGCCCTATCTGGGAACGGCAGTTTTCGATGTTGATAAAACGACGGCAGTACGGGACCTCGCTTGGTAAAGGGCGAATAAGAGAAGATTGTAAGAAGCGCAAGTCTGCCTGTGGGTGGTGGTAACAATATCTTTGTCGCAATAACGAGGCAGCGATGTGAAGAGTCGGCTCATCGACACGTCGCAAGCCCGCCGGCAAGATCCCGCCAAGGAAAGATCATTTCCACAGGGCAGGTCAAGCGAGCTGTACTCTGTTGCCGCCAGTCACCCATTCGGGTTTGACTGAGCTGCTGCATGAGCTATGGCGCACTGTGTCCTTCATACAGGATCCAGGCCCTTTGTGCGAAAATGCTTCATCAAAAGGGCCGCTCAGCGGAGCATTATTTCATGACCGACGATCAGGTACGGAGTACATAGCCCGCTGGGGTCCTGTGGCTTGAATGAGGCTGTGCTTCTTAGAAGCCACCGGAAGATCAGTTTGCGCCTCAGTGATCCACAGCGGGGTATTTTCCAGAACCAGGGTGCGTGTACGATATATACGTAGTGCCCCTCCCCGTTGACGCGCTTCACCAGGCAGACCCTACCTACAGTGTACCTCGTAGCACTCTTTGCAGGAACAAGAATTGTCCGCTTCACTACTGCAGATGTCTGGTGCTGACAGATCTTACTTCTCGGATTGACAGGGGAGGTGCAGAGTTACTCCAGTAATAAGAGGCACAGTCAGATTCTGTTCACTTCTAAGGTGCATGCCACTTCACGAACCCCTCACCACGCTCATCCTCCATCTGCAGCCTACAGTAGCTTAAACTGCACAGCCCTGCGGGCCATGCCTGTGAAGCCCCTGGTCGTCATTTGGGCGTCTTAAAGGACTGTTTGCTTGGTGAAGCTAATTGGAACCTTCACTTCTACAGGCCGAAAGTGAACATCAGTTGTTTCACGCCGCCATCTGTTTGGCGCTCAGGTTTCATTATTCCTTTAAAAGGCCCTGCTCCTGTCAAATTTCGAGCCTTTCCCCAACCTCAAGTTCCTCTCTTTGAGCTTCGACACTTTTTTTCATCAGCGTGAAGGCACTTCTCAGTCATGGGCGTAAGTCTTGTCTACTCAATCTGCCCTTAAGTACCCCTCGATCTTCCCCGCACAAGTTCATCGAGCAACGCCTGGATCCATCTTTGTGCCAAAATCACACCAATCTACCCGCAAGGTTATGTCCATGCTACAGGTTTCCTGACTGATGACGCGTAATAGCTTGCTTCCAAACTCGCCGCAGCTAACGCTGCCTACCCAGGTGGCCCTCCAGCTCCTGGCGGTGCGCCTGGTGGCCCTCCTGGTGGTGGATACGTGAGTCAACCTTGCACATGTTACATAGCCCCCTCTCTCCCTCTCCATCAATAATCTGTGGCTGAAGACGCCCGAGGGAATTCCAGAACGCTGACCGAGTCTGTGTCAACTACTTAGCCTGGCCAGCAACAGTATCAGGCATATCCAGGTGGTCCTCCTGCTTCTGCTCCTGGTGCAACTAGTCAGCCGGTAAGAGTCACTCCCGCCACCTTGCGCGTTGAGTTCTTGGGTGTGGCTTCTTCTGTTTTCTTTTACCTTTCGGCGCCGCACTTCCCTGGTGTTGCGTCATCGCGCCTACGCCAATATCTGACCTGCGGCCTGCACACGACTTCACCCGTTCCTCCAACTTTTGGAATCGGTCTCAGCTTCTGGCCATCGACAACGTCTCTATACTTTTGACGAAACATGAGCAAATTTTCTCGCATAGCGCAGGCGAGCCAGGCAGGAGCGCCTGGATTCCCAGGTGCTTCAGCGCCTCAGGCACCATACCCAGCGCAGCCGCAATACGCTCAGCAGCCCCCTCAATTGCCCGGATCACCATATAATCAGCCCCCTGTTCCACCTAGACCGAGTCCCTCACCACAGCCGTATCAACAACCACAGTGGCAAGCACCGCAGCAGCAGCAGCAGCAGCCATACGGTCAGCAATTAGGTGTTCCACCGCAAGGAGGAGCATATCAATCACCGCAGCCGGCATATCAGTCGTACCAGTCCCAGTACCAGCCACAGCAAGGTCAATACGCTCAACAGCAATATCAGCAACAGCCACCCAACAGCGGATATGGATATGTTCGTCGCAACACATCTCACAAGCTTCCTATTGAAATGCGCTCATGCTATAGATGAATCTTGCACTAACGTCAATTCTATTGCAGGGTCAGCAACCTCCCTACCCAGGCGGCCCTCAAGGTGGCCCACCACAGCAACAATATGGTGGCGGTCCTCCTCCCCAGCAGCAGCAGTACGGTGGTGGTCCGCCAGGAGGCGCTCCTTCAGCCCCAGTCGGTAATGCCGCTGGATACAAACAGCTCTTGCAAGCCACCATCCAAGAGAAAGGACTGCAAAACTTCTACCCGCCGGGAAGTCCCATCCTCGACCAGATTGCAAATCGTGGTGCGCAACAAGTTGCTCAGCTGGCCGCGACATGGCGCATCTCTCCGGAAATCGCCTCTGATATTGTCAAGCTGGCGCTTTATGATGTGATCTTGTACATCGATGACAGCGGATCCATGCAGTTCGAGGAGAATGGAGAGCGCATCGACGATTTGAAATTGATATTGTCCCGCGTCGCATACGCTACCAGCCTTTTCGACGAAGACGGCATTCAAGTCCGCTTCATGAACTCTCCGGATCAAGGTAACAACATCCGTAGTGAACAGCAGGTCAACGAGATGATCGCCCGCACTCGCTTCTCCGGGTTGACACCTATGGGTCGCGAGCTGCAAAACAAGATTCTCGGTCCGCTTGTCCTGGAAAACGCCCGTCGCGGGACTTTGCGCAAGCCAGTCTTGGTCATCACCATCACTGACGGTCAACCGACTGGCGAAAGCTCATCAGATGTGGCCAAGATCATATCTGCAGCTTCCAGCGAGTTGGCTAGGAACCCTCGTTATGGCAAAGGCGCTCTAGCATTTCAATTCGCCCAGGTTGGCAATGATCTCAAGGCAAGAGAGTTCTTGAGTAAGCTTGACGAAGAACCTTCTATTGGTGATATCATTGATTGCACATCAAGTAAGTCATTATCTCCAGGTGCCGTTGCCTTGCACTAATAGCCTTTCCCAGACTATGAAGTCGAAGCCGACGAAATGTCCCGTGCCAATCCGCCAGTCCAGCTCTCTCCTGAACTCTGGCTTATCAAACTCCTTCTGGGTAGTATCGATTCGAGCTATGATACCAAGGACGAAAAATCCGGCTCACGACCACCACAGCAAGGCGGCTACGGCGGCCCTCCAGGACAGGGAGGTTATGGAGGTCCTCCAGGTGGTGGATATGGTGGTGCTCCGGGTGGTGGGTACGGCGGCCCGCAAGGTGGTTATGGGGGTCCACCACAAGGACAAGGTGGTTATCCTCCTCAGCAAGGCGGGTATGGTCAGCCTCCTCAGGGTGGATATGGACAACCTCAGGGCGGCTATGGACGGCCACCTCAGGGTGGACCACCAGGTCAAGGTGGATATCCCCCTCAGCAAGGTGGTTATGGTGCGCCGCCTCCTCCTAGGTACTAGGCTGGACCGCAGACGTACTCAAAGATCTTCGTGATGCGACTGCCTATCGGCAGATTCGAATGACAACGGAACTGCTGAAATGGGTGTGGGAAGGCATTGCTGTGATGGGTGTGGTGGCAGCGAACAGCATACGTTATGAACAAACATAAATTCCGAGCAATCCTTCGAAGCCAAGTGGACTTCGCAAGCCACAGGTCGACACGCGACCAGCATGGAAGGTCACCTACACACGACAGACAGGCTCACGAACTCAGAAAGGCGACAGACTGCGCTTGTGGCGTAAATAGCACAGACGAGGTTTTCCAATGCCTATGTTTTGTTTCATGCATAGTCTGCACGAGTTCACAGCCCTACTGCTTGGATCGAAGACTGGTGCAAGCCGGTATCGTTCTCAACTGACGCGTCCTCGTAAGAGAAATTGCAGTATGTCGATAGATGTCACCCTCCCTTTCCACTATTCAGCAACAGCCCGGGAGGTTGGATACATGTCCCTTAATTGTGACAGGCAGATCATATGTCTGATCTATTGGCAAAGTTGGGCGTGCAACGACGAGGGAGGGACCTGGCTGCCTGACCTCCCCCAATCGACTCCATTATACATATAGGTGCACACATTGCGGCGGTAGCGTAGAGCACACTGTTCTTCTCCAGGCTCGTGTCCAGTCCGGTTCAGTCCAGTCCAGTCCAGTCAACTCGAATCCACCTAAACCAATCCCGGCTCGAATCGAGTCATCGGATCGTTCGTAGAGTGTTGTAGAGTTGCTACAGTATGCCCAAAACCGAAGCTCCCCGCACATGATATCCTTATAGGAAGTCTATGGATTTAGCTACAAGATTGGCGCACGACGTCTCCGGTTCAATCATGCGAAAGGATATAGGATAGAGCCTCACGGACTGGCTCGGACATGCTTGCATGTTAGCTACCCGATTGAAGCACGGCGTCTCAGGTTTGATCGGGGAAAGGGAACTATCAGGGCAGAGCCTCACCGACTGGTTTATGACTTGCATGATGATGGTGCATGAGCTGCACTGCGCGGTGGAACGCTCGTACTTGATTTTCCGAATGCATTGTCCTGCCTCTCTTTGCCTCTCTTGGTGCTTTGTCCGGGCTGTGTTCATCTTGCTCTTGTTCGTGCCTGTGCCTGTTTCTGTTCCTGGGCCCGGCCTGTCTGCCGTTTTGTTGGTTCTCGGGGAACACGGCAGAGGATTTCAATCTCGTCTGCGTCCCCGATGCCGAGGCTGGGTTGAGAAATGCAGCATTGCATTACACTATGTCGGGGTCTCCGATCGCGTTTCGTGTTTGGTGTTCGTGCTCATGTGCATGGGTGTTGTTTGGCTGTCGGGGAATCTTGTGATGATAGGGGAACGAGGCCGTTGTGCCGTTCCTTGCAGGGGGGCGTCAACGCTCGATTTGACTTACACAACATACCTAGAGATTATGGCGCGAGGTATAGTATGACGGATGACACGCAGGGCGTCAGTGAGTGGGCGAGTGAGTGACATCGGGAACTACTTCCACTTTTTTGATGTCAAGGCAGACCGCTCCTTGCTGCCTGTCAGGACGCTGTAGCCTGTGCGTCGTGCTTCGACGTGACAGATTGTTGGGAGACCTCTCAGACGTCGCAACGCCACGTCGGGGAATCATACCGCGTCGTGCAAGCAGGGGGTCATGATCCGTGTGATACCTAAGTTCGGGGAATGATGTGCTTGGCGCATACCCCGATCCATGAGCAAGGAATAGCAATTACCATTGGTAATGAGGGCAGCGATTGCAACGTGCTTGTTGAACAAGCTGCACTGTCGCAGTCAACCTTGAAGGAACTTGTTAGTGAAGGTATGTGTGTCTTGGGCATTGACCAATATGTCTGGGTGAGACATGTTGGAGCCGGACACTGTGTCAAAAGGCTTCCACTCTCTTCTCCCTGGTGACAATGCAGGATGGTGTCTTTTCTGAAGGGGAGGAATGACGGTCAATTCAGTGTACTGTGTTGTCTGTCTCAGCGAGTACAGCTTTCAATATTTGGAGGGAACTTGTTTAGATCCAATCTGTAGTCAATAACACTGCATGTCCCTCTCCGAGGGACCTCTCCGAGGGAGAGCGGACGTCAAAGTGATTGTGCACAGTCGGTACGTGCTCAGCTCTGAATGTTGTGATTGCTTGACCGCCTCGAAGACCACGACCCGCCAGTTCGGGGGTCGGTCGTATCACAAGGGGCATTCTACCACAACAATTAACGGGAGAAACAAGAGGGGCCCATAGTGTGGTATCTGCGACTCGTAGCGCATACAGCCTGTGTGTCCTGCGTTGAAGGGGAAGGAAAGGAGAACACAGGATACGACCCGGATTGCTGTTCTTGTTCGGGGATAGTGAGTCAAAGAGCCGATGAGGTGGTATGGTATATGGACTTCATTTCCAGCTATGGAGTTACTGACCTTGGGTTGCAGCGTCGCCAAGTCAAAGGTGAAATGAGAGGTCCAGTCTTGAGAGCACGGCGAGGGTAGGGCTGAGCGCGGCAGAGACAAACCTGCAAGCATGAATAGGGAGTTCAGATGCGAGGCATGCACGAGACAGTAGCAGCAGGGTCCGAAATTTAGCCCCGAGCCAGGAACGGGTGGAGAGTTGGTCGGAGTCACAGCACGTCCGCGGAGATTTCAAGAAGCAAAGGTACAAGAAGCTGAATAAAAGCAGCAGGGTTGCAACAAGCGAACACGAGGGGAATCCGGGGCAAGCGTCTATGGTTGGGTAGATACGAGTAGGGCTGTCAGGAGCCCGAACTGCCTCGCTTCCAGGGCTCAGGCAGTAGGGCGTTCACTTGGACGACGATGTTTCTTGGGACACGGGAACGAGGGAAAGCTGTTACATGCGTTGGACAGCCAGTTACGCTGGTTCAGACAATCAAGGGAAGATGCAGAAGTGGATTGTTAAGTTTGTCGATTTCGGTTCAGTCATTCATGCGGTCGTTACTGAAATCGTAAGACTCGCTTGCAGTGTCTTGTCTGTCTGTTGTGTGGAATCAGAGAGAGATGATGACCGAGTGACGGCATTGCGAGGAAGAACGAACTGGCGCCCGTTCTAGCTAGAGCCGGTGACTAACCACCCACAGGTAGCACCAGTAGGGCTGCGTAGGGAGTCAGGGCGACATTAGGCACACCGCTTACAGAATCTGCTGCCTCTTCCGCTATGCCAGCGAGTTGCCCTCGTTCATTGTCGACGCAAGTCATCGGTCGCATGGGTTTCGGGCGCTGAGACCAATGGTGCGGCTGACCGACACCGGCAGGGACAGTCACCTTCCCTTTGCAGCAGAGTCTTGGTGGTTGCTGGTTGGACCTTTCCGAATGTTACCCCCCCATGATCGCTTACCAAAGGGCCAAAAGGCGGCTGCACTGCACTGCACTGCGCAAAAGTACGCACGCATCGCGTTCTCTTGCCAACATCCTGGCCTGAGCAACACTTCACCCTCCCTTGGGTTTCCACGTGGTAGACACCGCAACAATGGCTGCTGATTCGCTCAACTCTTCCTGCAGGTCTTCACTCTCCCTTGTCATGGACCCACCAGCTGTGACAGGGTTTCATAGCTTCAACGGTGAGGGAGGCCGGTGCGAGGACCTGGAGTCACCTGCTTACACACATGATCCAAATCTATCCAAACACTAAACTAGGTCCTCATTCACCATGTCCGCGTCTGTTTTGATATATCTTGATCTCCCGCCCTGACCAACCTGTAGCAATTATCAGAGTTCAAGCGACAAGACCGTCTGTGCTTCGGCATCCGAAATCCAATCAAACGTCAAATCTCACGAATTCCAACCCCTCGATACAGTATATCAACCACAATAGCCCACCACAGCTCGAACAATCCCATTGTCTTCAACCGTCCACGATGCCTTCGACTTGCAGGGCAAAACCCGCCCTCTTCCGGGGTCTGAAGCCCGTCTTTACCACACCACAACAAGCCTCGGCAACCAAGAAGATCATCTCATCGGCGTGCTCGAGACCATGTATATACTGCGACATTTGGAAACTTGCCGCTCTGATTGCATCTCACTCACCCCTCTCGGCTCGTTACAACCTTTCAACTGGCACACCTACCAATTCGCCCATCTCTTCCGCTGCCTCCAGCCCAGTCTCGACATCACCCTTGTCACGATCACCCACGCCCTACTGTTCAATCATCAAGGCCTCCAAGAGAATTGATGCCCAATTCCAGACTCAACGATCACAGCTCAACTCGATCTTGAGCATCTGCGCCGTTGCGGGCGCCGATGCTGAGGAGGGCCTCCGAATGGCTCATGACAGATGTGCATCGGCGGTTGAAGACCTGCTCGACCAGGAAGAGGATCTCGAAGAAGAACTGCTCAAAAATCTCGAGGACCAGCACTACGGCTGCCATCGGTACAATTACGCGTCCCAGTACAGCCATCCCACATCCTCGTACTCGCAAGAGCGAAGACCGAGCATGGTGCGGGTCTCGCACTAGCCCGGATCCTCCCGCTCCTCTACCATGTACGATTATTACTCGACTACTCAAAAAGTTCTACAGCAAGCGATACACGAGCAGCATTTCATATGTCGATTAGGAGGGAAAGGATAGGAAGCCATCAGATCCAGACTGAGGGAGGGAAAACCTAAGCAGCAGCCTGCTTCAGAGGCCAGATGCCAGATGAAATATGCCATGATTGAGAATGATACCCATTGGGACATGTACACCAGATAGTAACTCGACGATCAATGAGAAACAAGTTGATCTACCAGCCACTGATAAGGATCTTTGCGTCATCCATGTTATGCCATTTATTGATCATGCCTCCCTGTTGTCACACTACAGCACATCCATTACTCATGGTCTGTATTGTATGGCCCGGCTGAGGATTTTTCTTACATATCCACACTGCTCATTACAGCGATAGCGGACAACGAGGCCATCTTTCCTGCACATGCGACGACAACGTACAAAATTCTCACGAGACATCGATTTCTACATCCAGACCGACATATTGCCCAAAATAAAAAGTCACACAACTCTGTGGCGTCTATCTGAGTGACATCTCGCAACAACGCGACCTGTATCCACACCGACGGCCACCAGCTCGTAGCTCGCAGGGTCGTGCATGTACTTTCCGCATCAGGCCAACCACCAACTCCACACCATTGCGCAATCGCGAACCCGTCTTACCCTTTTAATCACGCCGGCCAGCGAGGTCGACACGCTAGGTAGGATTGGTACCGGGTGTGAACTCAGAGCCGGGAACAGTCAGCCACCGACGCGGTGAGCTCTACCTGCAGAAAAATTGATGCGCAGTGCATGCAATACCTATGGAGCCGGTGGTATTCGTACCAGGAGAGCCGATAGGCGGTACGGAGCAACAGACTACCAAAGGTCTCTTGGATCCCGTGCAACGCCCTGAACACCCAATGCGGAATTCCGCTTGCTTTGGTGACGTCGATGCGATCGGCCGGTCTAGACTGCGGTGCGGAGTACACAGTACTGTTCAGCAGACACAATTTTGAGAATATACTCTGAAGATTCAATGTATGAGGGAGTCGCAAGAGCCAGGGCGTGGATTCCGACTACGGATTGTCGGATAAGCCAAGATGCGAAATCATCATGACATCCCTGGACAGCAGGCACCCGCTCACCCGCTCCCTCACTGCGAACTGGGCACTACCAGATACGAGTGAGTGGTCGACCATGGAACGCAAACTCAGAAGACTCAATTCCGCCAACTGCCTCGCTCCTACGTCCTGGAGAGGACTCATGGGCTTCACTCTGTCGGACAATGCTTGCATTTCATCCTGTTGCTTCAACTGCACTGCTTCTCGATTGCGCTAACGAGGACTCGGCATCCGAAACTGCTGCCTAGTTAACAAGACGGACCCTGGCCTCACTCACACCAACGCCTAACTACGCCTATGGCGCCACGTCCTTTTTACTGTGATTCGATAGATAACGGCTGCCGTTAGCTTGGGCCCTAACAACCACAACAACCACCCAGAAGTGATGGGATCCACGCACTTCATGTCAGATACCTACGGAGTCCTTGTCTACATATTTTCCTAGCACCCAGACTGGGAAATATACGGTTCCTGGTCAAGCCCGACCGCGGGCGAGAGCAATCCGTTGTCCACTGTATACTCCGGAAAGTGTACTCCGGAAGGGTGAGCGCTACCAGTGCAGGCGTGTCAGCTCGCGATCCCCTCTTCCCGGCAAAGTAGAGGCGTTAGGGATTCGGGCATCGTGATACGCGCAAGGAGTTGCGTGCTGGAATAATAGAACCACGACACTGGACACAGCAGACACGGCCGTATCGGACTTGATGGAGCAGGGCACCTACTGCAGTAGATCGCTGCGTCTCTAGGTCAACGATCGATAACGCGCGGGCCGGAGGTGCGGAACACCGGGTGATCACTAAGGTACGGAGTGCGTTTCCTACCACCCACCTACTCGTACGTACCTAGGTAGGTACCTACCTGCGAGGTACTGTGTCTGTATGGCCCTCCGTGCCCCCCTCTGGTGCCCCTCGCCTGGTTCCTTGTCTAATCGGTCGCCCCACCATCCCTATCAGAACAAGCCTGCCAGTTGACAAAGTATCCAGAACTCGTACTCCGTACGCAGTCGGCAATATAAACCGTAGAGAACCGGGCAGTACTGTGATGCCATCTGAAAGCTCTCTTGGGCATCCTGTCCTGTCGACTCGTCTTCACACAACGTACAAGGACTACAATTGAACGCGCCTGCCGACTCCCACCTTACGCTCTAGACACATCAGAGGCCGACATCGATATGCGGCTCGTTTCGTCGCAAACCGCGCGTGGACACCTACCCCGATTATTCTTACCGTACTTGGTACTACCACGCCCCTATCCACGGTGTACTCGCACCCATGTCCGGATATATCTACAGTTGTAATGCTTGCACTGTGTATTTACCCATTTTCCGGGCATGGAAGTCAAGGACCACGACCTGGGCCAGTCCCTCGCTTTCCTCACCTTACCTCACGTTCGATAACCTCAGTACGTTGCATTTTACCCTACCCGGTACTCAGTACTAGGTAAGGTACGCAAGACAAGACACGCATGCACAAGCTCGAAGAGAGAGTACTGGGTACCTTAAGCTCTTACTCCGTACGTCCTGTGTAAATGACATGCAGGGCACCGACGCCGGCGGACCGGAGAGATCCGCGACGGACAACCCTTCAGTCGAAGTGATACGGTCCAGGTACCGTCGGCCGTTATTGGGCTCGTCTCCTCGTCCGCCTGGCGGGAGCCGGACCGCGGCTTTTGGTTGTCTAGAGTAATTCCAGGATTCGCATTGTTTTGATATACACGATGATTATGCTCTGGCCTGTTCGGCACCCAGATTGGCCCGGTCATGTTTTGAATATGAAATGTACGGAGGACATCTTCCCGTGTTGAGCGTGTGTATTGAGCACCAGATTTCGGAGACCTGGCACTTGCATTTCGGCCGCAAGTCTCCCGAGGTCTAGATTTTGGTGAATGGCGCTGATGTCCACAAAGACCACGCAGTATGGATACTGTATTGGACGATGGATGCGATCCCAGTACAGTACAATATACGGAGTACAGTTCTCCCCGTTCCGCACTACGGTGTCCGGCCCCATGGGCAGTTGGACGAACCGCTGCTCTTAGCGGAGGCGGGGAGTGAGGTGTTGCTGTTTCGACCTCGAGATCCTCCTCTTGTACCGATCGTAGTATCTCTTGCGCGAACACCCCGGTATGAGGTAGGTAAGCACATGCACCCAATACTCCTTCCTTGGTTGGGGATCATATTCAGATTGCTGGTCGCAATAATTAGCCCTGCGGAGTACATACAGTGGTTCTCCCGTACTTCTCACCGTGCGGGCAGTCATATGGGCCTTTGCAAGGTCCTCGCGCTGGTTGATCGCTCGGTGGCCGCAGCCTCCGCTTGACGCTGAAGGTTTACCCTCGTACGAAGGGAAGGCCACGGTCAAACCTCGTGTCGATCATCGTATCGTCTTAGTACTCCGTGGTCGACGACCCCAGATTTCAGCCTTCGCCCCCTGCAGCCACGAGCCACGGCAGCTTGGGACGGCGCATCAGATCGACTGCCAGGCGCCGCCGTAAATGGTAAAGGTCGAGGAAATGGTGTACATGTGCTGCTCTAAGTATACACGGTAATCTGCCTGATTACGTAGCCCAGTGCTCGAGAGTCTCCGCGGCAAGGGTACGGGGTATGTATCTCGTACCCACTTCCAGGAAGTTCGCTTGCGTGGGGATGCCTAATGGGGGCCTGGAATGGAGGGGGCTCATCCATTCTGTTGGTACTCCGTAGGGAGTATTCTCGTACGAATACCTCGATCTGGGATGGGGGCTGATGTGGCTTGCTTGCACCCCTTTCCGAGCTCCAGCGGATTGCAGCTGCAGCTACAGCTCTCCCCACGAAGAGTGGCTAGGGCTGCAGAAAGCTCACTTCACTGGTTGGCAAGGCATGGCGAAGCTCAGCTGCACGTCGCCAGTCGTCAGCCGCCAGTCGCCAGCCCTAGCTGCCTAAGCCGCAATCTGTTAGTTCGAAAGCGTAGCTCGCGTTGCAACGGTTCTTTTCTCCTCACCCTCGAAGACGCGCAAACAGTAATACGCGAAGGTGGACTCCTACTCGGGAAGAGATGCACGGGTCCTGCAGCTCGTATCAGCCTTAAGCAAGTGAAGCCACCCCAATGTCGAACCCAGGACGCATGTTCAGAGCTATGTACCAAAGGTCCCGTGGCCGTCAGTGTATCAGCATAACATCGTCATGCGGGGAGGGTTTGACCACTCGTCATGGACTGGTTTTCAGATCGCCCAGCGCATGCATCAGATGCGGTAGCCGCTTGCAGAAAGTGTACGCAGCCAGCACGGTCTGCAGGATTCCACGGCCGTGAGACGCTGCGCTGGACACAGAGAACTGTCCAGTAGACAATGTATGCGCTGCCACTGTCATAGCCTCATTGGGCTAATTAGACCCTGCCAGTCAGATGGCTCAGCCATGCTGATTTGTCCGCACCCCGTGACAGTGTCCCGAACATACAGCGTACATCCTGTATGTTGCTCCGTATATCGGGCTCTGCGGTCAGTGGTTCACCGTCTTTGCTAGCCACAGCGATCATCACGTCTGCAGACGACTTTGGGCTTCATAATTCGTGGGAGACACGTCGTGTGATCTGCTTGTTCCATTCCAGTCTTCTTCTATCCGCGCCGCCAGAGATTTGTTCCCTACACCGTCCGATACATGGCCCACGGTTAAGGACTCGGACTCGGACTCGATAGCATACTGACTGGGGGACATAGTCTGGCGAGGACAGACAAAGCCCAGACGCAATCCATGTAAGATGATCTCGCCACGCCACGCATTCCTCTTCACAATCTTTTGCTGGCATCTCTACGTAACCCTGTGCCGCCTTACGGCTCTTCCAAGGTCCAATCGGCCTTCCCTTTGCCAAGCACAAACGGCTGCGTCGGAGCATGAATCTGCACCAACGCGGTCTTTGCTTCGGTATTAGTGACATCGGTCGCAGCTGCGTGTTGCACAAAGGAAAGCAATATGCTCAAGCAATGGCTTTGACCAGTCATGGCGGCGCGTTTCTTTTCCATTTCCAATCATAGGTCATTGATCCTGAACACATGCAATGGTCATCATGTCCGCATCATCTTGGCGGCGCTGGTGGCATTCTCACCGGGTACAGCCGTATCCGTATTTTTGGCGAAGTCCGCACACTCGCCCAAGGGTGCAGCAAGAGTCGATTCTAAGTGGACGACACAAACAGCTGCCACATCCGCAGCAGTACCGAATGCCCGAGGTCTGCATAATGGCGTGTGTTCAGCTGCTCAAATGTTCAACATCCCCGTTATCAAGACCGGGGACATCGCTTCAGCAGGGAACGCGGATGCCCTCAACGATAACTAGTTTCGTATAGGATGAAAGTCCTTCTCGAAGAGCAGTTTGAACACCCACCCGTGACGGCCTCGCAGGGCGGGTATCATCTCATAACTGAACTGGACCGAAAGACCCGTCCTTTCCAACAGGGAGTTTCGCTGTTTCAAAAGCCGCCTGTCCGTGCCGGTAAAATAACACATTTCAGACTCGGGCTTCATGCCGTCAAAGGTCACGCCGGGAAACTCGGTCGCGGATACGCCAAGCGAGCCATATTCTTGGCCGTCGCCGCCGACCCAGCGCGAATCGAGGAACCTGTCCAGTTCTTGAGGTGATTGTGGTTCTTCGGCTACAAGGGTCTCGAGCGGGCGATAGTCGACCGTCTTGGGCGGCGGGAAGTGGTACCAGATGAGGCAGACGGGGCGGAATTCGACGTCGAAGCCAAGTTTGATGGCCACACAGGGGTTGCGTGAGCGCGCGGGGTGGCGGAAGACGACCACGCCGGCCGTGCCGTACGAGCCGTCCGGCAGCTCCATGGTCATGGTCCGCGGATCCCACCGGCGGGCGTAGACGGTCAACTGTTCCGAGCCTTCGAGTTCGCGGGGCCACGCGTAACAGGCGCCCAGGCGGAAGCCGTACAGGCTGCCGGTCCAGTGCCATCCAATCTGGCGGATCAGAAGTTTGCCCGAGTGCGGTGACGCCCTAAGAAGTTCCTCTTGCTGCACGTGGGTAGGGACGTTGGTGCCGTAGGTGAGCTGCGCCGATTGTCGGAGCTCAAGTTCGATGAATCGCTCTGGCCGGATGTACTGGATCGAGGCTTTGTCGAGGAATATTCGCGCGTGTTGTCCTGGTCCCGCGTTGACGCCCAGGAAGATCCCAACGTGATGCTTGGTGGTTTGATCGTGGCAGAGCAACAGCGCAAGATATGTGTTCAACGACCAGAGGATGTGCGGGATTTGGATCTCCAACCCCATGTTGGTGAGCGAGTAGGGGCTTGGCCTGTGGTGAGGAATGGGACATGGCACGATATCCCGGCAGTTTCGAAACGCCCAAGGCGACTCGGCCAGCAGCTGTGGTTGCTCCGTCGACGCTTCCCATGCAAAGATCGACTGGTCGTCGGACCGCTTGATGATCTCCTCCTGCAGGCGTACAAAGGCTTTCATTCCTTCCCCGTAGAGCATTGGCATGTTGACATCGAAGATTCCCAGTAGACTGTAGGCAACATCCTCTCTCCGCGTAGATTTCCTTCTCGAAGCCCAAGACATCCGTTGCGCGATCGAGAAGTCGTGTGGCCTTCTTTCGAGCAACGCGTTCTTGTGGATGCCTGTAGTCTTGCTGATCCGGTCCAGTAAGGTCGACCTAGTTCCGATGTGGCGCCAGGAGTGTTCGAAGAAGTCGATCTGCCCAGGCGCGATCAATTCCTGCAGTGTCCACGCGCGTTCCCACCACACGCTGCGTTCGAAATCGTCACCGACCACGCTTTCACCCGAGCGTAGCTGGACGTCTGACAGAAAGGCGTAGCATCTTTCGGAATTCTGGTACCACGCGTACATGGAGTTGATCGCCTCCGACAGCTCCGAGCTGCTATCCTTGTTGATGCAACAGGTGTCGATCCATATGTATTGGCAGTCATCTCGCCGCGCTTGTTCACAGGCGTTTTGAAGCTTCGCATAGCCTTTCATGCGCGGGGCATTGCCGCTCCGCATATCTTCGTACAGCACCTCTTCATCTTCCCATCTGTGCGATAGGATCGCATACTTGGGGATCTTGTCATCGTCAAACCATTTCAATTGCCGCGTGAGAGCATCGATGAGACGCATCCTGAATGCAGGGGCGGCGTATGTACTGAGTTGCTATAGCACTCCGTTCTCCCGAATGCGCTAGACTCCTATCGCGCATGGTGCGTTCGACGAAACTCCAGTGTACTATCGCATGTTTGACTGAAATCTACCAAGGAAACCAGCCGAACCGAGTCAAAGTTCTCGGTGCAGAATGCTGTTGCTTTTGATAAGGTCGAAAGTCAACAGCTGCTAATGGCAATGAATCTTTCCACGGCTATCCAATCAGCGTGCACCAAGTGTACTCGATCGCACCCTTCTCTAGGCGAGCTACCACGAGTGACCTGTGCCTGAGCTATGACATGGACGTCAGGTCGGGCATTGACATCAAAGATCTATCCGGTAGGACTGTGCCAGCGCTTGGAGACTCTTTGACTCCTGGAGGCTCTTCTGCGTGCGGCAAATACAGTGGGAGACTCATCGGCCCGATATTGTTCCAGGTCGCTAGAAATGCTCACCAGGACACGACCTATATTGCCGGGCATTACATTGGTTGAGTCATCAAGGGGGTGCAGCGTTGAAGTGGCCATAAGCAGCGAAGACGGATTTGCGATGCAGGTTCTGGTGAAAGCTGAAGGAAATGGACAGGGCGGGTTTTTGCTTATGTCGATAAGCTTTCCCCAATAAACTGATTGTCAATGGAGATGCTGGAAATGTGCAAGGGTATATAGGAGAGAAGTTGGCAGAACAGAACGGAAAAAGTTGACAATCGTAAATGTAGTTCTCTATCGGTGCCCGCATTGTCCTATTCTGCTGAAAGCAGAGTCCTAAAGGGGTACTTGATGAAGTTGGTGTCGTATCTTGGTCATGCACGTCGAGCGTGGAGATCGGCAGAGATACCTGCTAGCTGAGCGGCCGCGCGTGCAGCAAGAGTCTGCAAATGGCAATGCTTGCGTGCAACGTCGCAGGGCGATTGTCTCTGTACCCTCGCGGCTGCTAGATGCTAACAGCTCGCCGACCATGAACCGCTTCCACCCATTCTCTTGGCTCGCAGGCATGTCGGACTTGGCGCGTCAATTGCTCGGATCCGCGACGGGCCCGAGTCATTCGCAGGGCGTAGTAACTCGAGTTTGATGGCCAAACAGGCCTCGAGCAGGACTGCCCTGTTTCAGCTGCCAGAAGTGCGGGTTTTGACGCGCTGCTTGTTCCCGTCGAGTGATAGTCCTGATGGCTGATAACAAGGTCGGCGCTCTTGCAGCGTTGGTGAATATGGCCCGGGTAAAGCGTGCATTTAGCGCTTTTTGCAATGTCTCGTGCATTGCTGATTTAGATTCTCCAAGAGGAGAGCTCCCGGGGATAAGAGTAAGAGTAAGACGAGCTCACGAGAGAACTCACTCATCGACATCCATGGCTCCTATTTGCCGCACACTTGAGGTGTTTTTGTCAAAGACAGCTCTCAAGCCAATCCTGAACTCGGACATGCGCACTCCTAAGATCTTCAGAATAGAAGTTTGTCTCGAGTCAAGGGTATCTCCTTCCCTACACACAAGATAACCCTCCTCATTGTCCATTGACTCTTCCGGCCGCTCCTCCAGAGCCACTTTGCCCTTGACGAGCCGCGTCGGTACCCCTAATTTCCGCAGTGTTGGTTCGATCTGGACAGGGAGCGGATCGTCCTCGCCTCCGTCAACACCATACTGTGTGTGGATTTCGCCGGGCGGTATTCTGACCTCGTGGGTGGCAGTACTGCCGCTCCGAGCAAAGTCCAGGTTCAGCCAGTCGGCAAAGTATGCCTCCACCTCGGATGGCTCTCGGTTCGTGAAGAGCAGTCCGACTTCGCCTTTCACATACGGTCCTAAAGCACTGACGCCAGGTACAACTTCCGTCTCTTGCGTCTGTCCCAGTCCAACCAGGAGGACTTTGTTCTTGCCCATCATTATCCTGGAATCATTGAAGTCTGTTCTGACCTGTTTCAGAAAGTTGTTGCGGGTGTTTTCCACTTCGAAGACCCAAATGTACGAGTATTTCTCGGCGGCATCTTGTGCATTGGCCGCAAGTCGGCGAACGAGCTCTTTGTGGTTTTTGCGGACTCTGGAGGTCGGGACGATGCGGTTTCGCTTGGACGAAGGCATGATGCAAAACTGTGAGCGTACAGATGCGAGAAGATAGAGTGACCGTGGTGTCTGCAAAAATAGTGTAAGTTGCGGTCGAGTTCGGCCCTCAAAAATAATTATTTTAGAGTTTGAGCCGACAGAGGTGATTTGACGGCCAGCCATCCCCACCCAGCGGGCCCCTCTTCAGCAAAAAGATGACGCTGCCTTATCCTCTATGTCGCGCTTAACCTAAGTTGGAAAACTGCGATTCGTCGTTGATCACCACGACTTTCGTGTCACTAAGATAAGTTTCTTGTTTTTGAGGAATTCTCGTTGACTATGTGGGTAGTGTACATTATTCCCTGGGGTGTTTGTGTATAAATCTACATTTCATGTCTCCCTCCGGCGCTTCTCGTACGAACTTTCCCTCCATGGACATCTTGCATTGTCGACGTGGTCTTCATCCGCTACCAAAATGGCAGGCTCTGGTCTGACCGCGCACAGGCGGGGTTGCCCCACGGGCACGCATGTGGTACTGTAAGGGCCAGCATTCAGTGTTGAAGGACAGTTCAAAGTCCATGCAGAACAATACATCGATTTGGTCCAGCCTCGTCGTAGTCTTGACTACACCAGGCCAGAGGCTTGCGAGAAGAGTTGATTGTGGCCAGAGACTCTGCAGTTGGGGCACAGATGCCGTAGCTGAAGCTGCGCCGTCGACAACCCATGGCGGCCATCGGCCCGCCGCGTTCTCCACCTCGGCATAATTAGCGACATCGCCATGGTATTCCCCTCTTCCCGAGGTCTGATGGAGGAAGGCCGTCATCACTGCTGGAGCTTTATTCGAAGACTCGCTTGACGAGGATATGTTGGATGGTAGATGAGTGGGTCGACAATCCGCTGACCTGTCGACCTTCCGAATCCCTGACCACTGATTTTCAACTCTCTTAGACTCCATCCAATGTGAATAGGTCCTCCAGATTCAGCACGCCGAGCCTCTCCTGACCGTTACAGCTCAGGGCATCTGAGATGGTGATTTCCACAAATTATGATTTGGGAGTACAAACGGATCACCGTTTCAAACTGTGTATATTCCCTGTATGGGGAGGTTGTCGCACCAACCTGATTTTGCCCAGACAATTGAAGCTGTTCCCTGCGCTCTCCAAGTTGCTTTGGTATGTCTGATCTGCCCTCGTCGCCTTCTGCATCTGTTTGTGGTGGGTTGCAAGCAAAGCTCTCTGCTGTGAAGTCGGGAAATGCAAAAGGCTTCTCCGATCACCGGCACGAAGCTGTGCTAGTTGGTTGTTGAGGACGTGTTCTTGTTTCATCGCTCTTGTGCTCAGTTCGCCACGGGAATGAGAAGGCGTCTCGGCAGCATTCGAGCTTGGCCCGGCATCGGTGTGAGACAGTGGAGCCGCAGTTGGGGTAGGTAGTACTTGGTCGAGCGGAGGAGCCGTGATGTTGGGCCCGTGTGTGACTGAACGCTTCGATGGTCGTCTTTTCCTCCATCTCGCTTGTGATGGAAGATGGGGATCGTCCGAGAAGCTCATGGCGGAAAGGGCTTGTTGTAGTTCCTCTTTTGCATTTTCCGATGGAAGTTCATAAAAGTCTCGGAGCTCAGAATCCTCATCGGAAATGTCATATTTGCAATGCCCTTTCGCCATCATGTGCTGCTGCACCGCTTCGCGGGTATTTCGTTGTGTCCCACAGTAGAGACACTCATACCGCCCGGATATTATGAGATGGAAGTAGGCGAGGAGGGTTCCAACGTCCACCAAGAGATTTGCCGGATCCACATATAGCCCATGGGCTCGTAACATGTGGGTCAAATTCTGGTCCAGGTCTCGATTGGTCTGGTTGCAGAATAGACATTGTGATTCATCGAAATCATAGTCGGTGTCGGAGTGGTAGTCGCTGCTGGGAGTCGACGAATTGGTGAAGTCGTCCTCTATATTATCGGAGGTGTGGTCTTGAATTGATGCAGCAATGAAGTCGCTTCGACCTAATCTGGGATCCATGGCGGTGACAGTTGTAACGGTAGTGGTAGAGCCACAAGCAAATAGCATCAACGAAGGGAATCTGCAGGGTATAAAGTCTCGGATACTGGGAGGAACGACGGTTGCGTCGGAATGGCAGAGATTCTTCTGGTGGCGAGAGCAAACTTGTCTTGATGGTGGTCTATATGCTGCGGATACTGTGTAAGTGGTTTGTAAAGAAGTATTAGAGGCGTTGCAAGCGCCCAGAAGGCTAGAATAGCCCATGTGCCTTGCGCAAGACTCATGGCATGACTCAATCCCAAATTGTGCATCACTGACACTGTTCCAGTTTCCTAAAATGGCTGGTCACCTTCCGCTTCGGCATCACCGAGGTTATCGGGTGAACGGCCACAGAAGTTCGACCACTGGGAGTGCCCAAGAGAGCTGGTCTCATATCGTCACTCACCATATCGTTCAGGAAGACCGAGTGAACAATGATTCAAGTTTCACGACCAACATCACGGGCATCTTTGATCAGTCCGAATTCTGTCACGACCCACTTCGTCCGCGCTGGTCCGATCGGGCTGGAATTTGTGGGGTAGATCTAGTCTAAGACTTCAAAAAGCAGCGAGTGGCGTGAAAGCGGCGCAGGTGGCGCAGGGGGTGTGGTGGATTTGACATGTCTTCTCTTTACTGGTCACTCGGCAACTCCGTGCACCGAGACATGAGAGTCTAGTCCAAATCAGGAGCACAATTTGTGCGCGGTCCTCACCCTCAAAACAACGCGTTCTCCCAATGCCTTCGCTTGTGAAGCCTAGGCCCGAGCCGAATACCATAGCGCATCCTACCGACCAGGGCAAGCGCCGTGCCTCTTTCATCATACTGTATCTTCCAGCCAGCGGTCCCAGTCATGGAGAACCAAACACCTCGTCGCGCAGCCTCCCCTACGCAGAATTACCTGATAGCTTACAATGCAGTCTGCCTGGCACTATGGTCGATCATCACGCTCCGGGCGTTCTTTCTCATCCCGACACTATTTGCCCTTGGGAAGCCCCATCAGCTCCTCGAAGCGCTCTTTACCTTCCTCAAATGGACGCAGACGATAGCCCTTCTCGAGATCGTCCACGCGGCCGCTGGCCTCGTCCGAGCTAGCCCTGTCACGACCGCCATGCAAGTCGCCTCCCGGATATTGGTCGTGTGGGTGGTTTTGGAGATGTTCCCACAAATCGTGTCGGTCACAAACAGCTTGGGAAGATCGGTGGCAGGGTCGACCATGGGTCCAGTTGCCTTTGCCGGGATATTGACGGCTTGGGGAACCACAGAGGTCATCCGCTACGGATTCTTCGTGTGGAAAGCAGCGATCAGTGAGAAGGTCCCCGCTGCTCTCACATGGCTGCGGTACAACACGTTCTTCGTCCTCTATCCCATCGGCATCTCCAGCGAGTGTATGCTCATGTATCTTGCGCTTGGGCCGGCAGCAAAGCAAGGAAAGCAAGTCGATCTGCTGCTCAAGGCCGTTCTTCTCATCTACGTTCCCGGAAGCTACATCCTCTATACTCACATGATGGCTCAGCGGCGGAAGGTCTTGAAGGGCAAGGGGAAATCTGCGTAGGACGCGGAAAAAGGTCCTGCAAAGATCAGATGCTCACCGCGCCAGCCCTCTCGCCTCAGACATTGCCGACCAAGACGGCGACTCGACGAGAGTGGTTCAAGTATCACCACTGAGTTTGTGCATTCGACCGGACCCCTCCGCATTGTGGAAGACTGCGCATCATTCGGACAGAGGGTTGAGGGCTCGAAGGGCTCACAACCACATGTACATGCAGACACAAGCTCCATGGATGCGAGACTCGAATCACCCGAACTGCTGAATAAAGCAGTGCAAGGGGTCACGACCGGATGTGGACTTGCAGACCCGGATCTCCTCCTGACAAGAGAATCTGCAAATCACTCGGATCAATCATCGGCTTGACCGCCACTTGGTAGAATTTGGGATGATCATGCAGTGGAGCAATTTCGTCGCTCAGCTCCTGTATAACTAGTATATAGCAGCAATCGAATCAGAGCATCTCACTAGCATCTCACTACCACCCCCCCCCCCCCCCCCCCCCCCTCCCCCCCCGAGATGCGTGGTGCTCGAATATCGTGTACTAGTCCAATAGCAAACCAAGGCATATATCATATTGACCGGTAAGTCCGACACAAGCCACGGTGATCCAGGCTACTGAGGCGGAACATTCAAGACCGCGTCTCAATTGACCTTCCCTGTCCTCCGTGCAGAGCTCTAATATTCAAGCAAGTGTAGTCAAGAGGATGGATCGTCTCTTGAATTGTCCACCAGTGGGGCTTATAGAAAGGATACAGCTTCCCGCAGCCCTCTGTCTCTATCCAAGTAGACGATTCGTTGTCCCCCTGCAGATGACTGTCTCTCAGATAGACAAAATGTCTCTCTCCCTGGTAGACGTCGTCCCTTTTGGTCCGATATCCTCTCTCGGTCTTTCTATTATTTCTACCATCTGAAGGTTCAACCTTGATACTACCAAGGGAACTAGGCAACCAAGTCATTACGTCTAATTCTCGACACGAAAGCAACCTTGTCCAAGGGGTTTCCCGATTGGTACCTTTTGGGAGTTCAGAAGAATCATCATAGATAGATCGGTAGGTAGGTAGGAAGATAGGCTGGTAGATCATGGATACCACGGACATCGATTAATTCCTGTTCAAAATCCTCGTCTCTATCGGCGGCCCCCTCCTCCTTCTTCTCCCGCATCTAATTCGTCTTCAATGTCTTCTGCTTCTCTGCATCCCTCCCTCCTCTGGACCCTTTGACCAGCAAGCCCTTCCGCCGCCTGACGCCGTCGACGTACCTCTTCGCCACATTCTCCCGTTCGCCGTGCACGCCCAGATCCTCCAACTCCTCCTCCGTCTTGGGCACCCAGAAGGGGTCCACGTCATCGAGCATCTCGAAGCCCGTGAACTTGAGCATCGGTTGCGCCAGCCCGCTTGTGCGCTTGCGGATCTCTTCGCTGAAGCCGAACGATTCGGCCACGGGCAGGGTCGCGCTGATAGTAAAATAGGGCGTGCCTTCCAGCAGGGCCTCGGAGAGGATGGACCCCCGCCGCCGCGTCAGCACCGAATACACCCGGCCCAGCACTTCGGGCGTGGCTTGGATGGTGCAGCTGTACATGGCAAGCAGGATGCGGGGGGACCAGTCGAGGAAGGCGGCGCGGATGGTCTCGCGCACCGAGGTGATGAGTTCGCCTGTCAGACGACCCGTCTCGGTTGCCGTGGACGTGGACGAATCCCCGATTTCTGGGGGGTGTGACTGTTGCGCGATGTCTTCGAGGAAAACAGCCACGCCTTGCATGGGTTCACGGCAGAGCGGGCCTTGAGATGTCGCGAGCTGGAAGGCGTAGGCGATTGTGTCGGAAAAGTCTTGTGTCGGGGCGATGGCGGCGTCCGATTCTGCGCTTTGAGTGCTGCCGCTTTGGGCTCCGTTCTCCTTGATTTCATGCTGCTCGAACAAGAACCGCTTGCAGGTATGTTGTCCGGTGGCGTCGATGAACAGATTTGGCCCGACCCGGCGAGGGCCAAAGCCGCAGATCCTGGACACGACTTTCACCCAGACTTCCTTGTCCTCAGTCACCTCGTCAAAGACTTCCTGGAGTTGCTGCCGGAACTGCAGGAGTGAGAGATTGCTTCTGTGGTCTCCGCCGGTGTCATTGCCTAGGTCGGCCGCCTCGTCTTTTTCAACGCCGTCGGCGTCGTCGAGGGTTCCTGATTCATTTTCTTCCTGGGCCTGCTTCTCGGCATAGAGGCGTCTGATTGACGGGCCATTCCTTATCAGGAAATCTGTAACATTTTGTGGCAGCGGGCGAACTCTTAGCCGCACAGACACCATTTTCGACGCTGTTACGGCCACCGCGGTTCCTCTTGGGAGGTCCTTGTTCTTTGGCGGCTCCATTTCTTCCGCCTTGACGATTGTCTCCCGGTACGGCACGATCGGTTCGCCAGGTTGAATGTCACATTTTGCATACCGTTCACGCAGATCTTTCAGACATCTTTCGAGGTGCAGTTCTCCAGCAGTCAAGATGACATGTTCACCGCTTTCCATCTGCTCGTAGACAGCGCACGGGTCGCTCTGCTCCAACAACTTCAAGCCCTTGATCATCTTGTTTAGGTCCAACGGGTTCGTCGGTTCCAGTGCGACTCTCACGATTGGCTGGCTGAGTGACGATACACCCGCCAGGTTTATTGCTCCTTCTACTTGGGAGCATAATGTGCCAGTCTTCAGAATGTTTCCCTCGAGACCTTCAATACCAAACACTACCCCGGCAGGCACTTTTTCGAGCGGTTCCAATGCTCGACCCATTAAGAGATAAAGGGCAGTGATCGGCACCTTCTTCGGTCCTGGGAAGGCATGCGGAAACGCCGGATTGAACTTCGGTGGTAGAACGTACACCTCATCGCCTACAGAGAGGGTGCCTGAATATAACCTGGCAAAGCCAATTAGGTGCTCTGGGTCTTCTGGCTGTTCTGGGCCAACGCCCTCGTCCGTGTCTTCCCCTATCCTCGCGGTGCTCAACCCATTGGTTACGCTGTCCATATCGGATGTTCCATTTGCTTCGGCCTGTGCTTTTGCTATTTCTGCCCGTTTTTTCCTGGCTAAGTCCCTGGCTTCGTCTGCTGTCAAGGTTGTCCCGAGTTTCCTTCTCTTCGAAGGCAGCTCGCTTTCGGATATGGCTACCATTTTGCTGACGTAGGCAACAATTGGCGCCGAAGGAGATGTATTGAAGTTGATTATTGAATCTTTGAGGGATTGGTCTATGTTTTTTGAAGAAACCAAATCTTGGATCATCTCGGGGAACCGAGAGGCCTGGGCATCAGGAGGGCTAGGTAAGTATTCAATGACGGAGACGAGCAGAGCGGTTGAGAGTGGCAGCCATGAAGACATGACAGCCTGCAATATGACTTTGGTGTCCCTAGATCTGACGATGTGAGCGGGAATATTGATAGACAATGACTTTGTTATCTTCTCCAATAATGCAGAGTCGCCACGGTCGCCGTTGATACCCACTGTAGCATCGTAGGCTTGCCAGATGGGTTCCAGTACAAGCTGAACGAAGATAGGCTTAAGGTTCCGTCCCTTCAGGTGCTTTTGACCCAGTACCTTCTTGGTCTTGGGGTCCAGATAGAAATCACCCCAGAGAACATTCTCAAGCGCAGACTTCCTGATACCTAGCTTCTTCTCATATATGCCGGCGAATTGGCGCACAGTGAAAGCCCAGCCGTCTATTGCACTTCCGAAGATGACGTTGTTCTTCTCTGGGGCAAAGTACAAATCTTCATCATCTCGTTCTTCGTATGACTGGTCCAGATCCGCCTCAGTCGCAGATTCATTCAAGGCATCCTGTTTTTGTTGGTCGCGCGCCGCTCTTCTCTGGTCCAGCTTTTCCCTCCACTCGAGGTCTTCTTGTGCACGCTCACCCTGAAAGAAGCCGCCAATAACGGCATTCACACCTTCAAGGACCCTCCCAAGGTGTGAGTATGCCTCGGCCGGCGTCATTTTCAGTTCGGTCACGAGTCTGTCAATCTTGTTGATGACGAGCAGTGGTTTCAACTTTTCTATCCATACCTGCCTTAGCACTGTGACGGTCTGTGAGCACACGCCTTCGACAGCATCCACGAGGACGACTGCAGCATCGCACAGTCTTGAAGCAGTGCTCACTTCTGACGAGAAATCGATGTGGCCCGGGCTATCGATCAGGTTTATCAAGTATTCCTCCTGTTTCGGCTCCTCGTCGCTGTTTTGCCTTCTCATCATGCTGAAGTACAGGCTTATGGCGCTGCTCTCCATGGTGATTCCTCGTAACTGTTCGTCCGGTCTCGAGTCCAGGTAGCGGATCTTGCCCGCCATCTTGGGGGCAATGATGCCGTTCGTGGCAATAAGTGAGTCTGATAGCGACGTTTTCCCATGGTCGACGTGCGCCAGAATGCAGATGTTGCGGATGTTTTCTGCTTTGGATTGCAGCGCAATCAAGCGCGACGGGGGTATCGCGGGCATGTTTGTAGAACTTCCACCAATAGCGCCAGGGTAGGAGATCACAAGCCTTCGTCGTCGCTTCGTGAAAGTGCGCGAGTACTTCTAGCAGGGCGCAGCCAGACTAGGCGAGGCTTGTACAATGTTCAGGACTGTGGGGTCGAAGTAACAAAAATTTGGGGTGACTCGAATGACGCAGCGACTCAGCCTTGCCCCAGCACAGCCTTGCAGCCGTGCGTATGGCGGGGCTGTCACTAGGCCTGGATCCAAAGCCCGATACGGAACCATCTCTAATTAGCAGTTCATTGCCAGTTGAATGTATCTATCGGCACATAGCGGAGCGGCCACCATGAGTGGCAACATGCATAATTCATGACCCATATTGACCTGCCACTTAGCAGCTCCGGCTCAGGTACGAGTAGATCTTGTTCAAGTACGAAAGCGTCAAGTTGATCCTGCCAGCCTCGAGACTATAACACTTGGGCCTTTAAAATCATCTCCTTCTTCATGTTACTCCTTACCTTGAAGCTGACCGGAAACGGCCTAGGACCGAAAAGCCTGATTGGGGCATAATTCCACAGATCGTACTTGACCTCCTGCCCGGTGCTCGGGTCAACGGCAGGGCGTACATCAAACGCCCAGAGGAGTCGCGCGGTTAGGATGAGAAGGGAATTCTCTGCCAGATTGTAGCCGGCGCACACGCGCCTTCCTGCACCGAAGGACCAATGGTCTCGAAGACGAAGATCGCTGGTGTGTATGCATTCACCGGCGGTTAAGTCATTCGAAGGGTGGTCGAGATAACGGTCTGGGTTGAACCGCTGCGGGTCGGGGAACAGATTCGGGTCGTAATGTAATGCCCTGCTTGTTGTCAGGACCTCATTTCTTGATAAAGGCTGTGTCGCTTCTTGGCGTTAGGAATAAGGGTCGTTGACTTACCATTGATTTATGACTACTGTCGAACCCGCGGGGATAAAGTAGTCCTTGTACACAACATCGCCCTGGATAGAGTCAGATCACATAGTGATGATGCAAGCTGAGGGATCTTACCGTGGTATCATGGCGGATATGGTCGTTCGAGACACTCCGCCATCGAAGGACTTCCTTGACCATCGCTCGAATATATGGCAGATTCGGAATGTCTGAGAATTGTGGCATTCTGTCGCCCACAACAGCATCAAGTTCTTTGTGTGCTTTCGACACCACCTCTGGGAATGCCACTAGACCTAGGATGAGACTGTTCATCGAGAGCTGAGTGGTGTCTGCAATATTGGCCGCAGTCAGTGGGTAGTCCACAAAAGGGTGGAAAAGTCACCTACCGCTGCCGGCTTCAATCATACTGCCCGCCACGTATGCAGCCTGCAGCTCGGAGATACCCATTGCAAGGTAGTCTTCTTCCATGAATTTCTCGGCGAAGCAACCAGTGCGGACGCCAGCGTCAAGCCGGTCCTTGAGATCCTTCCATAGCCCCATCCAGAGATTTGCTTCGAATTGGTGACAGGGTTCGTACTTTCTGCGCCACCACTGGAGTGACTTTGGCAGTTTTGCCAGTACAGGATACTGATCTACCAGAAACCGGCTGCCGACCACCTTCCCGAACACGCTGGTCTCTTGATAGATCGCTTTCAAGACCGGGTCGTCGAGGTTTAGGACACGGCGGCCGTAGATCGAGTACATGATGACACTGGAGGTGTATCGTTTCACATGGTCGAGAAAGTTCTCCGGGTCGTTGAGGATGTCGTACAGGTAGTGATGAGATTCAAGACTCTGCGACGGTTTCATGACGTCCGCGGCCTTGACACTTAGACAGCGGTGGGCAATGGCTCGGATGGAACGCCACTGTTTACCATAAGGCTGTGAAGGTGGTTAGCGCGTATCCCAGCTACGAGGAGAGGTAGGGGTGGCCATACCATAAAGAGCATGCGGTAACCACCAGAAAGGACATCCATGGCCACACGCATACGTGGTCTGCTAGAGGTGAGGGCGCCATTTTTGTCAAAGACCTCCTGCATGAAGAAGAGAGACAGGAGTCAGCAAGCTAGACGGACAAGAGATGTCTGCGGCAAATCAACCCACTTTCACAGCTTCTGGCGAGCTGAGAACAACCCAGCGTTCGACACCGAGCCTGATCTCATAGATCTCGCCATACTCGTGTGCCCATTTGACGAGCTGGCTCTGACTCGGATTACTCGTGGCATTTCCGGACCATATATGGCTGTGGCCACTGAACAGCCGTGCTCCTGGCGGCGAAGGTGGGCGGCGGAGGCCTTTTGGCACGGAAGGTCCCCGGATGGAAAGGACAGTCCATATCACCAATGACAGTGCTGTCAATGAAGCTGTAGCTAAGAGGAAAGTATAGCCTGGGAAGGCTGCAACGTCTCCAGGGAGAATCATTGCATTCCGTGGTAATCTGTTTAGCCTGTATGGATGTTCTTTTGGTTCAAGTTAGCTAAAAGCAGGTGGCTTCCCGGTGGAGAGGGAGTGATAAATTTCTTGACAGAGACGAGCGATATCAACGATCACATCTGTGTGCTCAGAGCACTTTCATCGATTTCCCTACTGTCAGCCACTCAGCCTTCCCCAACCCATATGCTGGCTTCCCCGCGTGCCTCGGCCTCACCTACGCACCCCACATTTCGGTTGCCTTCATGATGGGGTCTCTGCAAGAAACCTAATTGTATGTGGAGTAAAGCATGAAGACAAAGGCACAGTGCCGGCAATGGGACAGATCTCGACAAACAAGCGGATGTCTCGGAGTAGCAATACCTCGTGTCTTGTATCGACCCCGTGGTGTTGTCGCTCGAGCTCAATGAAGTAGGAGAGCCCTGACCGACGCGCCCGAATGGCAAACCACACTTTGGGGCATGGCGCCATTATTGGGTACTTGGAGAAGGAAGCGACTTGTGGAAAGCCATCAGCGAAAATGTGTAAAGTTGAAAAGAGCCAAACGAGCCGCAATCCAAACAGATTAGCGTAGGATTAGTCATCGCGGCAGACAGATTCTTCCGTGCCGGGTTGGGTGCCGGGTCCGACGAAGCCAGCCCCAAGATCGCTTCAGCCCTCCGTTGACGAGTCCGCGTGTACTTGTAGCTCACCAAAAGAATTGGTCGCTTCGCATAGAGGTCGTCATCAGGCATGACATTGCAATAACTATACACGCATGCATACCAATTCTCACTACCTAGGTATGCATGCACAATATCGCCGGACCGAGCAGGCCCATGATTTCCGATGGTTTCGCGTCTGCCTGCATCAGCCCGGCCCCCAAACGTCGATCTCTCCCCAAAAGCTACAGAAGCACAGCCTCATCAGGCACATATAGAACGAGTACTGTATATACACTTTCTAGAAGCCTTCGCTCTCCGGGGCTATGTTCCTCGCGGACTCGGTCCTCGCTGATGTTTCGTCCGCGCTACCCCGTTCACGTGGTATGTTGCGATAATTATGCTTTCCTGTTCGAGATCATCGGTCAGGAACCCTGTCCGTTGCCAGCGCTGAATTGTCACATTACTGAAGATGAGTATAAAACCGCATTACCTTCTAGCAATCACAGGTTACTCACAACAATCGATCTGAAGCCATATCCATAGAAGAACGTGCTCCAACCCTCAGGAAGCCCTTGTTGGTCCGAACACATTCGACTCTCCCGCGCCAAGTGTTTCGCCTTTTACACACCTTCCTCGACCCAACACTGCACAATGGGTCTCATTAAACTCGCAATGCTTGCCGGAGCCGGAATGTACGCAGTAGACAAGTACACACAATCCCGGCGGAAGGGGCATCTCCAGCAAGATCCGAACGACCATACGCGCAAATCACAGCAATACTTCGACAACGGCGTCCCCGAGCAAGACCACTATTACACGGGGCCCAAGCTGGGCGGCCAACAACAACAGCAGCAGCGGAAGGTCATTCCTCTGGAGTTTACGGATCGTCGCAGCCAGCAATCGCAGGAGCAGCAGGGCGCCCGACCTCAATATCAACTGACGAATGATCCCAACGTGCCTGTGAATGTGCCGGCGTACAGATATGAACCCAATGGCGGCTACTAGAATGAGACCGAACCTCGCGCAGAGTTCGCGTCGGGGCTGCAGACATCATCCCGCTAACACTGAGGGCTCATCCCCTCTACAACATCATAACTATGGTCAACACCGAGCACAAGGTTTTGGTGAGGCAGACGAGAATGTCTCGGAGTCGAGTTTTGATGGCACCGAGGAGGGCGCGGTGGAAGTGGATGCAAATGGGAGCGCCACGCTCTTGGACACTTCGATGCAAAACACGGGTAATTCGAACGATGGGAAAGGAAGGGACATGGTGAACCACTTCCTGAAGTGAAATGTTTGACGCATTGAATAGGCACCAGCAGAACTCGCATGTGCATTGCAGGCGTTTGCTCCACATAGTTTCCGTAGCAATGTCAGATCGTTTCCTGGTTTAGGGGGCCTTTGCTTGAATAAATTTCAACAGAAGAACGTGCAAGGGTTTGGGAACATGTAGCTTCTGCTTCATCTCATTCCTTGCAGCCTTGTACCTTTCGAGACGCCTATATGAGAAAATGAAAGCGCCATTGGGACCGCGATGCCGGTCAGTGCCACAGAGATTGACAGCAGCACGGAGCTTCCGGAGGATGTGGCCGAGATCGCTACCTCCCTCGAAGACGATCTTGAGAAGACCGGGTATCCCAGGTGAATCTCTGTTTCCTCGAACGACTGTGGTAACATCCTGGCGCCGGGCGCACCACAGGCCATACCCATGAGGGCTTGACCCACAAGTCCACAGTAGAAAACATGGCCGCGGATGGAACCCAGAATGTCCAGGACCAATAGAAACGCTGACTGGATCAGGACCGTGGCAATATCGGGATCACGGTATGCCAGAGCGGCGTCTGGCTTTATCAGCAGGCAGCAATTCGCTGAAGGCGCGGCACAGAAGTTGCTCCATGGAGATCAGAGGACAATGGTGAAGCGATAATAGCGATCTTCCCAGATGCCACGGTCGTTGAAATCTGTGCAGCTGGTATACCGCAGGAAGGGTGTTTCAAATCGAGGGAAGGTCAGCCGAGACCGGCGATATCATTGGCTGAGCTCCGAAGTCGCCAGTCGCAGGCAGGAGCAGTGAATTTTTGTAGCGACTCTTTGTATGGTCGTGTGTACGCCGGACACTCTAGAGGCTGTTCTTTACTCCCGTCGTTTCTTTGAGGAGAGAGAGTGCTTCAGGCGATTGGAAGCAGCTCTGCGACAATGTTGTGCGCAAGTAAGTGCTCTGGCTCAATCCGCAATCTCAGAAGAGGACTAACCATATGGCAGTTTCGGGCGAGGCACCCCAAGTGCCAGTGGCCTCGCGTAAGAGTGGTGAGTGCAGGCTCGAAGAGGATGCATTCATCAGTTCTCACTGTTTACAGGAAATGTCTACGAAAAGCGGCTCATCGAGGCATATATCAGCGAGAACGGCACAGAACCCACGACCGGAGAGACACTTTCCGCAGAGGACTTGATCGACCTCAAGAGCCCTCACGTCGTTTACCCACGTCCTCCACAGATGACTTCGATACCGGCTATGCTATCATTCTTCCAGAACGAGTGGGATGCGCTCGCTCTTCAGACATACACCCTACAGCAGAATCTCCACCAAGCCCGGCAAGAGCTTAGTACTGCACTCTATGAGAATGATGCGGCGGTTCGAGTCATTGCTCAAGTCACTAAGGAAAGGGATGAAGCTCGGGCTGCATTGGCACAGATCGACATTGGAAGAGGAGCCTCTGCGACGACGAACGGAGATGCTATGCAAGTGGACAGCGCACCCTTACCGCAGCCTATCGTGGAGAAGATCGAAACGACACAGGCCAGTTTATCCAAAACTCGTCGGAAGCGACCGGTCCCGGAGGAATGGGCAACTGCGGATGCGGTATCGACGTATTCTCCAACGTTGACGTCAGAACCATTCTTCCCTGGCGGAACTGTGCTTGCTGTACACGGGTCAGGGGATACGGCGCTTGTGGCAGGCAGCAACGGTGCTGGAGGTATCGTTTCGCTTTCAGAAAACAGACTCATTCACTCTCTCAACCTCGGGAAAGGGTCCGCGACCAGCGGGGTTTGGGCCCACGACAGAGCAGTTGTTGCAACTTCCACTGGGTTGATCAAGGTGTTCGAGAAGGATCGAGAGGAATCGTCGTTTTCAGCGCACACAGGAAGTGTGACGGCAGTTGCTCTCCACCCGAGTGGTACCATTCTGGCCTCCGTTGGCGAAGACCGATCATATGCTCTTTATGATCTCGAATCGGACAAACAGCTTACCCATGTTCACAGCAATTCAGGTATGTCGAGGCACGTGTTTGATTGAATCCGCTTGCTTACACTCTCTAGCCTTAAAATGCGCCCAATTCCACCCAGACGGTCACTTGCTAGCCGCTGGCGGCTCAGATGGCCAGATCAAAATCTTTGAGCTTAAGTCTGGCGCAGAAGCGGCCACTTTCGAGCTGGAAGGTCCCGTCGAGAGCATCTTCTTCTCTGAGAATGGTATATGGGTCGCAGGAGTCGTCAAGGGGTCATCGGCAATATCGATATGGGACTTGAGGAAGGCCACGGAAATCGCAGCCATCGACACCGGAAGCACCATCAATTCCATCAGCTGGGACTATACGGGGCAATTTTTGGCTGCCGCTGGCGAGCAAGGAATTACCGTCCAGCATTACGCTAAAGCATCGAAAGAGTGGTCGGAGATTCTGAAGCGAGCGACACCTGCAACCCGGATTGCGTGGGGCAAGGATGCGCAGAGCCTCGTCTCTGTCAATGGAGAAGGAGTTATCACCACTTTGACTGCGGGCTAGGTGGGACGGGACAGCAGAATGTATCCAAGTTGTACATTATCCAATAGTCGTATGGATGGCAAAAGTGGCAGTTTCGATACCCCACAGTTGAGTTCGGGACGGCATCCTGGATCTCGGCGGCCACTGTAACTCAGATGAAATAAGAATGAAAACCGCCCCAGGTGTCTTTGTCCCGTGCAATTGAGTGAGCGAACAAAGAACAGAATTCATGCGACAGGCAGGTTTCGATATCGTCTGTGGTTTTGTGTGTTTGTTTATTCTGAATTGTGTGCTCTAGAGATATCCTCAGTTGGTCGGCCAGGGGTCCATGATCTGTCAGTCGTGGTTGGGCCGATTTATCACCAGGGCTTAAACAAGCGAACTTACGATTAGTGTCAAGAACACCAAGCTACACTAAGACCCAGGAAGATAAGCTGAAACTCGTATGATAGAAGCATCCTTCTCTCATACTTTGAGTCCTATAGTGACTGTATGTCGAGGGACGCTTAATACTTGAATTACTATCGCAGGCTTGCGCTAAAGCTCCACCAATCAGAACGCCAGATTGTTTCTCTGTACACATGTACAGGAAAAGTAAGCCTCATCAACCACAACTTCATCAGCCCCATTACAATACTTCTCGGAGACCTCTCGGATACTGTCAGGAACGCCTAGATGGGCTTAGCGCTCTAGGCCTATATAGCTTGCTCCTCGCATGCGAACCCTCCTCGTTCCGCATGCTTTGAGTCTTCGT